ATTCAAATCTTTATGGGTTGAAGATTTTGGTGGGTGACATACATGGGAAAATCAGGATGCGATCGGAGGAAAAGAAAGAATCACGTTACTTCTGTTCACCCTCTCCTATCTTCTCTTCTTCTTCTTCTTCTTCTTCCCAAGCATCACACGGCATAAGATTAACAGCAGCCTGTGCTTGAGGAAGAAGTCAAGAGAGGCTTCTCACTTCCCATTTTCAATCTTCAATTTCATCAAAAGGAAAGAAAGAAGTGATGGAAAGACATGGTAAGTGCCCATCCAATTCGGTATCTTCAATTAGTATTGATGGGCGCTTACCTCCTTGCCAGACGCTTTACTTCTTCATTTCCAAAACATGGCAATGTAAAAGACAAGGCAAGGAAAATGACAAGCGTTGGCTGGGCCGGGAAAGGAAAGGTCATCTTCTTCCATCTGTTTTTTTACAGAAAGAAGCGGGTTGTGGAAAGTGGCTTTCTTTTTCTACAAATAAACCAAAAATAAAGCCAATATCCCCTTCCTTCGTCCCACTTTTAGACTGTTCCATCGTGAGTCTTTCGTAGTGACAGAACTCCAGAACGTAGTGGGGAAGGGAAAGGTAAAGATGGAACGGTTGATCTCCTTCCTATCTTCTCCCCACTAGCGATACAGTTGGAGAAGAAGGAACGGGGGGGCTAGCTTCTCCCTCCTTCCTTCACCCCTCGATTTCTGGCATTCTTCAACGGTTGAAAAGGGAAACAGAAGAAGGGGAAGGATGAAAGGTCCAAAAGATAGAAAAACACAAGCAAAATAATATGAGTAAGACCTACTCATAATCTTTTTTCCTTTCGGTGAGCCCCAGCGACGACCGGACAGCCAAAAGCATTCACAAAGAAAGATAGCGTAATGAATCTCAACAAGGGAAGAATAAAATAGAAAAGAACGAGGAATGTAAGTATGGTTTTAAGATTAGAAGCATGTATTAGCACGTAATAAATTAGATAGCTTCTGTAAGCACCACCCATAATTATCTTTAGCTTTGTCATAACTGTCTCGCGCCCTTTTTATGTTGTTAGCTTGTATAAAACAGGATTTTGAAAAGAAAGGGAGGATATTACGTTTTCTACCGTAATTATTACTGCCTGCAAATGCTTTCGTCACTTCTTGCCCATCCATAAATGCAAATAAAGGATGAGGATGGATGGACAAGAGGAAACAGGCAATGATTTGGAAGAGGCCCCAAAGACAGGCTGGAAAGGGATAGTGAGGGAATCTTCAATCATCATATCCTCCAAGTCTCACGGACAGGCTATCTGGTGTATTCTGCGTGATGTCTGGGCGGAAGATTTTCTTAATCATTCTTTGTTCTTTCACACCTTTCCCTTTCCCTTACCTTCATCGATTGGTCTAACCTGGTATGCGATAAAATCTCTGAGATACAAATGAATCCATCCCACAATCCCAGTCGCCTTTCCATGTCTTTCTATTTGTACGGTTTTCTCCATCTCTTTCTCCATCAGGTATGTGTGGTATGAAAGTTATCCAAAAGAAGCGTGTTGCAGAAGATGTCCTCTCTCCTTTACCTATCTTATGTTTATTTCTTTATCCCTGTCTTTTCCATCCTAGTTTATTGAGTTGATTGTAGGAAGAAATGGTCAGGGGAGAGAGTGAAAGATAAAGAAAGGAGTATGAATTCGAGATCCTAAAGAAAAACAAACACATGGAAATAACAGAAAAGAGAGATTCCAAATGAAAAGATAATATGCTTTCCTCCCCATTTCCTTACCAAACTTCAACCGATTCAAAATGAAACAAACTTGACCCAAAAAAAGCCGTTAAGGGAAGGACGGTGATCAAGTTTTATCAAGTTTACAATGTTCACACCTTTACTTGTAATTTGTGTAATTCTGGACCGACTTTTTACAAACTAGCTTGTGCAATTTGCAACCCCCGAGCAATGTTTGTTCAAATCCAGCTTGTAATTCTAAATCGGATGTTTGCTGACATTGAAACGTACTCTGGGGAATTTGCTTTCCGGGGAGATTTGGCTGGAGTTACATTACAAGTTATACACATTTTGCAGATTAGTTTCTGAACTATGCCAAATTCCAACAAATATGGTTAACAATTAAGCATTTCACAAAATGTCGCAAGTACATGTGTAAAAAGTGAAATTTCCAGATTTTACAAATGAATTTGCAAAATTTGTGAAATATAAAAAAACCTGGCCCAAAATTACAAATTTTACAAATTTTACAAATTAATTTGTAAAATTTGTAAAACATCAAAAACATATGGCCCAAAATTACAAATTTTACAAATTTTACAAATTAATTTGTAAAATTTGTAAAATATCAAAAAAATCTGGCCCAAAATTACAAATTTTTACAAATTTTACCCATAATTCTAGTCTGAGAAATATAAGTAATTAGCTTTCCAGGGGAATTTGGTAGGAATGAATTTACAAATTTTACAAATTTTACAAATTTTACAAATTATTTTGTAAAAATTTGGTAAAATATCAATAAAAATCTGGCACACAATTACAAATTTTACATTTTTACAAATTTTTTACAAATTAATTGTAAAATTTTGTAAAATATCAATAAAATCTGGGCCCACCATTCAAATTTTACAAATTCTAGTCTGAGAAATTAGCTTCCAGGGGAATTTGGTAGGAATTAAATTATAAATTTTACAAATTTTACAAATTTTACAAATGTTACAAATTAATTTGTAAAAATTGTAAAATATCAAAAAAATCTGGCCCACAATTACAAATTTTACAAATTTTTATCAAATTAATTTGTAAAATTTGTAAAATATCAAAAACATCTGGCCCAAAAATACAAATTTTACAAATTCTACAAATTATTTGTAAAATATCAAAAAAAGTCTGGCCCAAAATTACAAATTTTACAAATTTTACAAAGTTTACAAATTTTACAAATTTAACAAATTAATTTGTAAAAGTTGTTTATTTTGGTAGCCAGTTTTTTTTTGTATTTTACAATTTTGAAAATTATTTTGTAAAATTTGTAAAATTTGTAATTTTGAGCCAGATTTTTGTTGATATTTTACAAATTTTACAAATTAATTTGTAAAAATTGTAAAATTTGTAAAATTTGTAAAATTTGTAATTTAATTCCTACCAAATTCCCCTGGAAGCTAATTTCTCAGACTAGAATTTGTAAAATTTGTAAAATTTGTAATTTTGGGCCAGATTTTTTTGATATTTTACAAATTTTACAAATTAATTTGTAAAATTTGCAAAATTTGTAATTTTGGGCCAGATTTTTTTGATATTTTACAAATTTTACAAATTAATTTGTAAAATTTGTAAAATTTGTAAAATTTGTAATTTAATTCCTACAAAATTCCCCTGGAATTTGTAAAATTTGTAATTTTGGGCCAGATTTTTTTGATATTTTACAAATTTTACAAATTAATTTGTAATTTTGGGCCAGATTTTCTTTGATATTTTACAAATTTTACAAATTAATTTGTAAAATTTGTAAAATTTGTAAAATTTGTAATTTAATTCCTACCAAATTCCCCTGGAAGCTAATTTCTCAGACTAGAATTTGTAAAATTTGCAAAATTTGTAATTTTGGGCCAGATTTTTTGATATTTTACAAATTTTACAAATTAATTTGTAAAATTTGTAAAATTTTGGGCCAGATTTTTTTGATATTTTACAAATTTTACAAATTAATTTGTAAAATTTGTAAAATTTGTAAAATTTGTAATTTAATTCCTACCAAATTCCCCTGGAAGCTAATTTCTCAGACTAGAATTTGTAAAATTTGTAAAATTTGTAATTTTGGGCCAGATTTTTTTGATATTTTACAAATTTTACAAATTAATTTGTAAAATTTGTAAAATTTGTAATTTTGGGCCATATTTTTTTGTTATTTTGTAAATTTTACAAATTAATTTGTACAATTTGTAAAATTTGTAAAATTTGTAAATTAATTCCTACCAAATTCCCCTGGAAGCTAATTTCTCAGACTAGAATTTGCAAAATTTGTAAAATTTGTAATTTTGGGCCAGGTTTTTTGATATTTTACAAATTTTACAAATTAATTTGTAAAATTTGTAAAATTTGTAATTTTGGGCCAGATTTTTTTGATATTTTACAAATTTTACAAATTAATTTGTAAAATTTGTAAATTTTAAAATTTGTAATTTAATTCCTACCAAATTCCCCTGGAAGCTAATTTCTCAGACTAGAATTTGTAAAATTTGTAAAATTTGTAATTTTGGGCCAGATTTTTTTGATATTTTACAAATTTTACAAATTAATTTGTAAAATTTGTAAAATTTGTAATTTTGGGCCAGATTTTTTTGATATTTTACAAATTTTACAAATTAATTTGTAAAATTTGTAAAATTTGTAAAATTTGTAATTTAATTCCTACAAAATTCCCCTGGAGGCTAATTTCTCAGACTCGAATTTGTAAAATTTGTAAATTTTGTAATTTCGGGCCAGATTTTTTGATATTTTACAAATTTTACAAATTAATTTGTAAAATTTGTAATTTAATTCCTACCAAATTCCCCTGGAAGCTAATTTCTCAGACTAGAATTTGTAAAATTTGTAAAATTTGTAATTTTGGGCCAGATTTTTTTGATATTTTACAAATTTTACAAATTAATTTGTAAAATTTGTAAAATTTGTAAAATTTGTAAAATTTGTAATTTAATTCCTACCAAATTCCCCTGAAAGCTAATTTCTCAGACTAGAATTTGTAAAATTTGTAATATTTGTTATTTTGGAGAATATTTTCTTTACCTTACAAATTAATTTGTAATATCTGCAATTTCATTCCTACCAAATTCCCCTGGAAGCCAATTTCTCAGACTAAGATTTGCAATTTTATGAAATCAATTCCTATACAAGATCTGCCTGAAAGCCAGCTCTCAGTGTGATGTTGATGCCCAGACCTCTCCCCGGCACATTATACATACTCTTCCCTCTTACGCCCCCCCCCCCCCCCCCCCGGCCCCCCTGTCGCACGTCCAAGGATGTCGCGCCACGTGGCGCGCGCTTTGGTCCCCGAGGGCCCGGAGGCTGCGGCAATGGTGAACCTGAACTCAGAGGCGCGGAAGAATTGGGCTGGCCATCGGCTCGCTCGGCTCTCACTCTGGGAATGAGTTTCCATAGGGGCCCCTTACGTCAATTTTGATATGCCCAAGTGGGTGTGTTTTTTTTGGAGTTGGTACCCCGTTTTGGTTGGTTTCAAAGGGGGACCAAAAGGAAGCGGCTTTGTTTGGGGGGTGGGGTGGGTTGCTTTTCTCTGCCAGGAGACCCGGGAGGTGCGGGAGAAGGCCCAGCCCAAAGTCCCGGAGGAGCAGCCTTTCGACGGCCCGGCCCGGCCGGCGGGAAAGACCACCCGGCGCCAGCAGAGCGAGGAGGAGATGGAGAAGAGGGCCAAGACCCGCGGGTGCAACGTAGACCGCGGGTTCTCGAAGCAACCCAAGAAAGGGGCAACGTTTCAATTGAATTGGTTCCTCTTATCCCAAAATGGGGTAGCACCAAACACGTCCCTTGCGACAATTGTACGATTGGAGCTTCACCAAAGATATAGAGCAAAATCAATCATGATCCTTTGCCACGTTTGGGGAAAGCTGCTTTGCATCGCCACTTTCTGCCATACCAGGCCTGCAACTATAAAGTGAACTGTTGTTGCAGGGCCCCGCTCGGTATCATCTATTTTCCACAATCATGTCCTTTGCTCTTGTGTTGGCCGGACTATCCTTTGAAGCCAACTCACACTGGTAGAAAAACGGTGATTTCCTCCCCAATGTCACCAGTAGCAACAACACAAGCACCACTAGCTTTCACCTTGATGTCCCCAATCACCCAAAGCAAAACACGGACATCAGAAATGGAGCCACTCAGGATCGACAAGATCACGGACCTTTGCAACCAGCTCTTGGCAGCTTGGCCGGAGTCTTGATAGGTGGTGACCCGCGGCTGTGAGGCAGGTCCATCCCTACAGGCATGGAGGGACCCCAGCATGGCGGAATTGCTTTGGGTCCCTTGGAACAAATCTAAAAGGGATTCTCAATTTGTGAAGGGTACCATTTGTGGGGGCGGGCCTAGGGAAACCAAAAGGAATCTACTCATTCCAGAGGAGCACTTGGAGACAAGCACAAATCGGTATTCTCGAAATATGGGTGAATTGTTGATTTCCTTTTGACGCCCTTTGAATACCAACCTGGGGGGTGGTGGGCAGGATGGCAGCCGGGCCGCTTCGGCCGAAATGGGGACATGATTGGCCTTGGTGCCTGTGCCATTCAAAGGCAAAAAGCAAAAGCCGTACCGCAAAGCACGATCTCAGAAAGTTGAAGGTCCTGAAGCCGGAGAAGCGAGTGAAGGACTTTTTGTGACATCAGTTTTTGATCGTGCCATATTGGTGTGCCTTTTTTGAGGGTACCTGCTTGGGTTCTTTTCAAGGAAAGCGCTCCCTAAAGACAAAACGTCCAAAACCTGAAGCATCCCGAAGCAACGGACCATGATTGTGAGCCAGAGCGATTAAATGATAAATGGGTCCGAACGTCACCCAGGACATGTCACCTCAAAACATTCGGGTATGTGCCGTAAGTGGCTTTGCCTTTGGTTCCCTCTAAGAACAACCCGAGTGCACCCTCAAACGCCCCAAAATTCAAAAATATGATGTTGTTATCGTTATAGGTTCCCAATATTGAGACAGACCACGTGTTACATGTTCCACAAGGAGAGGGGTGTGCTGGTCTACGACTCCACGCGGGAGTTGCTGGCCATTGACGTGCGCCAACGCAAGGGCGAGAAGCTCCAGGAGGCGAAGTGAGGGTTATTTTAAGGCCTGGGCTTAGGGCGTATCCAAGGATAGCTGTCCCCATAGCCCCTTACACATCCTTACGTGTCCATGATTGGTTCATTTGGGCTAGGCTGAATTCCTGCTCTTTGCTCGTTTTCCTGAGGAATATCTGATTGTTTCGGGGGAAACGCCTGGGTCTCCCTCCATTCCCGCCGAAGAACGTGCTTTTTGGGAGCCCTCGGAAAAGCTGGGCAGCCGGTGGTCCGGGGCACCCCGGTTATCGCACCAATAAATATGTAAAAGCGACACGTACCACTTTTGCGCCGGGAAAAGGAACAGACAACCATACATTTTGATAAGCAGGTGCTTACAGTCCAATCAGACTGCAGATCTATTCATAGACTTTGTTTAACTTTAGTTTAAACAACTTTACTAGTTTCCTGCTGATACATATGTTGCCCAAGCCTGTTTTGCCCAACCCTGCTTCCTTCCAAAAATGCAGGCCCTTTTTTGTGGATGGGCAAATGGTGGATGTAGCGGCTCCTTCATGTTTCCCACCATTGGTCCACCGGACAAATCGGGACAACGCTGGGGCAATCCTTGGCACGGGGGGGCAATCGAGTAGCTCAAACACGTTCGGCTCTGGATCCGGACTCCTCCCCCCCCGAAGGTGGCCGAGATCCACAAACAATTTGAACCTCCAGCAAAGTGCAACAGCAGCTGCTTGGAAGCCAGTTTCATTGGAACGACTGTTGTGTTGGGGGTTCGTTGAACCCCAGTTTCGTTGGCCAGGGTTGCCTTGATAATTAATCCATTTTGGCCATGTTGAAAATCATTTTTCTAGCTGATGTAGAGGATCATCTTGCGAAGCAAGTGACTGGGTGATTTATGCTTTGTAACAGCCTGTTGGCAGCAACTCAATCGACTGACACCCAAACTTTGAGACAGACCGTGCTAATGTTAACCTCTGATTTCCACCCTGTGAATGCATTTTCGAGGTTGGCTCATCCGGGTTTTCCCGTCAATTCACATTGCAGGCCGACGCCGGCTCTGCGTGCGCTGCGGCGGCGACTCCCGAGAAGCGGCCGGCGGATGCGGCGGTGCAGTACACCAACAAGCGCTTCAAGGCGATCCGAGTCGAAAACAGGCGGCGATGCCCGCCATTTGTGGAAATTAGGAGTCGACTAGCGAGCCATGAAACATGCTGGTCCTGGACGGGATTTGATTCTTAGTTCAGGTTTTGAGTTTGTAAAATTGCAGGTGGGTTGTTTTGGGATGTGGATGGACGTGGCACTTTTGTTGAGGGTAGTTTTCTGGGCTGGTGCGCCCAAGTGTGTTTCGGCAACAGCCAGCGGCTATGTGGGAGGTGGACATGATTTAACACTTTTCGAGAAGGTTCCCATCATAGTTCGGTTCAAACTCATAGCCAAACAAATTGCGCACAACATCTGCCAGCTCACCATGATGTAGACCCTTCACTTGGGAATCTCTTTCTTTCAGGTGTTGGGATTTGTAAAGTTTGCAGAAGACGTCCTGGGCTTCGCCTGAGGCGGCTGAGGGTGAACCAAAAGCGGTGGTGGAGGCTGCCGCTTCGACTCCTTCCGCGCCTTCGGCGCCGGCTCTGCTGTGGCAATTCAGATGGGGTCACAACCTGCAGGAGGTGACATTGCCGGACTTGGAGCTCCTTTTCAACTTTTTTTTGCTTCTTTTCGGTATTCCTTTAAGGTTCGTCTGATTTCCATGATTTTCCCTCACTTTGTCTTGTTCCCTTCATTGTTTCTGAAGCTTCTGTGTGCATTTCCCATCATTTCCCTATCAGCTAGTTGACTTCTTGCAGGGGTCGGATTCGTTTGACCCAGGTGAACGGGCCCTTCGACTCGGTGACAATGCAGGGCTGGGTCACGCAGGGCTGCTTTTCTGAGGACAGGAAGGCAGAAGTACGGCAGTGCAACGAGAGGAATGAAGCGCAGGAAAGATGCTGGCACCCCATGGAGAAGATCGACTTTGAGCTGTACATATAGCGTTAGGACATCATTTTGTACAGGAGTGGGAAATCGCCGCGGGTCAAGTCAGGCAAATCCTGCCGTCACTCGATGTTAGCACCTGAACTGACAGGCCAGGTGTGTCGGACTCTTGCGATGGCCCTTAGCCAGGCCCCTAGAAAGCGTTGCCCGGGCCCTTGTCCACATGCCCACAGGAGTGGCAAAGTTGGAAAAGGGGCCATGCCGCAAAGCACAGCGGGCTTCCGCGCGGATGCAAAAGTTCAGCCGCCTTGGGGAGAAAGATGCAGCTGCTGGCCCTTGAGTTGAAGGTATGCCGAGAGTCGGCTGATGCCCCGAACCCTTCAGACCTTGTTTGGAGTGCCAAATGGATCATCATGTATCATATCAATTTCCCGAGAAAGGTGATGGGCATGTTGTAATTGTAATTTAGGGCTTATTCAGCCCAGCCCCTTTCACTCCGGCACAGTGCAAAGGGAAAGCTGAAAGGAACTTGCCCACACGTTTTGGCCCGGCACGCGTGCGCTTTTCGAGCGCTGCGCAGGGTAACACAGGGGTTTGCGGAGCCTGTTTGAAAGTTCGACGATGCTCACAATGTGGGTGTGCTGTTATGACGCTTCTCCCGAGCGGCTTTCCAAGGATCAACACAGGAATCCCCGCTTGTTTTTCTTCTTTTGGGGTCATCTGCAAAACGGATACATATGTATACGGACACATACATATAAGTACAAACACCCCCGCATAAAAAGACAGCAAGATGTGCACGGTGCCTGGAGGAATTCCTTCCGGTTTCCGATCGATCGATCAAGGCGGGCCTGGAACAGTCCTGGAACAGTGGCTCAGCTTTTAACCGGAATGGATCCAGCGTTTTGGTTTGTCCCAAGTGTAAAGGAGGCACAATGAAGACCGATTCGGGCAGGCGACAGAAAGAAACAGACAGTCACGAGAGAGAGAGAGAGAACCAACAATAGGTGCGGATATCCCGCCCTTTTCTAGTCTTTTCTTGGTTTTGGGTGCAGCCCCCTAGTACCAGGTTTCGATTGCGACTTCGATGGCGAACCCCATCTCTACCAGAGCCACTGGGCAATGGGGAGGTTCATCCCGGCCAGGCCGCAGCCCAACTTTGCTTGGAGGAAAAAGCGTGCGCGACGGGTCGGCGGCCTTCCCAAGAAAATCTGAGCCTGAACTCCTGGCACAGGCGGGCAGTCAACTTAAGGCCACGGCCGGACAGGTCCTCCTTTTCAATGCGCTCCTCTCAATACAAGGGTCCAGCCATGTCCAGCTTGGAAATGTGCGACAGCTTTACCAACAGCAGTAGCTATGCGGTCCCAGCCTATCCTGGGCTTTGGGCGGTTTCGGGTCAAGTTCTCGAAGGGAGGCTTGCCGGGAGGCTTTGCTGTTAGGTCTTCTCCTTGGTCTCCTTTACCATTTGTTGTTGGCGTTGATTTGCCTGACTAACCGACACAAAGCTCAACTTTTTTCCCGCAGGGTTTCAACCTTATAAGTTACATACACACACATATATTATACACATACACATATGCTGTAGATATGCCCTCTTGGAAATCGCCAGCTTTTTGTCTTCTGATTCGCCCTGCAAAGGGATTTTTTCTTCGTGCCGGCGGGAGGTGGATGACGCCGAGCTGCAGGGTGATGAAGGCCAAGCTTCGAACAGACGAGTGAGACAGCTGACCTCCCAGTTGTGAATCCTCACATGTGTGTGTGTGTGTGTGTGTGGGTGTGTGTCTGTGAAACCAAACGCCAAAGAACATATGTTTGGCGGCTCCTTATGTTGACACATGCCCTGTTGACGTTTCTGAGCAAGTTGAGCTTCTATTTTGAGCGCTCTTGGCTCGCTCAGTCATTGCCCCCTAACATGAGTGGATTCCTTTCGTCTTCTTTGACACACGTGGCCTTTGCGAGTCTTCTACGCTTCTGATGCAGTTCCGCCGTCCAGTTAGTCACGCGTTTCTAGGGTTGGGCGAGTTCAGTTTGCAGAACCCCCACCCCTTGGCCTCCTTAGGGACATCAAGCAGAGGTTGCCTTAACAATCGTGGCTTTCTGCGAACTCATGTTCACACGTGCCATGGTCAGAACGTCCTTCAATATGGGGCCTTGAGGGATGCTCGTCAACCCCTGAAAGTCCCTGAATTCAAAGGAGTCTTAGCGCGGATTGTAAAAGGGGCAGTGCTTCCAAGAGAGCGTTGTCCACACTGGTGTTGCTTCAAGGGGACACTGTGGATGGACAACATCCCGCACTAGATGAGAATCGGTGGTTTATCCCACAGAGGTTTCATCCATCCCAGCAGGTGCACTGTCCATGACCTCGTGGAAACCACCGATTTTGAGGAGTTGTCCCAGGTGTCCCATGACATGTTTGGCAGCGGCACATGTTTGCGTGCGGCGCAGAGCGGAGGCTCGGGAGGCTCGCATACGATGAGCAACAAAAGCTCGCTTGGTGCCGGGGTGAACGCGGAGGTTCCTGACGAGGCGGGAGGGGACAAGCTTCAGGATCAACTATACAACAAGGAATCGAGAGATGGCGGGGGTACTTACACCTGGAAGTTCATCTATGGCTCCATGTTTGATGTTTGCTTTGAGGGGAGGGAGGCTGGTCAACTGGAACTGGGAAACCATTCATCGCCCCTTCATGTTTGAGGTGGGCGTGGATGCGCTAGGTTGGTCGGCACTGTTGTAGAGGCTCACGGGCATGTAGAAGGATATATACATATATATATTATATAAATGGAAAGCAAGCCGTTTTAGTTTCTTCTTTATCCATTTGACGCAAAGGGAAACCCAACTTGTGACACCAATTTCGAAACAAACATAACACAAAACTACTGGAGCAAAATGACCCTCCATCAAATGGAGCTCCATTTTGAGAGCCCCCCTCCCGCGTCGTTTCTCCGCGCCTGGAGGCAGGGGAGGACCCCAGCTTGCAGCACCTGCGCCGCGCCGCGAGGCGGCTGCGCCACGTGGCGCGACAGCCCAGCCGCCAGCCGGTGGGGCCCGGTGTGCTTTTTGGTTTCGGGGCCTGGTAGTTTTTTTTGGGGTTGGGAGGGGGGAGGGGGGTTACCCTTGATTTCCGAAGCGTACAGAAGCCCTAAATGAAGCATGCGTGTGTGTGTGTGAAATTTTGTTTTTGGTGGACGGTTTCGATTGGATCATGGATAAGCTGTTTGGTTTCAATGGCCGTGTCCACAGCTTGCAAAAGGTTTATTGGCATGTTTTGTAGTAGGAACGACTGAGGTTCATCACCAATGTCAACTCGGCTTGGATATTTCATTGGATTGCAAGGCGAGTGGGCAAAATCTACACAGCCGCGCCCAAGGCCATGCCATTGCAATCACTTGCTTAATAATATGTTGTTTATTGCCCCTGTTGGTGTTGAAGGGTTGAGGCCACGTCGAGAAGCTTTCCAGGAATCAACTTGGCAGCGTTGGCAAGTTTGATTGCGGGTGTCCGCTGGTAGACCTGAGGTGTGGAGTATTGGTCCCGACTAAAAGTGTCAGTTTGCGAGTCATGGCGCTTGTAGCTTGTTCCGCCTCAGGAAGCTCGGCTTCGTATTGACCGAATTTCCTGTTTGGTTTTGGGATCTGGTTGAGGTTGGATCAGGTACTTCGCTGCCTTCAATGAGCTGCGGTGCTTGCAGGATCAAGGTAGCAGAGTAGCTGGGGGAGGGGCGGAAGGCCGCCGAAGGGCCGGCGGGGTGGAATGGCGGCTGCCAGCCGGGATCCAGGACCTAATTCACCGGGCCACCGAATGTCCGTTTTGCTTAAGGATATTTGTTATCCAGGGGGCTTGCGGGAATAGGAGCAAAAGCCAGCCCCCAGGCGGCGCTAGGTCACAGGCTCCAAGGTCAGGGTTTCGATTGCAGGAAGCTCCCTGAATCCCTTCTTCCGCGCTGTCAGCCGCTTCCGGCAGAGAAGATGGGACGCTGGGCCAAGTTTTGCATGGTAATGTTTCGAGATCTATGTGTGCTTGTCTTTTAGAACAAAAGCCAAAAGAAGTGCTAGTCCCCCTATTTTCACATATTCACCTGTTCGCATTCTTCTAAACATGGGGTCGGTCTCAGAACAGGGAAAGCATCCAGACAGATGGATCCTCTTCGGTATCCTTTTGGCCAACCCAACAGGTGGTACCCTCTTTCCTGCTTTCTAGCTTTCCGCTCCACCACTTCCTTGCCCCCTTTCATGAGTTTGTGCTTGTTTGAGGAAAAGAAAGCAACCGAAACTCTCAAACCCATGGCTGGCCCACAGAAAAATCGTTTTTTGATCCTCTCCGTTTTGTTTTGCCGAGGACGAGTGCATCGACCTTTGCACGGAGCTTCTAGAGCAGCCGCCCGGAGCTTCTAGAGCAGCCGCGTACAAAACGGCCAGTCCACAAATCGTTCTATGGGATTGGAGCGATTCCACTTTTCTTGGATAAAAACGGGGGATTTCTGCAACCCAAGGGTCCAGAAAACTGATGCAGTGGCAGTTTGGAGGCTCGAGCCTCTGCCAGTCGAGATGGAGCGAGAGAGTCCAGAAAGCTTGGGGATCCAATCTGCGGGAAATGCCCCAGAGGAGTTTGCAGGCTTTGGGGGGCTCCAATCACCATGAAATTGGTGGGTTCTTTGGTTCTTTCTGAAACGGTCATCTCTTTCCTGGGGTCTACGTTTTTACAGGTTCTTGGGTCTTCAGCTAGGTTTGCTCAGCTTTGCCTTTCCCCGGCAGCTGGGCCGTCCGAGGAACCCGCGTGACCAGGCGGCCTGGTTCCTGAAATGCCGCGCGCTAACCTCGAAGCAGTGGATCGACGACGTGGAGATGCTTGGCGCTTATATATAGCGGGATCCCCGGACCGCGGAGCGAAACCACCCCTGGTTGATTTTCAGGGAAAAGGACAGGGACGGAACAGAATCCTGTGCCAGTTATTAAATGGTTTTCCCGAGCAACGACGCAGGAATTTCCCATTCACAATGCTGTCAGAGACCCGCCGAAGAAGATGTGGTTGGAAAGTGTTTTTTGGATCCACAGACTGGGGGATTTGAAAAAATGTGCCTATCTAAAAGTGTAGATTTCCTTGCTCCACAACAGGTGTTATAAGGACACGGTCGAAGACTCGCAGATATGCACTTGGCTGCATATTTCATGGGTTTTGAGCTCGCCGCCGATTCGGGTGCACTGGAGGTGTTTTGAACGGGGGAAATCTTATCTTATTTCACACCCCCAAAAAGATGCCAACGGCGCCCCTCTCGAAAGATCCTAAACCAACCACGGGGAACCCTGAACACAGGATTCATTGCCCGAAACTTTGTGAGACTTAGACTCCTGTAATAGTTTGCTTGTTTGCCTCCTGCATTGCAATGGTCCGCTGCGTAGCCAGCTAAAAACGAACTACGAGCGGGAGAAGTGAGAAGATTCAAGGGCAAAGCTAGACAAGTTTCGCTAAACTTGGCAATACCGACTTGTCCAAGACCAAGCTTTCAAATTGTTGGACTTTTATTGTCTTCGTTTGCCGCTTGGTTGAACTCCGGCTTGCCGGGTTTATATCAAAATTTGTCTAATTTCCCAGCCCCAAGTCCATGTTTCTTTCCCCTTCCCCTTTCCGTTTCACGCAAAAACGTCCAAACCTCCGACGCCTTCCTCTGTGGCCCTCGGCATGGAAAGGATCGACGAGGAGGGCGTGGCGGATCTGCTGCTGGACGAGAACGCGGTGGCGCAGGCGCCGAGGCCAGGAACCTCGCTGAACCGCCCACTGACGCGGGCGCCTCGAACGGGGGGATAGTCGGATCGTTTTTGTTGTGTTTCTTCATTGGGCATCGTCATGCTTTAAGCATGTGGATGTATATAAATAGGTATATTTATTTTATACATGTTTGTTTTTTGTAAATGCATATATGTACTTATTTATTTATGTGACATCTTAATTTGAGGTTCGATTTCAACGGGATCCGTCACGGCAACAAAACGCCAAACAAGGTTGCCCCGCAAAATTCTGTTGGGAAAGGCACCCCCTTTTTGGGTAGCCGCCCACACGGCCCCCCACCTCGCCACCCAAATCCTGTCAGGGGTCTGCTTTCTGAGATATGGAGGCTCCTTTAAAGTGGCAAAGCCGTAAGGATGCCCACACTGGTATCTCAGGACGGGTGCTCCCCTGAACCATGTTTTGAGGAGCCAACTTGCTTGCTCTCAAGGAATGGGCGAATCATGAACCATCCAACTGGTTTCCTTTGGCCCTTCCGGTTCACTGCACAAGGGGAAGAAAACATGGGAAAGGCCAATTCAAAAGCCTTGATTCCTGAGCACGAGCCGAGGACACGGGGGGCGGGCCCACCCAAGTGGTGCGCCCAGTCTCGGCCAGCGGCCGGCCCTTGACCGGCTTCGCGCGCCCGGGCACCAACCGGCCTGGCAGCTCCTCAGCGGGCCGGGATATTACTACGGCCATGCAGGGCAACCGACCCGGCACCTCCAGGCCGGCTAGAAGGGCCCTTGAAAGGATGCAACGCTTTGGGCCCAAAGGACCTCCAGTCCCTATTCTTTCTTCGGGAGGTGATACCTCTTGAAGTCTTTTTCTCAGTTTGTGTGTGTGTGTGTGTGTGTGCGTGTGTTTGTTGGAGTCGATGCTTTTTCAAGGGCGACGTTAGATAGAGGAGTTTTTAAAACTAGATCACGGGACACCACCGCTGACAAGTTCCATTTTTTCCCCCGAAAGCATCGCGAAGGGTTCTTCCGTGCGGATCCCTTGGACAAGTTACATAGAGCCAAGTTGCACAGAGCCAAGTTGCACAGAGCCAAGTGGCACAGAGCCAAGTTGCACAGAGCCAAGTTGCACAGAGCCAAGTGGCACAGAGCCAAGTGGCACAGAGCCAAGTTGCACAGAGCCAAGTGGCACAGAGCCAAGTTGCATTGCATTGCACAGAGCCAAGTTGCACAGAGCCAAGTGGCACAGAGCCAAGTGGCGCAGAGCCAAGTGGTCCAGAGCCAAGTGGCACAGAGCCAAGGTTAGGCAGAGCTTGCGTAGAGCTTCGGCGTAAGCAGCTATGAGGTTTCTAAGGCGCCGGGGTGGGAGTTTGATGGTCGGATTGCGAACCTCTGCGGGGATCCGCGTGGTCTGCGCGCGACCCTCTGCGGAGATCCGCGTGGTCGAGGTTAGAAAGCTGAGGACTTTGTACCATTCTTGCAAGCCGCACGCGACCCTCTGCGGAGATCCGCATGGTCGATGTCAAAAAACTGAGGACATTTTACGTCTCAGCGAGCCCTTACTTTGCGGAGATCGAACCTTGCTCGCGAAATGGCCTTTGGAAGTTGTCTCGTGGCTTGCGCGCCTGCTTTCGCTCGCGCGGTCGCGGGTTCGATTCCCCCAGCTGCAGCTGGAAAATCGCAACTTTTAAGTATGAAAGTAGTGGGCGAAGTACACTTTCGCAGGTAGTACGCGAAGTAATCTTCCGCAGCGCCGGCGCAGCATTTGAGCGCGAAGTACACTTTCGCAGCTCCGGCTGGAAAATCGCAACTTTTAAGTACGAAAGTTGTACGTGAAGTGCACTTCCGCAGCTCCGGCTGGAAAGTCGCAACTTTTCAGTACCAAAGTAGCACGCAAAGTAAACTCGCAGAAAATTGCAACTTTTAAGTGCGAAAGTAGTACACGAAGTACACTTGCGCAGCTCCGGCTGGAAAATCGCAACTTTAAAGTTCGAAAGCATTACGCGACATAAACTTTTGCAGCTCCGGCTAAGTACGAAAGTAGTACGCGAAGTAAACTTTCGCAGCTCCGGCTGGAAAATCGCAACTTTTAAGTACGAAAGTGTTTCGCGAAAAGAGGAAACTTGTTCAGAGCAACTTGCTGAGAGAACTTGCTTGGAGAACTTGCTTAGAGGAAATCGCGCCGACAACTTGCTCAGCAACTTGCACAGAGAACTTGCTTGGAGAACTTGCTCAGAGGAAATCGCGCCGACAACTTGCTCAGAGCAACTTGCACAGAGAACTTGCTTGGAGAACTTGCTCAGAGGAACTCGCGCCAACAACTTGCTCAGATGCGCAACTGCACGGAGAACTAGGATTGCTAGGAGAGCTTGCCGCCGCTGCCAATGCTTTCGGGCCACCCATCTTCTAGTTGGCCAATCCGAAGTCTCAACTGAGCGTATTGACTTTTTTTTGCTGTTGTTTCCCTTTCTGTTCCTGGGAAGTCCAGCGGTTTTTGCCTCCTGTGAGCTTCTTCGCCCTGCCCCATTAGACAAGAATAGGAAAGGAGGGGTCAACAAAAAGAGTGGGGGTCATCTTGTGGCCTGGAGAAGATGCCCGAACCGTGGGGCCCAAAACCCAGCACCCAGCCGAGCCCTCTGGGAATCAACACATGTTCCGCCACAGGGGCGCTTGGATTTCGAGAGATGTGCGGCCCTTACATGTCATCCCTTTTTGCCTTGCCAAGTTGCCACTTTCACTGCGATTTAGGCACGGTTCGTGAGATGGTGGATTTTTCCATAGCTGAATTGATGTCAAAAGACACAAGAAAACAATAATAATCATAACACACATGTTCATAACAAGAATAATAATAAGAAGAAGAATAATCAGAATAAGAATGAGAATAAGAAGAATATGAATAATAACAAACACAGCCAGATCTTGGGGGGATCGAGCCGCCCGCAGGCCTTTGACCTCGATGGGCCGGCTCATCCGCCTCGGCACTGCCTCCATGCAGCAGGCGGATGTTGGGCAGCCCGAAACGCGCACTGGGCGCGGGAGATCTCCGGGTTGAGCTTTTTGCTTACCTTTTGCGGTTGGAAGACTTGAAGAATTGGATTGGGTGGACCAGGTGAAGGGATTGGGGGATAGTGGAATTGGGGGTGTGGCGTGGGGTGTTGCCAAGAAGGCCGCGGGTTAGCAGGAACCCAAAAGGGGACAAAAACCTGCTTGACAATTTGGCCATATTTGGCCCCTGTTTTCAACCCATCCGTTTTGTATGGAATGAATCGGACTTACGGGACCCTGTAAAGCCTCCCTTATGGGCGGCTTTTTCACCCATGGCCGCAGGATGGCGGGGAATTCGTGCGCCTGGAGTCCCTAGACTTGCAAAAGTATGCGCAGAGACCTGCCATCGCCAAGGCGCTGTGCGACTACATGCGCCTGGCTGCAAGGAAATTCGCGGCGCTCCAAATCCAAAGGCCCCCTCCCTTTAGTTTACAATATGATGTCAACCCCTGTCTCACTCCTTGATTTCCTGGACTTCATAGTGGCGTTTGGAAAGACAGTTCCAGTGGCAAGCCAAAAGTTCGGACTTGTCGTTGTCAGGCGGTGCAGGAAGCGATATGAAGTTGTTTTTGTTGCCAAGGCCCATGAGCAAGGCCGGCGAGGTTTTTGGTTTCATGATTTACGCATCATGTTGGTTTTGGTGGCTGCGGTGATCGGCTCAAGTCATTGTCCTCAAGCGCCATGGCACATCCCGAGGGTGCTCCAGCCTTCCTTGCGCCCGGCCACTTCCGCCCGCTCGGGAAGCCGACAGGTGCGCCCGCCGCAGCCGCTTCCGCGAAAGCCGCGCCCTCCGCAGACCACGCGGGGACTAGATCGATGTTCCTCCTGGGCGCAGGTGCGGCTGCGTCGGCCGCCTGCCGCCGCGCCGGCCGCGCCGCCCGCGCCGCTGGCTCCGCTTCTCGCGCGCTGAAAGGCGGCACCGCGCGCCTGGCCCAGGCGCGGCAGTCCTCGACTGCGCTGCGCGCGCAGGAAGCGACTGGCAAGGAGCGCGTGGCAATGCAGGCCACTGCCACCGTTGAGGCGCCGGCTCGGACGTATGAGGTCGGAGACAAGGTGCATGGCTGGACTTGTGTGAGGGAAGAGTATGTGAAGGAGTTCAGCTGCACTGGGTACCTCTTCCAGCACGACAAGACGGGGGCGGAACTCTTGTCCATGGTGCAGCCAGCGGACGAGAACAAGACCTTCAGTGTGGTTTTCCGCACTCCTCCTGAGAACTCGAATGGCATTGCCCATGTTTCCTTGCCAGACTAAACTTGCCCTTTTCAGACATTTCTGTTTTGCCTTTTGGTGTTCCGTTTTCATCTTAAAAAAAGGAAAGCTTCACTTTCTGCCGGCCCAAAACAGTACCCCCTCGTCGTTTGGGCCGGCAGCTCAGGTTTTGGAGCACTCGGTGCTGTGCGGCAGCCGGAAGTATCCGCTGAAGGAGCCCTTCGTGGAGCTGATGAAGTCCAGCCTGCAGACCTTCCTGAACGCCATGACCTTCCCCGACCGCACCTGCCACGCGGCATAAGAGACCGAAGCGACCGGGTCGGAGCGTCTCAACCGGCTTTGCCGGTGAAGCATTCCAAATTCCAAGAGATCGGCTTTGATCGGAGCTTTTTTCGGCTTTCCTGGGTCCAGTAGTGAAAGATGGCCGTTTGCTGAAAAATGATCGCCTTTCTCTGCACGTCAGGCTACCCGGTGGCCAGTTGCAACCTGAAGGACCTGGGGCTTTGGGGCTTTGGGTTCAAGGGGATCGGCCTGTGGCCTGCAAAGCCGAAGATGGTGTCCACCCCGGGGCTCAGGGGTTTAAGGGATATACAACCACTCCCTATGGAAAACCGGCGTCCACCCTACCCCACCGAACCCTCAGTCACGTTCAATGCTGGGTCAAGGGGGGGGGGGGTAAGGCTTGACCCATTTTCCCGGAGGACTTCTACAACCTCATCGACGTGTACCTGGACGCTGTCTTCCACCCCCGAGCTGTGGACGATCCTATGGTGTTGGCGCAGGAGGGTTGGCACTACGAGGCCCGCTGGTGAGGAAATGGATGTGCGCATTTTTTGGAGGGTACCGTTTTTGGGGTGGCTTTAAATTGAAACCAGAAAGAAACCAAAGGTGGGTTCGAACCTCGATTTTGTCACATCCAAGTATCCCTTTTGTCCCTTTGGAGGGGTTCCCTTGAGAGTCTATGGCCATGAGGTTTTTGGATGGGAAGCCCACCAGCAAGCATCTCATTTGTTAAAACCCGACCGTTTGACCTTTAGGTTTCCCTATTTCCATATTTCGTCGAGGGATCTCCATCTTTCATTTCTGGGTCCAAACAGGGGGCAACTGAGACAAATGGCTGTGGGTCAAAACAAATGGTCCATTGTGGGGTAGGCGCGCTACCCATTTTAGTCCATTTTAGTAGGGATTTGGATGTTCACTGAAGGTATGGGATTTTGACCCACGGCCAAATATAGAACCAGGCAGTTTGTTGAACTCCGCAGGTGGAGAAGCCAGAGGAGCCTTTGAAGTACAAGGGCGTGGTCTTCAATGAGATGAAGGGTGTCTACTCGAACCATGGCCAGTCTGAGCTTGTCTTTAAAAATGCACTGTGGGGCCCAACAAATGGCTGATCTCCTTTCAGCTCCTCTTTTTGTGGACCACCCTAAAAATGGAACCCTCAAAGAAGACACAGTTCACCCCCTGTAGCTCGGTTGAAGGATTGTTCTATTATTCTTCCCTTGCAGCCAAGAACTGTTCGCGTGTTGCAGGGGCCCAGTCGTAGTTTGCATTTGTTTGCCTTTCATTTCCGATGGACCAGTTTGGATGCTGCGAATCTGTGATTCCACCCAAAGATATTAGACGACTACTAAAAGAGTGCAAAAGAAGCACCAACAGGGTGAAGAACATGCAGGCCCTCAAAGAAATAGAAACAGTTGACACGCGTGTGTTTGGTATGAGTTGTTGCCCTTTTTAGCTTGCCGGCATTTGGTGGTGCAGGGTATGGTCCGAACTTTATCCAAACTGATTTCTGAAAGCAGGGTCCTTTAAAGCCTAACTAGAAAGCATACGCTTTGGCCAGCTCAACAACCACATTTACCAGAGCTGCTTCAACGAGTTTCTACACGTCGGGGTGCTTTTTTCAGGGTCGCCTTGTGCGTTGGCGCCATTCTTTCTGTCCAGGAACCCGGATGCGGCCCACGGTCGCCTTGCCAACCAGTCCATGTTCCCCGACAACCAGTACGGGGTGGACAGCGGGGGAGACCCCAAGGTGATCCCCAGCTTGGACTTCGAGTACTTCAAGGACATGACTCGACTTCTGTTTCTTCACGTTTTCGGGCGAGGAAACAAATGGAGCTGTTTTGGACCACGTTAAAGCGAACATTCCGTTTGGTTCGGTGTCTAAGGGATATGTATACCCTTTTGAAGGTGAGCAACAACATGGACCAACTTAACTGAACTGAGCAACTTATAACGAGCTCACGGGGGATTTGCTTGCAAGCAGCAAGCTATGGACATTTGGGGAGGGGGGCCAATACGTGCCCTGGGGCGGGGGGTAGGACTTCCACAGCAAGTACTACCACCCCAGCAACGCCAAGTTCTGGTTCTACGGGGACGATTCCCCTGACGTGCGCCTGGAGTTGGTGGACAAGTACCTCTCGGATTTCGAGAAGATCGAGGTTGCATTGCCAAACTTAGCTTCGCTGTTCTTTGCTGGTTGTTTTGTCCTGTTTATTTTCAGTGCGCTGCAAAGAACTACCATTGCAGTATTTGGGTGGTCCCTCAAGGAAAAGCTGAAAGGAGTTTCAAGGGGGTCAAACGGTTTAAGCAAGAACCCCGGGCCCTGCCTTTGGGTTTCCTTGTTTCCGTTGCAACCGGCAACAAGTTCAAACTTTTTCGGGTGCAACCAGATGCAACCGGAGGTCAGTTCCACCATTGACAAGCAGCCGCTGTTCAAGGAGCCCAGGAAGGTCGGGTTTTCGCACCAAACCACAGAGTTGACCAACACCAAGGTGACTCGAACCTTGGGTTGGTTTGTTGAGTGGTGTGTTGTCTTGGTTTAGTCGTTGGGTCGAGTTGTTGTTCCTCTTGGTTTAGTGATGTCTGGACTCAACATGTTGGTAGTTTTTAAGACCCTGGGTTTTTTAGGGTTGGGGTTCCTTTGGGCTCGTCTTTGTTTTCAGGGTGATACTGTCTTACGAAATTAGGAGGACATCGTTTGTTGGGTCTCCCTCTGCTGTCCCACGTCCCCTTTACTCCAAATCTAAAGTTAGGCGTTGTTTTTTTTTACAGGTTGCTTTTTTTGGTGGGGTGGTGGGGTGGGGGGTGGGGGAGGGTTGGGTTGAAAGGAGCACCAGCCGGACAACCGGGGCCATGTTGGCGGCTCCGAAAAAGAAACACCCATCGGCCCGGAAGGTCGTGGATGAATTTGCCGTGGGCGAGGACGAGGATATTTCCAAGAAAACCATGCTGTCGGTGAACTGGGTGATCTCAGAGGCTGGTTGAAATACGAAATGGCAACCATGTGGGGAGTGTCTTTGTAGAGAGGCCTTCTTTTGGCGTGGTTTTGAAGGCACACAAGGAAATCACCAACTTTGAGGCCGATCTTAAGGCAAACCATATATGGGTCTGTCTCAAAATAGCGATTCGCCCCCCCCCCCTCCCCCGGCCCCTTAGTTGGTAAAAGGGAAGCCAAAAGGAAACCATCTGCTTTAGGGGTGACAAGCACCAGGCTTGTCTGGCTCTTGGCCTGTTTCGGACTAAATGTATAATATGTATACATATATATATATACATACAACCTTTTATTTGACTATTTGTTTTGCCAACTCGCTGTAAATCTAGCACAGCAAAAGGGGATGGATAGATTAGCAAAACAAGCTAATGGCTCCCAAAGGGATGGATAGTCCTTCAACTTTTCGAGATCAAGCCACGAGGGCAAGGACGACTTGAAGACGGCCCTGGCGCTTCAATTCTTGAACTACCTTATGATGGGCACCGCCGCGTCTCCTCTCTACAAGGCGAAGTTCTCGGGTTTGACAGGTGTTTGTGGCCTCAGCCCCTTAGACCTTTTTTGGACACAAATGCATTTATTGACTTTTCCCTCAGGAGCAACCCAGCTATAAAAGTCAACCTAAAACCCCCCATTTCCCCCTGCTTACGAAAGCATCCCTAGGCTTCCTGAGAAAAGCACAACTCCAGACCAACTACTCTTGGACATTTGGCAGGGATACGTCAAATCCCGGTAAAATCAGGAGCTAGCGAGTCCATGATCAGAGGACTTGGCCCAGCAAAAGGGTTCCTTACATATCCCCATAAACCAACCCAAGCAAAGGGAGCTCATTTTAGAAAGGCCCAATAGGTGATGTTTAAATCGCTTAAGAAATTATGGCCATAGGGATGGGAATCCCACTTTGGTATCCCGTGCTTTACATCTTCCCTTTTGCAGGCTGCTTCACCCACTGCCAGTCATCGGGCGCTTTTGGCGTAGCTGATTCATGGACACACTCTAACACGCAGCAAACATGAGGATTTCCGCAGAAATCCCTGAAGCTGGCTTTCTAGTTTCTTCGTTGGTCTAGGGAGGTCCATCGGCCTGCCCGGAGATCTGACTGGGGATGCGAGCAACGTAGGTCCTTTACTTGCGGATCTCATGTTTCAGGTTATGGAAGCATGGCACAACTTGCAGGTCCATTTTCCGACAGACCCCATCTGGCCCACCCTTCCTTTTGACCCGGTGGGAAGCCCCAAACTCAAATGTGCAAGGCTGACATTGCTTGACGGGGATGGCTGGTACGCAGTGCCTCTTATAAAGAGGTGGCTTGTGCATCCTAGAAAGGCGGTGTGCCCTCAGAGGATTCGGGGATTTATCACGAGCGCGTCTGAAGGAGGCCCTTGGGAGTGCAAAAGGAGCCCTTACGAGGGGGGCTGAACCCCACATGATTTCTGGTTCCCGTGGGGCAAAACCACATTGCATGGAACTGGACCTGCAGCACCCTTCTCTTCCCCCTTTGGGTGCCCTATGTTTTTGCAAAAGCTAAACAATGACGTCAACAATAGGCTCGTGGTTTGAAGGACAAGGTCCCACACTTAGAGACTATTTAGCAGATGCAACCCGCTAGCGAGACCATAAACCAAAGGTTAAGCCAATCGCGCTCGTGGTTGGAACGACGCATGGTTCCCCCCCATGAACGCTTTAGAGTCAACTTTGCAGGCAGCCTCTTTGCAAACCGGGTAAACGACTCACCTTGCCCAAAGCCGACCTTTGGATGCTTGTTGGTCCATGTCTACTGGCCCCAAGAGACGATCAATTTTTACTGCTGTGTCTTTGGGGCAGCTGAGAAGAATTGCAACATCTGTCCATTGCACGTTACGAGGCCCTGGTGGACAGCGGCATGGGCTCCCGGGTCATCGGCGGGGGCTTGGACGATGGCATGCTGCAGGCAAGGCGAAAACATGTTTCAACAACCCTGGCCCAAAAAAAAAACAGACACGGTGAGCAGTAGAGATAGAAAGAGAAACGGAGGGAGGGAGAGAGACAGAGAGAGAGAGAGAGAGAGAGAGAGAGAGAGAAAGAGAGAGAGAGAGAGAGAGAGAGAGAGAGAGAGGGAGAGGGAGAGGGAGAAAGAGAGAGGGAGGCTGCTGAAAGAGTTTGGGGTAATTCTTGTTTCATCTTCCTTCAACCCTTTTCGCCTGATGTTTGGCTTAAACATGAGGACCAGGCCCAGACCTGAAAGGAAAAGGAGCGCTTAAACAGGCCGAAACCACAAGGGGTGGAACCGGAGGCCACCTTCAGCGTGGGCCTCAAGGACCTCAAAGAGGAGGCCGGCCTTCGGACCGGTCAGTGCCGTGGGTCTCGGTCGGGTAGGGGGCCGTAGCTGGGGAGACCGTTCGTGGGTGGCTTGTTTTGGCAATTTTGAGAAAGTTTGGCATGTGGTGTTGTGTTGCTCGGACAGGACGTGCCCAAGGTGGAGGAGCTGGTAATGAAGACCCTGGAGGCTGGCCGCGCTTGAGTGAAAGCTGTGGGGTCTTTGAGGGTTCCCAGGAGTTCCGGGCTGTTGGCGGCTACCGCCTGCGTTGTTTTGCAGATGAGCTCCTTGTGAGGTGATGTTTATATTGGTCCAATGGGCAGGCTGTGCACTTTCCGCTTCTGACCTTGCCTACAGGTTGGTAGCGTCAGGCATTCTCTTTGGCGGCTGAACTCACACCTGTGGAGAGACCAAATCCACACAAACCAGTTGGGATGGATGAACCCCCGCTTGCATACAGGAAACCACCTACCAGCTACAGTATGGGCGTGGTGCGTCCAAGCTCCCATAGAAAGCTCGCAGCGAGGAGTTGGCAGAGAAGGGCTTCGAAAGCGATGCCATCAAGGCAGGGGGCTTGGATAAGTGGCAAGTGTTTTCCGATGGCCGCAAGGGTTGTTCCCAAAAGGTCAATGATAAGGTCAATGATTTTATCTGAAAGCTCAATTTTTTGGCTGCCTCCTGCAATGGCTGTTCCTTTTGCGTGTGATGCAGTCGACTTTAACTATCCCATACTCGGCATTTCTGCAGCCTCTCGAGAGAGGGTTTTTAAAGATTTTAAAGAAAGCACCCTCGGATCTTCCTGAGATCTGGGGAGTTTGGATAGCCTGTTTTAACAACCGTTTTTGGAAGCCAAGGAGGGGGTGGAGACGGTCTTTTCTTTTAAATCCCTTCTATTTTTTTAGCACCGGGGGTGCCCTTTTCCCGCCTGGAACTGCTCGAAACTCCGAGCCACACATGATTCCTGTGCGAGGCGGCTGTGAACACGATCGAGTTCCAGAACCGAGAGCTGAACACTGGCGGATTGCCCGGAAAGGGAAGGATATGGGGAACTGACTGCATTTGGTGGTTTTACGTGACCTGTTGGCAAACAGTGACGGAAAGGGGATTCCTTGGCCCTTACATGTGGGGGATTGGGGTTCCACCGACCTGAAGAAGGGGGGGACAGGTATGCGACTGGAGAAACCCTCAAGCGACCTGGTGAAGATGCAGGGTGGCAAGTTAAGATTCTTCTTTTCGGGGGTCTCCATGGTCCCTTTGGGCGGCCTTTATACTTCTTGGCTAGGTGGGGTCTTTAACCTGGAACTCTGTTTGGAAAATGTGGCTAACACCAACACGGAGGCCATTCCCTTTTCATTTGCTGGGCACATCACCTGGTTGCAATTTCATGTGAGATGTTTTCAGGGTGATGACAAGTCGAAAGCTTGTGAATGGGAGCCCTTTAGGAAAGCAAATAATTCCCACATCCAGCAGAGCCTGTTCCAAGGTTCCTTGTTTCCTGTTTGCACTGTGCTGCAGCTGCCGATTTGTCTGCCGACTGGTTGGCCATGTGGCAGAGGAGCGAGCCTAAAAAAGCAACCGGGGCTCGAGTTCCTCTGTGTGCTTGCTTGTTTCCTCTGTCACTCGCAGGGCTAGGGATGGAATCAGTTTGTGTTGCATGTGATCTCAGGAGTCTGGGCTCCAAACAGCCCGTAGTGTTTGGTCTCGTCAAAGGCAGGCCAAAGGAAATGTGCATTCTGTTGACCCCCGTCTTCTTGAGCCTCGTTTGCCACCACCACGAGAACTCTGTGTACTGGTTCCATTCTTGCACCGACTCGACTCCTCTCCGGCCTGTGAGGCTCCTTCCCCAAGGGCCTCGCGCTGCTCTTTGCGGCGAACTCCAACTGGAACTACGACAAGGAGTGCCGTTCGCGGTATGGTTTACTGTAACGGGGGAGTGCTTCCTCCCCCCAAAAGGGACGCTTAGGATCCCCTTCAAGAGGTGAGAACCCCCCCGAAAAAAAGAAGAGGTTCAACATGAATAAAACAAACTTGGGTTGATTTATCTGGGTTCTCACCGGGTGCATTGGTAAGATGACCACCCCCGCTTGGCAACTGATGCAGAACCGTGGATAGCAAGTGCCGCAAGTGGGTTTCATGTAGGGTAAAACCTATGACTTTAGACACCCAGGCTTTCGCTCTTATGCCAGAAAGGGGTCGGGTCTGGAGCTTCTTGAAACCAAGAGTTCTCCGACATGTGGTTGGAAAAGGCAGCTCCATGGTCCTCCAAAGTGATTCTTACAAACATGAACCGAAAGGGGGTAATGAATAGTCCTCTGAACTGATTGGTTTCCTTTTGGTCCCTCCATTTTTCCCTGCCGAAAGGGTTCCGAAATCCAGAGAACCGTCGACCTTCGCTCGGCTTCGGCCGAAGCGGCTGAGCGAAAGCGGACAATGGCGCAGGACCCCTTTGAGGCCCTGAAGTTCGAGAAGCCGCTGGAGGACCTGAAGGCTGGGGTGGGGTGGTTTGAGGGATTGTGTGGGCGAGGCTCGGGAAGGGAAGGGGGAGGTTCTTTTGGTTGAGGGCGAGGGTTGGTTGGGGGTTCTGTTGGGTCGGCGGGGGTGGGGGTGGGGTGATTAGGGGGATCAGTCGAAGGGTTTGGGAGTTGGGAGGGTGGAGTGACAACCAAGCCGAAGATTGCAAGATGCCCGCGCAGATTTCGATCCCGCTGTTTCCAATTATTTCCACTTGGGTTGTTGTGAGTGCCACCCGGTAAATGCGTCTCAACACGGCAGATGGAGCGTCCAAACATGGGCTTGAGATTCGTTGGTTTGCCAACGGTTTGCCAACAAAGCCAACCCCGAAAGGGCACCCGAAAAGTCAGACGTGTGGGAACCTTTTTGTTGATAGATGTTTTTATCACAGCGCAGGCAGCAAAGTGCTCAACCCCTTGCCCAGATCCTCTGAGAAGGTCAGTCAAATAGGCTACGGGAATGAACAGGAGCTAGACCCAGTCCCCTTTGCTCCAAGCCCCGTTTGAACCGGTCCATGCACTGGTTCACCGGTTTGGCAAATCCGATGTGGGCCCCCAGGAAATCCATGAAAGCCGCACAAGTTGGAACCCCAGAAGCTCGACTCCCGCGTGGCTCGCGGGCTAGGCGCGGCTGGAGAAGGGAGAGCCAGTGTTCCAGGAGTTGATCAAGACCAAGCTCCTGGAGAACCCCCACAAGGCGTCCCGGTAGGTCTCGGTAGAGTAGACCAGCCACGAAGGCCAACTAGAACATTCGACACGGAGTTCGAGGATCCCAATCCTTGGAAAATAGGTACGGGTGCAGGGAGCCTGGTTGCGAGGTTTCCTCGGTGTTTGCGGGGGTTGTGAAAAATATGGCCGCTTCCTTGTCGAACCTTGGTGCCGCCGGTTTTTGCCAAAGGGCCGCTAATGTTGACCCCCCCCCCCGCATCTGGGGGGTGTTTTATTAGTTGGTACGCCTTTCGGGTTGGTTTCAAGGGAGGCCAAAAGGAACGCCATGAATGGTGCTCAACTATTGTGACGCAAGCACACACACACAGCTGTACCCATGTGGCAAATGGGGCTTTAGTAAATTCAGGTTGCCATTTATGAGGGGCCGTGCATTTGGACACACACACTTGCTATGGCCTTGGTTCTGTTCCCTTAGTTCCTCCAGACCGCGACTTGCCAGGTCATCGTGGAAACCCGCCCCAGCAAGGACTGCTCCTTCTTGCCTGGATGCGTCGATGCTTTTGTTTTGCGGCTTTCTGTTTTGCGAGACGCGTTCCCTTTGGCCGCTGAATTGAGGTGCAATTGATCAATTGGCCCCAGAGTTGGCGACTGTGGCGTGTTTCTCGTTTTTCTCTAAGTTGGGCCGGAATTGCATTCAGATACACGCCTCGCCTCACCCCCTCCCCCTTTGGCAGCACGCATCCGATCCCACCGAAGGTTCTCAACTTTGCATTGAGGGATCAGCGAACCATTACAAACCTTGTCAGGAGTTGAGCAAGAAGATCGAGGAAGAAGAGAAGCAAGAGCTCGAGAAGCACCGCGAGACATTGTCGCAAGAGGATGTGGAGAAGCTCATCCAAGAGACCATCAAGCCTCTCGCATGTCTGCTGAATAGCCCACCTTTGTTCAATACCACTGTTGTTAAAACAGCTTGGTGTTGGCTCCCTTTCAAAGGGCCAGATGATTTGAACCGAAATGAACCGAGCTTGCTTGGATGATCCCATGGTTAACACCCAGCATAGGGGAAAATGTCTCCTGTTAAAAGGACATAAAAAGGACATACTTTCCCACCAACTAACATGGCTGCCCTTTTACAGGGTCCCAACAATTGGAAATGGCTCCCTCCACTCCCCAACCAATCGATGCCCTCGAAGAGGCTTTGCTTGAGGCTTGTATTTGCAGGGGGCAGGGGGGGGGGATTGCAGGATTGTGGGCACAAAAGGGGGGCTTGGCACTTCTCTCAAGTAAACCTGATGGTATGAATTGGCCGGAAAGATGCGGTCCTCTCACCCCTGCTTAACCCTAACACAACAGCAACGCAACATGTGAATTTCCCGCCCCGCCTTTAAACGGAACACAACTGTGTCTACTCTATAAGGCATATAATCACAGCCATATCCCTGTATTCTTGTTGGACCTTTTCGGGCGAACAAGTCAAGCTGGCATTTCCTATTGTTTCCTTGGCTCAATTGCAGAAATGGGCCGTTTCTGATCTTCCAGGAAAGCAGATCGCAAAACTTCCTTTGGGTAGAAGGGATGACTAAACCCAAATATACTGTCCCCCAACTGTCAAGCGTCCTACGGTTGTCAAGTGCGGACCCCATAATCCCAATGGAGGCTAACGGCGCCTAACCGAAAGTCTATTGAATGGGGTCCATGCGACATTGGGCCCCTGGGCATATTTGAATCACCTCAAAAGTGGACATGGACTTTGATGTTCAGGGGGTCCCAATTCATATTCACATAATTACATTTCTGAACATGCCCAAGGAAAGCCCAAAGGAAACCTGCAATCTTTGGGGGATCGCTTTTACGACTCAAAATGGCTGTGGGTCAACATCGGGCAACCCCAAAATGGGCTTGCCGATAAATGGAAAGGATTAACACCTGTCCATATTCTGGTGATTTTCTTTGACCACAATTTTGATACACACCCAAATTCGAGGGGTGTTTCTTCGCCCCCCCCCCAAAAAAATAATAATATATATATATATATCTCAAAAACACAAAACAAACAAACACACACACACACACACTTAAACTCCAAATGGAGAGTGCTAATCTTTCGAGTACAACTGATGAGTCTCGAGTACAACTGATAAGTCTCGAGTATGATGAGCTTCGACTCGCATAACGCTTGGCTTCCCTGTAGCTACTTTAACAGGGACACACAGAAGCAACGGCAGTTCAGGGGGGGGACCAAAAGGACATTCACAAACATCACAATTGCAGGTACGTCCAGCTGATCAGGCTGGATATCACGAGTTAACAGCGAGCGTCTTCGTTGGCGCAGGACTCGCTGAAACTCCCTGCGCCCCCTGCTGAAAATCGGAAAAGGTGGTGACAGGGCATTCTGTCACTCCGCACACACACGCCCCTCAATGAGGGGCGAGAACCACTTTTTCGGGGGGAGAAAAAACCACGCGCCCCAAAACCGGGCGAAGACCCCAACAGAAAACAAACGGAGCAAGGGAGCCCAAAAGAAACAGAAAGGCCCCAAGTTGGGTCTCCGCGGGCAAAACCCCAAACAAGAAACAAGAACAACGGGGAAGCCAGGTTTCGGGTCTCCGAGGGCAACAACCCCAACCAGCGCAAAAACGACCTAGACCTTGTAGACGAAAGGGGCCGCGAAGGCAAAGAGGCAGAAGAGGAGCAGGCCATCCCTAACCGGGCGAACAGGAAGTACAAGAAATAGCCCAGAGAGGGAAAGAAAAAGAAAGGGAAGAAAGAAAGGGACGAAAGAGAGAAAGAAAGAGAGAGAGAGAGACAGACACAGAAAGAGAGAGAGAAAGAGAGAGAGAGACAGAAGCGTATTTAGGGCGTCGCAACCGCCCGGGGGAAAAAAGAAAGGAGCAGGGTGCGTATTTAGGGCGCCGCATCCCGCCCGGGAAGAAGGAACAAGAAGCAAAAGGCAGGGAGACAAAAAGGAGAAAAGAAAGAAGAAGGAAGAAGGAAGAGGAAGAGGGAAGTAGTAGTATGCGTTTTTAGGGCGACGCATCCCGCCCAGATAGGAACAGAGGATGAAGACCAAGGCTCGCGGAGAAAGACGTCGAATCCCACACAGGGGCCAAGAGGACGGACCCGAAGTAGCAACGGAAGGGGAAGAAGACGTCAAGCCAAACTACGTGAGGAAGAAGAGGAGTAGGAACAGGAAGACAGACGCGAAGACGAAGACGAGGAAAAAGGTGAACAACGCGAGGACAACCAGGCCATCCCTAAGCGGGCGAACAGGAGCGGGACGAACGCGCGGGTCACGAAAGGCAGCGAAAAGAGAACGGGAGGAAGGAGAAGCCATCCCTAAGCGGGCGAAGGACCAGAAGACGGGCACGCGGATGAAGAAGGCGAGAAAAAGGGGAACGTAGGGTGAGACGTCGCTATGATCTGACCGCTGTCTTTCCTTTAGTGAAACCTCGTTCCTGGTTAAATGTGAAATTCCGCCGTTCTATGATCAGCACGCTGAGGTCAAATTTTCCGACAGAGCCGGCCCGGGGTCACACAATGGGTACACCCGAGGATTCCCCACGAATGGGGTGTACACACTTAAACTCCAAATGGAGAGTGCTAATCTTTCGAGTACAACTGATGAGTCTCGAGTACAACTGATAAGTCTCGAGTATGATGAGCTTCGACTCGCATAACGCTTGGCTTCCCTGTAGCTACTTTAACAGGGACACACAGAAGCAACGGCAGTTCAGGGGGGGGACCAAAAGGACATTCACAAACATCACAATTGCAGGTACGTCCAGCTGATCAGGCTGGATATCACGAGTTAACAGCGAGCGTCTTCGTTGGCGCCGGACTCGCTGAAACTCCCTGCGCCCCCTGCTGAAAATCGGAAAAGGTGGTGACAGGGCATTCTGTCACTCCGCACACACACACACACACACACACACACACACACACACACACACACACACACACACACACACACACACACACACACACACACACACACACACACACACACACACACACACACACACACACACACACACACACACACACACACACACACACACACACACACACACACACACACACACACACACACACACACACACACACACACACACCACACACACCAGACACACACAGACACACACAGACACACACACACAGACACACACACACACAGACCCACACACAGACACACACAGACACACACAGACACACACAGACACACACACACAGACACACACAGACACACACAGACACACACAGACACACACAGAGACACACACACACAGACACACACACACACACACACAGACACACAGAGACACACACACAGAGACACACAGAGACACACAGAGACACACAGAGACACACAGAGACACACAGAGACACACAGAGACACACAGAGACACACAGAGACACACAGAGACACACAGAGACACACAGAGACACACAGAGACACACAGAGACACACAGAGACACACAGAGACACACAGAGACACACAGAGACACACAGAGACACACAGAGACACACAGAGACACACAGAGACACACAGAGACACACAGAGACACACAGAGACACACAGAGACACACAGAGACACACAGAGACACACAGAGACACACAGAGACACACAGAGACACACAGAGACACACAGAGACACACAGAGACACACAGAGACACACAGAGACACACAGAGACACACAGAGACACACAGAGACACACAGAGACACACAGAGACACACAGAGACACACAGAGACACACAGAGACACACAGAGACACACAGAGACACACAGAGACACACAGAGACACACAGAGACACACAGAGACACACAGAGACACACAGAGACACACAGAGACACACAGAGACACACAGAGACACACAGAGACACACAGAGACACACAGAGACACACAGAGACACACAGAGACACACAGAGACACACAGAGACACACAGAGACACACAGAGACACAGAGACACACAGAGACACACAGAGACACACAGAGACACACAGACACACAGAGACACACAGAGACACACAGAGACACACAGAGACACACAGAGACACACAGAGACACACAGAGACACACAGAGACACACAGAGACACACAGAGACACACAGAGACACACCGAGACACACAGAGACACACACAGACACACACAGACACACACAGACACACACAGACACACACAGACACACACAGACACACACAGACACACACAGACACACACAGACACACACAGACACACACAGACACACACAGACACACACAGACACACACAGACACACACAGACACACACAGACACACACAGACACACACAGACACACACAGACACACACAGACACACACAGACACACACAGACACACACAGACACACACAGACACACACAGACACACACAGACACACACAGACACACACAGACACACACAGACACACACAGACACACACAGACACACACAGACACACACAGACACACACAGACACACACAGACACACACAGACACACACAGGACACGCAGACACACGCACGCAGACACACGCAGAGACACGCACGCAGACACACGCAGACACACGCAGACGCACGCAGACGCACGCAGACGCACGCAGACGCACGCAGACGCACGCAGACGCACGCAGACGCACGCAGACGCACGCAGACGCACGCAGACGCACGCAGACGCACGCAGACGCACGCAGACGCACGCATACACACGCAGACGCACGCATACGCACGCATACGCACGCATACACACGCATACACACGCATACACACGCATACACACGCATACACACGCATACACACGCATACACACGCATACACACGCATACACACGCATACACACGCGCATACACACGCGCATACACACGCACATACACACGCACATACACACGCACATACACACACACATACACACACACACACACACACACACACACACACACACATACACACACACAACACACACACAACACACACACACACACACACACACACACACACACACACACACACACACACACACACACACACACACACACACACACACACACACACACACACACACACACACACACACACACACACACACACACACACACACACACACACACACACACACACACACACACACACACACACACACACACACACACACACACACACACACACACACACACACACACACACACACACACACACACACACACACACACACACACACACACACACACACACACACACACACACACACACACACACACACACACACACACACACACACACACACACCAAAGAAACATGACGATTTTCCCCTTTTTCTTTGAGACCAGGCGCTTTTCTCCCCCAAAAAAGGGACAGAAAGCCCGCCAAGCGAGTCGCAAGGTTGAAGGAGATCCAGGAGGCCCCGGACTCCCCGGAGGCCATGAAGTCGGTCCCCGGCCTTGAGCTGTCGGACATCCCCAAGGAATGTCGCCGCCGGTGCCAGCGGCGGTTGGTTCCAATTTGGGGGGTGAAGCTTTTGTGATATAGTCAAAATGAAACCGAGCTTTTTGGAGGATTTTTTTTAGTTGGTACTCCTTCTTCGGGGGGGGGGGGGCTGTAAAGCTAGCGATTTCAACTATGGTGCAGGTCCTGTACTTGATCCAAATCCGAGGCCTTTCTTGGTTGGAGACCCAATTTGGCACCTTCACGTTAATTTTACATACCTTCACATACCTTCACATATCTTCACACCTTCTCACACCTTTGCACACACACCACACACCACACACACCTTTTTGTAACCTAAAGCGGCGGCTCGTCTCTTTTGGGAACTTGTTTTTGGCCACCGCGTAGACCGTGGCGGGCTTTGCTCTCAGGAGACCCCGAAGGTCCCCACAGAGAAGGCGGAGTCGGAGGTGGACGTCACGGTGCTGAGGCACGCGCTGCCCACCAGCGGGGTGCCTTGGCGTGCGGGGACGCGGCTGGATGAAAAAAGCAGACGTCAAGGCAAAAGACAAGAGTTGTACCCGTCCACTCTTTTCACATGGAACTTGATTTTGGGGGGTCCCCTTAACAGAAAAATGGATAAGAATAGATGGATAACAATAGTTAATCCTAAATCTTGGAAAGAGAAGCCTAAGAAAGCTTAAGCTAGAAAAGACACCAGGTGAAACAGATAGAATGAGAAAGATCAGAAAATCAGTCCTGACCCAATCGACGACAGGTAATTGCAGGAATGAACAAGAATCTGGATCCCCCCCCCGGTTGCCCAACGTGTTGGCCTTGCAGAGCGCAACCCGCGCTTACTGGCAGAATTTAAAACGACTTTGCATCAGAGCTTGAGTCGCATACTCTGATGCAGGTGTGCTCAGTACCCAAATTCCCCCTTGCTCTGCCATGTCCTTACAGAGCTGGTAGCTCCTACCTCCCTTGCCGGCAAAGGGGAATTGCGGCAAGGACTTTGGTTGACACGCGACTCCCAGTAACTCGAGGTGGTCTATGCTGACCTCGCCTTCGACCTCTCGAGCGTGCCGGCGCGCGGCATGGGACAGGGTGGCTGAAGGCCAATTTCAGGGGCACCAGCAAGCAACTGGAAGCCAAAAGGGGATACCCCCAAACCACCACCACGCAGGGCTCATGGTTCTACAGTGCTGGCACGTTTCCTCTATTTTGAGAATCGCCGTGGGACACTCATTCTCCAGATTTTGGGACTTGCTCACAAATCCAATGGACTGGCGGGCAAAACCTGTAAACCTGTTGGTTGGTTTCCTTTGGGTGGTTTCCTTTGTTAGTTTTTGGGCTAGTATTTCCAGGTGGTTGGTTTTCCTTTTTTCCCCAACAGCTGAAAGCTATGGGGGTCGATAGGCCCAGCTAGGCTCTGGGTGAATTGGGCATTCAGGGAGGGAACAGAAGGAGGCGCTCCGGCATTCCGGATTCGTTCCGGCGTTCTGGGCTGTTGGTGCCACTGTGGATGGACGAAATCCTGCACCGCCTGAGAAGCCCTGGAATGATGATTGTCCTGCACACCATGGTTTCCATGGTTCTTAAATGGGTATGGGTCAAAATAAAACCACCATGGGACCACCGGTTAAATCCATGTTTCCATTTACCAGGATTCAATTTTTGCAACATATTTTTGACCCACACCCAAATGGTGCAGGATTTCACCTGGGCTGATTCCTGGTCAGGAGGAGCTCCTGCCGTTGGTGCCCCTGTTCACCCGGGCGCTGAAGCAGCTGGGCACCGCGAAGGGGGACTTCGTGAGTCTGACGCGGCGCGTGGGCATGAGCACCGGGGGCATCGCCGCCTCCACGCTCTGCATGAACAAGAAGGCGGGCTTGGAGGGAAGTGGAGGAAGGGAAGGAGCGAAGGGCGTTTTTTGTTTGGCCGAAAGGGCTTGGTAGCAAAGAAAAAGAGGCCGCCAGGCGGGGGGTCTGGGTTTTTGTTTTACACCTTGGCGTGGATGCAATCAATTTGACAGGCCGGTTTTGCCGGCCACTTCTGTTGCTTGGTTACTTTTGCGGTTGGTTTTGAGGGGTTGGGTTGGTTACGTTTGGTGTTCGCTTCCAGGGCCAACAAGCCGGTTTGGGGTGGCTTCCTTCTTTGTTCGGGCGGGGTGTCTTTAACATCAATTCACATAAAGACTGGATCTGGGATTGGTTCCGTTTGTGGTTTCAAGAGGTTTGTTTTTGTGTTTTGGTGTTTTGGGATTGCCTGATGGTTTGGGGTTCTGGAGGTCCCTTTTGCCATTATTTTCCACTGCTTTTGCAAGACCGGTCAGGTTTCCTCAGCTTTTGGTGGCTGTCTGTTCCAAATGTGACAGAAGGACACCTGGAAAGAGAAGTTTGCAGTTCCTGAAGCAGATGAGCTTTTTTCGCGGAAGTCTGCCTGCAACAAACCATTCCCAACTGCGAATCCACAACGTGCCCATCGAATGCATGGGCACGAACGACTGTTTTTTTTTGGTTTTTATCAACATTTGGCGCCCTTCTTGTCCAAAGGAGGTTCAGCCCATTCATCGCAAGGGCGAGGTGGAGCCGATCACATACCTCTTCCTGCGGGGGAAGTCCATGGCCGGTCAGTTGCCAGAGCTGTCCGACTTGATGCAGGAGATGTCATTGAGATTCCTCCCGCTGATTTTAGGGCAAGCTCACCAAGATGTAGGTCCTCTGCTTGGGAATCGCCTTATTTCTGTTTTGTTTGTAGAACTTGCAGGTTCCTTATATCTTTTTGCGAGTGAGTCGACACACCAAGGAAAACTGGCCGCTCAAGTTGAGTTCTACCTCCTTCTTTTTTTGGGCGGGGGATGTGGCAACATGGCGACACTTTGCCTCGCTGCGGACAGCGCGGGATATGTTGATTGAGCTTCTGCCAGGCTGTCGGCCCCTCGCTGCAAAAGGGATGGGCCTAGTTTGGATAAAGGGCCAGCCGAAGTCAAGGCTTTCTCAGCGATGAGCAGTTAGGCCTAAGCGTCGGTAGTCTCTGTTGAAAAGAGCTCGTTACGCATTACATCCTAGACCCTGTAGATTTTCAGTAGCTTGTGGCTGCATGGCGGAGCAATGTGCAAATCGTCAAACAAAACACTTCCTCATGGCTTGGTATGCTTGGTGGCTGCCATGACCCTGACCTCAATTCCGGCACCCTTAATTTCCCATGTCCAGGAGGGTCCCATCAAACATGGAATTCCACGGCCCTTTCCAACAGTCTCAGCCGTTTTGACATCGGAGAAATGGCAGGAGATTGCGCTCACCACGGACTTTGACAACAAGGAGCGAACGCTGGGAATCAGTGAGCCGAGGGCCCCGGAAGAAAAGTGGCAAGTTTAGTGTGTGCGTTTCCGAAATCCTGGTTATTTTCGGACAGTAGCGCCTTATTAAAAAGCTATGAACCTTGATGAATAGGGAAGCCTTCAAAAGTGGTTCGTGGACATAAATGCCCACCAAGTATTGATGTCCACGATGCTTCCCGAAAGGGAAATTTTCTTGTTCCAGCCTCCCACACCAGGGTGAAATAATATTGCATGACTGCCTTTGGGTAAGGGGGATGACAAAACCAAAATGTGGGAATTGTGAGTCGTGCCATTATTTTGTTTAATCCAAACTGTCCCCTGATGCACTTCCACTCCCCACTCCACCCGGCTGCTTGCCCGGTTGTATGAGGCACGCCGAAACCTTTAAGGGGGCCCGCAGCCACTGGCCGCAGGGTTCGAGTCATAAACCCAGCAATCCCCATTGAATGGAGGTGAATACCCCCCATTTGCCACCAAAGCCTTCGGCGACTTCGGGGCCTTCAACCCGGACAGCCAGCCGAAAATCCATAGATGAATATAAGCAGAAATAGGAATAAGCAAAATAAGCTAACTAAATACCAATCAACAAACAAATTGTAGTAAATCAATAAATCAACAAATTGCATATATTATGTACAGTATTTGGCGTTCCCCAAACTTCGGCACGCCCTCCATGCCGTTCTCTTTCGCGCGTGCGCGCGACGCGCCGCTTCGGCGCGCGCGAAGCGCCGCTTCGAGGAGCGCATCGTGCAGCTGGCGTCCCAGGCGCGGAGCGGCGCCCAGTCCTCGCTGATCTCCTCGGGCCACGCGGTGGCCTCCACGGAGCTGGCGGCGCAGAGCACCAAGGCGCGGGCGAGCCGCGGGTGGGTTCGGGCTGCCATACGGTTTGCCTTACCCGATTCTTCGCCAAGAACAAGGCTTGCTTGGGCCTGCACATGGTTTTTTGACAGATTCACCTCCAATGTTGGGGGACTTTTGAGCGAGGGACAAGAGTTTCTGTATATATATATGTATATTCATACATTTGTATATATATATATATATCTATATACGAATATAGATATATGTCAATGGATCTATGTACATGTGTACAGATCAAAGTGTAGAAGTTGTGGGGCCCCTTAAAGCATTCATCTTCAGGGCTGCCGCTGGCCAGGCCGGATGGTTGAGCGGCAAGTGGTCAGGCCTGGAGCAGTACCTCGGCCATTTGATTGGACCTTGAACCAGTTTAGGGAGCAGTGACATGAGAGTTCCCTACCTTGTCCTTTGGACCTTTACCCTCCAGACTGGCCTTCTGGCAGCTTCCATGTTCTGAGGGATCTTTACCTTACAACCTTTGACATGTGGGTGAGTCCATTTTTTTAGGGGACCCCCCGAAAGGCTGGTTGTCTTTTTGGCCTCCGGCTAAACCCCACCCAAAAAAGGGGGTACCCACAAAACCAACGACAGACGCCATGTGCGTCCGCTGAGGTACAAATACCTCACGGAGCTCCTGCAGAACATCGAGGACCGAACGCTTTGACTCTGTCTGCCGGCTAGGGGGACAAAGTCTCCGGTGCCAAAACACCGAACCCCTTTTGAACACAACAAGATCCAACAAAAAGGGGGGGGGAGGGGGGGGCGGGAGGGCAGGTTGCGACACATCCTGATTTTTTCCAGACCCGAATTAATCCACGCATTGCATGTGTCCAACCAATTGCCTGGCATGAATAGCCACTGGGGGCCCGGAGGGCCTTTTCTTCGGCGCGAAATGATTTGGTGCTCAGGGGCCAACCCCATTCCCGAGCCGTTGAGAAGGGCCCGGAAGGGCCCCCTTGGGCAAATTTCCACGACGTCAACGTTGGAATTTTTGTTTGACGTCACTGCAGGTTTCCTTCATAGGGATTTCCTTATGTTCGGTTGTTGAACTATGAATCATTGCCCCGATGTTATGCCCAGTATCCATCTCTTTTGTTTAATGGCCACGGCCCGAGCCTCATGAGTTCTCGCGTGGGTAGATAGGTCTAACGTGTCCGATTCCACATGGCCAAACAAACCTCGCGATGTCTCGGCTTCGGATTCCGCGAAGTGGCGGCCTCCCCGGCATCCGCAGGAGGGTGGGTGGGAGACCGTCCTGGCACAGCTGCAGGCCCTGCAAGCCTGCATTTTCAACCAGGCTGGGACCTTGCTTCCCCTTTTTTCGTTGGGGTCCGGAGTCCGGGATGTGGGTTTTGTTTGGTCGGCATCTTTATCCAGGGCCGGGGGCAACACGCATTTAGCATCCCAAACAGGGTGACCCACAGGCTTTGCATTTCAACCACAATTCACATGTGGTGGTGTGCGTGTGTGCAACTTATCCGCGGCTAAACGAGAGCAATCAAGCCCATCATGGTCCATCATGCTCCAGAAAACTTGGGGATCCCATTCTTACTGAGAGTTCCATACATTTCCATGTTCGGTGGCTTTCAGCAGCACCTTTTGGCTTCATTGGTCTCCTTTGGTAGATTTTGGTAGTGGTGCTTCTATTGAAAAGGGCCCCCCAAAAAAATGTGATTTCTCCGCTGGTTTCCCTTTCAAACCGCCAAGCTGAATACCCTCGCTTCTGGTTAGTCTGAGGGAGGAGTAGAGGTACCGTCAAAAACATAGAGAGTGTTGGAGGCCTCCTGCTCCGTTCTGAACATCACTTCCGATGCAGAGCACCTGGACGTAGCCCAGTGGCTCGGTCTGCTCGGTGCGAATTGAGTGCATATGGGTGTGTCTTGTGTTCAACAGGGGGGCCCTCCATTTAAAATTGTTTCCACGTTGGGCTCCTTTTAAAACCAGCCAAAAAGGGGGGTGCCCAAAAAAGACAGACCCATACTTTAATCAAGAACAAACATGCGCGTCAAAAGCTCGAACTTTGCATAGGAGTTTAAGGATGTAGAAATCCTGCACTGATTGGTTTCCCTCATGCAATGATCGGGTGGCCAGGGATTTCGAGAAGACGGCTGGTTCTTGGACATGCCCACCTGATTCAAACAAAGCAACAATGAGGGATTACGTACAAAGGTGGCAACCGGAAGAACTGGGTCCACCCATTAACGCCAACTTGGAGTTGCGTTGGGTCGGCCAATCTTTGTTGAAACAACCAGCCTTCGGCAACTAGTCCCCTAAGGCACGTCTACACGCTGGGGCTTGCTTCGGCAAGACCTGAGCGAAGAAACATGAAGTTCCACAACCCACCCCACCTCTTACATTCAATGCCATCCCAGGGCCTGAGTCGCCCATGTTAGGAAGGAGCTGGAGAGGCTGGCGGGGGAGCTGCCGGCGGACAAACAAAGCCAGGTCTTGCTGAAGCCCAGCCTAGGGCGCAGGGCTGACGCCATTGTTGTCCCCACCCAGGCGCTTTCACCGGGCCGGGAATCGGAGGGGCAACTACGGGTGGGGTGACATTTGTGGTCTCAAAATGACCCCACCCCCAACACAAGGAGCTTTGACCCTGGCGCATGTGGGACCGTGGGGGAATGGATGTGTCTCCCCTTTTTGTTGAATCAAGTACGCTGGGGGGTTTGACAAACCCTCATATGTGCGTTCTGGAAAATGGGACTCCCTTCAATGAGGAGCTCGTAGTTTGCTGGAGCTGGTGTTCACCGCCGGATGCAGGTGAATTACGTGGGCAAGGGCAGCAACTTGTACGAGTCCGGGTACGAGTACCACGGATCCTCGCTGGTGGGAGCCTCACGTTGGGTGACTCTTGCGCGTGTTGTCCGTTCCCCCAACATGGCCCGAAAGGTTTCAATAGTTTTAGATTTCGAACGCATTGCCTTGGATAAAACGTTTTGACAAATCACCACACTGAAGCCAGTGGAATCCATCGACAACGGGGGTGCAGATACGTCATGAAGCTTGCCACTGAACGGATGGCGGCGTCTTGGAATTCAAGGACACGCGACCCCTTGTTTGTAAAGGGACCCCACGAGGAAAACCACCATTTTTGGGTCCCCTAAAAAGAGACACCAAGGTCCGCAGATGGCCTCTCAGCATAGCCCAGCGGCCAAGGTGGTGTCGAAGCTTTTGGGCGCCACCTATTTGTGGGACCGGGTCCGCGTGAGCGGGGGCGCCTACGGGGGCTTTTGCCGCTTCGACCCGCGGTCCGGGGACTTCAAGTACCTCTCCTACCGGGATCCCAACCTCGGGAAGACGCGGCTTGGAGAATTGGTTGGTTGATGGGTTTTGGTGGGGTGGGGTGGTTGGTGGGTTTATTGGTTAGGATCATTTGCGTGGTGTTAGGTGGGCAGCAAAAAGCACGGGCTTGTGCCCAGGTATTTGTTTGGGGCCGGAGTTTGGCGTGATTGGAAGTTTGTGGACAGTTGTCTTTTTGTTGCCGATCTTTCAGAACGGGGGTCAAACGAGTTCACCCATGATCTGTGCGGTTTGGGCGTTATAGCAATTTGCTCAAGAGTTGTACAATTTTCACGTGCCGATCTAGTTTCGTGCAAGTATTGGATGTGTCTTTGATTGAAAGGAAGAAGCACCATTTTGGGGGGTGACTACATTCACTGAGCCCCTAGCCGCCTTGCCCGCACAAAAGCACGGGCAGGCTGGACAACTACGACGGCGCCCCGGCCTTCCTCAAGGATCTGGAGCTCAGCGAGGACGAGCTGACCAAGGCCGCGATACGCGCCCGCTGTGCCATCTTTGTTTCACACGTCCAATTGCGGCAATTGGGGCTCAACAAGCAGGTTGGGTGATCCACAAAACAGGGTCACCGATGCGTGTTTCTTTGCAGGTGTGCTTTGGGCAAAGTACTGGTTCCTTTACTTGGGGTTGGTAGGGATTTTGGAGACCAGTCCTGGAAAGAGCACCTCATGGCCCATAAGGAGTCTTGACCGGCACACATGCTTCCCAATCAAACCGCATTCGGGTAAGTGAAGGCGAGAAAGGGGCAGTCAGCCATACGTAGGTGGTTCTTGATTGTTTGCCAGGGATTTTGGGTAGGCAGAGGCAGTTTGTGTGACAAAGCCCCTCGTGCGGGCAGAACCTCGCTTTAATCACTTTATATAATCTCCATTGTCCATGGTTTCCCTTGGTTGTCAGGCGGGCATCGATGTATGGCGAAGGGACGGAACCGCATGATTCCAGCGTTTACTTCATTCGAAGCAGTTTTTCACTTGGGCAGCTTGCGGGCCACGTCTCGTTGCTAGCTGACTTCGGTTTGGTTCTTCTCACAACCTCATGACTTCACAAGGCCATCATTGGCTGCATGGGCGACGTGGATTCCTACCTTTTGCCGGATGCGAAGGGCTACCAGGCGCGATCCGGTCGAGCCGCCTTGGTTAGCTGGGGGGCCTGTAACGCCTTAGGAGTCTCCGATGGAGTCATCCATAGCAGAATTTCTTGAAAGGGGAGCCAAGGGCTGAGGGCATCCAAATTCTTTTTGGACGAAGCCAAGGAGCTATCAGGAGTTCCGTAAGGGCATGGTTGCTTTGGTCTGACTGAGAGATTTCGGAGGAGCCAGTTCCCGAAATTTTGCACAGCAAAAGGCAGTACTTGTGCAGAGGGGAACATTGGGCCAGCCGTTGGCCACGGAGGGACCTTCTCAACTTTTGCCATTGCGAGTCGCCGATACATCGCACGCCCACGGCCACAATCTCACAACTCACTGGTCAGCCAAATGGTGTCACATGGGTGGGTATAGTTGTTTTTTTTGGTGTGGCCCCAACGAGCAGTTGGGCCTAGGATGGACCCCTCGCCGGTTTATGTGTACTTGGACCCATTTTCACAACAAAAGATCAGCACAGGGCCCCTTACAAGGGTTCCAATAACAGGCACGGTGGGTTCCCTTCGAAAGTAAACCAACCACATCCAACTACAAACGCCAGGTTACTCCCCTGCGTACCTGGAAAAGAGGGGTCCCTTTTTGGGGAGGACTGGGGACCCCCCCATGTTCAACCAGCAACAGTTGTGCTGCAGCGTGAGGCGATGCTGCGGCATTTGCTCGGCGAGGATGACGTTTACCGCCAAAAGGTCCGGGACGAGATTCTGGGCACTCAGGTGCCAAAGCCGCGGCGCTCGCGCTTTCACACGGCGCGCTGCGTGTTGCCACTGCAATCAGTGCGTGGACCCTCATGTGGTCGATTCCTTCTTGGCTTTGCTTGACGCACCGCTTGACGCACCGCGACAAGCAGAACTTAATTTTGGGAAACCCCAACATGGTTACTTTTCCGAGGGGTGTCGAGTAGGGAGAATCAAAGGCTGCAGCTGTTTAAAACGTCGCCTGGTCTTCCCTATTTGTCTGCAGGATTGCCTGATTGAGCCTGTCTGCTGGTAACACTGAATGCCCCCTACCCACCAGAGTGGTTCTCGGAAGCCTTCCAAGAACCCGTCTAAGTAAGAACCCTTCTTGGGTTGGAGCCCTATAAGTGTTGACATCTCATGGCGGTATTCCAGGCCTGTGCATTTGCTTTGACGGAGAACGTCTTGTCGGCTGATTACGGGAGCCTTGTGGGTATTCCAAGCGTGTCTCGAAGAACCCTAACGGATACTGTCATAGAGACGCCCTTTCTCTCCGTTTTCGTGATTTGAGAATATCACCTTTGGGCCAAGTGAAAATGAGAACCCTTGTGACGTTCTCACGCTGTTCTTTTGACAATTCCCCACGGTGTTCTTTCTTTCCGTTTTCAATTTTGAATGTTTCCCATACCCAAACCACAGACCCTAAACCGGTTCTAATGTTTTCGGGCCGATTTAGGGTTCCCCAAATGAATGCTTGACTACTCAAAGGGAGACCAAATGGGCATTAGTTTGAAAGACTATTCCATTGTATCACCCGTTTGTATGCGGTTGTGCGTGTGTCAAAATGTCCCCCCAAAACAACAACAACATCAATCCTTGTGTGTTCTTTTTAAACCAGGCCCAAAAAAAGGCCCCACAGAATGGACGGATCCATTTGCTTCAGACTTCCGGGTCAAGTGGAACCCTTTTTGTTGTGGTTTGAAGAGAAACTTCGGAAAACTCAACACCCCTTGGGGGTTTCCTATTTTAAGCCCATGGCCCATAAAAAGTAAATAGACAGACACCCCTCCAAAGCCTAATCCAAACCACCAGTTTTAGGCAATCCCCAAACTGGGTCAAAGCTTGATACCATCTTTTGACTAAAACGATGATGAGCAAAGAACAATGAACAACTCCTAGATTTTGGGTTGAAGGTTGACCAAGCACACACCAATCAGAGGGGCCCTGATTTAAGCTGTTATGTTCGCTCATCCGCCAACAACGAACCAGCTCAAGCAAAAAATGAGGCAACCTGGGAAAGAGGAAGACATCCCTTTGGGTGTGTCTCACATCTTCGGTTTTGCTTTTGGCCCCCCTTTACCGTTTTACCACCCAAAAAAGAGTGCCTGGCCCTCAAAATGCTCCGCAAGCGCGGGTTATTGCAAACTTATGGGGTGATCCACGCTGGTCCCCGGTGCCCACGAAAAGAGAAACGCGCGCAATGCGCCTTACAGGTCAAGGACTTCCACCGCTTCGGGGAGGCCCTGGAGGCGGTACCTTGGGCAAAGACGACGCCGGCAAGGCGTTTTTCGGTGGACGAATCCGACCCTCCAAAGCCGAACGCCGAAAGACAAAAAGGCAAAACGCGACGTCTTTTTTGTTTGGGGGGTGGGGTTGCGGTGGGCGAACGTCTGCTTTAATCAGGGTTCATGTGATTGGTGGTTTGGATTGGTGCTTTGGAGGTTAGGGCTCTCTATAAGAACCGGGGGTTAGAGCCCCAAAGCCAATGCAAATCGTTGAGAGCCTGAGGTGTCTTTGGTGGGGGCACGTTGTGGGGTCTCTCTATTAATTATTCTTTCTCGGGGTTCTAAACATTAGCCTTTGGCACATTTAGGGTGGACAAGGTTTGTGAACGACTTGGGGCCCTTGTGCGGGTGGTCTGCGTGGTTGGCAAGGATGGTCCCCTCATGGCAGATCTTCTTTGATCTTCTTGGCCTACCAGCTCCCATGTGGAACAGCCCGGCTTGTTGGGGACACGGGAAGCCCAAAAGAGACCCAACATTTTGTTTGGCCCTGCTGCACTGCTACGGTTGTTTTGTGCTGAGGTGAAGGAGGGTGGCATTTGCGTGGTGGGCTCGCAAGAGGCTTGCAATGAAGCGAAGGAGAAGTACGGGCTGACGCTAATCAGCCCTTTTGCTGAGGCGAAGTGAGGGCAGTAGACGCCTGGCCAACAATACCAGAAGGCGTCCCCTTCTGGCAGGTATAGGACGGCTTTTTCCGTTTACGTGCCACATCCCATCCCCACTGCCTTCAAAATGGTTGGTTGGGGGAGGGAGGCCTTTGGAGTTCCATGTGAAGGTCTGTTTTCGCTGTGCCCACCCTCTCCCACAATGGGGATGTGCCCCCGTTTCAGTGTGCAGAAGGCCGACCCTGTCTTGGGTGCCTGAACCTTTCGGCCCTAGCGGCCCCCAAACCCTGCACAGCAGTGCGCAGAAACAAAAGATGCTGCTTGCAGAGCTGCTCAATGCTGTGGCAGCTTGATTTTCTATTACTTCCTATGATGCCAGCAACACTTCCTTAACGTGACAAAGTGATGGCCTGCTTCAGTGTCACGGAAAGGGTTATTCAATCCTTTTCAACAACTATGGAGAGGGACAGCTGGAAGCGTCATTGCTGGGTCGCCTTCAGGAGTGCCCGCGACCCCTTCTGGCGGGGGTCTACCGCTCGGTCTTTGCCACCTAACCCAAAGGTTTTGGGCACTCGAAAGAACCCTGGGCCAGCCTGAGTTAAGCCGCCAGCAAAATCCGCTAGACAATCCCAACAAGCAGCGGCCGCCTTCGCAATTCTTTACATGGTTTTGGGTTCACCGTTCTTATGCCAGGTTTTGGTCATGACTCAGTTGCTTGGAGGGTCGGTGTTGGATCCAGGGACGCAGTCGATCCATCAATGAGTAAAAGCCTGAGACGGGAATGCAAGGGCACGTCCGGGGTGGATGTGCCGTCACAAGCGGTTTCGAGGCAGGTTGACCAGCTGGACAGTGCATACATCTGCCAGTGACATAGCGAGCTCACGGGTAAAACACATGTCACAATGATGCAGTTTCTTTTGCTTTGGGATCTATTATTTCAGGTGTTGGAGTTCGAGCAGAATTTGCAGACTGGTTTGCAGTGGGCCCTTTTGAGATGTTGGACGTTCCCTGTTTAGGCTGGTGATGTTTCCAGGCTGTGGGCGGGTGAGGATTCAAGGGCGCTGGAAACCTACCTGGCTGCCACATTGAATTGAGCCATTCCCTTCTTTTTGGGGCGGGGAATGGCTACCCTCCTTACCCTCATGGTTAGCGCCTTCCTGCAACACCCAAGCACCGTCAGCTTCCATGATAGGGAGGGAGGGAGGCACCAACGTGCCTTTGCCCTCGAGAAAACCGTGGGATGGAAACCAAGCATCGACCATGGCACTGCCTTGTTTCAACTGCCGCTCAATTCAGCGCCTCAAGAGCAAGATTTCCTTGTGGGAAGCATTTCAAGACGGCGGGTCCCAAGCTCGCTCGGTGCGCAATTCGGGCGCTTCTGACAGCTTCGAACTGGGAGATCCCCGCGTTCGCGTGCAGTCAAAGTTTGAGGAGAAAACCTACAACCCAAATTTGCAGAGACAACTCTCCACCCGAAGTGTTGGCGGGAACACCTGAATCACTTCTTTTTTTGGGGTCGCCGTAAATGCCTCCCGGCCCTCCCGCCGAAGAATCCGCCTGCCAAGGCTGTACTACGCGCGGAACCCCCGGAGGGCTTTGGAGTTGGCCTCCGAAGCCACGCAGGCGGAAGACTTCAAGGCCTCGGCCGGGTTTCGTTGCTGTTCGGTTTTGATTCAAGAGGCCTCTCTGGCGGCAAAGCAGCGAGATGTTCTTTTGGCGTCTCGAGAGTTTTTTTTGGTGCCGCGTTTGGTACCTACCACCCTATTTGTAACCCAGGTGTTATGCACATCCACGGGGGCGATGGGGCTATGGGGTGATAGCAACCACCTCCCGGCTAGTGCCAGCTGATCAGACGGCAAAGGGCTTCATCACTCGACTGACGGCCCGGCCTGCGATGTTTCTTGTTGCATGGCTTTGTCCTTAGGGTCAAATCGCCGCCTCAGATCTCTTGCCCCCACGGGGGGGGGGGCGGGGGTCTCGCTGATGTGGACAGGTGCCAAGTGTTCTTTTCAGGCTTGGACTTTTGCAACAGACGCTCGTTTGGACCAAAGGGGGAGTGTTCCTTGATTCATCAGGGCCCCTTAAAGGATACATTTGCGGCAGATAGGACATCACCGTCACCAGCTGGTGTGGAGGATGTTTTTGCAAAGCGTGCGGTCAACTTTGTGTGCATCAGCAGCCTGCTCGCAGAATGAAATCTTGAAATCATGCCCTGCTTTTGGAGAGGAATGGCCCCACAAATGATACGCCTCCTTTCAATGAATCCGACACGAACATGTTGTCCGGTTGCAACCCCATGAGTTTGGAAGAACCCTTGGCTGCTTTGTCCGAGAGGACTGGTGGTGGAAGGCGCGGCTGGGCAAGGCCTATTATCAGCTAGGTGCCCTGGCTGAATTCCATGAAACTCCCCATAAGTCCACCAAGCCATGAGAGCATGACTTTCAGGGAGGGTATAAGTCCATCCATGTTCTGTATGTGTGGCGACTGGAGAAATGGAAGGAACCTTTCCCGTCGCAAGGGGGGATCGGAAGGTACCAACTGGAAATATTGCTTTCATTTTTGGTCCTTACCCAACCCCGTAGAGCTCGGTGCGGATGTCGAGAACAACAAAACTGGCGGTGGTTGGACGATGCATTTTTGCCAAGAATGGTTGTCGGAGACCCTGCAATCCCCAATGACCCCGTCCCGCCAACCTTTTAAAGCTTTGGTTCGCCATGCTTGGCCTGATTTTGCCTCAGTCAGGCTTATCCACCCCGGGAATATTTGGTCTTTTCGCGGGGGGTTGGTTGGTTTGCAGGGTCCTTAGCTGGGAAGGAAGTGCAGCGCGGAGGTTGTCGTTTGCAAGGGTCTTGCTAAGTTGCTGCAGCTTAGCAGGTTTGCGGTCTGATTTGCTTGTCAGCGAAGGCATGGAGCAATGAGTTCCCCTCAGCGTTTTTTCTTTGCCGTGGACCGAGGCCTTCTCCGTGATGCGGAGAAGCAGTTCAAGAGTGCTCTCAAAGACGAGGAGATGGTTACCACTCACCTGGAGCTTTGTAAGGTTTACCTGCGCCCTTTGGCGAAGTGAAGCTTGAGCGGGTGGGTAGGTGAAGGCGGGCAGATGATGCCAGCTGCAAACGGCCAGGCTGTTTAGAGGCCCGGAGTAGCGTGGCCACCATTTGTCGTGAAATGAAATGCACACATTCAGCGGCCTCAATTTGGGGGAGCCGATCACTAAAGCTGCGAAGCACAGCCAGGGGCACCTCACGTATTCACAATACGTGGCCTGCATGTGCCACAAGCATCTGGTGGCTTCAGTTGAGTCAGGAGAGATTTTGGGACACCGCTGCCCTGCCCAGAAAGGTTCTTAGAACCCCTTCTTTGGGTCATCCACCTTGAGGGCATCCTTCACTTGTGGGTCACACCCCCGTAATAGATCGTATGGGGTTGCTGGTCCGGAATTCCTATTCAGAATCCTGCGCTCTCTATGTTTTTGTTTTCTTTTTTTGCCAGGTTTGAAGCAGACTCTGAGAATCGAATTTGCCGGCAGAAGAAGCAGAAGAAGAAGAAGAAGAACACAACCAAACAAACCAAGAATTTGCCGTACCCCTTTGGCTAAGAAAGGAGGAGTTGCACCCAAAACAAGAATGCTAAACAAGTACAAAAAAAGAAAACAAACAACACGAACAAACAAACAACGGTGGTGTCCGGCTTTGGGAGTGAACAGCTCGGAGGCCTGGATCAGCCGAACTCGGCTCTGGACCAATACGGTCGCGCGGCCGAGAAGTTCCCCGGGGAGACCCACATTTTGGTGGGCCTGGCCAGGACCGGAAAGCTACGAAAAGATAAATCAAATAAGATTTGTTTGGGCTTAGCCCCGGTTTGGTTTGGTTTGGTTTGCTTCTCCTGCTGGCAGGAGGGCCGAGGAAAACATGGTTGGAACCAGGCGCTTGCAAGTGGTTGAATTGTTGGCGGCTTCTGAAATACTTCCTTTGGACCGGATAGTTTCCTTCGAACCAGTTCAAGCGTAATTTCTAGCTTTGATGGCGCTGTTATTGGCCAAGTGCATAGCCATGAAGTTGTTCAAACCGGCGGGCTGGCCCTGAGGACCTACGATATGCTGAACGCACTCCTGCGCGGGGTGAGCTTTTACAAGAGCCTTGCTGCAAATTCAGTCGGCTGAAACTTGAGGCCACCGGAGTGAAGCAGTTACACGGAATGACTCGTGCTAAGTGCAGCCGAAGCATGAGGATTTACCTTCAACTGGCAGTGACCTATAAAATGTCGGGTATGTTTACTTTGGGAATATAAGGCTCAGTTGTCCAAAGCCGACCTTTAACCTTGCAGGTTTCCCTTTTTGGTCAATTCTTAGCCAAGGTCCCTAAAGGTTCACCAATACCTACTATATGTCCAGTCCTTGCCCCCGAGTGTGTTTTCTATTTCTGCTTGGGGCATGAAATGGCCGAAGAATCAGAATCAGAACGACACAATGATGCCATGTAAGCTTTGCGTGAAACTGGGGTGATTGAGAGAACGCCTTTGAGCTGTCACTTGCTTGCCAGGCCTTAGATCGCGGAACGGCCCCACGTCCAGTTGGAAGCGCCATTGTTGAATCCTCGTCTCCCCGATTTTCTCGATCCCAGGAAGGTCTTGCAGTACGACGCCGTGAACTCGGAGGCCTTGCTTGCTTACACATCCGTTTCAAACAACTCTCCTGGCAGCCAGCCCCTTTTGAAGGAATCCACATGCTGCTTTCCTTGCAGTTGTCCAGTTTTCTGCCGTGTGTGTGAATTTCCATCGTGTTCCCTTTCAACCCGGGAAACAGCTATGTAACCTTTCGCAGGAGGTCTGAGTCTGGTCAAGTAAGAATGATTCAGAATTTGGACATATATTTTTTGTAGACCCCAGAGTCCGAGTTGGGCCAAGAATTAGACTGTCATTCATTGGTGATTTGGATTGGTGGTTTTGGGTTTTGAACCTCTGGTTCTTGTTGAGGGTACATGGGACGCCACCTAACCTCCAATCCAAGCCACCAATTGAAGAGGAGCAGGATCTCAATATGACGCAGATTTCGATGTTGTAATTGTTGGTGTACCCTTTTCTCGGGCTGTCCTCCAAATCCATCTCGTGTTTTAGAGGGTGCACTGAACATGAAACATAATCGGAACATGTTATTTTCCGTAAACCCCTTCTTTTCTTGCGTGCCACCTGTTGCTACGAAAACGGGGGGTGCCCTGTTGAGCCCCAAGTTGGCTCACTCAACAGGAAGACGGCGTCCGCCGAACTGCGCCAGGCCATCGCCTGCCTGGCGTCCCATCACTTCTACACGGACCAGCCGGAGCTGGCGCTGCGCTTCTACCGGCGGATGCTGCAAAACGGGGTGGCCTCCGCCGCCCCTCGACTCGCAGATGTGCGGCAGATGGGCCGCCTCAAATTTTGCGGGCGGCCCATCTTTTTTTGAGGGCACTTGGGGTGCTTTTCTTTGGGTGGGTGGGGGGGTGGGTGTTAAAGCACTTTGCTCTTTCTTTTTGAGGTGGGGCCCCGAGCCGTGCTTGCGATCGGGTTGCTCCGAACCTCAAAGCGACCAAGCCAGCAGGGTAGAGAAACTTGTTTCCTATGTGCCAGGATCTTTGCACAATGTTTGTCTTGAAACGCGTGGTGTTCAGATGCGTTTGCATTAGTTGCAACTCGCTTGAGGAGCTTTGGAACAACATGGGGCTTTGCTGCTTCTATGCCGGGCAGTACGACCTCACGCTGAGCTGTTTCGAGCGTGCGTTGATGCTCTCAGATGACAACAACATGGCGGATGTATGGTACAACATAGGGCAGGCACGCGAATGCAGCCTTCGGATTCCATTTTCTTTTCCCGATTCGGGAGGTAATTAGGGGGCAGCTGGTCCATTTTTGCCCGTTCCATTCTCTTAAGCCGACCAAAGCCGACCAAACGCCTTTTGGCTTCCCTTTTTGGCCCAAGTTAGCTTGTTTCATCTCACTGGGAGGGCAGCAAACTCGCACTTGTGCTTTGATCATTTTTCGAGAAGATCGGAGCAAGCCTATCAATTAATCCAACACTCCAAAAAGGACGCATCAGGTTCTCTACACAAGATGTGGTGTCTTCCAAATGGCCGGCCGTGGTTTGCGCATTCTATTTTACGCCTCATTCGCAAGCGAGGCATGGCAGCATGCTCGTCTGAGTTTGAGCTGGTTCCCTTTCAGGAGCCAACTTTCTCTTTTGGGCCAGGGTCTTTGAAGCAACCATGTGGCCAAACTGGCCGTGTGAAGTGGGATTCTCAGAGCTCTTGCGTGCTGCGGTTTCTTCGTGGATTTCTGCGGCGGTTTTTTGCGGCTTCCGTTCAGGTTGCCATCGGCGTGGGGGATTTGGGCCTGGCCTACCAAGCCTTCAAGAGCCTCGGTCTTTTGCTAGTTGGCCAGCTGGATTCCATCATACCTCTTTTTGTTTGTCCCATTTCTTACTGAGACCTGTAGGGGAGCAACTGTTGTCGGCATATTTGGAGCCCACCACACAGCTCCCCAGCGAGCTGCAAGTGCCAAGTGGCGTGCTTGTTCCTCGGATTCCGGGCTATCCGTAAGGATCGCCATCAGCGTGGATCCAAACCACGCAGAGAGCTACAACAACATCGGAGTCCTCGAGCTGCGCAAGGTGCGACGACGTTGTTCATCCGATGCCAGGGGGCCTGTTCCACCATTAAGGGCTACAACGAGCGAAACTCCAAGATGCAGGTCCTTTGGGCCCCCTCTAGATCCGTCGTCGCCTGACTTTGCTCACCTTTTGCTTTTTGCCCTTTTGGGTACAAATGCCTCTGCAGACCAACGCGGATCCCCCAAAGACACGGATTCGACCAAATCCCCCCTCCCCGATTCGATTTGCAAGGATGTTGCCCAACCTCCTGGGTTTGTCAGCGGTAGGACGTAGCAGTGTAGCATACACCCTTCAAAGGTTCTAAGAACCAGTTGGGGCGCTTTGGTTTCTTGCCTACATAGGCCTTCACCCGGCTTAGCAAGCAGGTTGCAACCAAGGATACAAGGGGATTACCCCCAATTACCTCTCTCATGTCAGTGGTTGCAACCTGCTTACTAAGTTGGTTGAACATCGAAGTGGTTGTGCCTCAGTCCCCCTATCCCCTCTTTCCCATGTACCCCCTCATCTACCCCCCGGCTTTGTACCTGACAGTTGTTCCTGAAATCGGCAAGAAGTCGAGCATGGAGCTCAACGCCAATTGTTTAAACATCCTCCCTGGCCGGGGCATGGTTGGTTACGCACACGTTGCCCAACCATGAGCCGTCGGGTTTTTGTGAAATATGGTGCGCTCGGGAATTTCATTCACAATTTCCTTTCCTTTCTTGAGAGAAGGTAAGAAGCAAGGAATTTGGGGACCCACTCACCCCCTCAAGTTTCTTCATCAAGGGTAGGCGAAACGTGGACCCGTTTTGGAGCGCCCCCAATATCCACCTTTGGTGGTTTGGACGTTGGGTGCCTGCCCCGCTTGGTGCCAAAGCAACTAACCAAAAGGTCCAGTGGTGCCTCTTTTTTTGTTGGACTTTTTTTTGGAGGGCTTCCCCTTCAAAGTCAGCCACCCAAACCCAGACCGCGCCTTGCATTGGCCGGAGCGATCCAAATTCCGGCGGTTGCCAGGGCAACGTGGAGCAGGCGCAGGCGCACTTCGGCACAGCCATGCGGCTGGCGCTGCACCTCTTCGAGCCGGCCTTCAACGGGGGCTTGTTGGCGCCCGGGATGCGGAATTTCTCAATTGGTGCCAGGGCATTTCATTTGTTTAAAGGCTTTAGGATATTCAATTGGAGGCCCAACATGAGAATCTGGACATATCGTTTTATTAGTTTTGTTGTACCCGATTTCGGCTTCGGTACGGAAGAAATGGAAGGTATGATATGTTCGATCAATAGCCGACATGGTCTCAGCTGCGCAAGAAGCCAAATAGGAGGGTTCGTTTTGTTTTCCCGTTAAAGCCACAAGCTGGTGGTACCCTCACAGAAAGAGAGACCCGTTTGTAGCTTTCTCGCCGGGGTTAGTCCCCTATCCCTGGCTATACCTTTAATTTATACCCACCTACGGATCAACGCGGAAACCACAATCGGTTCCTCCGAACATGGCGGGGCTTTTGGGTTCCATGCGCATGTCTCGGGGGTGTTTCCCCAGCGTTCCGCTGAGATCATCGATTCGCTTGAGGCCTTCAAGCTGGGAGAGTTCCAGGACAGCTTCGAGCTGGCCAACAAGGCCCTGGAGGCGAGGCGAGCCGCTCGTTTCGGGTTCAGGCCAGCCGCGCTTGGAAATGCCAAAGGGCCGCCAAAATGGCTCGTCTTTGTGACCGACAAAAGCCACTTACCCTCCCACCAATCAACAGGAGGGTCCTGGAAGGGACGTGCCAATCGGGTTCCATGTGAATTGGTGGGAGGCTAGACCTTTTTGAACCAATTGGCTTTTCCGTAAAACATGCAAAAGGTAAGAAGTTCTCAGGGGGAAGAGCAACCCAACAACAAAGGACCGCCTAATGTTGACCCCGGAGTACGCAGAACCGAACCCCTTGATTGAAGAGGCTGGGGGGAATCCGGCTCACTTAAATAATCGGGTTGTTCAAAATCCGTCCTTAACCTCAATCCGGGTGACGGATTGGGACAACCGGGCTCTCAGTTTGAACAACCCAGGTCGGCGGTCAGCCACAGAACGCCTTTCTGGATCTTGGTAACATAACAGGCCCAAGTACCAAACTTAGCCATGATTAGCTGACTTGCACAGATCCAACCGTTTGACCTTTCGGTTTTCCCGTTTTGGTCCACTTTGGTAAGGTCCCAAAAGGTTTACCTTTGATTTCCAGTTTCTTTGAGTTAAAGGAGTAAAGGATGGTTCGGTTCGCTTCCCTCATTCCCTGCCCATCACCTTTGCGAGAAGGTTATGGGGGCGTTTGTTGTTTCCCTAGTCATTGCGGCGGAGCTAGGCAATCTGCTGCCTGGCAAGGCTTTTCTTGCAATCGCCCTTTCCTCATTGGCTGTGGCACTTCAATCTTGCCTGCATATTAAATGACCAAACTTTTCAGGTTAACCCTCCGTACCCCTCCCCTCCCACTCACATGGAACCAAACTCTGGGGGTCCTGATTGGATCCTTTGGTGTGTTTTGACGGGAAGGTGGCACCGTTGTTTTCATTCCGTTTCTCACATTTGCCTTATTGACCAGGCAAGTCGTAATCCCCGGGGACAAAAGGACTATACCCTTTCGACAATAGCCTCATAGTGGCTGTATGTCTCATCACCCAGCGGTGGCTTTGGGTAGTGGAAACCATTTGAGATACAGTTTTTTTGTCCTTATGGTCGACGCCTTCACACCACTGGCGCAGGCATACCCAGAGCACATTGAGAGCAAAGAGCTCATCAAGCAGCTGAAGGCTCACTTCTCCTCATTGTAGCTGAAGCCGGAAGCTGGCGACCTCAAATTGGATGCTCAACCCACTCAGGAAGCCTCAAAGCATACTTCAGGGCCTGTCAACGACTAACCTTTCCCACCAGATTTATCCCCTTGTAAAGCAGGTGTTTGGAGGTATCCTTGAGGAACCCTGCAAAAACGGCCCAATCCCCAGTCATACCTATGGTAGCCTACACGTGGGTTGAACATCCAAGTACCCCAAGCCACAAATCACCCACGCCTGGCTTCAGTGGCTGGAAACCACCGGCGAGTGTGTCACCAAGCGTGTTGGCGGGGCCTGAGGGTGTGGCTGGTTCCCCGCAGTGGCCAGACGCGGCATCCAAACCGATTCGGGATCCTAACCATAATAGGTGTGGACATCCACCCTGCTTTGCATGGTTTTGGGTAGACTCCTGGAGTGCCGGGGTTTGAGTATGATTCAGATGGATCTTTCGGTGTGGTTCCTTTTGATGCCCAGGCCCCGCAAACCTAATCGCATAGCCAAAGAATGCATGTGCCGCTTGCGCGAGCGCTCGAGCGGTGAGCAAAATCGGTTGACAGAGCGTTTTTTGTTTGTGTTTTTTGGAACGAGACGCACGATGCTGAGGCAAGACAGGTAACGGGAAGTTGATCGGCCCGGCTTCGGCTCGGCCATCCCCACCCCCAGAAAACAATCTGCGGGTAGGGGTCTTTCCACTTCTTGTACGGGGGGGGGGGCTGGTTTTTCATATTCCATGATTTCCTTAGTGTGATTCAACGTTACCAGAGCTGTATCTTTACCCTTGCCGACGGACGAAGAAACTAGCTGGTTCGATAGGGGAATGAAGAAATGGAATGTCTGGAAGAAAAACCATCCATCCTATGGGTTTCCTTTACGGGAATCCCCTCCCGGTTCATAAAAACCCGGTCGAGGTCATTCCCTGAGCACCAAGGAAAAGATGCCTCGGTTGATTCGGTAAATGGACGACGTACCCGGAACCCGTGGCCCGGCTCAGGCGCCCAAGACGCGTCGGGAGGCGACCCGCCGTTCCCGGACGGTGCCCGTGAACCAGGCGGGTTGGCTGCACTGCTGGGGTTGGCTGCGCCCAAAACAGGGCTGAAGCTGCCCTGGAACATCGGACATCACATTTTTTTTCATGGGGCAGCGGGCAGCGCCACCTTTTTAAAGGGAAGTTTCAGGGTCAGGTTCCTTTTGGGTGATTTGAACATGCCATGCATAATCCTACTGGGCCAGCCGGCAGGGAAATCGCTTCTTTTTGAGTTTGTTGTTCATGAGACGGGCTGTTTCCTGGGCAAGCTATGCTTGCGTGAGCATCGCGAGCAGTGCGGTAAGAGCCGCCGGTTGAGACTAAAATTTTCCTGCTTGCTGGCTTGCTTGCTTTCTTGCTTGCTTTGTTTATTCATGAATGTTTGTACGGTATTTGTTGAGTTACTGTATTAGCACTGTTTGCTGTTAAAAAAGTTTGTTTTTCATTGCATTGAGTTCGGCTGGGTTGGATTGGATTGATTGGCAGCTAGACGTTGATGGCTTTCCCTTGCCATTCGGATCTCCAAACAAGCATTCGCTGTTCTGTGCCCAGCTTTTCTGTCGACTCGTTTTTTTCTCTCAAAAGGGAACCCATGCGGAGGATTCTTGTTTACAAAATAGTGGTTTGTTCAGGGTCCCATGTTCCGGCTGGTTTGCTTGTAAAGCAGTAGTTTTTGTGTTTTTTGGACGTATTCTCCAATCGAAACCCCGCTTCACGTTCAAGCAGTTCGTTGAACCCGACCCTGCCAAGCAGGCCGGGCGGGTTCAAACCCCACCCCCTTGCAGGCTGCTTTGGAGAAGATGCCGCCCTCGCCACTCGAGTCTCGAAGGCGGGCCGGAAATGTGGAGGTTCGCCCCACTGGGCTGTTTAAGTTTTTCAGGTGTCTTTGGTTGGAACCATTTCCTGAAATGCCATTGGGTGGCCCTCTTTAAAGTTAGTTTGCAGGGAACCCCATCCCTTTGGTTTCTGGGTGCGAACAAGGGGGTCTGGAAAATCTAACAAATACGAGTCTCCTTTTGGTATCCCTTAGGGTAACTCAGCAACTGCGGGCCATCTACCCGCACTCTGCCCCAACTTCGAAGTACTGCAGCGCCACTCAGCCAGCAGTCGGCGCGTCGGCGTTGCTTCTTCGCCGATCCCAACTTGTGACTTTGGCGCCCTTCGCTTTCCCTCGCGGAACCAAAAGCCATCAGACAACTCATCACTCTTTCCCGGACACCCAGGTCATATCCAGCAAAGCCGCCCGCCCTGAATCAAGAGGCGCGGTATGGAGGAGGGCTGGGCTTGGGGATGGGGATGGGGAGGGGTCCTTGTAAGGAGACTCATTGGGGCCCAACGATCCGCGAGTAAGAACCTCAAAAAGGGGCTAGCAACTCTTTCCTGGATTGTGCCGGGTGTGCCAGGTTGGTTGGGGTGTCCTCCCTGTAAAAAGTGTTGTTGTTGCCCCCTTTATATAATTTCCCACAATTCCCTTCAAACCACCTAAAGCCCTGGCTCCACACGCTTCTTCGAGCCCTTTCTAAGAAGGAACTAAGTACCTTTCGGGGCCTTTTCTCGACTTTTCTTTCCTTCCTAGCTTTCTGGTTTCCGTTCCAAACTACCTTTCAACCCCTGTCAACGACCTCTCCCCTTTTACTTTCTGAAAATTCACCCAATGCTAAACACCAAACTTCTGACAGGCTCTTTTGGGGGTCCTTTCATCACTTCCCTTCTTTTAGTTGTAAACTTAAACTTGTAAATTGTATTTAGCAGGCTGACGCCTGATGCCGCCGACCCCCGTAACAGCATCACACACGTTGGAGAAACTCCGGCCCTTCTCCGTCTCTCAGCAGGATTTGCGCCAAGGTCTCGCATGCTGGGGATGCGGGGGCTGCATCGTTGGAGAAAAAGGCAGCTTTTGCATCCCCAGCTTCACCAGCATCATCTGCACGTGCCCGGGGTGATGCTTTGCATGCTGGGGATGCAGGAGCTGCCTTTTTGGTCTTCGAATGTTGTGAAAAAAGGCAGCTTTTGCATCCCCCGCTTCACCAGCATCATCCTGCAGGTGCCCGGGGTGATGCTTTGCTTGCTGGGGATGCAGGAACTGCCTTTTTGGTCTTCGAATGTCGGGAAAAAAGGCAGCTTTTGCATCCCCCGCTTCACCGGCATCATCCTGCAGGTGTCTGGGGTGATGCCTGGCATGCTGGGGATGCGGAAGCTGCTTTTTGGTCTGGGACGGAGAAGAGCCGGGCTTTCTCTCAGCGATAACAAGGGCCGGATTTTTCTCCAACGTCTGGCTTCATGCGGGGATGATGAGGCTGATGATGATGCTGGATGACGAGGCCGATGAGGGCGCCGCTGATGATAATGATGATGAGGAGGATGACGATGATGCTGCTCAACCAGAGGAAGGAGGACGATGCATCATCATCATCGTCATCATCCACCATGTCGTCATCATCATCCATCATCATCCTCAGCCTCAGTAGCATCATCATCCTCAGCCTCATCATCCAGCATCAGCACCATCGTCACATCATCATCCTCATCATCCTCCTGATCATCATCATCATCCTCGTCACCATCATCATCATCATCGTCATCATCATCAGCGGCGTCCTCTTCCCGTAGTCTTCCCGCAGTCTTCCGTCATCTTCCCGTAGTCTCCCATCATCTCCCGTACAGTCCCGTAGTCTTCCGTCATCTTCCCGCAGTCTTCTGTCAGCTTCCCGTCATCTTCACGTAGTCTTCCGTCATCTTCCGGTAGTCTTCCGTCAGTCTTCCGTCATCTTCCCGTAGTCCTCCGTCATCTTCCCGCAGTCTTCCGTCAGCTTCCCGTCATCTTCCCGTACTCTTCCGTCATCTTCCCGTAGTCTTCCGGCATCTTCCCGCAGTCTTCCGTCATCTTCCCGTCAGCTTCCTGTACTCTTCCGTCATCTTCCCGTAGTCTTCTGTCAACTTCCCGTCATCTTTTTCGTAGTCTTCCGTCATCTTCCTAGTCTTTTCATCATCATCATCCATCCTCACGCTTAGAGGTGAAAGTTAGAGGTTAGGGTTAGAGGTTAGGGTTAGAGGTTAGGGTTAGAGGTTAAGGTCAGAGGTTAGGGTTAGAGGTTAAGGTTAGAGGTTAGGGTTAAAGGTTAGGGTTAGAGGTTAGGGTTAGAGGTTAGGGTTAGAGGCCAGGGTTAGAGGTTAGGGTTAGAGGTTAGAGTCATCTTCCGGTAGTCTTCCGTCATCTTCCCGTCATCTTCCCGTAGTCTTCCGTCATCTTCCCGTAGTCTTCCGTCATCTTCCCGTAGTCTTCCGTCAGCTTCCGTCGTCTTCCCGTAGTCTTCCGTCATCTTCGTGCAGTCCCGCAGTCTTCCGTTATCTTCTCCTTGTCTTCCGTCGTCTCCCGCAGTCTTCCGTCATCTTCCCGTAGTCTTCTGTCAGATCTTCCCGTAGTCTAGGACGGTTAAAGGTTAAAGTTAGTTAGGGTTAGAGGTTAGGGTTAGAGGTTAGGGTTAGAGGTTAGGGTTAGGGTTATGGTTAGGGTTAAAGGTTAGGGTTAGAGGTTAGGGTTAGAGGTTAGGGTTAGAGGTTAGGGTTAGGGTTAGGTTAGGGTTAGAGGTTAGGGTTAGAGGTTAGGGTTAGAGGTTAGGGTTAGAGGTTAGGGTTAGAGGTTAGGGTTAGAGGTTAGAGAGATCAGGGTTAGAGGTTAGGGTTAGAGGTTAGGGTTAGAGGTTAGGGTTAGAGGTTAGGCGTGTCAAAAATCCGCTGCGGGACCCCCCCTCCCCCCCTCAGACTCCCCCGAACCACCACTTAGAACACGCCTCGCCCCTTTGCAGAGACTAACTTTGCTTTTGCAAAGGGGTCGGCGGATTTTGATACTGCCTGTGAATTTTGAATTGACATCCAAGTGCCTTGAGCAAGTTCCTTACTGGGCTTTGACGGTTTTTGCCTCCGGCAAAAGGGGGCACCTCAACTTGGACGAGGACCAAAGTGGAAGCCCATAGAAAGGACGTGTATCAAGGACGGGGTGGCCCGATGACAGATTTAATAGGGGAAAGGGATTACTCTGGACCTCCAGTGAACAGAATGGATCAAAAAAGGTATGTCACAGGTTGCTTGAGTCAATAGGGTTGGGGGGCCTTGTTCCTGATCTTTTAGGTTTCCCCTGAACACCCGCAACCGCAAAAGCACAGCTCCGCTACTTGCTGGATCTGGTTTTTTCACCTCGAGCCATCCAGGGAGAAGACGCCAAGCTTAGTCTGGGAGCCTCGGTGAGGGGGTTCCCTGGGCAGCTCCAAGACGGGCCTTCGAAAGCCAGTCCCAAGTGTGCTTTTTGAGGGTAGCCTTTAGGATGGGTCTCAAGGGAAATCAACCGAAACTTCACGATGTGAATTTCGCAGACGGCGCTGCAAAACATCTATCGCTTTGTCCGTGTGGTGTGCTGTTGTGGGTCAGTGTGGGTGCTGTCGTTGGAGTTGGTGTGCGGGCGGGAGGGCGGCGGGTGGGCGGGCGGGTGGGGGTTGTGGCGTTGTTGTGGGGGTGGTAGTCATGGGCCGTTGTCGTTGTCGTTGCCGTCGTTGTTTCGCTTGACAGGGCCCAGTGCATGCGGAGTATTTTGCATGCCGCCATGCTTGCCACGACAAGGGAAGGCCCGCAACCATTTCTATGTGTCCACCTGGCCGGATCCTAAAAGTGGTGGTTTTCCTTGTGGTTTCGCTTTGAGCCAACCTGAAAAGGGTACCCACACAAACGTCAAGCGCGACTCGATTGTCTTGGAAGAGGCCTGGAGAATTTCTCGTACCCGGCTCTCAGTTGGTGCTCCCGGCGCGGTTGCGCATGCGGGTCTGGAGGGGCGGGCTGCATGCAAGCACTTGCTCGAGGCTGCATCCCACTTGGCCTGTTTCATGGCGAGCGATTCCCCACATTTGGGGATAAAGCCAGCTCATGTTGTAGATCGCTTACTTGGCGCTGCCTTTTTCAGGTTGGAACTATGGTAGGCATTTGCAGCTGTGCATGTCAAGGCCCCAGGTCGCTTTTGCAGCAAAGCCTCTTCTGACCTTTGCTTCAACTGGCCAGGGCTGAGCTGACCTCATGCGGGTTTCCTTGGTTTCTCCCCCCCAACCAGCAAACAGCTTGGCTAACGACTGTTTTAGAACCAACCAGGCGCCCGACTGCATAGTTTGCTTTGTATTTTGGTAAGCCCAGAATTGTCAGTTTACCCAACAAGAGCCAACAAGCCATGGGCATTTCATTTAACACCCAGCAGGGAGTTCTCATCATTGCACCTGCTCCATATGTTTTTGTGGTGTTGGGGGAAAAATTGAGTAGGACAACGCGTAGTTTGCACTTTTTGTTGGCCAATCCACGGAAACAAGTCGTCCAGTGGCTGAATCGCTGAGTCGTAAGCGCCCCCGGCTATGGCCGGATGGCCTGTGCGGCGGCTCGGACGCAGCTGCACTTGCGCCTTCCCTGGCCGAGGCTAGACGTACAGGAGCCTTCGGTGACAGGGGTTCGTGGGCATCACCCACCGAAACTGGGGCACGCAAAATATGAACCAGGGAATAGAAAACCACATGGTTGTCTTACTCTTCTCCTTTTGTTCCTGGTCTTTGAGCACGTTTGGGTTCGGACCAATTCACTGGTAAATGCAACGTTTGGACTTTTCTTTTGGCCAACGCAGTTTTGGAGCACCATAGATGTGCGCCAAGAAAATGCTTTCCTCTGAAGAGCATAATGGTTGGAACCCAATGTCATCAGGGGCAGCAATGACAGATTCCATCTTGCACCAGCGAACCATCATGATGCGGAACCCAGCTGATGGAAGAACTCATTCAACACCCAAAGCCCCATCCCCTTGACTTGCTTGGTGTTTCCCAGTAGGCAATCACATCTGGTTTGGCAATGAACCTACGGAGCCCCCCCAAAGTTAAAAGCCAAGGGATGGGGTCAGTTCGGGGTCTTTCCCTGGGCGCAGGAGCTCCGGCGATACCAGGGGTGCCCAGACGTTCTCCGCAGCCTCTCCCTAGTGCAGCTGACCAACGCGCTGCTCACAGCACGCAGCTCTCTGCTCGGCAATGCGTCCAACAGCACGGCTGGGTCCCCGGCAAAGGGTTTGTGGCTGCATGGTTGCATTGTTTGGTGTTGGGACCTGTTTCAGTTTTAGCTTGAAAGGGATTCCAAACAGGTGAGCCATTGTTTTTGTTGGTTGGTTTCTTCTTAGCACGCACCCTCCTGCCCGTTGCTGTGACACTCACCAAAGGGAAGCCCCCTTTAGTTTGACACACTCACAGGGATGGCCCACTTTGAGGGAGGTTTCCTTCGGAGGCAACTTGTCCAAACCAGACGCTCGCATTGTAAGTGTTTTGTGGCGCTGTGTTTGTTCCACCGGGCTGTGGCGGAATTACAGAGGGTTTGGTTTTCCCCTCTCAAAAGTTGGAAAAAAGGGCAGCGCTGGACGTCTGGGCAGTGAGTGGAATGGCCTTTAAGCGAACCTCGCCCCCTCCCAACAAGTTGAACAAACGGCAGCGCGGGAGGGCTGGGAGTTGGGTGGCTTCCAGGTACGCGCTCGCAGGCTTGGAGCAAAGCGCCGGCTCCAGGAGGGGCTGGTCCAGCTGAGGAACCTCCTGGAGGCAGAGGTTCGTCGGGCCAAACACCTTCGGATGATCACAGCTTCCCCCACCAGGGTTCTCAACCTTGCGTGGGTTGAACGTGCAAGCGGGGAAGGTTCCCTACCTATGTTTTCGGGCGCGCCGCTTTTTGCATCAATAGGCAGGAAAGGCCCCAAGCTGAACCATCCCTTTGCGGTTACTGAGAGCCAACAGTCTTTGGGGAGAAGAAGCGCAAGCCATTGCTTCTGGAGGAACCTAAGGCCTTCCGACCCCCCCTGGTTCTCCCGTCCTAGGAATACTTGACCCCGCATTCCCAGACAAGTCATCTTAACCCCGGGAATTGCAGCGGATTCCTTCCCGTTTCCTGACCCCTTTCCGTTCACCTCGGCGAATTCCACGAGGCGCCCTTGGCGCGGCGCCTGGCGCCGGCGGCGCCTTCGGACGCCGCCGCCTTCTTCCGGGCCGCGGGGCTGGCGGAGGCGGCGAGGCGCCTGGCGCCGCCGCTCTTCAGGCGGAAGCTCCCGCGGCGCGCGGAGGCGGGGGGCGGGGGGGAACCACGGGGCGCATGAAACAGCGGTAATTACTTTTTTCAGTTTTTTGTTTTGTTTTTGTTTTGGAGGGGTTGGAAACCCGAAGTCACCAAACAAAGATTGCCGGTCGACTGAAGCCTTTTTGTTGCCAGGTTTCTTCATTCAAGCCGAAAGGGCCAAAAAGTTGTGTTCTAAGTTTTTCGGCCGGTCAACTCGTGGAGCAGGAAATTGGCGCCAGAAAGTCCAGCTATGTTCTCCACGCCCCGTTTTCGTGGATCGGGTTCGTTCGGCTGAGGGCTGGTGGCAGACCTTGAAGCAGCACCTCGGGGACGATACGCCGCTGGCGCTCGACGACCGCGAGGCCAGTCACGGACCCTGCCCTTCCGGTTGCCAAGGCTACGGAGCCGTAAATTAAAAATATTGTTTTTTAATTAGGGGATACCTTAGAAACACAAAACGCGAAGGGCTTTGGCCAGCCGCTCAGCAGGTTAGATGGACAAGGATGTGAGTTTGGGTCGCTACTCTCTGTAGAATCCTTGGAGAAGCCCCTTCCAAGTGACAAAGCCTTCTCTCGGCTTGAGCATGGATGTGGGGAATTCGTTTCTTTTGGTGAGCTTCTTTGACTGCTACAAAGTGATCGCCAGGCATCTGAGAAACTGTTTTGTAGAACTATATGTAGCTGAGTGCAAACGTGGCACCACCCATATGTTTGCCCGGTGTTTGGCCAATTTGTAGACAGTTCGGCTTTCTATCGCTCTTCCTCAGTCTTGCCTTTTTCCTTGATTTGGAGCCCCCTCTCCCCAAAAAACAACAACAACACACCCCCATGGAAGTTCACTGGTCTGGGTTTCGCGATGTTTTTGTCTTGTTTTTTCCCCATGAGCCCCCCCACCCTGTGAAGGTTTTCCGTGTAAATCCGCCGTCGGCTCAAAATGCCCAGTCCGCGCCCTGCACGGCCCTTCGGGCCGCGCAGCTTCTCGCTGCGGCGGAGGCGCTGCGGGCGGAATCGACGCTGTCGCTGGACTGGAGCTGCGCTGATGGGCGCCGCGTCCGGGACACTGCCGCGTGGGTTGGGAGGTCAAAGCGAGGGGCAGACAACTTGCCGCGATAGGCTGGGCGGCTGAAAGGTAACCCGCAAGATCCTTACCCTGGGTTCCGCAAGGGGTTTTCTTTGCAGTGGCTTTCCTGTTTATGAGGATTATGGATTGGCCTCCGTTTTGAGGAGCCCAGGCAGGAATGACCTCGACCGGGTTTTTATGAACCGGAAGGGGATTCCCTGAAAAGGAAACCATAGGATGGATGGTTTATTGGGGTCATTCCCTCATTCCCTGCCGAGAACCAGCAAGAAGACGGCAAGTGGTTCAACTATGGTTGGTGGGGGTTGGCAAAGCCTAAGACTTTGCCACGGCAAGCACATACAAAGCCCATGTAGCCTTAATCATGCGAAGGTCAGTTTGCCGGTTGAGGGGAGTGGGAATCTTAGCCCAGCTCTTAGGTAGTTACGGGAATCAACTACTTCAGTGCCACAGAAAGGGTTATCGTCCATGTTCCCACCCGCCCCCAGCAGCAACATGTATAGGGAGGGAGGGTGCTTTTCCACACAATCCCTCTTAGAGGATCACCCCATTTTTGCCTTTGCGTGAAAGCATTGACGAGGGCCGAGCCTCTTAACTTGGTTCAGGGGAGGTAGGGGGCAGAGCCCAAGAAGATGGCAAGTTTCGATTTGGCTTCCCAATGGGCCAATGGGGCTTAGTAAGCCTGAATGGGAACCCCAGATTGGTCAACCCCAGTTTATTTATGGGGGGTTTTGGTGGGGGTTCATCATCCTTGCGCTATTCATCCGGGGTCAACATCAGCCATAGAGCAAACAGTTCCCGGATTTTGGGCGCTGCCCATGGGTTCAGTCGGCTTTGCACCAGAGCGTTCGGCCAGCTGTGCGGGTGGAGAATCCGGCCAGGAGTTGCTGACTGCCGCCCAGCGACACTTGTTGCGCCTTGACCCTTTGGTTCGATTCGACCATTGTGAGCATTTGGACTTGGTCTTAGGTCGCCACTTTGTGAGTTCTGCGATGCCCGGAAAGGTCCCTTCAAACTGAACAGGTGATTTTGGGATGGTATCACGGAACGGGTGATTTTCCACAACCATGATTCGACTTTTGGCAAGCATGAGTTATGGTCATTAAACAGCTGTTGACTGTTGTCCCCAGTGAAAGAATTTTCACTTGAGGGGTCGGTTTTTCACTTGAGGGGTCGGTTTTTCACTTGAGGGGTCGGTTTGACCCACCCGGTGTTTGTCCTTGACACTCTTGGGAAAGGACGAGAAGGGGGATTCACCGCGCGCCCTTGCGTACTTCCCTGGTATCGCCTCCAGTAAATTTGGTTAGTACCCCCCCTGAAACCTAGGCTTTTCCTTGTGGTAGGCCAGTAAGGTCAAGCAAAGGAACGTAGTTAAAACAGGTATGCAGACCAAGTCCCTTGATTGAAGGTAAAAAGAAATCAGCGAAGCATTCTAGTTTACTTTTGGCAGTGCTTTCCCCAGCAACAGCAAAGCCACACTTTTCTAGTTCCATGAAAGCTTTCGAGTAAATCAGCAACACCGAACAGTTATCAATCAATCACTTTAGCAGTCCTTTTGTCCTTTTCCATGGGCCAAAAGTCTTGCTCTTGCATTTGCTTGAAGTACATTGCATCAGCATCGTCACGCAAAGGCACATTTCCTCGGTTCCTTGGATGTTGAAAGCCTCGCAATGTTCACCCGACATCAATCAAGGGCCCCTTTTGGCCCCTGAGCTGCGTCAACACCTGGTGCCATTTGAAGCATTAAGTTTGGGACGTTTCCAAGTCGGGCGGGGAAATTCCGGATCACTTGCGGGGCAAACAGAATCCACCAGCGGTGGGAGTTGGGCTTCAAACTGCGCCAGGTGCCTTCTGTCTGGGGACGTCTCCTGGCCGCTGCTGCTTTGGGAGGAGGTGCTGGTTTTTCACCTGCTGGACCGCCTGGACTGCCGCGTTTGGGCCCCGGTGGAGGTGGGAGGGCCGCCCTTTTGGATGCGCCTGCGGCTCGGCTTTGCGATGTTCTGAGTTTTGGCTGTTGGGTTCGGTGTTTCCCGTTTCTCTCTATTCCACTTGCCCACTTCAAAAGGCAAGTGCCCTTCCACAAGGGTCCTGGGAGCTTCCACGTAGCCCAATGGCTAGTTTAGCAAGTGGTTATATTGCCTGGTTCCTGTGTGGCTACACTTCCACATGAACGCCTTTATGATTGTGTAGGCTGAACCAACGGGTGCTGCGGGGATTTCCGAGGCTTCCCTCTCGGAACGTGGAGGCCAACTATGTGCGGGGAGCTGGGGGTTTCCACTGCGACCAAGCATTCCGGAGCTTTGTGGAGGTGGGACGAGCTTGTCGTTGGACCGAGGACCCAGTTGTTTAACGGTTAGCTCACTTCCCGAGTTCCTGGACTACCAATTTGGCAGACCATGTAGGTGAGCAACAAGCTGGGTTGCACCAATTTCGTGCCTCAAAATGAGGGACCCTGAACAGAATGTCCCTTCAAGCGCACCTCAAAAACAAGCAAAACCTATAGGGATGCGCCCAAAGAACTTGCCATCCGAAAAGCCTGTCGGTTTCCAGCCAAAAGGGGTTCCGTCATTCTTGATTGAAGCTCCACTCCTTTTCGGCTACCACCCAAAAGGAAATCAAGGCCCCCAAATTGTCGGTTTCTCTTCAAAACCGCCAAAAAAGAGGACCGTCAAAAAAAGCAGCCACCCACGTGCCGGAGGCTGAAAAATCTCCATTGCTAGTGGAGGTTGGCGCCTCTCTCGGCGGATGCACCTTGCACGTGCTGACCAGGAGGGGATCGAGGGTTTAGGCTATGAGTTTCAAGAGCCTGAACCATCCAAGTGGTTGGTGGACATCCTTACACCTCCAAAGTGGACATGTGCACCAAAGGGTACCCAATTGAGATTCAAAGTTCCCTTTTTTGTTCCCGTAGTGTTAGACTTTGTGGTAAGCGGACTGCACGAACATCAGCATAAACTATCATGAGCACTCACATGGAGAACTAGAAGATCTATGGGAAAATGCGGTTGCAGTCATTTGGTTGGAAAGCTCTTTGCATGTCCCATCCCGGTGATCAAATGCCTCGTCAGAAGTCCACTTGGAGCCCAGGCGGCCTGAGGCCCACCGGACACTCACTTCAAGTTGGCCATTTATATATTGTCACCCCGGAGAAACACCCCGAGCAGACATCTCAACACACTATGACGTGCTGATCTCCTCCCTTTGCGTTGTACATATATGCATTCTATATATATATATATATATGTATATACATAGACTCTATGGTTTTGGATGGGAGCCATTGGCACCAGACTGCGACTATGACCTCTACGGATGCCCTAAGTATTGCAAGGGAAGACTCCACCATAGGCAAGGGCTGAAGCCTGAAAGAGCCAGCCTTCGAGCCACAAGTGAGACAGCGAAGCACCCCTGTTTCGCAAGAGCCCCAGCAGCCAACGCCCCAAAAGAAAAGACAAGCATCACGTTGCCACCCTTTGCATTGTAGAAACAGGGCTTGGTGTCTGGATCTTCGCTTCAGCGAGGCAAGGTGAACAGCAGTTGCCCCACTCAACAAGTGAGTTCACCACTCCGTGACACACAAGGGCTTGAGTACAGCCTTTATTCAAAGTGATTGCTGGGTTTGCGTGAGGCATCAAAGCTGCTTCCGCAAGGCTTCTTGTGTTGTGTCCTTGAAGTCCATTGCTCCTCCCTTAAGACAGGGAAGATAGACATTTGGGTGTGTGTCAAAGTCGGTGGTTTTGCTTCTGTTTCCCTGGAACACCAAGCTGGAAAAGGTAGTTATGGAGACAACCAACCAACATGCGCGTTCGCTTTTCAGAGTTTGGGCCTTCTCCATTGCCATAGTGAGCTTGCCTTGTGTTTTTCTTTGTTTTTCTTTGTTGGTGTTTTTTCATGTTCTCTTTCAACTCCAAGACTGTTCCAACTTGTTGCGGGTCGAATCGGTCGGCCCAGTCAGAGGCGGGGGAATCCGGGACAACGGCGCAGGCATCCAGGTGCCAGGGCGGTTGCCATAGAGCCCTACCGGCCAGCGGCCATGGCCCTGAAGCGCACGGCAGAGAATGGATTGGCGGATCGTCTTCAGGCGAGGTTCGTGGCCAAGAAACAGGAGGTTCGTCTTCCGAATCATTCGGCGCGATGGTCGCAAGTAGGACTTTTTTTCGGTGTGCGTCTTTTGGGATTTGGTACCCTTTTCATGTAGGTTTAAAGGGCAACCACATGTAGACACCACCATTTTCGGGCAAGCCCCAATATTGACACAAACTATAGGTGGGATCGGTTTAAAGAGCTTACTGAATTGGGTGGGTGCGGGGGTAAACGAGCTCTGGAGACACCACCATTTTCGGGCAAGCCCCAATATTGACACAAACTATAGGTGGGATCGGTTTAAAGAGCTTACTGAATTGGGTGGGTGCGGGGGTAAACGAGCTCTGGAAGGTCCTAGAAACATCCTGAGTTGTCTATGGTCAAGGGGGGGCATGGGGGAGACACAAAGGTTCAACCAGAAAACACAAACATAAAACGTTGTGTTGCGGTTTCCTCTTTCGCTTTGCTTTCAGCACACCCAAAAACGTTTTTCCATCTAGGATTCCAACCACCCCGGTTTCCCACAAAGAAGGCCCTGCCCACTCAATGAGCCCAAGGCTTTGAGGCCTTTGGAGGAAACCAGTGAAGCGGGGTTTGACGGTTTCCTATGAAGTTTGGTCAAAACACTGGGCTTATATAGTGGAGATGGTCATGGACTGTAGGGATTTTGTACAACCATACGGGTTGCCATGTACTGGGTGCTAAAGAGACCACAATTCTGAACATCTGCTCCAAAGGGAAGGCAAAAGTGGATGTGTCACGCAAGTTTTCTGCCATCCCGTGGCTCACTCCCTGATTTCTTGGCCTTTTTTTACTATTGGGGAAGGCCATCATAGTGGCAAACAAAAGCTGGGACATTCTTCTGGCCAATCCACTCGATCGGAAGTGAGCTAGGACCCAGATGAAGGAGGCCGTGGCCAACAGGAGGGGAAAGCCCCAGAAGGGTTCTGATCGAAAGCTTCGGTTTTCACCATCCGCCTTTTCGCCCGGAGGTTGTCGAGGCCTTTGTGTCCGACCAGCCCGGGGCGTGTCGCATGAGCTCGCAGCAAGCCGGGCAGGACGTTCTTTGGCGACCTGGCGTAGTGCATACATAACGTTTAGGGTTGTCAGGAGTTGGCGGAGGTTTTCAGGGGGTTTTGAAAGGTCTTGGGGGTTTCAAAATGTGTTCAATGGATTTGTCAGATTGCCAGTGAGGTGTGGGGATCAGCCCCCTTGATGTTCCAACCCTGAGTGGGTCTACGTTCCCGGAAAGTTCCTTCTCTCAAGCTCAAACTTTCCAGAATTTTCTTTCTCGTCTTTGGCTCCAGCCAAGCTTCAGGGACCCAGGGACCCGCAGGACTGGGTGGTGCATCAGAACTGGCAGCTGACGCCTGGCCCGGCCGAAAGTGGCTGCCAAGTGGTGACCCTGGATGAGATCTTCAGTGGCCCGACCTCAAGATTCACATGAGCCATGGGTCAAAACACTCCTGCCTCGTTGGGGTGTGTGTCTTTTTTTTGCCGGACCCCCCCCCCCATCAAAACTAACCAACAAGGCGCTCCATGTGCAATGGGAACGACAACGCCTTGGATGAACAGGGCAGTGTGCCATTTGAGAGTGGAATCCTTCACCTTGTTGGATAGCCCCCTCTTGAATCCACCAGGCTGATACATCCGTGGTCGACACGAATGATTTGGCCTCTTACTGTTGATGGGTTGATGGTTGCAAATTCCTAAACTTTCGCGGCTTCGCGGATTTTGCCCACAGGCCAAATTTAGACCTTACGCGTGCACCATGCCCCTGGTTGGGTAAGACACCGTCCGGGAATACAAAGCGCCCTCGAATTCAACTGCCGGACGATGCCTGGCAGTCCATGCGATAAGCAGGAAAGGGGAACCCGGGATTTTAAAACCCATCGCTACCAGGCACCCCAAATGATCCGGATTCCCAATAATAAGCCCAATCAAAGGCAACCATGGACTCTTTCTGCTCAATTACTCCAGGCTCGGCATTGAAATGCCGGACGCGCTGGGGTCATTATGCGAGCTCTTTGTGTCGAGTTCTCAAAAAGTGAGAAAATGGTTTCCCTTGAGCTTCTTGCTCGACATTTGGCACTATCCAGCTTTTCCATCTTTCCTCTTTGCCCGCGAGATTGATGCTAGCAAAATATAACATATTTAGTCCGTTTTTCGGTTTTGGGCCTTGGGTACCTTGACCAAGACTGGGTCTAGAAAAGGTCTAAATCTGATTTGGTTTTGGGCACCTTGGCCAAGACTTGGTCTTTAGTAAGAATAGCCACCAATGACCACTGCACTTTGGATCCAAATCGATCTAAGTCGACCAAGATCTAAAATCGTTTTCTCAGGTGGACTGGGCCCACTGGGCGAGCAAGACGTCTTGCTGCGGCTGCACGTGGATGGCCGGGAGCTGCAGGCGCACCCCAGGCAAAACGTTGACCCGTGGTCGGGCTTTCCTAGAAGAGCGCCATGTTTCCGCATCAAAGAGAATCGACCTTTTGATGTTTTGGTCGACCACCTTTTGTTTCCAGGTCCTTTGGGTGTGTCTTTAGGGGACCCTCACCATGATGGTTTGCTTTTGGTCTACGTTTCAAATCACAAAAAAGGAGGCAAGGAGGTTCCCTCCACAAAACACACGCGCCTTTTGGGCAAGTGAGCTGGAAGCTTTCCCAGTGGCCCTTAGGTGCTTCGCAGCCTCACCGCCGTTTCGCGAGTGGCCAGAGCCGCCGTGGCACTGTGGCCCGCGAGAGACGACTCTCCCGCGGGGCAAGAGGCGTATGCGCCGGAAAAGGTGGCCCAATGGCTGTGGGGCGCCTTGGCCGAACTTGTTGAGGGTTTTGCGATTTTCTGCCATGACACCCTTAGTACCCCCCAAAGTGGGTGCTTTTTTTTGTGGGTTTTAAAGGGAACCTCAAAAGAAACTATCTTTTTGGCGGTCCCCTAAAAGCGAGACAGCCAAGTAGCTTATAGTGGTAGAGGCAAACGTGAATGTGTGCGTCTTCCGGGTGGCTCGAGGTCACGGCTTTCGCCTGCGCCTGGTCTACAGCCACGAGGGCCTTTTAGCGGAGCTAAAGGACGAGGAAGCGGTTTGGGCACTCCAAAGTCGCCGAGTGCCCACCGTGGACACCATGACGCTGCTAGCGGAGCGGCCCCAAAGAGATCGAACGGAGATGAAACGAGGGAATCGAGTTGAGTTGGTCGCCTGTTGGGGATTCCAAAGGCAAAGCCACCCGTTTTGGGGATCCACCAAGATACTGCCATGTTCTTTGCGCATGTCGTATTATAGTTTGAGGATTTGCGAAATATTGGACCGAAGCAAACATACGTTTGTGGCCGGGGGCAAGCGCTTGGGTAGAGGTAGCGATGGGCTGTGTGGGGGTCGGACGCCAGCGTTTCGTTTGCCTGGGAGGTTTCGTCTTTGTTTTTGTTGCCTCAAAGGGCAACCAGTACGAATCATTGGGCCCCCGCTGGTTCTCAGAGGAGAGAAGAGCTTGTGGGTTATGACTGGCAGCCTGGGGGCAGGAGGTGCAGTTGGGTGTGCTTCTAGTTTTTCCGATTGCGGGCCATGCCCAGCACTGTTTGCTGACAGTCCTTGTTCTTCTTTGGTTTTCTGTTCTCAGTTTCATGTTGCGGTTTGTTGCGCAAGTAGTGCAACTTGTTGCTTCATTTGTCAATCTTGTGCCGTTCAGTGAATCGTATTGCTTTTGAGTTTGTCTGTTTTCGTTGTTGTTGCTTTGACTTTGAAACCCTGCGCCAAACGCCCAACTCTTTTGTTCCAGACCTCTCCATGTTGCTATGGTCTTGTTTGCTTGCGATCCTATGTTGTTTGGCTTGATCTCTTTCGGTTTGCCCACTAAAAATGCTCTGCTCCAGGAACAATCCCCGTTTTGCCCCGTTCTTGGGCAGCTTGTTAATTTTACTCAGAGGGAAACCAAAAGGTCATTCTCTCTCATTTTTTCAGACACACTCCCTTTTGGCACCCGGTGCACATCGAGTCGCCAGGGGCCCGCGGATGGGCTGTCAGGAGGACCGCCGCAAGAAGGCTGTACTCTTAGAGCCGGGGGCCTGAAAGAAGTGAAGGGGTGGGGTTTGGGTTGCGAGCTTGGGGGTTAGGGGCTATTCTAGGCTTTGCAGATGCATGTTGTGAGAGGGTGATAGTTTGCGCGATAGGGGATCACTTTCTGCGATACCAGCGGGAACTTGATCAAATTGATAAGTAGTGGTCGTGATCTGCCCTATTTGATGGCGATCAATGATGTAGGTCCTGCATGTGAGGATCCAGTTCTTATTCCCGGTGTTAGAACATATGCGTGCCATCCAAGGAACTCGCCCTAGTGATTGCTAACTGAGGACCCCGTTGTGAAGCAGGTGGTCTTTAAAACTCCCTTGAGGAACTGTGAAACACAGAAGCAACTCACCAAAATGCATTCAAGGGATTGAAGGGGGTGCCCTGGGTTAAAAAAAAGTAGCCCTCCCAATTCCACATTTGTGCACAAAGGAACTCATGCAGGGGGGGGAGGGGGGGGGGGGCGGGGACCCAATGTTATTCCCAGGGCAGATGCAAATTGCCGGTTCCAAGCTCTGGCACATCCCCTTTTGCACCATCTGCCAATCCGCCGCAGACATGCGGTTGAGGTGGGCGGCGGCCCAAGTTTTCCGGCACTTTACGCTGCAGGTGGGGTGGGGCGGGGAAGGGCGCGGGGGTTTTGTCACAACAAATTAATCAGCCACATGTGCACATACACGCATACACACACACATATATATATATATATGTATATATACATGCACACATATGTTTACTAGGACCGTTGAACCCACCCGGGCTCTTCCATCCGGCAGCAGCCACATAAATAAAATGACAGGTGTACCATGAATCCATATTAAAGACTACCAACACGCTACTGCAATGGCCTGCACAATGCCGCCACTGCTTTCACGGAAACAGGAGTTTGGTACGTACATAGTGTATCCGTGGGATTGAATCAAGAAGCAATACCGACACTTTCACAAAGTGCTACAAGGTGCGGAAGGCAGAATCATGTGTATTTTTACAAATATGTTGCGTTTCAAAAGTAAAGTGGTCCGACACCCCCAGCATCAAAGGTGCTTGGATACAGGAAGTGAGTTTCCGTTTGCCAAAGCTAGATGCCCCGGTTTCCAAGCTCGACTTTTGAAAGTCGTACGGCGGCATCCCCCAAAAAAGTCACATTACACAACACATTGCAAATTGGCACTTTTCAAGCCCGATGTGTCCCGGTCTGCTTTTAGTAGTTTTTGTTGAATAAAGTGGTCGAGACCTCCAGCATCACCAGCGTTCTGGTTTGTAGACTAAAGGGGACAGCCAATTAGCGCCAGTGTTGTGGTAAACAAATATGTTTTGTCCGCGAGCCAATTGCGGATGTCGTGGTTTCCGGAAACTTTGGCCCGCGAGCCACGGGGGTTGTCTCATTCGGCGAATCGTCGCGCTTCTTACAAACCGCTCGAGAAAGCAGCGGGTTGCCTCAGGACGTTTGGGAGTTGGTGCTGGCCCTGCTGCTGGAGTTTCGCATTGTGGTGGCCCGGGATGCCCTGTTTGGGGCTGGCGAAGTGGGAATCTGAAGGAAACCAAGACTTTTGAGGGGCTTCCCCATTTTTATGGATGTTCCACAGTTTCGTTCAAGACGTGCCAAAAGGGGTCCATAATGTTGCGCAACACCCAAATTTATGCCACCTGTGCATGGTGCCTGCTCACTGGCTTCCTCCAACGCAAAAGGCATTTTTTGTAGATTCCGGGGGGGTTGTGGTTCATTTGTAAGTTTTGCGGTATCACCTGGACCGTGAACAAGGCAGGATTGTTTCCATCACCCCATCCCCTTTTTTTAACATCCCCCCGCAGTTTGCGTCCTCTGACTCAGAACTGCAACCCCTCACCGCCCTCCAAGATAGGCGAGGTGGAAACGTGCTGGCTCTCAAAGAATCGCTCGAGAGGTTTTGGCATGAACCCTATGCTATTGGCATGGATGTTTGATCTGGAGAACTTTTTGCGACGATGTGTGTTTCCCCACGTCCCTGCTTTTTGCATAGGGGGGGCAATAGCCAAACAGAACCTGGGGTTCAAGGGAACTCACCAGTTCGATGGTGAACACGGGAAACCCAGTAAATCCACCGAAACACGCCCCTCATTCTGAAAGAAGCCAAAGGGGGATGGACACCTTCATGTTCCTGCTGAACACGAGCAAGTTTGGCCCCTACCTTGCGGAACTGTTCTGGGGAAGTTCCCTTTGCTCATGCACCGGAACTCAGGAGCGCGTTTTCCAAGCTCCCTACATTTCAATTTCCAGCCTGTTGACACATCACCTTTGCCACTTTTGGATAATCCTCTTGGCTGGGTGATGTTTCAGAGGGAAATGCAGGGAGCTTTGATGCAGACCAAAACTGCAGCCTTACAAATGGAGAAGGTCTACTGTTGGGGCATCAAACCCATCGGTTTCCGGCTCAAATTCCTTTGCGTGATTCCAAGGCGCTACCAGGTTTTGTCACATCTTCACGCCGCATTTGCTTGAAACCCCCGAAACCACCCCCCCCCCCCAAACCCCGCCCCAAACCCCTCACTCCGGCAAAACTTCTGACGCCACCTTCGGGATGAGCAAAACCACCGAACACCGCCCCCTCCAAACCTCCGAGCTCCGAGGTCAGCGAGGCCCCGGAGCTGGCCTCGCAGCTGGTCTTGGGCCCCTCAGCCGGGAGAAATCGGAGCCAAGCCGTCCGAGGGGATTGGGGGGGAAACCCATGTCATGGGGAATGTCCTTGGTTTCTCATTGTTGTTGTTTTGTTCTTTAATGCAGAAATGGTTGTGCTTGTTTTTTTTCCCCAGCTGCTTTGTTTGGGTCCTCTGAGGGTCGGTCAGCTTTCAGGTTCGGAACCTCCGGTTCCAAGGCGCTGGGGTGAGTGTTTTGAGGCACCCCCCGTTTTTTTTTTTTTTTTTCTTGGGTAGGGGACCCGAGTGAAGCTCGATGTCCCAACTCTTGGGCCTCAAGTGGTTGAAGCCAAACACCAACTGGGCTAGGATAGGGCAAGGCAACAAGAACACAATACCAGTGGATGTAGAGGATCCAACTCCTTAGTTCAGCAGGTGGCGTTTGGACAACGCTGGTGATCGAAAAGAATGTGTTTTTGTCCAGGGCACTCTTTTGCGGTTGCTGGTCCGGTGTCGTGTATTTCCCCATTCTTTCTAGGCTTCGTTTCCTGAAAGTCACGTAGACAAACATGTGAAGTTGTGCATCTTGGAAAATAATATATAATAATATATATATATATACATATATATATATATATATATGATGGGCGGACTGTTCGAGGAACACCGCTATTTGTTTGTCCCCCCCCTATTCTGGTTTCATTTGATTTTTGCCTCGCCCCCCGAATAAATTTTGAGGGCATACACTTTGGGTTGTTCAGTGGTACCCTTCAAAACAGTTTTTGTTTCTCGGGAACCCGCTGCAAATGGGGGGAATGAATGTGGTGATGTTCAAGAGTTGGCACCACTTTTGCCCTGGAACCAAATCCATCCCGTGGCGTAGCGTTTTTGTTTTTCCAGTCGTGGGCGGGCCGGCGCTCTTGTTGGTACCAGCTGCAGGTTTGACTGCCCTTCTGTGGCCCTTCGGCAGCTTGGCAAGGGGATGCGCGTGAAGTGGAGCGATGGCCAAAGCACCCAAAAATAAAAACCCATTGCCGGTTTTTTGGTCCATAAGACTTGAGCAACAAAAATGTATGGAAGTACAGCTTGGGGAAGCTTGTCATTTGTGATGCCTTGACACCCTGCCATCCTTGCGCAGAAACCGGCCTCCTGCTGACTTGAGGGTTTATGAGCTTTCGACTTGCTGATGTTCAGCTCGGGGGTGAATCATCCACCAGCTCAAAGTTGCGGTCTTTGTATGATTCGCCCAGGGGAGGGTAAAGCGCCCTTTGGAGGATCGCCAAGCTGGGAAGTGGGGTAAGGGCTGAGGGACTTCTCGCCCTGGAGCCCGATGAAGGAGGATTCTGGTCCCATTTTAGGACCGGCCCAGCGACCCATTTCTCGTTTTAAGGGACCCTTCTGTTCCATGTTTCTTGGGGCCAGTGTGGGAGGGGACTTGGAGCTTAGGTGGGCTTCGGCTCGAGGTTTGGGACATGTGCTCACCCGAAACAGCCATAAGCCACCCCTCGCAGCTTTCCAATCGCGAGCCTTCGCGGACGTTTTTGATTTTGCCGCTGTTTTGGGCGTAGGAATCCTTGTCCTTTGGTCTCTTCATGCCTTGCTGCAGGATGGCAGCATTTGCTTCTGCCGATCTGCCCGCCATATTTGCAGGCGCCAGCTTTTTCGCAGGCTTAGGCCGGCTCTAAAGTTTAAATATGTTTTCTTTTTAAAGGGTAAGCTGAATATGAAACAGAATCCGAAAAGCACTGAAACCGATTTTTTGGAGTACCCCGCATGTGGGCCAAGCTCCGGATGACAAACTGGAAATCATCAGTTCTCTCTGTTGGGAAGACGGGCTCTTCCTCCACCTAAGGCGCATCCCCATTCAGCCTTTGCCAGACTTGCCCATAAATTCTTCTTGCCCCAGTATCGACACCACTTGTCGCTGATTTTTGTTCAAGTGGAAATTGAAAATATGCTTTGGGATGTTTGGGGTTCTCAGCCCCTTTAAAGGAAACCACCAGAATACAGAACTGAATCTGAACATATTATGTTCTTCGCACGCCAGTGTCCCAAGTTAAAGCAAGGTTGGTATTTGGGGTGACAGAATCGCCCCAACTGGACCTTTGGAAACACATGGCCCTTCCATACCTTCAAAAGGTGATCCACCTTTACTCAGGTTTGGAGCAACCCACAAAATGCTGGAGTTCGTTGTGCTTTCCCTGTACATCCGAAAGGGGTAACCCTAAAGATGGAGCAAATTCACTCGTTCCATTCTTGTTTCTCTTTAAAACCATCCAACACTGGCTAGAAGAAGAGTGCCCTCAAAAACAGAAGCATTTGTTTTCGCTCGCACTAGCGCCTGCTTTTTCCCATGCCCCAAATCCCAAGTGTCTAAAACGGCAGCGGGTGGGACGGTCAGGGCGCGATCCTGGATGCCCCGGTGCCCTTCATCTGCGCGCTGCCGGCAGTGACCTCCCAGGCCTGCCTCAGGGAAGTCGGTGGGTGCCCCATGCCCGGTTTTTTTTTGAAGAGGCCCTTGGGAAGTTCCCCTATTTGGAGGCACACCGCCTGGGCGTGAATCTTTTGGGAGAGTTTTTGGTGCAGGTGTTGGACGCCAAACCTTTCTTTGGGGGGCCCCTTTGTCCATGTTGGGCCACCCCAAAAGGTTCACCTAACTCACCTAGGGGCAGGTGACTCAAGCCAGGTCGCGACGGCCAGCACTGCCGCGCCGGGCGCCAGAATCGGTTCTCGGCGGTAAGGGCGGTAAGGGCCCAAGAACAGGGCCCTCGTGCAACGCAGTTTCTCCCTCTATGTCAGGAACACCAATTTTTGAGTTGCTCCCACCTTCTTGTAAATGAATATCGGTTTTTGCCTTGGGGTTCCAGCCCCCGGACCCCTTAAAAGGAAAAGTGGTGTTGCGTAAATGGGGAGGTAACAACCATGGTAAATGGCAAAGCGTGGTAAGCTACATCAACCATGCATGGTAAAGGTTTTACTTTCACATTGATAACTAGAACGGGGCTGTGGGGTACTATGACGCCCGAACAGACATGAGTACAGGACAACAAACGTGTACTCATTTGCATCTTTATACTAGATCTCACTCCTGACCCGAGTCATCACCATGGAGGAACCCATTCTTGGTCACCTCAAGGTCCGGAGGACCATGGCAAATTCGGTCACCCTCGCTAGAATTTGGTGAAATCTGCACCAGGGGAACACCTCATGGGAGCCCCGGAGCGTGTGACCCAATGTCTCTATGGTTTCTGGCTGCGCCATCAGGTTCCCGGAGCCGCCTTTCTTGGCACGAACTCTTCGGCTCGCAAGAGAGAAAGCGGCCCCGGTCGGCCAAAACGGCAGACCACGGGCAACAGCTCATAGGTTCGGAGATTCGGAGACACCCCCTTCGTGTCCAGAGCCTCGCAAAATCATGGTCCCAACAAATGAGGCCGAATGGCATTGTATTCCATGAAAACAAATGTGTCAGACTTGCTTTAGTCAACTTTTCGAGCGTTACGGAGTCCCACAGTGCCAGAGGGTTGGTGCCTGGTGCTTGGTGCCTGGCACCAGGCGGCAACCACTCCCATGCAACCATGGAGAAACCAGCCGAAGACTACTCCCAGCCACATAAACCAGAAAAGCATGTGATGACCTTGGTACTCGAAGTCTCTTTTTTTTAAGCAAGGGATCAACAAACCACTATGAGATATGCGGGCACGTTTGCTTCTTTGGTCTTAGCTTGCCATGTCGCCGCTGGACTCTCCCAAAGACATCTCCGAGCTGCCGTTGCTGCGAGCCAACGTCAAGCTGGGTGCCGGTGGCAGAGAGAAGTAGGGGAAGCGCGGATACCGGGGATGGACAAAATCCACTCCAGACACACGTAGGTTGTTTATCCCAGTTGTCATGGGGTTTCCTCCATGCCAACTGTTGATTTTGACCATCCACAGTATGAACCAATCACGGGAGAATGTTGACCCCGGATGAACAAGTGATGAACACACCCGGAGGATTCTCAGAGGGGTGCTCCCCCCAATGATACTCTAGAGTAGTCCAGGCCAGGGACCGTTCCCATGCAACGTGTATTCAAGGGTCGCATGACAAACATGCGTGGGCGGGCCACATGTTCTCAGCTAAGGCTGCATCGCAAATATGACATGATTGCATCGTAGCACGTCTCGATTCTTCTCCGCTTGCTGTTCTGTACGGGTCCAGTGGGTTTGAATGCCATGAAGGCTGTAGGTCTACGGATCCTTTTGAATCTTCGGGGATCCGCCGTTGGCTCTTTACAAGGAAGTCTGAGGAGCTGCTTGGCCCACCGTGCCCAACTCCCTTGGAAACCATATCCCCTTTTGGAATGTACCAGCCAATGCGAGGCTATGTACAGAACCGTACACGCAGGATTTTCATTTAACGGCAGCACTCGGCGTACCTCAGGGGCCCATTCCTTGAATCCGTTTGGGTGGGTTGGTCGTATCTGAGGCGACCGCACTCCAAGACCTCCATTGGCTAGAGGCACCATGGCCGAGGGGAGCGTGCTCCACTTTTTTTCTCCAAAAAACAAATACACACACATATATATATATATATATACACATACACACAGATATACAGTTACTTTGGCCAGTTGGTGGGTGTTGTCCATCACTATCCCCACCCTTTGGGTCTAGGCGTCTTTTTAGCTTCTGGAAGCCATGTAAGAAGCTTCAGAGTGGTTCGGAGCGTCTGCGGTTTTCTTATAGCACAACCTCCCCAGTCGGATTTCATCCTCTTTACTATGAGGGGCTGGTGCAATTTTCGTCCACCCTGCTGCAGGTAGGTCTTCAGCACCGTTTGGGCCTTTGAGAGAGGGCGATGTAAGGGGACATGCCGGGATCAATGGAATTGGGACCTCCTGGTGGGTAGAGATACCAACGCGCTTTCCTTCCAAGCTTCCAGGTTGGAAGGTATGGAGGCGTTTTTTTCTGGAATGACAGGTTATGCAAACGGCTGAGTGGTTTATGCACCTTTATCGTGTTGTAATCATGCCTTTTTTGGACTTAAAGCTTCCCAGCAGCCTGTTTGTTTTTTGAACTTTGTGACTGAAGGCATGGCCCAATCGGAGATTTCATTTCGATCGCCAGACGAAGGCCTTTTTGTTGCAAGGCCAAGTTGAGGAAGTTGAGAAGACCCGAGGAACTGACCAAGGCAAGGGAATAAACCGAAGAGTTTGAAATCAAGCCCCAACCAGCAAGTCGGGGTTCTGATTGTTGAATCAAATTGGCATTCATTGAACTTAAGTCAGCAGTGGGGCGAGGCATTGCCATGGATTCAGCCCAGGCACAGACAGCCCGTCCGCGAGCCCGGGCGTGGAAAATGCCGCCTACCCACAGGCCAGGTGCAAGCTCTCGGGAGTTTGATCGAGGGCTCTGTGGATACAGGTACTTGTGCAGGTCGCTAAGGGAAACACCCTTTGCAGACTAACCGGCAAATAGCTGGTTTCCTACTCGGGGTAGCTGTGATCCATTGGGTCCATCCAAACCAGCTTGAGGGCTTCTTACGACTGCTTTTGATCGGAAGGGGAGTCAAAGAATAACAATTCAACCCCAGGCTCCGAGCGCTCTCTTTTCGCCTGGACTTAAAGAATTCAACCCCCTTCACATAAGCAGGTTAGTCCATGGCTAACGTGCGCTCACATCTTGCAGTTGAGTGTGTTGTTTTGATTGTACCCTTGTTGGTGCTGTCACTGTCTGAAAGGATGCCCAATGAAGGACCCCTTGAAAGCACAGCCACATGGGGTTCGCACTTCAGACTCCAAAACCTTGAAGTGCGGGAATGGCAGTGAGACATGGGAAAACTCCGCACCCAAGAATGGCGAGGGGGTCCTAACCGTGCGGTTGATGTCGCACGGCGCTTCGAAGATTGTTGGCTTCGGCCGAGTTTGCAAGTCAGGAGCACGTGGCGCCCCCGACCTTCTTCGCCCCACGCCCGCCAGAGGGTCCCAAGGAGCACGTCCGAGACACCCAATTGCTGGAATGGAAAACCCAGCTGGTTAACATACAGCTGCTGAATTTTCGGACGGGGTGGTTTTCAATGTTAGGCATATGCTTCACGTTCTTTGTGTTGTTGGTTTTTTGGGGGCGGAGGGGCACCTCCCCCGAGTAATTTGCCAGCTTGGTTCATTTGGGGTCAACATAAAAAGGATACATGAGTGCCATGGATCATCTTCCTTTTTTGGATCCGGCTGATTCGGTGGATCCCCCTGAGGCGCCTGGGGCACATGTCGCTTGTCCCGCTCGAGCCAGGAAGCAAAGCAGCTTTGGACTCGGGAATCCCGGCCCTCCATCCTATGTTTTGGGGCCTATGGGAGAGGATTCCGGGGGTCGGAGTGCTTCATTGGGCGAGTCTTAGGGTGGGGACGATGAAACGCCCCTCCCTGGGGCTCGCAGGGAAACCTGTTCAGGGGATGGTTGTGTTAAAGGGCCCCTGTTTTGCTCGACTTTTCCTTAACATGTCAGAGAGCCATGCTCTTTTTTTTTTGCCGGGCTTTTGCCTGGCGCAGCAAGAAAACTCTTGCGGCCTGCGGCCAGGAGCCGGGGGGAAGGCGCCGCACGGGCGGCTCGAGCGGCGCAGTGACCCCCCGCGAGACGCGGAAGGGAGCGTCCACCAGCGGCTCAGCTGGAAGTCGAGTGGAGTGGAAATTCGAAGCCCTGCTCTCTGCTTCAGCCACCATGGCGACCCTTTCCGCATTTGTCTGTGTGGGAGGAAAAACAAATGGTGTTGGGGGGGGGGCGTTTTCCAGGAGGTTGGGATCGGGGTAGAAATCTCCCGCATGCTTTTTGTTCTTCTCTTTTTTGTATGGTTTGGTGAAGTCTTACAATTCATTTGCCTAAACAGCGAATCGACCAATTGGAACCGTAGGGCTTTTTGAATTCCCAGTTTCAAAGCCCCGAACACTATGAGGTTTGGCAGTCAAATGTCCAGTCCATTGCGGGGCACGGCGAAGAGGACTTAAATTCCCACAGTACCACAACACCCGCTGTTGGTGGGAGCTCCGCATCTTCCAATTTCCCTAGGCGGTCGCGGGGGTCAAACGTTTTTTTTGTTTTTTGATTTTTTTCCCCATGTTCTTCTGTCGCACTGTGGGACACGTCATTTGCTCCGCCGATCTGAGGCCTGCCGCCTGTGCCGCTCACCGCCCGCGAGAAGTACCGCGACGACTTCGGGGCCTCCGGGACCTCCAACGGCTCCGGGCGCTCGGTGCACTCGGCGGCGCCGCTCGGGGCCACGGCCCCGGCCGCGCCGCCGGGGCCCAATGCGCGGGTCCGCAGCGGGTCGCGGCACCTGAAGGCTGCGCCGAAGGCTGGACGGGGCAAGGAGGGGGGAAAATGTGAAAAGGGTTTTGCAGAGAGAGAAATGACAAACGATTGGCATGGACTTGAGCACGGCGGCGGCCAATAATAGCTGTATTGGATTGTTTGTTCGGACCCTCTCAGGCACCTTCTCCCGTGGAGCGCGCCTCGCCCGTGGAGCGCGCCTCCCCTGTGGAGCGCGAGTCTCCGGTCGCTTCGCGCGCCTCGCCCGAGCCGGGCGAGTCGCAGCGTGAGTCGCCGGAGCACGTCTCCCCGCCCAGCACGCCTGGCAGTGGCTATGACCCGCAGGACAGCTGGAGAAACGCACTTTGACGACAGCCTTCTTTTCTTTTCATTGTTTTGTTTTTTTTGTTGTACAGGGTTTCCTGGTACAGGCGAAGGCTGGCCTTGTTGTGTCAGCTTCAGCGTTTCCCTTGGGCGCTGTTTCGGGTGCCAGGAGCTGCGAGGGCAAGAGCAACAGCTTCCGAGCTCCAGTGGTTTGGCTGCAAAATGCATCTCTGGAAAAGGTATGCCCCCAATTTAACAGAACACACCAAAAGTTGCGCAAACCAACTTTATATGGGCGGGGTGAGAGAGAGAGAGAGAGAGAGAGACAAAAAGCAAACACAATTAATGAGATTGAGGCTTTGATTGCTCTCCTTTGACAGGCCTTGGACTTGCCCTAGTATCAAGGTCAGAAACTGGGACAACGGGACAGTTTGATGGAGTGAACCAGGCAGGCCAGGCCAATCAGGCTTTCCGTTTCGGGATCTTCTGGACGCTTTTCGGCGGATGGTGCCGTGGGAGCTACGCACAAAAATCTACTTGGGTGGCTGGTGAACAGCTGACTGCTTGGATAAAGGCCCTTTACTTGGGTTCCAATTCTTATTTGAGGTGTTGGAATTACTATGGGTGCCAGAAAAGCCCGCAAGTTTGAAGTTCCCCAAGCGCAAGGCAAAATTGTACGGTTTCTTAGTGAGTGGCGTGAGCCAATAGGGTACGCAAAGGGGTACCAACTCAAAAAGCACAAACACATACCACAAACAACGTTGCTCTCTGTGGCGTGTGCTTTTCCAGGGCACCTTTTTTTTCTCCGCAGGTTTTTAAGGGGAAGTCAGCAGGAGTCACCGCCATCTTGGGGTTGCCTAGGTTTCCAGGAGCTGATGGCAGCGGCTTGGACGGCACATGTTCGGCGCGGGTGGAGGGTCGAGTTGGGGATGTAGGGAATGTGGTACCCTTTTGGGGGTGGTTTTCCTTTAAACCAAGGAGAAAAGAGAAGAAACAAACATTTTGGGGTAAGGCCGACATTCGTAGCCTAGTCTGACAGCCTCAACAAAGAGAAAAGGAGCTTCTGCACTTGCAAGACAGCCGAATCCTTGGGTGGGCGGGGCGCTTGAAGGGAACTGTCATGATGCCATGTTAAAGGATTCACTTCACTTGGGGTATGAAAATATTCATTTTTTGTTTTGGCTTTTTTTTGCGAGGTCCCCAGGGCGTCAGCTTTCCGCAAGGCAAAGTGGTTAAATGCCCGTGGTGGTTCGATTTGAGGACCTGTCACTAATAGACCGGAAATCAAGGGCGCACCACTCCATTTTGACCCTGATACCCCTTCCCCAACAACACATGCCCCCCGCCAAATGATCCAAGGCCAGCTTGGTGGAGGGATTTGTGGAAATACGGGGAGCCCCATCACCCCAACATGACTGGCCAGATTGTTCGGCCGGTGACACGGTGACACTTTGACACATTTTCGCACCCAAGCCTCGAGTGGTTGGAGACAGAAGGCAGCCCAGACACGTCGCCCAGTTTCCCTCCTCCATTCCATGATCACTTGAGCGGGGATATTGCCTTACTTAGGAGATGCAGAGCGAGAAGGACCGATGGGCGGAGCGAGACAGTTGAGCAAATGTGGCTTCGTTGCCCTTTGGTCTCATCAAAATGGGTTTCACCTTTTGGACAATATATGATATGGCGATGTATTTTCATTCGGAACTACCTCAGAAGCTAAATCCCCACCGAATTGATGTCCAGCAAAGGGCCCTGATTGCACTATGAATCGGCAACAACCCCAAGGCCCCAAGGTGAACAGCCAAGTATACTGTGTCACGTTCCCATTGACCGGGCCATGTGCTCAAAGACCGAAAACAGGTAAGTGCTTCAAAGGAAATTGCCCTCCTGTCCACCAACATGGGGTTCTGGAAGACGATGTTTTGCTTGGGGACCGTCTGGTGGGTTCCATGTTTTTGGACGGGAGGGTAAGTTTTGACTACTGTTCCTTCTGTTACTTTGGCCAACGGTCCCAAAGGTGAGCACCCTTTTAGGTCTCAGAAAACAGCAACCTACAACCCCCCCCCCCAAACCACCGATCCGAGTCCGGGTTCATTTTTTTCAGAGTGAAATAATGTTGGGACACGAACAGACAAACCGGGTTTCAAAGGAGCCCGAAGCAGCTCACTCTGAGATGTATAGCTTTTGTTGGATTGTCCATGGACACGGACATGGTTTCTTCAAAGGAGCTCTGGAACGAGAAGACCTTGGCGTTGTTGACCTCCAACCCAACCCTCGGCGCCTACGCGTCGACCGCGCTTCCCTCCACTCCCACCATCTCCGCATCGGTGGAACCGGAGGCGGAGATGTACCCTCATCCCGATTGCCCCGACCCCCCTCACCGTTTGAATGTAATGCTGACCCAGGATTAATACACACGGTGTGCTCCCCTCCAAAAGTGATAAATCCACATGCAAACCAGGGATGCTCCCTATTGCTAAGCAGTTTGTTTAATCTGGGGTCAACATTATGAAGAGGATCCCCGTTGTATGAGATGTCCGCGGTTTCCAACTTGCAGGGTAACTGGAGAATATGAGCCGTAGTTAATCAAAGCCTGGATAAGTGAAGGATGACAAAGGAAAGTCCCAACCATTTTGACTCTTTGGTTCTGGGTACAGCCCTTCACTACGTACCGGCTATTGATGATGACTCATGTGAAATCCAGGTGCCGTTTAAAATTATTTGCAGTTGGCAGGGCTGGCAGGGATCTTGGTCAAGATAAGAAAACCTTTTCTGTGCTGCTGGGGTGTTCAAACAGGGTACCGGGTTTTTCCGTGCTCACTTCAAAACAGCACGACTTCCGGCAGATTCTAAGTGGAACTTGCCGAAATCTACTGGAAGAACTTGTAGTCGCAAGGTAGGCGCCCCGAGCCAGGCCTTCAGAAAAAAAAGAGAGCCTTAAACAAATCCTTGTGGGTGAAAACATCAGCCGGGCCTGGCTAGGCGGAGGAGGTGGAAGAGGACTTGGAGCTGCCGCAGGAGCCGCCGCTGCAAGAGCCGGAGGAGGAGTCGAGAGCGAAGCGATCGAGCCTAAGGGATGTGTGTGGGGTGGTTTTTTTGAGTTAGAACCCCCTGTTCTTTTGGTCGGTTTTAAGGGGAAGCCAAAGGGAAGAATAAGGAAAAACAAAATAGGGGTTCAGACAACTGTAGGTGTAGTTTCCGCTCTTGACTTGCCAGAGATGTGAGATGCAAAACTAGCAAGGTTAGGACCCGCGCAATAGAAATGAGGACCGGAGGTGGGCCTTCCCAATTCCTACGTGTCCCCTGTTTGGCCTGAGTATCACCATTGGCCAAGAAAAGAGCGAGCTTGCTTTGGTGTGCCCAAAGTTTGTCTTCCCTATCAGTCACCCTTCGCATGGTTTGAACATCACCTTGGCCAAGTAAAAAAGCGAGTTCTGCAGTTGGGGTGATGTTGCATGTTGGGGAAGAATATGTGTATATATATATATATGCGGGACCCTGATACCACTAGAGGAAAGCAGGCGTGTTTAGAGTTAAATTTTACATGATAAACTTGAAGCCCTGGGTCACTTATCCAACAACGGCCTGGCCGCACGCGTTGATTGATCCATGCTAAGTGGCGGGTCCCAAAGCTTCGGCATTTCCACTGGGTGTTTCGGGGGAGGTTGACGCAGCCATACCCTGGCCTTAGGGAAGTCAACAGAAGGATGCTTAAGCAATAGGTGTGCCAAAATCATTGTCTAAACAGGGGGTCGAGTTGCCCAGAACCCTGGAGAGAGTTTAGGCAGAAACGCGATGACATCCCCCCACCCAATTGTCATGAAGGCGGGATTAGCGTCAAGACCAAAGTTTGAGTATTGATCTCGTGATGACATTGTCTTAAGGCTGGCTGGCTATGGCCCAAATTATCCCTATCGATTTTGGGTGGGCAAGGCTGACAAGCGCCGAAGGACATGGGCGAGGGCCTGATCGCACAGGCCTTGCGTCAAGCTGGCTTGGATCCGGACTGGGGCAGGGGGGCACTGTCTATGGCGCCCGATCTGACTCACCTTCTTGGATGGGAACCGAGAGCGGTCTTGAACAAAGGTAGGCGCTTAGCCAACAGGTTATCTCAATTCTGGAGCCCACAAAAAGGATGGCTTTTTCAGTTGCTCTAAACGAGGAGTGTTTTTGAACACCTGTTTGGCCCACGGTGGCTTCGCTTGGCATGGCCTTTTCCGGGGAATTTGAGGAACCGTGCCAAAACAAGCTTAAGAAGTTGGTACCCTCAGACAACCTCCAAATCCAACGTTTTAACCTTTTTGGGCGTCCTTGAAAGAAACTAGCCAGGGGGTCGAACGAATATATGCGTTGACTCCCTGATTCGGAGACAGTAAAACTAAGGGCTTTAACAAAAAGTTGTTTTTTTTCCTCCTCAGATTTCCAGTAGTGCCTTTGTGCTTTTTGTGGGAGGGGCGTTCCTTGAAAGCCAGGTGTCCTTTGTTTATCTCCGGCTGGAGGTGATGGCTTTCAACCTCCACAAGGGACTTCCTGACATTTAGTCGGCATGTGTTCCGCCATTTGCTCTAGGAACAGCTGCCCTTGGTGTGGGCCGAAGGAACAGCCAGATATGCATTGGGCTTTGGGGGAGGCTTTGTATGGGGGAAGATATACGCAAGGAAGACTCGGGGCCATGACGGCGGGATTTGTCTAGGCCCAAGTAATCATCTTGTTTGGATGGCGCACCTGGGATCCGGCTGACGCGAGTGTGTGCGAGAGGAGCAGACCTCCGTGATGGATCTCGTAGACTTGCCGGTGTTGGAGGAGGCGACATCTGCCCAGCAACACGTGGGTTCACGATACATTGCCAGACTCCACCGGTGGATTTCTCGCGGATGCCTGCTTGGTTTCCCTGACACGCCCAACTAACCTTTTTCAAAACGAACAACATGTTGACTTGTTGGGCCTGGTGTCAAACAAACCCCCCTCATCAGGAACCTGAAAGGGGCGGCCAGGAAAGCCAAGCTTCCCCATGGAGCCTTCAGCCAGCATTGCCGGCGATTTTCCCTGAGGAGCTGGCGTGTGAGGAGTCTCGCCAAAGCCTGGAGGCTCGTCACGCAGCTGAAGCTATCGATGTGTGAAACGCGGGCATGTTTGGCTGGTAGGGATGGGGTGTCTGAGAGTCTGACGGTATGTAAAAACTGTGGGAATCAAGGGGGTGGGAAGAGGCTGGTGCCTGACTTGGGTGATAAGAATGGGGGCCTGCGCGTCATTGGGATCCGGGTCTTAGCTCCGTCCAAAATGAGTGTCTAGCCAAACCCTCGAATGTCTCTTCCGCCGTCGGCCCTTGGAAAGCAGGCATCACATTCGCCCATCGCTCTTTGGACCATTTTGGGACTGAGTTGCTCCTTCGTAGTTTGGTGGATTCCACCTTTTTTTTTTCCTCTTGTTCGGTGGGCTCACCCCCGGGTTCCAAACCTTCTGTGTCTGTTCGGGTCACTGGTTGCAACTGCTGCCCGGAGAACAAAAGTGCAAAGCTGTCGCCCTTCGAGGCAACACCTGAAGACCCTGAGGATCACCAAGATCACACACACACACAAGCGACAGCCGGAGTTGCAAATATAGTTTCATTGGTTAAAATGATGGGAGGGGGTTGAGCCGATGGCAGGGGGTTGAGCCACAGACCACGGCATGATTGGTTAGACATGCTGGCAATATTTTCACTTGTTTGGTGACTTCCCCTCCTTCCAAAGACATACCCCAGACTAAAACCCCTCGGCCGTCGGCACGCCTCCGCTTCGAATCACCAGGGCTGGAGGGAAAGCTCAAAGTCCTGGGCGCAGCAGAGGGCTCGGCAGAAGAAGGACGCCTTTGGACCAAACTTATGGCTTTTGTTCGAAGAGCCCTTTGTCTTGACCTACCTCTTTGGTTTTCAGGGTGCGAGTTAGGAAAGCCGATTTGAGTATGCGAAATCGGGATTTGGACCGGGACCCCAAATGCGGGTTGTTCCTTTCTAGCTTTTTGAACAAGCCCAAAAGGAATACCAAGCCTCAAAAACCACACCGGTTTGTCAACATTTCTGCCCCTTTCTGGTATCCCCTTACAAAAAGGTGGCACACGGCACCAGGGTCCAAGGCACGCCATACTGCCGCATAGGGCTACCTTAAAGCCGGGGTGTGAATTTTGAGAAGTAGGGGAACCTTTGGTGGACACCATTCTAGGATCTATGTCACCTATTCAACCCATTTTGGAGGTTCCCTATGGAAACTCATGGCCAAGTGGGTTTCCTTTTGGTTCCGAAGTTGCCAGAAGCGGCCCAAGGGTATGCTCAAGACGTTTTTCGCAGGAGCGCTGCCTCTCCGGGCGGGCCACCCCCTGTGATGAGTGAGGCGTCGCCAAGTGGGAGGTTTGATATTTGTCGTTGGGGGTTTCTTGGACCATGTGGTCCTTTTCTTCTGAGGCCATTCCTTCTGCCAACCACCCATTTTCAGGGGGAGCAAACCCAAGTAAGCTGTGTTTGAGGTGGTTGGGGGCATCCGATCGGCCCGTTTCACCAGCTAGAATCAAGAGAGGGCGAGTGGCGAGCGCTGCCACGAGAGGATTTGTGTGTGTCTTGTCTTGAGGCTATCCCCCTTTTGGAGTGGTTTTAAAGGAACATCTAGTTGGGCCCCCTACTTTAGGACACCCATTTTGGACCTCCAGTGGCAAAACACACTTGGAGCCAGTCATCCAAACATATGTCTTGACGGAAGTCCTAATTGGAAAACAGCAATCCAAACAGATCTTTCCAAGAAAATCCTGTGACCCCTAAACGTGGGACAAATCTATCGGCGAGCCTCGAGCCCAGCGGTAGCCTGCAACATGTGGGCGTGCTCAGCGGCTGCTTGCATGCGGCCCGGGAGGCACCCAGACCGTCAGTGGGTCATGTTCCTTGTTCATGTTTTTATTTTTAGTTCATGGTCCTTGTTCCTTGTCATGTTCCTTGTTCCTTGTTCGTTGGTCATGTTCCTTGGTCATGTTCCTCGTTCAGTGGGTCGTTGGCCTCCCCTTCCTCAATTGCCCAACGCCGGCCTTTTGGACCTTGTGGTTTTCCCAGTTTGGCCGGGTTTTAGTAGTCGAGGGCCCTGAAAGTTCAGGTCCCTTGGGCAAGGGAATTCAGCATCGACGACCCAACACACGGGCAGTCCGTTTGTCGTGGGGAGGTGGGCAGGGCTCCCTAGATGAATGGTTAAGACTCTTCCCAACAAAAGGGACTGCGCTATTATTTTGAATTGCTCAAAGCGGATTTGGAAGCCGAAGGCCATTCCACTTAAAACCTTTTCCAACTGGCTGCGACCTTAGGCACTGAAGGTACGTGCCGTGCCCACTGCAGACAATCCAGACCCTGACGCTGGGTGTTTCTCCCTGAGAGGATTGGGCGCAGATCCCGACAGGTCGCAGGGTGCCATCTTGGAAGTGCGCAGAGGTTTTGTTTAGACCACTTTCCTTCCAATGGTGCTCTTCCATTCGGGTATGGCCGCGTGTTTCACAGAGAATGCCCGAGGGCTGCGGAAAGCGTTGGAGGGGTCCTTTTCTTAAGAGGGTCACTCCCTTTGAGCTCCACGTCAAAATCTGTCAGGCTCCAAAGCACGTCTTTCGTACAGAGCTTCAAAAAGTCATAGCTGCTTGAGTTCTTGTTGCGGTGTGTCTGTGTCTGTCTGTCTGTCTGTCTGTCTGTCTGTCTGTCTTTCTGTCTGTCTGTGTCTGTCTGTCTGTCTGTCTGTCTGTCTGTCTGTCTGTCTGTCTGTCTGTCTGTCTGTCTGTCTGTCTGTCTGTCTGTCTGTCTGTCTGTCTGTCTGTCTGTCTGTCTGTCTGTCTGTCTGTCTGTCTGTCTGTCTGTGTCTGCGTGTGCGTGTGCGAGTGGTCTGGTCGAACGATTGACGGAACCAAACTCGCATAGCCACAGCGGATGCTGTTCTCGCCGCTGCTCACTCCGCGCTTGGCACTGGAAGGGGCTCGCGCTAGCGGACGCCCCCTACCAAGCACCTCGGCAAGGCGTGTTTCCCCCATCGACAGCTATGGGGTCATAGCCCCTCCTGACTTGGTGGTTCGATTGCGCCCAGACTTCGAGTGCATTCCTTGCATTGAGGGTTTCTCCCAGGGCCTCCAGCAGCCTGACCGTATGAACGTGTGGGCGTGCGGTGGCCATAGATCCTCTCATAAATGATGTCCACCAAAAAGGTTGCGTCTGCGTGTTTGGCGCGTGTTTGTGCTTGTGTTTGTTTGGTCTTGTTGTCCGTAGGGGGGGGTCCTTTGTCAGGGTTGTTCAAAAAAATCCTCGTTCGGACACCGCCCAGTTTTGGGGGAGATTCTCCCCTCAGAGGCAAACCAATGTGAATGTGCTGGGCTGGACCAGGTGAAAGCCATTAGGAAATCGAGAGACGTGTTTCATTTCTGGGCGCTTTATTCTCTCATGTTTCCAGTTGTAACTGGGCTTTCCTCCGCATTAATTTACGTTTGAGGGTAGGCTATATCCAACACAATCCAAAACAGCCACAAGGCATGGGTCCTGGTTTTTTGTTGCCTTATCCAGACCCCCTATTTTTCCAGAATTGGTTGATTCCTTATATGGGACATCACGCCACCAAACATTGTTTGGCATGCCCATGGGTTTTCAACCATGGTGGGCATAGGCATTTCTGCTTGCTGGCTGCCAGTGGGTAGTGAATTCTTGTGTTTTGGGAATAAATCTAGGGATTCCCGTACAGGACACCACCAGTTGGCAGAGGTTCCCAGTGAAATTCATAGCCGTGCGACTCATTCTGAGACACATTGGCGTTCGAACTGCGAAGATGCGAGATTGGGCTTTGAGTAGCTTGCTTCATCAGCTGCAACTTGCCCCGCCTAGCCCTTGGAATTCCAGCTTGAGCTGGATGGGGTACCCAATGCTAGCTTCTGAAATGTTGGCCCCAAGTGTTCTGGCCTTTGAGGCACATAGAACCCACCCAGAGTGTCTTTTGAGGCAAGAGCTCAATTGCGCAAGCTCAGGCATGTCCACGTGATCTTACTGGCAGAGCAGCCAGGCGGATTGAAGTGCCCGTGTGCGTGGCATGAGTGAAACGACTTGAGATTACAGTGAATCAGGGCACCAACAATCGATAAAGTTTGACAGCACCGGACCACCTTTTTGCCCTTCTCCTTTTCATTCCGCTTCCCCGTTGCGCCAGCAAAAGAGAAGCTGTTTCCATTAGGTCAAAAGTTCAGGGGACCGGTCCAACGGATTCCCAACAGATTCCGATCGCTTGCGGACAATTGTGTGCGCAGCATTCACAAGGTCCTGGAAGTGAACCACATGCACTTTTGGCCATGTGAAAGTCGAAGAATGTCGAAGATATCAACGGTTGGTCCATTGTGAGGGACATGGGGGCTCCCTCAATTTCCCAGAAAACAACCAAGGCGACTCATTGGTGTTCCAAGCGGCTTTGCGGAAACTGCATTTTCTGCCCGCTCATGGCGCTGGAGTGCGAGCATCGGCGCAAACGCTCATGAGGAGTGCTGCTCATGCAGCCGCAGCCAAATGGGAGGCCTGGAGTCGACATCAGAGCTTGGGAGGAGATGTTCTCTACTGTGTTTACAAAGGCGGGATGAGCACCGATGTAACTTGTGCTGTTTTTTGTGGGGTATGCATTTGCATACTGGTATGCATGAAAAAATATACACATTTAGATATGCATGTGGCGCAATGAAAACTGCATCGCCTCGCGTCCTTGAACACTTTTTTGGGAGAGGAGTCGCTACTGTCAGTCACTCCGAAGGGCGTCATAGCACTCGTTGAGAATGCAAGCACGCGCGGTCCATATCCTTAGGTGGGTGCTTCAATGAACGTTTCCAAACAAAAATATGCTATGTTCACTTTACTGTGCAGACGCACGCGCATGCACATATTTTCATTTTAGATATGTGCAGAACTGCATAGAGCATTTGTGTCACACGTGAATCATATTATTGCATTGCACATGGCAGGACCGCGATAGTCAGCATCTCCATCCCTTTCCAACTTCCCGAGCCCTCTCCCACCAGCAAACCTCTGCAGCTTTAGGTTGCTGTCCTTTGGCACACCGTTGGTTCCAATTTTGGAGACCCGAAGAAATTCCGCTGAGGGGTATTTTGTGCAAGGGCCACGAGTTTGAACAGTTCATGTCCTCACCCATAGCAGTCTTGTTGCAGTTACGCGCGCCTTAGGAGTGATGAGACCTCGCGGCGGGACTCGACTCTGGCGGCGCTCTTTCTGCTCTCAGCGCTGAAGGGTGCGGTCCCTTGGCGCCAGAAGGGAGTGGTTTCCCCGAGGCTCTGGGCGGGGGGGGTGGCACGGTGAAACCAGCTCAGTATAAAACCTGTTGAGGTTCAAACCCTTGGATTTGCCTGGCTAAGCAGGTAAGCAGCGGGTTGGGTGTGAGAGGGTCGTTCATCATCAGGTTTTAGGGTTTGGGCCTGCAAATCCAGGCGCAGAGATGTAAAGGTGAGCGGTTGGTGAGCGGTTTTTAAAGTTAGGGTCCCGCTTAGTATCCACTTTAAAATGCGCACGGCGCCAGGATCCAAAAACAGGCAACATTCTTTGTAAACCCTCCCCCCCACGTTTAGGAGAACGTCTCAAGCCCAGGATTTGCAAATGCTGCCGTCGTCCTTTCGTGCCATGGAGCACGAGACTTGGCAGAGAAGGGCCTCGGACTCGTCGGCTCGGGCTGGGAAAGAAGATCGGCACAGAATTGAAAGCATATGGGCGGTTGATCAACAGTCCTGGCCCCAAAATGACCATGGGCAACCCTTTCCCATTTAGTCGTGAAAGTTATCTTTTACGGTGGTTTCCCTGACCCCATGCAAAGGACCTTTTGATCAACCCCCATATCCCAAAGAGAGCCAACAGGGGTTTAACTCATTTTCCAGACCTCCTGCTTTAGCACCCCAAATGTCACTTAAAGTTATGGAGCGCCCCGGAAAAAGAATACGGCATCTCCGACCCCTTCAAAATGCTGGGAGGGGAAACTTCCAGTTCTTCTTTTTTTTTAAACAAAATCTGCGTGAACAATACGTGTAGCAAGAGCATAACAACATTTTGGAGCCTGTTGTGTGTGCACTTGAAAGCAAGCAACAGAGAACAACGCGCAAGGAGGAACAAGAGAAAGCCAAAGTGCGCAGACACAAGCGAATGCAAGCAACGGCAAGCGAGAGCAATGGGACATGCAAGCAAACACTGCCGCTTGCAAGGAAACAGCTGTGGGAGACTGCTATGGTAGTATGTACCAATGTACCTCACATAGGCGCATAATAATATATATATATATATATACACATGTTAGTCACACATGTATGTATGCCTGCTGGTGGTAAATAACCTCCATACCTCTTGAGCTTATGTCAGAAGGTGACCCTAGATGTGGTGCCCCTAGCGGCCCGCATGCAGATCGGGTTCGCAGGGGCGCACACCGGCTGCTCCCGAGCCAGTGTGTGTTTTGTTGTTTTTTTCTTCGCTGGCGGTCTGGCAGTGACACCTGGACCATTCAAGCTATATAATTGATAGAGTTGGGTTTGCAAAGCTGCTTCTGGCGGTTATCACAGTCAGCTGGGGTGCTTCTCCCTACTTGGTGCGTGACTGGTGCAGTTCGAGAAAAAGTGCATGGCACAAGTCCCATCTCCTTTACGCACGTAAAACCAATTGTGCCATCTACACCCTGGTGTGCAGTGAGGGCCAGCGACGTTGCAATACGTTGCAGACAACTTCAATCATCGCGGCTTCTTGATGCATTGGCCATGCACGATCGGGAGTTGGTTGGCCCAGACGAGAAGCCCTCGGCCATCCGAGGACCTGCATATCGCTCCCAGTCAGTGGGGGACTCAGCAATCCCGGCGTCACTCTGATATCGCGGGCTTCCAAATACAGTTGGGTCTCTAGCCAATGAGTCAGGCACAACCCAACACATGAGTACCAGCGCCCACCTCCCCCAAACGAAAAAAGTTTGGGGCCCGACGGTCTTCCCTTTGGCCAACGTTTACAGAATTTGAGAGTGTCAATTTAATGAACCGATCCAACCCAGAGCAATGATACCTTCCATGGCATTCAACTGCCTTCATGCTTGTCGCAACAACCCGCAAGCCACACACGCAGGATGGTACACTACGAACATGTCAAGATGCGACTTAGAGCCTCGATTTGCACTTGCATGTTGTGCATTGCTTGACTTCCAAATGCTTGGCTCGACACCCACCGATGGCCGCATTGGCTTTGCAAGGTCTCAATAAGGGGCCTGCACAGCACCAAACATCCATAATTGGCCATTGTAAGTGCTCCTACCTGGGTTGATGGGAGTGGTGCTAAGGGCGCGGCAAAACCTTTACAACTGGTTGAGCAGAACCACAGTCACTGGCTGTTGGGCACCGCATTCTGCAGATCTGATGTGCTTCGAGCGAGTCCAACGATTCGAGGCAAGTCTATCGAACAGCATGATGTAGGTCCATAAAACATGGGGATCCGAGCCTTATTTTAATTTTAGATTTGTCGTCAAAGTTTACGCATTGTCGTTCTAGGTTTATTGGTTGAGTCAAGGCCTGGCATTTGCTTCTGGATCGTCTAGGGTTTCCACCCCAAGAACACTTCCCACCCGGGAAACATCGAGTACATACTTGATGTCGTGGCAGTTTCTGGGATCTCCAATATTGGGATAAGCTTGCTATCAAACATAAGGAGAGAACATCTTGCTTTCTTTGTGTCCCAGGTGTGGGCCAAGGTTTAGGGGGCGCCAAAGTGGAGTTTGGTAAGGCTTGCCATGCTGGCGCTTTGTCAAGGCGGGGAGGGTTTCGCCGCCGTGTTCGGTCCACCGAGGCTTTCTGGCAAATTCTACACTGAAGTTGCGTAGCTCCCTTTACCTGCGGTCTCAGAAAATGTGTGTTTTTAATTTTCAAGGTTGACCAAATTAAAAGAAACCTCATAGAACATGTGATCTTGAGTACCCAAATGTGGGCTGAGGTAAGTGGGCAAGTAAATACAATGACTAAATCCAAACGGGGCAATTGTGCCATCCGCATTCATCAGACACTACCTCTCGAGCCATAGCACTTCCCCTACCCACACGTACCGAATTACTGGCCGTGGCATTTGCGGGCGGTGAGCGCCTGAATGAGCGAAATGGTGCCAGGTTCTGGATCGACATCGGGTCGGCGAGTGTATCTCCACCCTTCGGGTGCCCAACAAAGGGACAGTTCCCTATATATGTTCAACTGGAATGGCGGTCCCTCAGTTCTGCTTGGGGAGACAATCAGGGTTCGGCGCTAGAGTTCTTTGGCGGAGAAGACCCGGCCGTCAAGGCAATTTTGAAAATTGGATGCCAGGTCGTTTTGCATGTCCACAAAGGGATATGTACACACACAGATGCATGATATACAATAATTTCCTCCGTTCAACCCCCCAAGCCAAATTAGCCCCCAAGCCAAATTCAATACCCCAAGCCTCCGAAACCTCCCAAACCCCAAATTCAATACCCCAAACCTCCCAAACCTCCCAAACCCAAAAGCCAAATTCAAAACCCCAAGCCTCCCAAACCTCCCAAACCCCTCAACCCAAATTCAATACCCCAAACCTCCCAAACCTACCAAACCCAAACGCCCAATTCAATACCCCAAGACCCCCAAACCTCCCAAACTCCCAAGCCAAATTCAATACCCCAAGCCCCCAAACCTCCCAAACCCCCAAGCCAAATTCAATACCCCAAGACCCCCAAACCTCCCAAACTCCCAAGCCAAATTCAATACCCCAAGCCCCAAACCTCCCAAACCCCCAATCCAAATTCAAAACCCCAAGCCTCCCAAACCTCTGCCATTTTGGAAAGTGTGGACATGAGACATCATGAGACATGCCCCACTTCGGCCGTGCGCGCTACCAGCACGAAAAACAAAACACTATCAAATCGGCAGGCGTGGCGTGCGCAGTGACGGGGCCTCTATGGGGCAATTTGGTGGACAGCGGCGCCTCTCGGAAGACACTTCTGCAGGCCGAACCCAGTCGCATTTGACGTTATTCGAGCCGGAGAAAACTTGAGTGAGTTTGGTTGGAACGTCAACCTTAAAAGCTGTTTGGGAAATGATAATTGTCCCGCAAACCTGCAACAAGTCGAACCATTTTGGGCGGGGGGAATGGCTAATCCGGCAGTGTTAACCCATGTTCTTCTTTTTGGTTGTGGGGCTTCCCACGATGGTCAAGCCCTGAACGGGCTTCCACTTTTCTGCCAAGGTGAGTCACGCAATTGGGGCATAGGCACGCGCATGGGCCGTGCGTGACTTCTTTTTTTGTGGTTTCTCGGGTTCAGGTAGCCCTAAAACTGGCGGTTATGAGTTGTGGCTTGGGGATTTGAGCTCCAGTTGCTTTCCTTTTTGCGGGGCCTTTCCGGTAAGACCAAACCGCAATGCTTAAAGACCTGCTCTTGCAGCCTGCCTCACTCGAGCAGGCCGGAGCGGGGCTTTGGGGCATCTGCACCTTCCAGCTGGCGCTGACCTCCAACTTCGTCGTCATGATGATGCTCCGGGCCACTCGGACCGTCGACCCGACTCTCAGTTCAGCTCTTGCCCTCAGATACCATCTGAGGCATCTTTACCTTTGACTAAATTTAGGTAACCCTTAATTGGTGGGTTGGATTGGTGGTTTGGGGATTTGAACCCGTGGTTCTTGTGGGTAAATGGGAAACCACCCCCTAACCAACGAACCACCAAACGGCCAAACCAAACCGCCCACTAGCGGGAAGCTGACAACTTGTGGTAGAAAGGTTTAAGTTTTAACCATGAACCCATTAACTAGGGGTGCCGTAAATAGAGGGCAGCCACCGCGAGTGCCATGAGAGAAGCTTTCCCTGGGCCTAGTCACTATTGGGTTTCTGTGACTCCCCATACGGCCCCGACTCAGATATGACTCAACTACTGCTGGGTATCCAAAGCTTTTCGGGTGGCTCCTTGGGGGACCGCCAGGTGGTGTTCGCTGCAGAATGCAGCAGAGGTGCACTAAACACATTTTCGGGCCACCATTTCGAGACAAGCGAGCGAGAGAAAGCAGAGTTGAGCTTGTGCTTTCACCTTGACTTCTGAGCAGATGACTCGAGCGCAGGGCAAGGGAGGGCCGGATGGCCGTTCTCAGCCCAGGTCTTGAACGGCGCCGCGCTGGCCATGATGGCGACTTGGATTGAAGTCGTGGGTTTGCGTGCGGTGTGCCCACGTCACAGCCCCGAAAAGGCCAGGGGTTGTGGTTGGTGAGTGGGGCCGCTGAGCAGCTCTTGACTTGCGGCCACGCAAATGGTGCTCCTTTGTTTTTTTGGGCGGGGGCGGGGGGGGGGGATTAGGCCGACTGACGGAATTCCCATGAGTCCGTTGCGTTTTGCGAAGCAACTCATGCGGTTGCTGAAACTTGACTTCGCTTTTGCGCAGTCGTCTGAATGTGTTTGCCTATTGGGGTTATAAAGCTCCTACCATGGTTTACCTCAGCTTCCCAAAATGCAATGGATGGTGTTTGGCCATTGGGTTAAGTATCACATCATGAGCTTATAACGGAGAGCAAACCACCAATTGGGTGTCTTATTTTTAGTCTTTTTGCATGTTTCTTGCGGTTTTCAAGGGAAACCAAAAGGACACCTGCATTTGTTTTCATGTTTTTGTTGGGGGGGGGGGGTTGTCCAAAAAAGGCACCCATTTGAGGCTCCCCCGAAAAGAAAGACGACACCGAGAGGTGCCGGTGATTCAGTCCTTCGTGGCCGACCTCACCAGCTCCGAGAACTGCGGGTCCGCCTTTGGGAAGGCCGGGGGAGGTTCGTTCCGCGTTCCGAAGGAAACGGGTGGCCGGTGGATTTGGCCTTTTGTGGCCCACCCAAGAAGAGGTCACTGGATTTCCCCAAGTCAAAAGCAATTTGTGTTTTGTTTAGTGGGTGGCTTTCCCACTAAAACGATCGCCGCTTCAGGTTCCAAAAAGGGAAATGGGAGGTTGTTTAAACATGCTCAAGCAGAAGCGGGTTACCATGGGGTGGCCGAACCCTGGCTGGCCGAAACACCAAGGATTCCCTTATCGGAAACATTGTAGGGTTTGCAGATTCAACATATGCCTGAAACAGGGGTAGCATGTTGAAAAACATGTACAATGTGAGACGATTTTGCTGCTTCAGCAGAACGCCCACAGACAGGGTGGGAAACGTGGACACATTGGTAGCAGCGCGTTGCACAACGATCAGCACTATCGGATCCTGCCTTGTAAAACGACACGCTTCCCCCTATGAGCCAACCTGGGTGCTGCGTCGGATGATTTGAGTACAGGGCTTGAAACAGTTTCACCTTCTTCCAGCCAACTCAGTGGGCAGTTGGTGGGGTTCTTGGCTTGCAAGAACATTCATTTGCATCCGAGCCCATTGCTTAGACCCCACTACATGGCCTGCGCTGAGGTGGCCTGCGCAGCCAATGTTGGGCAAGTGTTGGCCTGCCTCATGGTGACCCCCATCTCCGCAGCTCGACGTGATTTTTAGAGCGAGTCGGTACCTGGGACACCGCAACTGCCCATGCGGCATGTTGGCACACATGTAAAGGTGTGGTTAATTCAGTAGCAAAGAAAGGAGTGCCATGTGCCGACTTGTGACCGTGATCTCCAACACGGGCATCACCTTGAACAACCTGGCCTCCATTCTTCTGGGTCCCAAGCCCTCCAAAGAAAAGATTTGAGGCCACTGAGCTTGGTCAACCCCGATAGACAAAGTGTTTCACCATCGTTCACGAAGTGTAATTCTTTTGGATGTCAGGAAAGAAGGACCCTGAAAGAATGGGGAGGTTACCTTTGGACCTGTGTGTGGCTCGTTGCTCTTCAAGAAAGGTCAGCGCAAAGGCGAACGGAGCAGGACAAATCAACCGCTTTGGTGGTGGCTGGTGAGTGTGCCCAATGTCATGGCCAGCATCTGAAATCAAAGCGGCCTGGACGAGGCTAGCCGAAACCCATGGAATGTGACTTCTTTGGAAATAGAGCCGCGCCCAAAGAAACGCAGGTGGTCACTGTTGGGACCATTGTGGGTCGACAAAGTGGGTCCAAGGGTCCTGCTTTTCGGGCCCAAGTTAAGTCTTACTTTATTCTACACTGTTCGATTTTGTTCTTTGTGTTGATTCCAGCTTTTGCTTGCTCCTGTTGGCGCTTTTAAGCACTCTGTTAATATCCAGGGGGGATACACCAAAAGCCGCGTCCACAAGGTGCAGCCTCGGAAAGTCTTCTCCCGGAAACGCTGCCCAGGAGAGCACCGTCCTAGGCATGCACGGCTGGAGGTTCTGTTTGGCGACGGTGGGGCTGCTAAGCTTGCTGACCGTGCCTTGGCAAAGCATTTCACTTGCAGAGCAAATGGACCTGACACAATATTTGGTTTCCTGGTTTCGTCGCCTCAAAAGCCATTCTCTATTTTAGGGTCGACTAAATGTGAAAGGAGAATCAACATTTATTTTCGGTGTACGGGGTTAGGCCAGCACACACGCAGACACCAATTAAAGGGTTAGGGGGGATAAGCCTTGAGCAAAACAAAGCATCAAATAGCCCCTTGTAGGCAGTTGGGGGAGGGGTTGGGGTGGCAAGCCTTGAGAGCGTCCCAGCTCGTTTGAGAGTGCCATGGCTTTCCTGCGTCCGTGGACAATCACAAAATTTCCAGTTGGTGGATAAACAGCGAAATCTGTCGGTAGCAGGTGCTCAAACAAGGGTGCCCTTGTTTCTTGGTTTCACTTGGGGTTTTAAAACGTTTGCGGGGCTTGTTAGTTTGAGGTGAGGTTTGTACGGGCGATGTTTTTTGGAGGAAAATGTATAGGGGAGCGCCGGTCAGTCCAGTTTCCATGACTTTCCCACCAAATGGTCAGGTTGGATTCCTAGGATCTGAAACCTGGAGATCCATCCTTTATGCAGTTTGCCAGACATCCCTCAATTTGTCCCTTTTTGGTCCAACCGTTGCAGCCTCATTGGAACCGCTCGATTGCATTCGGGGAAATCCAGTGACCCTTCAAAGCGGGTCCCCTTTAGCCATTCCCGGCCCACCAGTACAAGCCAGAGGCCGGGATTCGGGTGACCCTTCGTCGCCTTTGGGGCGCAATTGCCGGTGAGGTTCTCTTTGTGCGGGCGGCAGTCTTTGAGGAGCCGCCCGTTTGGAAGCCGAGGCGCGACTGGAACACGGGGAAAACCCGAGTTCGTCGGATTTCTTGAGAAGCACGATGGGAAAAGCAGAGGTGGTTGTGTTGTGTGTGTTTATGTGTGTGTGTGTGCGTTTGTGGTTACGGGGATGCCCTTTTCAGCTTGGCTTAGGGCAAGAAGGACCCCCATCATTCTTGGGGTCCCTTTTTCGACACGTACCCAGTTGCACCCCGGAAGCAATGCATGGGGAGGGGCCTTATGGATTTCACCTGGTTTCGCTTGGGGGGCAAATGACTTATAATGTATAGCCACATGAGGCCTGATGATCCTCATTCTCATTCTCATAGAGTTGTGGGGAAAGCTTTTTAGTTGCATGTATTGGTTGCCCAGGCCAGGATTCAGAGCCCGTGTTGATTTAGCAAGGGGCGTCCCCTGTGAAAGTGGTTGGGACCCCGTGTGTCGGATGAGGGTCAATTGCTGTGAGCGCATGGGGGCCAACTTTACAGTGAGGATATCCCACGGTTTCACCGGGCCATTCGCACGCGGGGACGGTCAAGGGCTGTTGGATGAGACAGTTCAGTGGATTCCACTAAAATACATACCAGTTTCGTTGGGTTCCCAAATGGAATCAGCCCGGGCCCCAGGGTTCTACGTATTTCTCCACTGGTATTGAAAAATGGGAGCTTGTTCGAGCAGGGGTCAAGGTTCACCTCCAAAGGCACCTATTTAAAACTCTCCAGTTCTTGCTGTTCCCCTGCTGGACAATTGGTAAATACTGGGGTCTCCTACAAAACAATGTATGGTTCTAGGGCTAAGCATGAACCAGACAAAATCAGGGAGTATGTTTTTTTTCTGCCTGGACCAGCCGGAGAAGAAAAATGCACAAGCAAGCGCCCTCATGCTTTCTGGCTGCTGGTATGGGCATTTGTTCAAGCATTCTAGCCCTTGTTGATCGCACCCAGGTTTCAAAAGGACAATGGGTGAGTTGTGCTCGGCTTTCAACGCGAGCCGAGGCGGTTTGGTCTCCTACGGGAGCTGCGCACGGTGTACCAGTTCCTGAAAATCCCGACCTTTCGAGTGCGAGCCCTAGAGCCCTTGGGTGCCCACCCAGGTTGCAGCACCTTTCAACTTTTTCAGGGGGGACCCTTGGAATGTACCAACAAAAAGGATGTTTCATGCACTGAACAATGCGTAAACGGGTCCAGCTGGGAACCCCGTTGCCTTGGCCCCAGCAACATCCCTACGGTTAAAAAAAAGCCAGCTGCCGGGTCTTCGAGAGGAAGGTCATTCTTCTTCCAAACAGGTGGCTGGCTCCAAGAGGGGCAGTTCACTTCTCAGCTCACCTTTTGAATTGTTGGTACGGTGTTGGTCAATTTGAGTTCCAAAACTTCAGCCTTTTCTACTGAGATTCTACTGCTTTGTTTTTGGAAGTGAGCATGAATCGTGGGGCAATGAAAAAGTCTTTTGGATTCTGCTCACTTGAGTGGACTGGACAGCAGTTTGTTCTTGATTCAGAATTGTCCGCCCTACCTCAAGGGGGAGGGGGGAGGGCCCAATTTTATTTATCCAGCCTTTCCAAGGGGAATGGAGTTCCCTAATGAACGCTCGGGGGCTATCCCGGTCCACATCCTTCGAATCGAGGTCCCCTTTAGACATGGCTGCATTTTTTTGGAATAGGGGCCCACCTCAAACAGGTTGACATGAATCCCCAAAAGTTGTTTACTTAACCCAGCAGATCCCGCAGCAAAGTCGTCTTTTGAAAGGGCCCTGCGTCTGGTCAAAGATGCTGGTGCGCCAGCCGCCGAAGGAATGATGGTCTAGGGCTTCCCGTAGCCGAAACCGCTTCTTCAAGCTTCCAGAACACCAAACCACAAGAGGGGAATGGGCGGAATAGGGTATAAGTTCTGTATAAGGGTCCATGCATTTTACGGGGCTTTTGGCGTTTTGAGCTCCTTGAAAGCCTGCCTTGATTGGGTGGACATAAAGTCCCATGGTATCGCAAGGGATTCCGGACCACTTTAAGGGGGGAGCAGAATTCTGCTTCCATGTGAACTGCAGGGTCGGCATGACATTTAACTCAGCAGGCCTTTGACAGAAGCTGAGTTATCCAAGCCCCAAACATTCGCACTGATGAGTCAACTCTTTTGGTTGTCCTCGTTTAGTGGCTGGACCCGATTCTCAAAAAGGGGGTCCTGCAACCTGGCTTGGTCCTGGCCGCCCTTCCAACACCAAGCATCACAAACAAATCCGCCAGCTTGAGAAACTCGAAACAAAATGAACTTAACCTCCGGTTGATGTCATCAAAGGAGGTGCAACCGCAGCTGGCTCAAGCCTTTCCGCATCGATCCATGCGAGAAGGCAGGGCGAGCGAGTGTGTTTTCTTAAGTTTAGAGATCCTAGCAGTCTTGTTGTTTCTCCGTGGTCTTCCTGTAGTCTTGCAGTCTTTGTGCAGTCTTCCTGTAGTCTTCCTGTAGTCTTCCTTGCCACGGTGTTGCAAATATTTTGGGAGCTGCGCTTTTGGCATCTCAGGATGCTGCCACATGGATGAGCGCAGAGCTGAGATCTCTTGCGACTGGGCGTGGCCCGCAACTTGGAGTCATTAGTTTGACCATTTCTGGGGGTGATCACAGTCAGAAACTGTTTGGTGGCTTCCCTTTGACATACTTGGGGGGTGACTGTGATGTTAAAATAGTGTGAGGCCAGTGAAAGCACTATAATTGTCAACCCCGCCCCCAATTGTGGAAAACCGAGAGGCCTCTATCATATCATGTTCCATTTCCCTTGGAAGCTGAAAGAGGATGGAAGTCTGGGCTTCGTTTCAACAGATCGATGACTTTGCTTGTCTGGGTTTCTTGAAATGATCTCTGAGTTCAGAATGGTTGGGCGTTGCACCTAGGATTTCGCTCGTGCACTTGTCTCCCCGCCCAAGGTGTCTTGAGATCACCAGCTTCGTTGCGCGCGATGGGGATGGTGCGGCCCGAGCATCCGGACCGAAAAATGAGGGATGGGACCGGGCGCAGCAGAGTGTGGCCCATCTTACGTTTAGACGTTTGAGCTTTTTGAACCTACGGATGAAGCAAGCCCGTTTGGGCGCCCATCAAAACAACAAGGTGCTTGTGACCAACCCCTGGTGCGCAGCACGCAGCGTCTGGACATTGGTAGAAAGGAATTTCGGGATTCGTTAAAAGTTGGTGGGTTTGCTATGTCTTGCTCGTCGTCCCCCTTCTTGTTGGTTTTGTTGAGTTTGAAGGACCGCGTGGAATCGTGGCCATCTCAGAGTTTGTTCAACAAGCCCATGAAGCAGACGACGCCAGTTTGCAAACTATTGATCGGTGCTCGTGGAAGAAAGCAGGCCGACGAGCTTGCCAAGTGACTCGTGACTCTCGCTATCCGAGCCAGGGTTTTCACTCGGTGGCTTCTTAGTTGTCCTTGGTGTGTGTGTGTGTGCGTGCGTGCGTGCGTGTGTTATGTGTTGAATTTATTGATGTTGCGTTTTGTTGGATCATTTGTGTTTGCTTGTTTGGGTTCTCTCCAATTTTGGGCGGGCAAGACACCCTTCTCATAGTATTCCCGTCATTTTGTAGTTTTCCTTGTCTCTCCAAGGTCTTCCTGTCATCTTCCTGTAGTTGTAATAAATCTCTGCAGTCTTTGCGTAGTCTTTTTCTTTCTCGGAAACAGCATGGCCAAAGGCCAGGTGCTTTATCCACACAAATGTGTCGCTTGACAACAAAGGGATTCATCGGAACACTCGGAATTCCTATCTGACTAGACCATGCGTAGGCCCTTCAAGTCCCATGTTTGCTTTCCGTTTCAGCCGAAAGAAATGGCTCGCCTTTTCCGAATTCGCTCGCACGATCCCATCTCGGTGAGGTGCGTTCGGACCCGTCTGATCCCTGGGTGGCAAGCTGGACCAAAGCTTGCGAGGCAGGAAGGAAGAAATGGGTTCGCCTGTGTCTTTGCTTTGTTTGTGGTTGTTGATGTTTCGTCTTCTTGTTTCTATTTTGTGTGTTGTTGTTTTTGTTGTTGTTGTTTTTTTGTGTGTGTTTGTGTTTGTTTGTGTTTTTGTCCGTCTGTCTGTCTGTCTACCTGCCTGTCTGTTTGTCTGGCTGTGATTTCATGAGTTCCCCCATGCCGCTTCCAGGTGGGACCATAGGCCGCATGAGTGTCGTGCCAACCCTCCCTATTGGATATGTGACCCACTGCTTCTCTTCTTCGTGATTCGACTAAATCACTTTGGTATCAAAGGCAGGTGTCCGATTTCCCACAACCTTGATCAGCCATGAACAACACCGAAGTTGGGTTTGTCTCAAATTTGCGGACCTCTTTTTTTAGGCGGGCTTCCCTTCAAAGGTAGGGGACCCCTTTAAATGTCTTTCTCCCTTTCAACGTGACCATGAAGGGTGCCCAAAAAGATACCCATTTCCCAGACCTGTCCTTGTGCAAGGATGTCCCCCGCTTTCAAGGACCCCCAATGACGTTCCATGTTAGTGGGAACAGCCAGCAACCAGTGCCATGTCATGCACTTGGTAGGGCAGCGGCGGAGATTTTCCGTGGAAGTTGCCGTGGTTCCCGTTAGGAGAACAGCTGGCTGGCCCCAGAGTTCAGCAAGGAGTGCGGGTTCCACCCCTGGTGTAAACTTTGCCGTGCCTGGGCAAGTTTCAGGGCTCCCAAATGTGTCAAAAAGGATTAACGCGGAAGGCACCAGTTTTAGGGTGGGTTTAGAGGGGAGCTACCAGGAAAAAGTACCATTCTGGCACGCCCACATCCTTTCGGACTTCCGGAACCAGCAGAAACAGGCAATAGAAATTCTATTGATCTCTTAGGACCTAATTCTTATTCACTCAGTTGCCTCAGTCAGTCGAAGAATGGAATCCCAAAAAGGAAGTGCGGTGGCCCAAATTTGGGGGACCCACCCCGTTGCAAAAGAACGCTTACCCTGTTGTTGCGTGACATCCTTTCTGGCATCTCTCTTGACATTTTGAGCCGCGCATGATTTTTGGGAGGGACAAGCAGAGGTCGCTTTCCCAGCAAAACACACAGCTTGTTCCCCAAAAGGGCGCAGAGAGACCCTCAGGGCAAGGAAGTTTATATGTGGCTTAGATCGAACAGGAAACACAAACAGGAAATATTAATTTTAGTGTAGCTCACATGTGGTCCAGGAAGCCACCGGTAGAACATTGGACAAGTGTCTTGTGTTCGTCCAACTTGCAACCGTCACACTGGGATCATGCTGAATTCGAGGCGGAACGAAAGAGATAGGGAGAAAGAGAGAGAGAGAGAGAGAGAGAGAGAGAGAGAGAGATAGGGAGAGAGAGAGAGAGAGAGAGAGCAAGAGAGAGAGAACAGAAAGGAACCAACAGTTGGGTTTTGAGCGCCGCCCAAGGTTCACTAAGCATAGATCAGAATCGGAAGATGCCAGGTTTACTTGGCAAGAGCTCAGATGGGTCACGGGCGTGGGAAGCTGCTTTTCTTGATCGGGCTTGTTCCGAGCCGCAAACAGAGGATCAACACCTAAGGGGAGACCAGTGGTAAATGGCTGCCTTTCAGTTGAAACCTGTTCCAACTTTTTCCCCCTGCGATCTCCGCACCCGCCTTCGCCTTGCTTCCCGAAAAGGCCGGCACTCCGTGACTTCAGGCCTTGGCAAGCCAGAGGGTGGGGAAATTCCCCTTCATGCTGCCCTTCAATTTCTGTCGTTTCTTCCAGGTAAAACTGGAATCAATCCCAAGGTTTCGAGTTTTGAACCCAACTGACTGGGCCAACTGCTTGGATCCCGGAGCCCTGATCAGAGAAGAGCTTTTTGACCAATCGTTCCCCCTGAACCTTCCCCCCCCCGAAGAAACAATAAACCAAAAAAATGGTACCTCAGACGAAAGACACCCATTTGCCATCTGCCTGAGGCAAGTGGGCCGACCCCAGCCACCTCAGCACCCCGAAGTGCCAGCAGCGCCGCCAGCGCGAAGGTGTCACCTGCGGGCCCCACCTAAGGAAGCTGCTGGAAACCCAAGGCCGGTTTCAGGTACCCTGCAGAGAGAGAGAGGGTAGCGCAACTCCGTTCGAGGTCATTCAGGCAACAGCTTTAGCATTGCGGGGAGTTTTGGAATGGGAACGCGGGCCTCAGAATTCCACCGTCGTGGAGAAGCGCTTCGAACGGCAGGTGCCCCGCGGCCTTGCTGCCCGAAACCCCCGGCCGCGCAGCCGACGGTCCCGAAGCCGCCGCCGACGATCTTGAAGCCGCCGCCGGCGGACACCGGCGGTTTCCGGCGCAGATGCCGGAACTCCCACTGCGCCCGGGCCCAGACAAGGCAGACACGGTTTGAGCATGCGCAAACGGGGGTTCAAGAATTGAAGCCTCTAACATCAGAAGTATCGCCGGCCTGGAGGCAAGTCCTTGTCGAAGTTGGACACTGCTGCGGACAATTGCTGGTTTTGGGTTGTCAGTTTCTTCAAGCGGCCAATGAAATCTCTTTGGAAGCGATTCGCAGGAAAGGGACCAGCCAGAGATAAGACCAGTTCCGTGGCTTTATGCATAACTTGTAAGGACCTTTTTCCTTGGGTGATGTTCCAAACTTGCCAGAATGGCTCCAGCGGATCAACCAGCCGGTTTTCTGCTTTGCCCAAGGCACGTACCTCGCGCACACGGATGAAAATCAGTTCAGGGGTAACTTGGCTGCATTGAAGTCTCAAGTGGGACACCTTGTCAACCCTGGCCACCCGTGGAAGTGTTGGCCAAGTTCGTCTCCAAATGAGAGATAGACCCAGAAGGATTGGTTTCCTTTTGAATCAGCCCAAAGTCGCTTAGAGCCCAACCAACTGTCATCTGAGCTGTATGTCCCACAATACGCACTTGCAGCCGCTCCGAACTGTTGCACTCCGCTTGCGCGTGCCTGACTCCCAGACCCAGGCTACTGCTGCATCGCGTGCTACAAGTGGGAGAAGGACGGAGATGGCATGGATTGGATGCACTACCCAGCTCAAACTGAAATTCATACGGGGGTTGATCAATATTCTTGGCGGTCGACTTTCCCATTTTGTGGGACATATCATTGTTTTGGTGGTTTCTGCCAATGGTCATCCCATGTTTACCGGACTCTTTGATCAACCCCATATCGCCATGTTTTTTAGATCAATCTTGTTTGGGTCTCCTCCATCGGTCCACATAAATGTTGTCGCAAGCTTTGGTACCCTGCCGTTGAGAGCTGGCTTCTAAGCCAGAATTCGTTCGGTCAATTGACCAAACTACAGGGGTAGTCGGCTCCAGGGGTTGCCAGTCAAAAAGGCTCGTATACATTCTGCCTAGTGCGTTTGAACCGGCCAGCGAGCCGTTCATGGGTTTGGGTGGCCGTTCTCCTCTAAAATGGCCTGATCAAATTCAACCAGAGGGGACCCATTCTCCGCTTTGCCAGTGGGCTGACGGGGACATCATTCTGGGGTCTGGTGAAATGAGTTCACCTCTTTAAGGTTCACTCACGTGTTGTCCTTTACTGGATGAGACTAGTTTACCCTTTCCAGGTTCACGATGGACCAGAATCAAACAGACGATTTCTGGTGGGAAGCCGAGGTCGCCCTTTTGGCTGGGCGCGAAAATCCGAGGAGGGGTACAAGAAGAAGACCTACCACGGGGCACGCTGCCAAAAAGAGCCGGCAGATGGCTGTCAAGGCAGCGAGTCGAAATTCCCTGCCAGTATCCCGAACCCCTAAAGTTACAGAAAAAAAAGGGAGTCCACGTCCACTTGTGAATGTGGGTTTTTGTTCATGCTCAAGGCCAGGCGAATATTTCCAGTTTGTATTGTCCAATTGGGAGGGGCTTCAGGGCACTTACTCAATTTCAGCCACAAGAATCAGGGGGCGAGATTTAATCTTCAAACAACTTGGAACAACATTCATAGTTTTCCGACTCCAGGAAAAGATCTGAGTGTCTGAAGCTTAGTCTACATCCCCACGAGTACGCAGCATGATATCCCCCCCAAGACTAAATGGGAATTATTTCGGGAACTCGGTCATCATCGGTCGGCTGACTTTGCAAGTTAGCTAAGGAAACCCAAACGTGACACTCTCCCAGCGAAAGCAACGTAGCAAGGAATTGTACAATTCCACGTATGCCATGGAAGTCGGGGTCACCATTTGCGGGAAGTCTGGATCAAGCTGGGGAACCCTGACCCACGTTCAGTCAGGTAAGGGTCTTCGGGCAACACGATATGTGGGGTTTTGTCTGGAGTTGGGTGACAAACAAGGCTGCCCGGGCCCAACAAGGGATCCGAGTGACCTAGACACGCGGCCAGCTCTGAGATTGCTTGGGGGCAACGACCCAGCTAGGTCTACACAAACATTTGTAACCATAAAGGTTAATTGGGATCGCCTCTATGTTCAAAGGGGTGTGCCCGGAATAAACAGCATACATTTGCCATACGGTATGAGGGACATTCCCAGTTGCTTCAGCTTCTCAAAGTTGTGCGGATTTCGCACAAGAGAGGCTGAAATGGATGGTTACAATTTACTGCTTATTCAACATCCAAGTTTAGCTATCATAGTTTGACATGCGAGTTTCTCCGCAAACTAGCATGGAGCCAGAACCCCCCCCAGAAAAAGAAAAGCGATTTCTTCAGAGATATGTACGTTTGTGTTATTTATTGATAGTACTCTTTTCGAAGTTGGCCTTTCAAGGGGCACCAAAAGGACTTGGGGTACCTTTTGCAAAAAGGTCACACCCATATAAACCTCTGCAGGGAGTTTCCTTCGCGTGTGCCAAGACATTATACAGACATGGACAGGAACTTGTATGTACAATGTAAACAAGCACCACCAGCTATGGTCCCTTTCTGGTCTGCCAGGACTTTCTCACTTCCTGATGTCCTGGACTTTAGTCACTTTTGGGGTTTGGACAATTTGAGCGGCAAGCAAAAAGTGTGGTACCTTGTTTAGCCAATCCACTCGATCGGTCCGCTTAGAGCCGCAGGATGCAAACCCCGCTGCCAGCACTTTTCCGATGGTCCAGCTGTTTTGGCCATGAGAACCCAGATGACTGGGTTTCAGTTGGGTACTTGCTTGAGAGTTTCCTTTATCGTCGATGCTCAAATCCACTCGATCGGAAGTGAGTTTAGCAGCCCGCTGGTCCCATTATCCCCCCGATTTTCCAGCTGGGAGGGTCCTGCTGTTTTCTTGGTGGCTCCCAGCCATCCCCTTAGCTTATTAGCCTTTTAGTGCTTAGCTTATTAGCCTTTTGGTGTTTAGTGGTAGTTTCCATTTAACCCACTAAGAGTTTATTTAACCCACTAAAAGTTAAACTTTTAGTGGGGGATCTGAGGGCAGCCCAGTTTTGCCGCTGTTCCCCAAATCCGCTTTGGGCGGTTCAGCTCGCGCCAGGCTTCGAGTTTGAGGCCCGGGAGCCGGGGCCGGAGCCGCTGGCGCTTACCGCAGGCAAGGCACGGGCAGGGGTTCAACCACCCCGAAGGGGAACGTCCCTTTTTAGGGGGAGTCGTTCCCCCCCCCCTTCAAAAAAAAAAAAAAACACTAAAAAACTAAAAACACGAAACAAAGAAAAACATATATTATATTATATTATATTATATTTTATTATTTTATATTATTATGTATTATTATGTATTATAGATAGATGTGCTTTTGCTATGTTTTTGAAGCCAGCAAGAACAATCGGGTAGCAACTCCAAAAGAGACGCCCAGATTCAAAGCGGGCACTGGACTTGAGGCCATCGGTGGTTTCGACACATTGGTTCGCCTGAGCACATTTTGTAGATGGTTCCAGGTTCCGTGAACATGCCTACTGAGAACCAGCGAGTTATAGCCCAGTGGATGTTGATTGGAGAGTGTCCCCTTTTAGTGGGCATCCGAATCGCTGTGTGGGTGACACCCCACTATTACTGGGGGTTCGCGTTCTTCAGCGAGCTTGCTTGCAGCGAGCCCGTCGTGATTTGGGGATCCCTCATTTCAGACCTTGGACTCACATGGACCCAGTGCACTCCCTTTGGTTGAAACATCACCATGTCACCTCTTGATTGGGGTTTCTCGAGCCAAAAGAGGGACATGTAGGTGACAAAACCCAGGGCGTGGTGGAGCACAGGGGTGCTAGAGTTCAACGCTGCATGCATCCTCGAGACGGTCGCCTTGTGCAAAATTGACAGTCCATTTGCAGCCTCGAACCCTGAGAAAACACAAGATTGTTTGCAGAAATGGACTCTAAGCGTCCACCCTAACCCCCCCTCCGCCTCCGATGGTTGTGGCCTGAAATGCATTCTCCCCTAGGCTTTAGTCACGTTTGGGAGGATACTCTACCAGTGATAAGCCCAGTGTGTATTTTCTTTTTTGGTCAATCCACCCGATCGGAAGTGCGTCCAGTGGGACCGAAAGGCCCGGGCGAGCCCGAGGAGGAGCCCTGGCGAGCCCCGGACTTCGAGGCGCGGAGATGGGACCGAAAGGACTTGGAGAGAAATGGTGTGGAAGGCATTTTTTTTGGGTGGAAACCAAATGAAAAGGAAACCAAAGGAAACCAGAGGAAACCAGAGGAACCCAAAGGACCTTTTTTTGGGAGACCAAAGGAAAACCAATGTTGAATTGCAGGGCCATCTTGGGCCTCTGATTGAGAAGCGAGCCTGGCTTTCTCGCCTAGGTGGGCGGGCTGAGATGCTTTGAAACCAAGCCCTACGTGAGTCAGGTAATGGCATCTTGGCGCAGACGGTGGGCGACCTCACAAATGTGGTTTGCCAGGGGAACTTCGCCTTTCGGGTGGTTTGGGCCTCGCCTTTTGTGCCCAAGTTTCCTTTGCGTGGACGTTTGGATTTGACATGGCAACTCTCATGCGAACCTTGTTTCCGACCGCGCTGAAGGTTGAGGGTCTGTGAATTTCACTCATCCGAGGCCTGCAAGGGTGCGGATTTGGAGGCCGAGGAGGAAGTGATGTCAGCAGGCTTGGGATAGCATGCAACGCTTATGTTTTGCTCTTTGGTTTGACCTGCAAACTTGTCATACATTTTTGGGATGTGCTCGCATGATTGTGGTGAAGGTAGCCCACAGGGCGGCTGAATGTTGGCCAGGGCCCTACTTTTGCCCCCTCCCCCTCCAAGTGGTTGGGGCAGGGCTCTTGCCAAAACAAGTTGCGTCAGGCAATAACAACCCCGGAAGAAGAAACGCCCGGTTGATGCCCCCTTTTACTAGGCGTCTTCACCTTTGTGGGTGACACCCTCACAAATAGTAAGATGTGTTGACAAATCCAGGGTTCCCATTTGTTCACCGTGACGGCAAGACAGCAGTTGGGTGTACCCTTTTGAGCGGTAGAAACCTCCAAGGTTGATGGCAGGCGGGTAAGAACTGGGGGCCCAACAGTTTGCCGCGCTGTTGGGGCTTTGGTGGTTGGATGGGCGTGTCCTTTTTGGGACATACCCCATTCAGCGTTGTCTTAACGGGAAACCAAAAGGATAGATGCCACTTATGGCCCCTCCAGCAAACTTGACACACACACACACACACATTTAAATGAATAACACACATATATATATATATATATATATTCATAAAGAGAGTTTAGATGCTTACCTGCAACCTTGGACCTCGGGGTTTTGCGTTTAGGGCTTGAAGTCGCAGGTTGGTTCACTTTGGACTCCGGGAATCGTCTCGCAGGCGTGATCCGGGCCAGAGATCCCCTGGTTTTGATCCCCAGCGCCAATGGCCAGGCGCTCACTGGGCAAGCGTTCGGATGAAGCCTTCAAATGTTGCTCCATGTTTGTTCCAGGAATCAAAGACGCTAAACTAATTTGTCCAGGTCCTTTGGCCAGGTTAGAAACTGCAGGCGCGCGCACGGCGCTGCTAAAGATGGTGAATCACGAGAATGGAGGGGTCACTATGCAACTGGCGTTGCTACGATATGGCGTAGATTTGGTTTCAAATACCCACCGCCCCATTCTAAGTTTATAGTATGTCGTGGGTTGGCTTCTAATTCTTCCCAACAGAGGCTTTGCGATGTTGAGACGGAATCAGTTTGGCGGTTTCTCACTGGGCGGTTTGCCCCTTTGCTGCAGCGGATGCAGTCTGAATCCGAAAAAATACAATCCACAGCTCAACTTTGACAGATGCGTCAATCTGACAATAAACCAATGTAGATGATCGGTAAGATTCGTGATGGCTAGTAGTTTCCGCGTGAAACACAAACAGGTCATCTTGGTGCCACACTTGCAGATGCTGTAGACAACTGTAAGGAAGTTAATGGACAACAATTCTCAGACATTCTAAGGTCCACAGCAGGAGCGCGAAGACATTGGAAATTCGGAACTCTAAACAAAGTATTTTTGGAACTGCTACATAGTTTAGTCACTCTACAACTAGAAAGCGCGGAACAAGATCGTACCGATGCATTTTAAATGAACATGTTTGACGCATGTTGCAAGACCACCTGCGCCTGCGCCGCATGTACATCGAGGATGGATTAATTAGAAAGCAATTGACACTTTGACAAACTACAAAGCAACACCCTACTGTGCCATATTCTGAATTCTGCGATCACCGGCCACGGACCCAATGAACAAAGCATCTTTGAACATGGAATTGATATGCCTTCTATACAACACCTAGCAAACAAAGAGCGAATTGGCTGATGGAGACGTGCAAGGATGCGTACCGTCTGTGGAATCCTCACAGTGTTTCACAACGATTCCACGCAGATGTCCACCTAGTGAGAAGGTCAGCAACTTTTGGGACCTTTTCAGATGTCCAACCTTCATGAATCACTTTCATCGAATACCTCACCAAAGAAGGGGCAAGCATCACAAGATCTAGGGTCGGTAACGCTGGGCAACGCTTTGCTCTAACATCTCTGAGCTGCGTGTTGCCAAAAGACACCTAGAACGCGGAGGCAGCTTCTTTTTCTTTGCTCTACTCATTTCTACTAAACATGTTCTTGGGAGTAAACAAACACAGCCCACATGACGTTTGTGGCGTTTGTGGTGCCGTTTCATGCATGAAACTAGGGTGGGGGCCTTGCCTTTTGCATCCCTGCGCAGCTAAACTAGGTGCCCGTGTTCGGATTGTTTCGAAAAGAAGCCAGCTTGACACAAGTGTGTTGGGCAATTTCATGTCGTTTCATGCCATGCGCATGATTGTGGAACCCGTTGTTTTGTGGCCACTGTCTGGGGGTGGCCAAGGAAGTCCCCTTTGAACTGATCAAGTAGTCGTGGTTGGATGGGAATCAACGATCTGAATCGACCACCTTGGTATCTGGGTTGTGGCCATGAGCCAGAAGGAGGGTTTTTGCAGCCAATGGCCAATGGCTCGATAAACCATGCAAGTGCCCATATCACCTGCAAACACACCACCCCAAGTGCACCTGTGTATAGGTTTGGGCTAGCTTAGGCGTACGGGGGACCTCCAACAAGGGTGTGAGTCAGAGGTAGGGACTTGCTCAGGGCAGACACGAGTTGCTCAGTCCGTTGCCTACCCCATTCGCATTTCCAGTTGTCGCCTTTGGGCAACATGTGTTTCATATGAAGCTCTGTGATTCCTTCTGCCCAGATTCTGCGCGCACAAGTAGGGCCAGATCTGTGGATCACATTGGCAGAGAGGCAGCGAGGAGAGAAGCTTGGCCTGCAACGATCTGTAAAGATGGTTTCGACCCAGACCTCCAGTGGGTCATTTGGGGGCGCGTTCGGTTTTCCAAGTGCTGTTTTTGTTTGTCTCCATCCTCTTGGTTCTGGGATCCAACAAAACAACAGGTGTCACACATACACCAAGAGATCTCATCTTTTGCCATCCTTGGCGGTCCCCTGAAGATCAGGTGCCCAATATGCAAGGGGCTGACCTGGCAGTTGGAATGGGCTTCGGATCAATCGATCTGTCGACTTGATGGGCTTCAAGCTCACCGATTCGGGGGCAAAACAAGAAAAACAAGTAGGATCCAGAAATAGACCCTCCTGCGGATCTGCTTGAGAAAGCCGAAGCGACTTGTTGGGCTCCGATTTATAGCAACGTTCTGTCAGCGTTGTTTTTCTTTTCTTTCCTTTTTTTTTTTGGGGGGGGGGTTCTATTCCAGCTGGTGGTTGCAAGGGAGCCGTTCCGGAGCTGGGGTTATCCCAATCTGCTTTAAGCGGGAGCCTTGCGGAGCCAGTTCTGTGAGGTGGGCCCGGGGTCCATAGCCCTGGATGACTGAGGTGGGTGGAGAGCGGCTTCAAGGAGCCGCCGTGCACCTGGCGCCACCTCTTCCAGACGGCGCAGAACTTGGCCCAGGTGCGGCGGGGGAGAGTGGTGGGGAAGGGAGGGGAGTGCCGGTGGAGGACAGAGTCTTTTTTTTAAATTGGGGTGGAGTCGGGGGGCGAAGGCAAGAAGAGCTGTTGTTTTTTCTTCTTTGCAGGGGGGGTTCTTAAGGGATACACCTAGAAAGCTGTTTGAAGCGGGGGAGGTAAAGGGCTTTGTTTCTTTTTGTTGAGGTCTAGGGCGGAGTTTTCCTAGGTGAGTTGCACCCTTCCAAAAGGGGCGAAAGGAGCCAAAAGCAGGCCGAGCATGGAACCAACAGAGAAGGAAGCCCAAAAAGGAAACGCAAACTGTCAACCATTTCTGGATGGTAAGGGAGGCCCTTGGAATAGTTTTCCCGAAAATTTGAAGGCTGAAGGTCGAGCCCACTAGCATTCAAGAATTGTACGGAGTCCAGCAGTTTAGACGCACCAAGTTAGGTTTTTGGGCTGGACATCGGCTGGTTCTCGCGCGAATTTTGCCACCCGTGTACATGGCACCCGCCAGAAGCTCCGTTGGTGAGTCAGACAAAGCTTGGCGTTGGGATTCCTTGTTCTCACCCCTGCTGGAGGACCCAACAAAAACACTCCACACACACACACACCTACCTACCCTTGAGGATGGTAAGCATAGACCAAACAGCCGGGATCAACGTGTTTGGCGGGGTGGGTGTGGGATGTTTGGAGGTTGTTGTCCCACATGTTTCATGAGAACAAGGTTCCTCAACCAATACATCTGAGCCAGTTAATAATGTCTGAAAAGACCAGCAGATTTGGACGACCCTGCTTTTCGATGTATATCCCTTCTACTGGAACGCTGGAGACTGTCGCAGCCAAGCGCCGAGGAGTGGGTCCAGGCTGACGAGCTTTGGCCCCTTGGCGAGGGCGATGTTGCCGGATGAGTAGCATATCAAGACGCCAGACGTTTGCATTTGTAACATTCTTGTGTTTGTCTTTGACGTTTCGGCTTGACGTTCCAGTGTTCCTTCGTCATTTATTCTTTCAATCGGCAAACATATGTTGCACAGGCTTGGACCTGTCTGGCCCAACAGCCCTCCGAGGCGTGCCGCTGAGTCCACGTGGGAAAGCTTTCAGAAGGCGCCTGGGTCGGCTCTCCGGGGAGGGGGGGTGCTGCTGCTGTTCGCTGGTGTTCGTCTTGGACGAGGTAGCGCGTAAGAACAGGAGTCAAGCCCGACCTGCAAGCAAACTCGGGTGAGGGGAGTTCGCAGCACCCAACCCGTGGTTGCCAGTCTTGTGGTGCAGTGCGAGAGGTTCCCTATATGAAGGACGCAAGCAGAAATGGAAAGGGTTGACATTATGAAAAGGCTGATGCCACGGCCTTGTGGAAGAGGTCCCCTTGCAAAGGCTGAGGTTTCAATTCTGAATCCAGGCCCCTTGGCACGAGCTGTTACTTGTATCCTTGCTTGTCTATACAAACTGAGCATGCGTCAAACCCAAATTTGGAGCCTCTCTGTTGGGCCCCAAGGTCAAAGGCCCTCCCGTGTCCAGGCACAGCATGAGCTCCGGGACACAGGCGGAACGGTTGGGCTTCGGGTTCCTCGTTCGGCCAGGCCCCTTGGCCTTTACAAACTTAACCCAGGAGACCCCATTTAGGTGAACGGATGCATTTGTCGGTTTCGAGCTCACTGATTCGGGGGTAAGACGAGCTCACTCATGATGTAGGTCCTTCCGGCTCCAATTCATTTTTCATGTTTTGGAATGATTGTTGATGTTTGGGCCAGCCACAAAAGTCCCCCAAATCATTGCCAACAAACATGTGGTTTTGGCTGTATCCTGTGAGGAACCCTGTAAAAGTGAACGTTGCTTGATGCGCACAGGCGTTCTCTACTTGCCGGGGGTGGTTGAAGCTTCAAATAACTCAGAAGCTGTGACGATGCCACTTTACGGGTTGGACAATGGGTGCCCAGTCGCCCTTGAATTGTCCCTTGACTCCGCGAGGAAAAGGATGGATTCGGGTTTCTGTTTAGCACGGAAATGGCAATGACATAATTTATGGCTAGAATACCCTCCATGGTTGGTGGTTGCTGGCATCCAGACATGTAAACTATGTCCACCAAAGCCAACTCGAATTCACCCTACCCCTAGCACAAGGGGAGGTCCTTATTTATCCTGTTTCATTTCCGGTCCTCATTCTCCCTGTATAAATTGGGGACCACTAGGCAAATGGAACTGGAAGGGGGACCCCGCTTGCCTTTCACTTGAAGGCCCCACGTAAGGATGCATGATGACCATTAAGAATTGATGCCCCTGTTCCAAGAAGCATTGAACAACTTAACATCATGAAGTTCTGAAGGGTACCTGCAAGTTGGACATATCAACATGATTTTGGGGCAACATCCACTTTGTTGAGGGTATTTTGAGAGTCCAGCTAACAAGTTGAGGAAGCGCTAGCCATTCGTACTGGTGACCCCTGCGATGCAATAGGAGACTGTGGGGGCCAGCACGTCAAGGCGATGATCGCCCGGCGACGCTCAGATTTCGAAAGCGATATGGGGTGGGAGGAGGTTGAGCTCTCAAACTTACTTTTTGGTGTGGTTTGCGCGTTGCACCACCCTTTAAAGGGTAATCTTGAGGCACTTTAATGGTCCTAGTTGCAGTGGCTTCTTCCAGCTCAGGTTTTGTGCAAGCTGCTTGTGCCAAGGGGCCAAAAACACAATTTCATTAGCTGCGTGAGAGGTAAAGGCACACAAATGTTCACGGGCGATGTGTTTTTTCTCTGTACTGTTGCTGCCTGGCAATGAGTTTGAGGTTTAAGCATGTTTGAGCGCGGTATTTCCCGCGCACATTTCCACCCCTTCTTCAGAGGCTACAGTCCGGCTGCGAAACCCAAACTCTATCGAAGATGGGTTGGGTTTTCGCTACAGGCGGACATTTCTCGCTCCCTACCTGTTGGGAAGACCAGTGTAGTAGCAAACAAACAGGTCGAACTTGTTTGTGCAACCCACCCAAATTAAGCCGCCTTTTGGGCCTTCCGGGTGGGAATTGGCCCAGACTAGCCAGATGAGCCGTTGGCTATCCGGGCTTGTCCGGGTGTGCCCCGCTTTGTTTTTTGGACAGTAAGATTCCGCCACCAAGCTGGGGGTCAAACTGGGCTCACCTGGGCATGAGCGTTTGCCGTCCCAATATTCGGTATGCATTCAAGTTGCCAACGTGAGGAGACGCTGCCCGCAGAGAAGCCTTGAACGTGATCGAGGCGACGCGTTGCAGTCACACATTGCCAAGTTCCGTCATAAAACATAATGACTAGCTAGCATGAACTTTTGAAACACCTGAGCAGTTATAGGATAACAAACATGAACTAAGATGAGCATGTTCAACAAGACTGAACATGAAACATAATTTGAACACATTGTTTTTGTGTACTACGGATGTTGGCCCAACTGGTGTGGCTCTGCCGGCATTGCTATAAAGGCTTTTGTCGGGCGTTTCTTCTTGCCGAGTTTTGGGGACTGAGTGCTTCGCTCAATGGTGAGCGCCTGTGTGTGACACAGTGAACAAAATGAGAACCCCTGCAAGTGGTTGGTGTTCTGTCGGTTTTCTGCGAATGAATTGGACACTTGTTTTTGCTTCTGAATCTTAGTTTGTTTGACGAGGCACCGCACTTTTTCTTTATTTACGCGCACGGCAAGACGCAAGATATTGAACAAACCTTTTCGCTCAAGCAGGCAAGTGCAGGCAAGCCAGTCAACTGAGATGGCAGCGGCGTCATACTGTGTGTTTGAAGCTCTGCCGTTTTCTTTTTGCGCGTTTCTTTGGCCATCATGGCGTGTGGGGCTCAAGCACTCGGCGATATGGCAGGTGGTCCTTGGATGTGGTTGTGCCTTTTTTTGGGGGGGAACAACTCGCCCAAAGATTTGGGATGGCCAGGTTTGGTACCATAGAATGGCTAATGTCCCATCATCATCATCATCATCATCATCATCATCATCATCATCATCATCATCATCATCGCCTGACCGGTTTCATGGAGACTGGGGTTCATGTTGGCCTGGGAAAAGCTATCAACATAGGGGCTCAGCAAGTGTTCGACCAGAATGCTACTGAAAAGCTGCTCCATTCATTTGATTTGAACAGGCTGCCTGATTGCCTCAAACCAGCTTTGACCAAGTCCTTGCCTTGCTTGCTTGAAACGACAAGTTCATTTTTAACATGAGTTTTGCAATGATCCCTTAATGGACAAACCATGGGGAGGGGCTGCGAATGACCAAATCCCTAAAACTCAACATACCCATTGCCAGAACACATGAGCAGCGATCAATCACCATGTGAAGCAACTTAGTCTTCGGGTGCCAAAATGGGACATATTGGAAGGATCGTTTGGAAGTTTTGTGGAGCATGTTGCAAAGTCAGTTGTTGCGGCGGAGGGACACGGAAGCTTCGTTCGTGTGCACGTTGTAACTCACATGCTGTTTTGAACATGGGTAGCAAGGATCCTCGCGTGACCAGCTGCAGCTTGCCATTTGATTCTTCGGGCCGAATTATGTGCGCAGAACTAGCCGTGCCGCGGAAGGTAGGCTTCAAGCCCCATCTGCGAATTTCGACCTCCGCTCAAACTTCCTAGAGTAGACTTAGGATACATTTTGCATTTTACCAGTGACTCCAAGTGAAGCAAGCAATAAGATATACATTCTATAAGTAGGCCTAACTCTAATCATGAAACCAGTTATGTTGCAGATGGAACAAATCCCGGTCCGGTCCGGCAGGACTTCGTGCGGGAGGCGGCAAACGCTCAAGGGCAAAGCTGCCAGTGGCACGGGGGCGACTTTGCCATGTAACAGGGGGGAGGCCGTGCTCCTGATGCAGCCTTGAAAGGCTAGTTCCATGTTGCAGAGAGTGCCATGTTGCACCTTGACCCATTTAACACCTCGACCAAAATGACTTGTTGCAACCTCATCCATGCAGCTTCCGTCCTTGTCTAGGGAACTCTTAGTTCGGGTGAGCCAATGTCATTCGCCCTGGGGTCAAGGCATGTGGGTTTTGAACGGTTTGGTTTTGGTGCGACTGTTTGCTGGTTCATTGGGAACATTGTTTGTTGTGTCGTTTTTTGTTCTCCCACCCCCGGCGGAGGTGCACATGCATATGCACATGCGATATGACAGACACGCACACAAACACACACACACACACACACACACACACACACACACACACACACACACACACACACACACACACACACACACACACACACACACACACACACACACACACACACACACACACACACACACACACACACACACACACACACACACACACACACACACACACACACACACACACACACACACACACACACACACACACACAGACACACACACACACACACACACACACACACACACACACACACACACACACACACACACACACACACACACACACACACACACACACACACACACACACACACACACACACACACACACACACACACACACACACAGACACACACACACACACACACACACACACACACACACACACACACACACACACACACACACACACACACACACACACACACACACACACACACACACACACACACACACACACACACACACACACACACACACACACACACACACACACACACACACACACACACACACACACACACACACACACACACACACACACACACACACACACACACACACACACACACACACACACACACACACACACCACACACACACACAAAACATGTAGACATATATATATATATATTTACATATGTATGCCTAAACACATACATATGTATATATATATATATGTATGCACACGTGTTCGGTTCTATTAGAAGATGCCATGGGGCCGGGTGTGCTTTCAAAAGGGGCAGACTCCGTAGATCCCGGGATTCACCGAGGAGCAGAGCGCAAGGATGCGGTGCACGAAGCACAGAACTGGAGGGCTGAACTGCTGGAGGGCGAGAGGCGGGAGGGGGTAGCTCCCGGGTTCGGAAGTACAAAGAATGGGCCTATCGACGAACATGGTGTACTTTTGAAATAGTTATGATTACAGGATCATATGTGCATTTTGTTTGAATTCAAACCTAGGTTGGGTGATTCAAACCTTTACAGAATGGTTATGTCATGCTCCGTTTGTTTTTCCTTTTGGTGGGAGGCGGTCAGGGCCCTCTTCAAAACTAACAAGCTGGTGCATGGCGGTTCTAATGGAAACCGTAGCGGAAAGCGGGAAGGGGGAGTGGAGTCCCGCAAGTAAGCACCAGCTTCAGCCCACTGGGTGTAGAGAATGAGCAAGCGGACTGACGCGGGACGGGACGGCCGAACCTAATTCGCGAGACCAAGTTCTCAGGCACGAACGGAGACAGGGAAAATACACATTTCCATGTTTTTCTGACCAGAAGCAGGATTGGAAACCATGCCCGGTCGACGCCCAGTCTGCTGAAAGTGATGACCCTGCCCCCCCATTGGTTGACGGATTGACGACATCTCTTTAAGCTGATCCATCGATCGACAAGATAGCTTCAAGCCGAGGTGATGTCAAACCTCCGGCGGTAAGGGGATGTTTCCGCTGTTGTTCCGCCAAACGCTTAGTAGGGCGTACGTGTTGCTTTTCTCCTTCCCCGTTGTTCGTTGGAGTTGATCAAGAATGGTAGTGAACATGCGTGCCGGTCTTAACGAGCCAATAGAAAATCAAGTTTGAAAATGGAACCTGATTGGTCCAAAGCAAGAAATTCAAGTTCCAAAATCGATTTTGATTCTCTGGAAATTTGAACATAACATGGACTCGTCTTCAAAGTGGGGAGACCGGAGCATGGTCACTGCTCCTTCGGTTTGCCCTTGAATCACTGGTGCCCTGCCTCAAAGAATGTTGAAAAGGAACACCCAAAAGCTTCCATTTTCTGAAGTGAATATGTTGTATTATCTCTGATTTTGAACGGAATCTATCACTACTGGACATTTGATTTTATTATTTTTGCATTGGACTTAAGCAAATGGAAGAAAGGAATCCAGCTACTTGGCGGGTCCTTAAGTTTGAGACCGCCCGTGCGGGATTTCATTTGGGCGAGTCATGCGAGCTCGCCGATTCGGAAGCAAAAACCAGCGGCTCCACGCATCATGAAGGGCCCTTCTTCGGCATTCTCAAACTGTTCCAACACCAGGTAACATAAGGGGCTAAATGATTACACATTATTGCAGCATGATCATGAGAAGATTTAGTGTAGTAGCATCTCACAATTCCACAACCCCACTTTCTATTCTCCGAAAAGGAAAGCACAACGAATATGTCCAACTCCATGGCCCCTCCCAAAACAACCCTTCGCCCTAGGTTTCATCCAAAGAAGGCCTTATGACAAGCATATTTTGAGGAAGCAGGGTGGGGGTTCAAGGGGGCTGGGATTGGAATCTTGCGATGCATGAGGGTTTTTTAAAAGATAATGTTTTCTTGATAAACCGAGTGGCGATCCGGGGATCGCTTTGCCGCGCGGGATTCGGGATTCGCGAATCCCAAATCCAACTTTGGGTTTCGGGATTCGGGATTCGGGATTCGGGGTCCGGGGCGGGCTCCAGGACATTGATTCGGGATTCAGGATTCGGGATTTTCGAATCCAAAATCCAACTTTGGATTTCCGGATTCGGGATTCGGGATTCGCGAATCCCAAATTACATTCTCCAGGAGCTTCTCCGGATCACGTCTTGAAACTCCCCTTCAAAAGGCGCAAGGTGCATACGTACTGACTGGCCTGGCTGTTTCAGAATTTGGAGTTCACAGCCCACCCTTGGACCTTTTGGTTGTCCTTTCCATTTTTCGTCCTTTGGTCACAACTTCGAACTTTCGAAGGTTTAAGCATGGATAACTCGGTGGATCCCAGGCAAACCACTGAATGACCTGGCCTTTTTAAATTGGTTTTCCCTGATATTTGCTGTTTTGGGACTGGAATGGCAAAAGGAAAGCCAAATACAGGGGTCCTCTATTTCAAAAACGGCTCAGATCAGATCCATCATTTTCGGTGAGACGGTTCTTTTGTTTGTTTGGCTTCCATGGTCACTTGCTTCGTACGTGAAGCTGTCGGCCAGATTGGACACCAAGAAGGAGCTCAGGGACCTTGACCAGCAGCGCGCCAAGGCTCGGCTCAGCCCTGAGTGAAGGGAGCCCTGCGTAGCGCTCCAAGCCGGGCGAAGTTCAAGCCCTTGTTGAAATGTGAGCAAGTCTAAGCGGTTGGTTTTCGCCAACCTCCGTTGGCTTTCCTGTTGAAAACGGTGACGGCCTGATAGTGCTATCAAGTTTTGCCTGACCCCGACTCAAGCCCTTTGAACAAAGGCTTGTCTCCAAAATAGGGGGACCCCAAGGGTACTGTACCCTCAAAAACTCGGTGCTTGTTTTAGCTGGGATGAAGCGCCAACCCACATCTCCTTCCTTTCTGCTGGCAGATGGGACTTTCTGGTTTTCCTCAAACTCACATCCGTGGCTGGCACAAGAAGTACAAGGAGCTGAAGAGTTACACATTTCCCTATGACCATTGGTTCGTTTCGTAGGCCCCGATCCAATTCGGGCCAGTCGCATCCCCCTGATGGCAAGGTGACCGTCGCCAGGGCGAAGATGCGGTCCGCCGACACGGCGGGGATCTCGGATGGCTGGCTTCAAAGAGAATCACCGCAGAACATGTTCTCTTGTGGGTTGGGATGCCACGCAATTTATCACATCCTAAGGTTTCAAAGACATTGGGTGTGTGTGTGTGTCAAACCATGATGGCTGTCTTGGTGGTGTCCTCCTTTCAAGGTGAATGGGGTTTCCCGGTACCGTATCCTCAACAAAAAGCGCGCGCGAATGAATTGTTAGAACCTTGTGATACTTGCGCAAAACTCCGAAGATCTTGGTACATGGGTCCTCGTCCCCATGGCTGTTAACGGCGCCCCCAAGAGGCGACCCGCCCACCATCCCACCGACCAACGCACCCACACACACACAAAACCAGAACCACACCCACACCAACGACCCACCCACCATCCCAGAGGAAAGGAACCCTATTAGCCCCCAATAGGCCTTATTTGTCGCTATTAGCCCCTATATATTGGGATTGGGGGCTCCTTTCGGGGGCCCTGGACAACCATAGGGTGCATAGCATCATTTTCACTAATTCTTTGCCTCATCGGCGGGTCGCTGTGCTGAAGCCTGGGAGATTCAGGAGTGGCAGAATGCGCGCGATCTGGACAGCCAGGACGCAGAGCAGCACATGGCGGCACCTCGGCTCGGACAAGTGAGTCGAGGGATCAAAATAGCGAAAGAAATTGGGCGAATCGAGGGAAACCACTAATCGTGAAGGCGACTCGCGGATTCCAGTTAAATTTGCTGAGAGTGAGAGTCTCCGACCCCTTAAAGAACCCAAGACGGAAGATGACATGGGTGTGTCATTTTGGTTGGGGTATCCTGTTTGGTGTTAAAAGTTGGACACACGGACACCGGGCAATTTTCGCGGCTACCTTATGTTGTTTCTTCCCCAAATGCTCTTGCTCGAGGAGCGCGAGAACTGCCGCACCACTGAGAAGGGCGAGCGGCTCGGAGAAGCGAGTCTTCGTGCGGGGGCGGCTTGTTTCTAGAAAAGCGGAGGGATCAGCGGACCAAACCAAGCTTTTCTTTTGGTCTGTGGCTTCAGCTGAACAGCCGGATAACGGCGTGGTTTACGCAGAGTTTCTAACTTCGGATTTGTTGAGCGACGCCACAGGAAGTCCCCTACCTGCCACCATCTAGAGGCCCTGAGTCACAATCAAAAGCCGATTTGAGTAAGAAGTGAAGGTTACCAAGCGGACAGACCCAACCATAGGTGCAAATATCCACCCTTCTGGTTCTTCACTTGGTTTTGGGACCAGTTGGAAAACAGATTCGATTCTGACTCGCTTTCTGAAGTCATGGTCTTTTCCTCTCTTTTTTTTTTGGGGGGGGGGAAGGCCACTCGGCCTGCCACAGCTCCATCTGCAGGACCCGCCTGTACTTCCACCAGATGGCGACCCTTTGCGACCTCGCCAGCCGTGTGGCGCCTGAGATGTTGCCGGAGCTGCGCCGGCACACGGCGCCCTGGAATCCGGGCGGGGACGGGGGTGGGGGTGGGGGGGTGGTTGGGCACGGGGAGATGTGTATTTGAGCCTGCGCTTATATTGGTGGTTTGGATTGGTTCGGAGTGTAGGGGTGCTGTCCTATTCAATCTCTCGATGCCAAAATGGGGTTGTGTTTTTGAGGGGGGTGTTTGTTGGGATGGTGCAACTGGAAAACAAAAGGACACGCAAACATGTGCAGGGTGCTTTGGGGGGTGATTCAAAGGGAAGCCAAAAGGACAACCACATGTTTTTGGGGATCCCTTATTTTGCTACATACCCATTTGTGGGTACTAAGGACACGACAAGGAAACAAACAACTGTTTAAGCAATTCCACACTTGCTATCTAGCACCAAGGCTTGTCGCAGGATGAGGGACGCTTCCTGTTGGTAACCACAGAGCTCGCATGGGACAACCGGACTGTGGGGACGAGCCCCTCCAAACCAACTGCCATGGAGAAACATGAAGTTGTGTTTTTTCCCTTGGCTTGCCGCTTGGGAGCGTTTCTGCTTGAGAGCCGGCAAAGGAGAAGACGCTGGAGACGGAGCTCAGGAAACTGCGGCTCAGCTTTGAGAAATTGTCTGGCTAAAGCTTCTGGGGGAGCCAGGGAGCCAGGTATGATTACAATTCCATTTTGAAGAACGAGCTGAAGAGCCCCAGTGATTATATACATGTTACCACGAATGTAATTGGCTTGTGTTTCCAAATGTGTTGGATAAATCAAAGCACGCTTCAGGTCTCCGTTGCCACTTTTGCTGTGATAAGGAAACCTCTTTTTAATCACCATGGGACCATGACCAAAACAAAATTTCTCCCACAGAGCTGCTCGGGGTTAGTGCCTGGGTCATTTGCGCCCATCATGGGAATGATGCTCCCGGTCTTTTCCCTGGTTTAGGAGTGCCTATCGTTACCTTCTCATGCTTTGAAATTAGTTACTTTCCTTGGGTGATGTTAATGCGGAACATGCAAGGGGCTCTGTTTAGAATTTGATTTGGTTTTAGCATGCGCTTTGCCAGAGGAGTCACCTTGCGCTTCTTTTTCCGGGCACACCTCAAAAGAAGGGACATGGATCTGCCTATGGCAGGTGCTTCCACCGATTCGGCCACTCCATTGAAGGCTTTGGACCTCAATTTCGGCCTTTTCCAGCTTCCAAGGTTCTTAGAGTACTCAGCGGTAATCAGCGATTGGAATGGACCGGGGTTCCAACAGAAAAGTTGGCTTCCAAAACCCTCTGTCGGCTTTCTTGGATTTTAGGAGAGGAAGTAGGTCAGGGTCACCGGATTTCTTCGTAAGCTTTTGGCCACCAAGACTACCACTGTTGAAGGCCAAACAGGGAAATTGAAGGACCCAGATGGAAATGGGGGACCAAATCGCCCGTCTGCTCAGCCAAACCCGAGCTCAGGAAGCCCAATGACCAGACGGAGGTTCTGAAGGTGCTGGACCAAAACATCAGCATCTCACACTACGCAGCTGAGCTAAGACAAAACTTGGCTGAGCCAGGCGACATCCGGGGCTAGGGAAGCACACACCTTGCTCCTCCATTACCATGACTTCTTTTGGCTTTATCGAGCAGTGCAGTAAAAAGTTCATTTTGCACGTGTCAATTGACGACTAAAAATCCTACATGTGATCAACCACCAAACGAGGCTATACCCTCCTTTGCATGGAAGAGGAGGGAAGCCCCTGCCAGACCATGCTCCTCGTGCCACTTCTCATCAGATTCCCTTTGCGTCACAAAGTGACTCCACACTGAAAGGGGACACCCCCTACCATACCCCCTATGAATCAACCAGGAAGGTTAGTCCGGGGTTCCCATCAAGGGAATCCCAGTTGAAAAAGACAAATAAACAACAAAGAGGGGTCCCGCTTTGACATGCAGCCATGATGTTGGTGGGCCATGTGCTTTTTTCCACACATCTTGTTGAGTCGGAGGCCGACAAGGTCACAACCAACCGCAAACCCCAAGATGTACACGGGGAACCCTTAATTAAGTCGTATTTGGGAGATTTGCCACTGGTCCCAGCTTTCTTCAAGGCTTGGCCAACATTTCCCATATCACGAGGTTCGTTGAAAATGGCCAGCAGTGTAGGGAAGATGGGGGATGGGCCCTGAATGTCCAACCAAAGGGGATGGAAAATTGTTTGATTTGTCGCTCCGTATGAGGACCCGGAGCAGCTGCAGCAAGCGCGGCGCTTGTCTGAACCAAATGCGCGGCACGGTATCTACGAGATGACGCGACTCGATCAGTGGAGAGCTGGGCGTAGATTTGGGCACGAAAGATACCTGGCTCAACGGTGGGTTATAGCAAGGCCGTTTTCAACCATAGGTTCGGGGTCACCCTTACTCCAGGCCTAATTATAGAACCAGCAAATTGTTTATGTCTGGCGTCGCATATGTGATTAGTTTCATATACCTTGATCGGGTAGGCATGTCTGCACATGTTTTTGCTGAAATAATTCCCCCAGATGTGCGCCAAGCTTTTGGTTTAAATTGAAAGCCACAACGACAACCGCGATTTGCTGGGTCTAGTTGGACACTTATGCTGTCATAGCCTAAATTTGAATCTGACTTTCTGAGTTTGAGGAGTAGTGGGGAACAACATTGATTCATGTTGATGGTTGTTTGGCAAATCATCTCATCGCTGTGAACAGCGTTGCACTCAGAATGCTTTATAGCAGGGCGCTGTATGCTCCAAGACATGTTGAATTCAGGTTGAATCAGAGCGGTGGCGGCTGATTTGAGGGCAACGCTCCCTTGAAGGAACAGAGTGCTTTGGCCCAGGCCAGTTTGTAGATCCGGATTTGTGTTTGCAAGTGTGCGGGTAGCTCGAGCTGTTCTATTTAGCATGGGGTCTGAATCGTTAGCCGACGGATCTGCTCACTGCATCCGGAAACCTTGCGGTTTCTGATGCGTTTGCCAGACTTGGCTATTGCATTTGTTTTAACATGTTGCCGTTTGCTTTTCCTTAATTTGACAGAAGTGCCCAGTCCATTTCAGAACAAGCAACCAGAGAATGGCCTCTTCAGATTTTTGTGTTTTGCAGCGGTCTTCATATCAATTGTCAATGTGTGTTCCCTTCAACCACTGAAGTTTTTGGTTGAAGTTAGGTATGAGGGCGAGCCCTGTGTGATCAAAGTGTTCGACCTGCACATGCACCGCGGCTTGCCGGGCTTCATCCAAGAGGTGATGCTGCACGTCAGGCCGGAGCTTGGCAAGTTGCGGGGGGCCGGGCTCGGGTGGCAAGAGCTAGCTTGGAGCTAAATCGCCGACATGTGGTTTGATTTGTTCCCAAAGGGAAACCAACAGGGGATGGGCCACTTTTCGGTGTGCAGATCCCAAAACACCTTTAGCACCTAGGCTGGGTGTCCAGTGGCCATGTGCAGAGGTCCCTGTTTCAAGATGTTCAGTGTTGCCGTAGTGGTGCTCTGTGTTTTTCTCCACTTTTGGTTCGGCTTCCCCGCAAAGTGTCCAACCCTCTGATTTGCAACTGGGAAAGGATCGAGGGATCATTGGTGCGCTGGGATAGGGCCACGTGGGATGCACAGAATGCTTGCAAGAGCCAACCGCGTAACCTCAGGAGTATATTGGGGAGTTTCTCCAAAAGTTGACCCCTAAAAACGGTATTCTTTTTGGAACCCCAAGCTACGACTCCACCATTTTAATGAGAAGCCCCCCCAGATAATCTGCCACGCCCTCAACTTGCTTGACGCTTTTTCCCTTTTTTCGGCCTCCAGGCTACGACATCCCTTGGTGGTTCCGGTGCGGCGCGCCTTCATCGACTTCAAGGAAAGGGCATCCCTTGAAAGGCGACAAGAACACAGGTGTGGAATCCATTTTCTCCCCATGAGAACTGGGGCCTGGGTTTTGCAGAGAACAATCTGGGTAGCCCATGTTGGGAGTTCTTTCTTTGGGTAGGCCGGTGGGCCGCCTTGGCACCAGGTTTTGTTTGCGACTCGTATGGCTGGGGGTGAAACGCAAACCGTCCGGGGACGGGTATTTATTTTGAAGCAAACTAAGCCCTCTATTTTTTCACGCAGAGTGGGACCAACCACTTCGGAGGCTTCTCATATCCAAGTCGACGCATGCAATTGAGCGGCTTTTGGGTTTCCATTTTGCTTCCCAATGTCCAGCTCATGTGCAAGAAGCCATTTGGGCTTGTCTTTCAAACGGGAGCCTGCGCAAGTGGGTGTTTTCCATTTAGAAAGGTTTCCCTCCAAAAAAGACACCAAGTTCGGCAAATTGGAATGATCTCACCCGTTTTGGTGATGCATATTTGTTGGGATTCCTGATTCCTGGGGCTCTGGTTTGTTGGCGGGTGGCCATCTTTCAGGAAAGCTGCACCCAAAAGCCCCCCCCCCCCCCCCACAGGAATAGAAGTTTTAGTAGGCGGTTCTCCTAACTTGTTTCATGTCATGGGGTTAGCAGGGCCAAAATAGATCCGTATAATCACACTAAAGCCAAACGTCACTGCGTTTTGGGCGCTGCCCAGGTTGGTTTAAAGGGAGACCAACAGCAAAACCACTTGTTTGGGGGGTCGCTCTATTTAGACTCGCCCCAAAACTAGCTCCCCCGCGCATTGTGACGTGGCAAGGAGCACCGGGGCTTTCTGCAATTCGATCGCTACGAGTGCAACCTGCACCAGTACCTCCAAGAGACATTTGGCATCAAGGGAGGGGAGTCATGTCAACTTGTTTTTTGTTCCGGAGAGTGAATGCCAACGTCAACTTCGGATTAATCTGGAGCACTGTGCTAATCATGGATGGCTCTCCTTTTGGCGAGGACACTGTCTGCTCTCTCCTCCTTTTTTTTTTTTTGGGGGGGGGGGGAGGGAGGGATCACACTAGCCAAAGAAACACCCCCCCAAATGAATTGCCGGCCCACTATCCTCCAAGTCAATCCGAAGTTGACATTAGAGGAGTTGAACCCAATCCAATCACTAGTCCACAGACTCCAGAGGTACCCTTGAAACCCTTGTGTTTAATGGGTTCCCACTAAACAGTGGCTTCAGCCGCAAAACGGGCTCTCTTTCCGTCCCGGGGCGCTGGGCCAAATGTACGGCGTGTCTCAGGCTGGGGTGGCCTCGGCGGGAGCCTCACCGCTTGGGGGAGCCGGCAGCGGCGGGGCACGTGGACAAGATGACCCGCCGAATCGCGCAGCTCATGATCCAGTCGGTGGCCCATGCGCCTCGGTTTGCGGTTTGACCCATTGACCTTTTCGCTGTCCTGGCCAATTTTTGGCTTTCACGGCCCTATAAAGGTGAATCTGTTAAGTTAGGTCCTTTGCGCAAGTGAGAATTTGGATGCAAAGTGGGTGCTCTTGTGATTTGTGGTTTCCCTTTGAACCAACCTGAAAGGGCACAGTCATCCGTGGCCCATGTTGATGGGAGGTTTTCTCATGGCAGCGAGCTCACAGACAGGGTGCCGAAACTCATTTCTCTTTTGTAGCGTCATTCTCTTTCTGGTCCTCAAGGCATGGGGAAATGTCCCCTACGAACCATCGGATTTTCGGGAGGACGATTCCCTTGCCAGGTGCATTCCCACGACGTGGTGCATGGAGACCTGAAACCCTCGAACTGGCTCTGGGATGCCAAGAACAAGGTGCCCACGCTCTGCGACTTCGAGCTGTGACTGAACAAAGTCGCGTCACCAGTCCTCTTTGTTTGGCTTCTGGAAACAATCCACATGGGAATTACCCAGCATTTTGGGTGGCATGTCAATTTTGCAGGGGTAGGTTGAGAAAGTTTGAGGGTCCAGGTGTACTTTTGTAAAATGTTGCTCACGCCATCGGGGGCAGCGCTGGCCTCCGCAATCAGTAAACGCAAGACCTGTGTAAAAGTCCAGGTCTTTGGTGGGCGCCGTAGGGCCCAAGAACTTTTGGACAACCATGGTGAGGATTCCTAAGACATCATCCTGGCCCGCACACAAAAGCTGCCAAAGGCTCTGAAGAGGTGCCTGGTGAAATGGCGGGTTAGTTGGGGCGAAACGGAAAGATCAATCCAGTTATAACTTGCCGGTGCTTAGTACGGAATGAGGGCATGAACCCCGGCTTTGGTGCCCTTAAAAGAAACCACCAGTTGGATGGTTTATAGGGGTCATTCCATTTCTCTCATTTGCCTATCGCACCAGTCTCCAAGTGGCCCGAGGAGACGGCGAAGGACCACGGGGCGAGCGCCACCCGCACGGCTCTCCGCAGCCGGGGCTACGTGGCACCGGAGCTCTCGCAGGCTCATGGGGCTGTGTGTCAGGTTTTTTGTGGCTACCTCGTGCTTTTTTTTTGGGAGGTGGGGGGGGGGGGGTGGGTTCAAGGGAAACCGATCTCTCTTTTTTAAAGGGGGGGGAGGGGGTTGAAAGGGAAACCCGAGCCAAGAATAAGTTCGCTCCGGATCTTGCATTTGCTTGAGAACAGTTCTTGTTTTGCCCTGTTGGTTTCAAGGGGGATCAGCCACTTGTCCGCGCCGGCCTGTTTTGCCACACGCCGTTACACATTGCCCGGACATGCAATTGTGGTTTGCCATTGCATATTCCTTTTGGGATCCAAGAAGCATCAAAATTGGACGCCCTGACCTCGTCGTCTTTTCTTCAGGACGCTTCCGCGCGGAACACCTTGGAGTCAGATGTCTTTGCGTGGCCCGACGCAAGGCCGAGGGCGGAGCCAGTGCCCCACACTTCCAGTGGAGTCTTGTTTCACTCACCTGACTTTTGCGCTCTTTGGTTGATGTCAAGCGACCAATTTCATAATGTAAGTTTTATGCAAACCAGCTTGGCCGCAGCCATGCATCCGGTTTTAGTGAGCTGATGAGTAGCCCGAAATGTGTAATTTGCCCAAAGGGAAGCCAAGGGTGCATGCCCTAAGTTTCGCGACCCCCTAAACACCCAGTGACATCGTAGTGAAAACAAACGGTTGAGTACTTGGGGGCAGCGGACCTCCATATTACCTGGCTTGTCCAAACGCACTGGTTAGGGTCGGAAAGAGTGGCAAGCACATACATATATATATATATATATAGAGATCAGGTCTTTGGGTGTGGCTCAAAACATGTTGCAAAATTAAAATGGCACCAAGGGGTACGTGGAACCGAAGACTGAAGCCCGTGGTTTGACCTAGCTCTTGAATTTCAAGCCACGTTGGACGCAGAAGTTGGAGCTGCGGCTCAGGCTGGGCCGGTCCATCGAGGAAGTGGTGCAACGAGTTCCCAGCAGTCGACCATCTGAGAAGGAGGAGCTGCAGCGTATAGCCCGGAGCCCAAGAGAAAACCTGGCCAACCAGGGCTCTCTGCATTTCCTTAGTTAAGCTTTTGAACGCTGACACAGATCAGCAGCGGTCACAGACAGGCAGCTAAAGCGGCAGAGGAGAAAAAAAAAAGAAGAAGAAGAAGAAGAGTTCGACAAAGACTTGTTGAAGCGCCTACGTAGCCTTGTATGTGAGGCCTTGACGTGAACATTGGCGATGCCGGGTCTTCATGACGCAATATGGCTTTAAACGCCCCGCAACCCCATGAAAATGTGAGGCCCTTACAATGACACCTCGGTTGTGGATGCCCAAAGGTGCAAGTAAACCAGCCGCATGGTTCCGTTAACACCCAGAAATCTAACACACGCAGAGCCTTTCCACAGCTGACTTTTACATCCCCGATCGGAGATGTGATTGTTCCATTATCTCCTGACCCTTGAATTGAAGTGGGCCCGGGGATGTAAACATGTGGAACCCCCGGAAAGGGTTTACCCAATATTTTTCAACCTGATTCACACCCAGAAATCCAGCACATCTCCTCCATACCAAACCTCGGTTGTAGGTGGATCAAATGCTTTGCGATGATCCCGAGCAGCGGACCACTGCAGCACGAGCTGCTGAGGAGACGGTCGCATCATGTTGCTGAGTGTAACTGGGAGCTATTGGGCTCATCCGGCTCAATGGCCAGTTGTGAATTGGCAAAAGGAAGCCTACAGGGGATGGGGCTAGGTTTCAATTTGTTCAAAGACACGATTGAGGACCCAGAAATGAGAGCCCCCAAAGCAGCTTGAGCCACAATCAAAACCAATTCGGGTAATTGAAGGTTAGTAGGGGGTCCTCCAGCCTTTCCGTTGGGCATTGGGTGGACCATGCCAGGTTTTGGGTTATGGTTCGCTGGTATCAAAGAAACGGTTATTCCCAGAACCATGCAGGGATCTTTTGATATCCCTTAGGCCTTAACTCACTTCTTTTGGCAAGCAAAAGGTATGCAATGTGCGTTTACCACTAACCATGTCTTCCCAGAAAGTACAAAAGTGCTGGAGCTCGGTGACTGAAAAGAACCCCAAACGAAGAACACAGCTAGATGGAACTTGACCAACTCACCTCACCCTGAGGACTGGTGGCGGGAGGTACTAGGCCATCAGAGCTCCGACGGCTATGAGCATTTGGTGCGTGCGAACGAGGTGCTTTATACCCAGGCCCACCGTCTTCCGCGCGACCTGTTTTCAATTTTCCGGAAAGGACAGCAAAAGGGGATGGGCCACGTTTCGTGCTTCCAAGACTCCGTTTTGTTTAAAGCCTATTTTAAATTGGTTTGATGCACGGGAGAACCCCTTTCCCAAAATAACAGGTTTCATTTTCAAGTGTTTCGCGACCTCAGTAATTGGTGGAAGGGCAATGGTAATTTATGAATGCGGGGTTCCTGGTCGCCTATTCTGGGGCGAGTCCTCGACCGCACGGTTGCGTTTTTGTGGCTTTTGCGAGTTCGGGGGGGGGGGGGGGGGAAGCAGGTTATTAGTTATTCAATCTGAAAGCTTGTGGCAAGCACTAGGGGTGAAACGAGCGAAAGCCCATGATCTAGGTTCTGCTTCAGTCAGGCGATCCCTGATTTCAGGGTTTGGACACATTATACAATTTGGAGGCGCATGCTTACACCTAAAGCTGCGTTACGGGAGGGGGTTAAAGTTCATTTGAAGTTTCATGTTTCTTTGTGGAAGGCTACAGCACCGCCACCGCGCCCCGCGACATGAGCTGCCATGGAATAATGTTCTTTGTTTCTGGGCCAATGTTTGGTCCTATGCAAGGCATCTTTCGGGTATAATTGTGTTAACTCCGCGGGTCGGGTTGAACCCTGATCCTGGTGCCTCAGAATTATCTGATGGATGACCCAAGGGAGGCTGGGCCTCGCTTCCCTACACCATCCTACACCCCCCTTGTGGGCGGATTTAGACATCAGCTGGGGTTGGAAATAAAGTTGGAACCGTAAACCTTGGCACAGATTGCCTTCCATGCCTCAGCGCTGGTGCCCTAAGTGTTACCACCTCGACGCGATGCAACTGTATATTTGCATGGCCGCTATGGTGGGCATGTGTTGGGTGTGAAGCCGAATGCAGGGGCTCTTCCCCATGGATTTCCTTTCCGGGTGCAAGCCAAGAGCCGTGGAATAGTGACGGCTGCTTTCACCTGGGTGTGCCCCATGTAGGCGGAGTGCAGCGGCCAGTTCCGGGACGGGGAGCCCTTGGACAATCTGATTGAGGCACTCGCACTCGGCCTGGGGTTGGTTGCACGTGTTTTATTCAACAAGGCCATGATAGGTTGCCTTTGACTCACTCCTGGGCTTAGTCGCTTGCTGGGAAGGCTGTTGAAGGGGCGACCAGCGGTGTGGTTGCTTTGTTGCGCCAGTCCCACTCGATCGGCGACGCATGTCTAAACAGGTGCTGACTACCACGGCTAAAGCAGGGGCCAAGCACCAAGCCGACCTTTTGACCTTTTTGTTTTCCGAAGGCTACGGGTCTGACCGATGTTACGCCACTTTGAGCATCACCGATAAGGACTCATGAGGAGAGCGGGGGTGGAGTAGACGCTGGTATTTGCCCTGTTCATTCTTTAGGGGTTTTAGGTGGACCTCTATCAAACCAGGTTTTGATCGTGACTCTACCAGAAGCGTCCCCAGGTGCTTCATTGGCCTTTGACGCGATTTCCCATGGGGTTTCTTCCTTGTTTCCTGTTTGGAGGGGGGCGGGTCCCCTTTAAAGTGAGCCATGTTTTTAAATAAGGGAAATGCGCTGCGTGTTCTGGAGCCGAACGCCCGCTCAGTTGTTCTGTGCCAAGGAAACCCTGTTCAGCCCAGGAAAAGAATGCTAGGAGTGTCCTCGCTGCTGGGATCGAATTGCAATGCTTTGAAACTTGGTATAAAATACCCTTCGCCGGTGTTTGGGCGTCAGCCACAAGGCGGTAGGTACCTGCAAGGGCTGACACTCGGAGGGGAAGATGTGCGCAGTGAGGTCCATGTTCATCTTCAGAGCTTCATCTTCAGAGCATTTGCAACATGAGGCTCAGGGCGTGTCTTGTGAGGCCATCAGGAAAGACCCGACGTACCCGCGCAAGCACGACAAACTGATCATTGACGTGGTGAGAAAGGGTGCTTTGGCATGGTATCCCCACCGCCTTGAGAAAGGATCGGGGGACGGGGGTTGACCGCTGATTCCGTTTATAGTTCCATCTGGCCTTTTGGTGGGGACAGAAATTGGGATCTGGACGGCTTTGCTTGCAAGCTGGAAAGTCCTTGGGGCTCCCATGTGCATTGCCCGCGATGGTGAAACATGTACCAGATTTACTTGCCACCAGCCCATGGTGGCCTGAGAAACAGGTTCGATTCAAGCCCTTCCATTCGACTTTGCTTGCTGTCTCTCAGGGAATGAGGGAGAACCATCCCAAAGGGCGGGTGGCTTTACAGGCAAATCGATCCACTCGAGCAGAAGGGAGGTGAAGCATAGAGGTGTATTCACTTTCATTTGCTTTCAGAACTTTATATTTTTCGCTAACGGGGACCTACCACTGGAAATGTTGCCATTTGCTCAAGGCAGTGTATTCGAGAGAGGAACAAAGAAACAAGGTCCAGCACCGCTGAGGTGATGCCTTACTCTCGGTGGACAATCGCCGGCTCTACTGCTTTCATCAGGCGCAAGAATGGCACCGGGACACCACGGCGCCACGGCGTTTGGCACTGAATGTGGAGGTCTCGCTCTGCTTAGCCCGGAACGAGTCGATCTTTGGACCTTTTGTTTTTCCCCTGTACGCTTTCTGTTGAGAGGAAGTTCCAACAGGTTATAGTCTTTCGTTTCTAGGTCCTTTGGGCAAGTGAGTAAATAGCCGAACTTTCTTTCGAAAGCAAGCCAAAAGGGGGCAAGCTGTTTAATTTTCCCTGACCCCCTATTTGACACCCAGTCATTCTTGCAGCTTCTAGAGGTTATCAAGGTCAGTTGTGCTTTCCCCTCATTTTGCCGCTTCGGGGCTGGACAATGGAAAAATGATGGGCCGCTATTGGCTTTCCGGATTTCTTACGGATTCCAACGATTGAGCAGAATGGGACATTCACCTTGAGAGCATTGAACCCGTTGGTAGCTACTAGTGGCCTAAGACATTGCAGGCTGAAGCCTTCTGCGCATTTTTAGATACGCCCACCGGGGTGAAACGAGCCCACCCACAGATGCATTCCGAATTCAGCATCAACACTGAGCCCTGCTAACCTGGAGCGAGAAGAAACAAGCTCACCGTGATGAAGGTCCTTTACTTGGGGATTTGTTTAGGTGGATCTCTTGGATTTGATCCGCAAATCTGCGCTGAGGTGTGGATCAAGATTCGGGAGCACCCCTTCAGCCGGGCCACTCGCGCCTAAAGACTTGACGATTGGGGTGCCATGTACCTTGAGCCTCTAACTTTCTGGGAGAATGATATTTTTCCACGCGCCTGCCAAAAGTTAGAGTCTTTGGGCAGGGGTCAATAGCCATCAAGCCCAAATCGACCCAAGCAATAGATAGTTGAGCGCCAACTTGGAGGAATGTGTGTAGTTTATCTAGGCCTTTCTTACCAGAATAGAGGTGTCCAGGCAGATGGGGCTCAGTCAAAATGAACCCGCTTTCCAGATGTTCAACCTGGGGCGGCGCATGAGATCCGCGCAAGGTCACGTTCAGTCGTCTATGTTGAGCGCGGGGCACGCACACACTAACGCCAAAACGAACAAAGCCCACCCCTTCCAACAAGAGAAAAAGGGGCTTGTGTGACCAGCTATGACCAGCTTCAACGTCCATTTTTGCAGTGACACTTTTTTCTTTTTCCCCAGATAGCTGAAAGCTATAGGGGTTCTAACTTCTAATAAAGAGTGGAAAGTGATTTGCGAGATTGAGGGCCGGGTGCTAGGGGGCATGCAGTTTGGGGTGCTGGTGGATGCTGCTTTCCAAGCTTGACGGCCGGGTGTTAGGGGGCATGCAATTTGGGGGTGCTGGTGGATGCTGCTTTGCGAGCTGGACGGCCGAGTGCTAAGGGGCATGCAGTTTGGGGTGCTGGTGGATGCTGCTTTGCGAGCTTGACGGCCGGGTGCTAAGGGGTATGCAGTTTGGGGTGCTGGTGGATGCTGCTTTGCGAGCTTGACGGCCGGGTGCTAGGGGGCATGCAGTTTGGGGTGCTGGTGGAGGGGCACGCAGTTTGGGGTGCTGGTGGATGCTGTTCGCGCGCGAACGGTTCGTGGCTGGTGTATCGTCATGATGTTCCCAACCTCGTCATGATACAACTTCACTGCGATGCTGCGTTATGGTTTGTGGTTGTAGTGGCGCCGTGATGCTGTCAACATCAGGATGATGCTGATACGCTGTCGCAAGATGGTTCGTGGCTGTATCATCATGATGCTGCCTTTACCATCAGCATGATGCTGTTTGCATCACCATGATGCTGTCCGCATCATGATGATGCTGTCCGCATCATCATGATGCTGTCGAACTCATCAGGGCTGTATCAGCATGATGCTCTCAACATCATCATTATGCTGCTGAACTCATTAGGACGTTGTATGCGCGTTTGTAGCGCACCATGCTCAGTGGCTGTGGTATCATCATGGCGCTGTCTACATCATCATGATAATGCTGCGTCGTGGTTCGTAGCCGTGGTGTGCTATTTGGGGTCTATGCTGGTGTATTCTTCTTTTTTTTTTTAAATAGGTTTGTTGGTCCAAAATTATGGTTTGGATGCATGGCCAGTTCCGGATACCCCGAAGGTCCACCAAAGTAAACCACCCAGTAGGGGCAAGGTGACAAAAGGGGGTTCCATGGATTCTTCACCTTTCGGCTCACTGGGGTCTGAGATAGCATCTTCCTTCAGCTCGGCGTTGGTTGTTGCCTAGGTTATTTCCCAGTCTTGGGGACCTCAACCCCCTCCCCCCCCTCCCCTTGAAAAAAATGTGTCAAAACCTGATTCTTGAAGCATTGCGATTTTCTTTCATGTTTCCATGCAGAACAACACTGGGGAGCCTCAAAGGAGACACCAATGCCTTTTGGGGGAGGTTTGGGCATGTGGTCAAGGATAGGGGGACCCCTGAAAATACGTTTTTGTCCTGGCTTCTTTTGAACGATCCACCTGCCAGAAGCGAATCGACCTTTCTCTCAGTTGGTGTCCCTGAGTTGGCCCATGTTTACAGTCAAGATTCCGCGGTTATCGCTTGCGGCATGCCCATGAGCCGAGGTTCAAGAGCGCTTCGTGCAGCACTTCAGCACCCGCAACGGAGGGCGGCACATCTGGGTGCGCCGGTCGCGCGACGGCGCCTTGGAGAGGTTGGGCTCGTGTTTCGGATGCCCGGGGCTGAAGGACTGGCCGTGGGTCAAAACCAGTGGTACTTTTTTAGTGGAGATTAGGATGTTTAATGGGGGTACGGGATTTGGACCCATGGCCGACTGACACAGCCCGGAAAAAATCTGTTCAACAAGCAGTGGGCGAAAGTAGGCACAATCCGAATAGTTTGGTGTAGGCGAATTTGTAGTCATCGCCACGTAAATGGAGTTGTGCCATCTACAGCAGGTGGTTTTGGATGCTTTCTTTGCGAAAATCAGTTTCTGGCTCACCCTGCTCACTCTGCACAGGGCGACATGCCCGCGTGCACAGAGAAATCACGTATGAAGCCAGCCTGTGGGGAGGCCTGAGCCATACAAGTAATACGCGTGGGCGTGTACTATATATGTAGTTTGAGGGTCGCCTTCTCTGGGTGGTTCAAAGAGACATCAACAGGAAACCACTGATTCCCCCCCCCCGTTAGGAATCAAACTAGTTGTTTGTTTTAATGAACAAGTAATATTTGATTAACATTGTTGATGCAACGGTTGACGCATAATCTGTACACGTGGAGCTTGCAGTCAAACGAGTCACGGCATGTCAAGGCCCTTTCGTCCTTAAGGGCCATTTCTGCCCCAAGGCTATGACAGGAGGTGAGCGCTGCTCGTGCCGCTCAGCTGACAGCCCAAACTGCGCGCGGCGTGACGCAAGGCGAGTCCGGAGTTGTCACTGGCTGACGGCCCCCAGCACAGTTGGACAGAGCTTCAGGCACTAGTGCTTTGCCTTCTTGCTCAATTTGGTGAGTTGGAACTCCCATATTGGGAAGCTTTCCTCACACTTGCTGCACCCCGTTGTGGCATTGTGGCTTGAGGAGTGTGTGCCAGCGACTGACTTGCTTGGTCACCTTACACGTTGCCAGCCTACTGATTAAGCGCGGTGCGTGAACTTGCGCCTGCCAGGCAGTAGATGCCTAGGTGAATGCAGCTGGTTTGCTCCAGTTTCCAAGATGGCTTGCCCTACCCTCAAACCACTACCCCCAAGGGGAAATCGGGTTTTCAACCACGAAAGCCTACATATGCAACGCTGAGCTGGGGGTAGCTTTGGGTTTGGTGGAAACCATCCTGGGTCAGATCAGACCTCAGCTGAAGGCGAAATTTTAAAGTCACCCGAGTCCGAGCCTCGTTTGGAGCATGCAAAGCCATGCGGCTCGCCTCCCTTTTGGATGGACAAAAAATCCACGCGCTGGGAGGTGTTTCCGCCATTTCAGCGGTACCCTTTCTGACAAAAACGCTTCGTTCCCATGACTACTTTTGTCCCTTTGAAGGGGGGGTTGTTGGTATCACAGAAACCGAAACCCAAGGTTTCACAGAACTATGGACAGCTTTGTAACTTGTCCAGGCCTTATGGGCACCCAGGTACCGGTATATATATGTGTGTGTGTGTGTGTGAGTGCAGGGTGCGATTCAAGACCAACCGCATGAAGACCCGGCTGGCTGAAAATGAGACTGACCTTTCCGACTTGGCCAACTCAAAGTGTCATACTGTCGAACGTCGATTTCTTGTCTTCTTTCAGTGTTGGCCGGAACCGAAATAAAAGTTTAAGCTTAAACTTCCTGGGGTTTGAATCGGTTGGCTTCAGGGCGATCTGCTGTTTCTTGAGTGTTTACCTTACATCCGGTGGTTTGAATTGCTTTTGGGGCGGAACCGTGCCACCAACTCAGCAAGGGCACAGTGCTTTGAAACAGAACCGCCCTCCCTCAAGCGTTCAGGTGAGAGGACAATTCTTTTATTATCCTTCCCTTTGGCGGGGGACGAAATACAGCTTCCCGATGTGCATGTATATTTTTATTTTATTTTCGAAGTTCTTCCGAAAGAAAGCCAAATGTCTGCTTGGGTTTTGGCTAGCTTCTTGTACAATTTCCTGGGGCTGCAGCTTTTTCAAGATCCCTTGGGCTGTTCAAAAGGGATAAATGACGACCCCCCCAAATACGGGGGACCCCTTTCATAATGTATGCCCAGTGGGGGGGGGGGAATGTATGTAATACATTTTCCACGTTTGCCGCCCCAAGATTCTTAAGCGCTTTGCCAAGGCTGAGAACCTAAGAAAGCGATATACAGTTACAGCCTTATGGAAGGCAGGCGCAATTGTAGGTAGACAGAAGCAAATGGCTGCAAATGGACCTGGAAAGGTCCGCGAGTTTGCGGCTCAGTGTTGGAATGCTTTCAAATTACTGTAGGTGTTGCGCGATTCTAGAGGCCCATGTGCCAGCAATCCGCATCACGCATTCCGGCAGCAGCCCGAGAACGGGCTTTGCCAAAAACATGTCCTAGAACTCGTACGGAGTGTTGAAGTGGGCATGTAGCTGAGCAAGCTTGTCAAGGGCTGTCACTCGCTCCATCTTGTGCTGCCAGGGCTTGATGGAGGCGATGGTGTCCGATTCCTTGATTGTGAGACTCTTCTGCTGCTCAACAGGCGCTGATCTGCGCGGACCACGTGGACAAAGCCCAGGGACATATCCGCCAACTTTGTCAAGGTTGCGTCAAGTGGCTGGCCCTGGCCTACTTCAACACCCACTACAATTGTCTCTCCAATTAGGCCCCCCCCCCGGCGTTCAACAGCTCTAGCTCCTGCATCGCACACGTGTAAAAGCGCGCGCCTCCGAGAGGGCCCAAGATTTGAAAGTGTGATGAGGGTCAAACTTCCAGCTCGCTTCGAAGTCAACGCTGGGATTGCTTCGGGGGAAGCACCGCGCGCCTTGTTTGGAAGCTTGTCAGTCTTGCTGACGCCACCGTCTTCTGGGGCATCGTGTCGCTCACCTCGGTCTCTTCTTTGAGAAGTAAGTGCCAAGAAGTCAGCAGTACAGACGCGGACCCTATCTACTTGCTAAGTGGTTTACGACCGCCGCTCGTATAGTATAGGGCTTGCTGCATTTTGCTTTGAGTAGGGCCGCCCTGAAGACAAAGTACGTGTTTTCACTGCTTTCAAGTGACGCTGAATCAACGCACTGCCGGATATGAGCCCTAGGAAGCATTCGTTCGAAAGAGTAGTGGTGTTTAGTTTCCTAGCTCAAGCAAGCGCATCGTCGCAGCGCCATGCTGAAGGGCACGAGCTTTTCGCCGTAAGCGAGGCACAACAGAACTCAGCTGGGCCCCTGTGATCACTTCCTGCTCCGGCCAAGGTTCAAGTCGATCCATACCCCCCCGTGGCGATCGTGGGTTCTGAGATACATGGAGCCCTCACTAAGCATGCAAAATCCAGGCAAACAAGCTGGCTTACCCAGAGCAATTGGAGCAATGCGTTGCTATCCACTACGTCAGACCGATAGCCGCAGGCTTTCGAAAATTCCAGCAGGGGAGTGCTGATGAGAAAGCCGGTGTGGGAGAGAGCTAGCTGATTGATTGTGCCGCCCAGCAGTCCCAGCGCTGCGATTTAGATACATTCGTTGCAAAGAAGGCCGCCGGCATCGCGAGGAACTAGCTGAAATGGAAGGGCGACGAGTGTCGGATTCGTTGCTGTCGGGATCACAGAGGTGTGAGAACATCGAACCGGGGCAGGGGTGCCTCTAAATATTTTGAGCAGAGCAAACAGATAGCAAGCAGCGCGCCTTAGCGTATGCACTCATTGTGCTCCAGGGGTTCGCGATGCTGTTGATGCCAGTGTGTGGATCGAGTCCGCGCGACAAATTTGCTAATTCGTCAGAGCGAAAATCAGCTAGACTTCATTGCTGGTAATGCGAATTAGCTAATTCGACAGAGCGAATATCATCTAGACTTCATGCTGGTAATGCTGGTGATGCTGGCGATGCCGGTGACGCATCAAGGCGACGGGTGTCCGTGCGACGAATTTGCTAATTCGTCAGAGCGAAAATCAGCTAGACTTCATTGCTGGTAATGCGAATTAGCTTTACTTCGCCAGAGCGAATCTCAGCTAGACTTTATTGCTGATAATGCTGGTGATGGTGGCGATGCCGGTGATGCACTCCGTAGATCGAGGCGACGGGTGTCCGCGCGACGAATTAGCTAATTCGTCAGAGCGAAAATCAGCTATACGTCATTGCTGGTAATGCTGGCGATGCCGGTGACGCACTCGGTAGATGAAGGCGACAGGTGTCCGTGCGACGAATTAGCTAATTCGTCAGAGCGAGAATCAGCTAGACGTCATTGCTGGTGATGCTGGTGATGCTGGCGATGCCAGTGATGCCGTCTGTAGATCGAGATGACGGCCGTCCGTGCGACGAATTAAGTAATTCGACAGAGCGAATACGCTGCTTGGTGTAGGTATCAGACGCTGCCACTGCGCCGCTCCCACGAGTCCTGGAAAAGCCTTGGCTAGTTCCCAGCCCCAAGCGTTTTCAGGGGTCACTTGTTCTTACGCCCAGCGGGCATAAGAACAAGTGGGGGCCAACCGGAACAAGTGACCTGGTCACTTGTTCGCTAAAGTGCCTACTTGTTCTTAAGCCCGCCGGGCGTAAGAACAAGTGACCCCTGACGCAACAATGGCTTTAGCCGCGAAAAAAGGCAGCCACTGACAAAACACAAATTAGAAACTCTATTGCAGAACGCCCAAATCACAAAAAAATGCAGCCCGACCAAGCAAGCCAGTGACAGGCCCAGGAAAAACTGTACAACAAATTGGCACCCACACAGCCCACTTCACGAGAATCATCAGCCAGACCAGTAGGCCAGTGCCAGGCCTTGAAAAAATCCAGCTGCGCAAAATACACGGCGAACAAAATAGAATCTTTACATAAAAAACCAACTTCACGAAAATCATCAGCCCGACAAGTAGGCCAGTGACAGGCCCTGACAAAAATCCAGCTACGCAAAACAAAAGGCGGCAACCCCACGCCAAAAAAAAAAAAAAAAAAAAACTAATTAGAAGCTCTGCTAAAACTCCCACTTCACGAGAATCATCAGCCAGACAAGTAGGCCAGCGCCAGGCCCTGAAAACAATCCAGCTGCCCAAAATAAACGGTGGACAAATTCAAAACAGTCGCTCTACCTAAAAAATAAGCTCAGGTGACATCCCCAACAGCATGCGGTGCTCTTTTTAGTGCGCGCACCACCCCGCACCCCTCGCAGAACCTCGCGGAACCCTGATGGAACCCTGATGGAACGCTCGTGGAACCTCACCTCAGGGCCGTCCGGGACCACCCCGGAGCCTATCTGGGCTGAGACCCCAAAGCTTTCAGCTGTTGGAGAAAAACCAACTTCACGAAAATCATCAGCCCAACAAGTAGGCCAGTGACAGGCCCTGACAAATATCCAGCTGGACAAAGAAAGGCGGTAACACAGACAACATGCAAATTAGAAGTGCTACTCAGAACACCCTGCTTCAGAAAAAGGTCGGCTGGCGGGGTCGGGGCCCGACTGCTGGCGGGGTCGGGGCCCGACAGCACGCGCAGTTTCCTTTGCGACCGGGCGCTGGAATGTAACCTACACAGGTGGCTGCAAAGGACATCAAGAAACAAGACACGTTTCAATCATGTTCCTTAGTCTCCTGCTCCCGTGCTGTTCTGGTCTCTTGTCTTTTTTGCAAGTGGGATGTCTTCGCCGGGCTTCTGGTTTGTTGTGTGGCTGCCGCCCTTTTTTGCGCGGCTTGATTTTTTACAGGGCTGTCACTGGGCTGCTTGGTCGGGCTGCTGCTTTTTGTCAAGGTAGAGCTTCTAATTCGCTTGTGTGTGGCTGCCTTTCTTTTGTGCAGATTGAGTTGTTCAGGGCCTGTGGTCGGGCCCCAACTCCGGTCGGGCTCCGACCCCGTCGGCGGTCGGGCCCCGACCCCTCCGGCGGTCGGGCCCCGACCGCGTCGCCGGTCGGGCCATGACCCCCTCGGCGGTCGCCCCTTCAATGGTTCTAATCTGCTTGTTGTTTGTAGCTGCCGCCGTGTTTTTGCAGCTAGCTTTTGTTTAGGGCCTGTCACTGGCCCGGGCTGATGCTTTTCGTGAAATGTGATGCTTTTAGTGTAGGGCTTCCAATTTGCTTGTTGTGTGTGGCTGCCTTTTTTGCGAAGTTGTTTTTCAGGGCCTGCTAGTTGTTTGCTTGGTCGGGGCTGCTGCTCTTCGTCAAGTGGGATGTTTTTAGTGGGGCTTCTGGATTTTTTGTACGCGGCTTGTTTTCAGGTCGTGTCACTGGTCTGCTTGTTCGGGCAGCTGTTTTTTGTCAACTCTTTGTTGGCAAGTAGAGCCTCTAATTTGTTTGTTGTGTGTCGCTGCGCTTTGTGTTTTTGCAATTTGTTTTTGTTTCGGGCTTGTCACTAACCCACTTGATTGTTTCTTGATTGTGTTTTTTTTGCGCGGTTATAGATTTATTTCGCCGTTTACTAGTCTGCTTGGTCGGGCTGCTGCTTTCTTAAAATTGTTTTTTTTGCGTAGGGTGTCTAATTTGCTTGTTGTGCGTGGCTGCCGTTTTGTTGCGCTAGCTGTGTTTTTTTCAGGCCCTAGCGCTGGCCGGCTGGGTCGGCCTGCTGCTTTTCGTGAAGTGGGATCTTGTTTGTAGGGCTTGTAATGTTTCATTTTGTGTGTGGCCCCCGTCTTTTTTGCGAAGCTTGTTTCTTTCAGGGCCTACTTGTCGGGCTGATCACTTGCGTGAAGTGGGACGTCTTTCAGGAGGGCTCCTAATTTGCTTGTTGTGTGCGGGCGCCGCTTCTTTTTGCGCAGCTGGAGTTTTCAGGGTCTGCCATGGGCCTGCTTGGCTTTGGTCTCTTGCTGATGTTTGGGGCAAAACCCAGCAAAAGCGGAGTTTTATGTATATTGGGGGGGGGGTGCGGTCAGGATTGTGGTCGCAGCTTAAATGTATATGTGGGGGTCCCCCCTCCCCCCTACATAGGGGTCCCTCGCCCAAATAGTAGTTCGAACCATGCGACCAACACCACAGCTTCCACCCCCCAAACCACTACCCCCCCCCCAAAAAAAAGGGGCTGATCGTCTATCCTGCGGGTTGGCTCGGTTTGGGGGTAGGTATGCCCCTACCTTCCCACTCCGCGCGGTCATCTGTTTATGCTTCGAGGTCGTGCCCGGCACAGTTAGTTACCCTTGAAACCATCTTGAGGTGATCATCCTGCAGGGCATCTTTGGGACCATCCCCTCGGCAGCTCAGAGCTTCACTACTATGTACTTGCAGCCCGGCGCAAAGAAATAAGGTACCAGGCACCCTTTCTTGGTCGGATCTTTAACCTTTAGCTGTCGGAAAACTGAGTGTTCCCCGAGCCAGCAAAAGTTAAGCTTTCTGTTGCAAAACAGTAGGCACATAGGCAACCCCTCCTACGGATTTTGAAGGAAACCAATTCGACACCAACCATTTAGACGTCCATTCCTGGTTTTGACTTGCATTCACAATGGGCAAGATTTGTTTAAGCTAATGAGAGGGCAAAGCTGCATACCAAATGCCAGCATGTTGCAAAGGACATAAGTATCACTACTTAAGGTGCCATTTGACCTGCCCGCAGCAGGTCTCGGAGTTCATGTGTGAGAGAGATCTTGCTCACGTCCATTTTGTGGACTTTACCCCGCCCATGGAACCAACAAAAAGATGCAAACAGGCCAACTTCAAACAGGGGTTTGGGGGTCCATGTAAAATCTGCCTGGGGGGGGTGCGCGAAAAAGGATTGCAAGTTTTTGGCACTACTTGTGGCGACCTCGCCAAACGGTGGTAAAAGCAAGCTATTCCTCCCACATGAAGGTTCACATTGAATGTTGACGAACTATATTGAAGACCTTTTGGTTTGTCCTTTTTGAGTTAACTTGCCTCAAAGCGCGTGCTCACATTTTTTCTTCAGCCAGGAGGTGTGGTTGCCCGACCTCCTGAACATCTTATTCAACCCCCCTCCCCAATAAAATCTGCCCGGGGCCTCAAAGTTGGGTTGTCCAAACCGCTTTGGCTTGCCAACGGCAAGATCTCGAGCTCGCAGATTCAAGGCTGAAAGCACATGGTGTGATTGGCAATATGTGAATCACGACAATGATAGAAACGAAGGACTAACCGATACCCCAGCATACATTAGTTAGTTATTGTCCGTGAAACCTCGAAACGGCTTGTTTCAGTCCAGGTGTCTTGTGTTTTTGGGAGGTTGCCCGTGTTGGTCTGAAGGGACACCAAAAGGAAAACCACCATTTATGAACGGCCCCTGTTTAGCACACCATTTGAGTGTTTTTGTTTGGCCGCTGAAGCAAATATGTCTAGAGGGCGACATATCAGGTTTGCGGAAGGTTGTTTCCCGCGTAAGCTCGCGGAAGAGGCGTGTGCTCTCTTCAGACTTACTAGCAAGTCAGGCACACGAATTCCCTCGCGGAAGCTACCTTCCACAACTTGCTCGCAGAAGGCCCGCGGAAGACCTTATATAGAAACATGGTCGCGGAGGGTACCCTTCACACAGCGGAAGGTTGGTGAAAGGGTTTGATAAAGTGTGACCGGTCGATTCAAACTTAAAGGGTAAAACAACCACCACTCATTTGTGTTGCCTACGTCTACTGGCGCCATGTGGCATGGCTGGGTTTTGCTGCTGCTGCCAGCCAGCGCAGAGAACTTGCTGGGAGAGGACCTCGGGCCCGCTTTGTTTCCATGGGGAAGGGGATGCTTGCTGGGGGATTTGAGAGGCTAAAGCATCACGCACCGCATTCTTCCATGAGGTTGCATAGTACGCCACAACCTAATTCTGAAGAACATGCGTGGTCGTCTTCCATATTGGTCTCTGGACTTGGGTCCACTGCCGGGGGATTACCAAGAATTCATAGCCGTCCAAAGGGGAGGTGGGCATTGGAGGAGCTGGGCTCAGATGCGCGGCTGTGGCACCTCAAGACGCTGGCAAGGCGGACCGGTTGGACCTTGTTCAATGTGGAGGCCCCCGCCCCCTCCCCCAGAACAGTCAAAGCCGTGCTCGGGGGTCCTGAAAGACGGTTTGGCAGGGAGCTCGGATGACTTATGGAGTGCTTTAGTATTGCCAGTATGCATTTGGATTGCCACTCCTTAGTACAGTATTGCCAGAAGCTAGTTCAATATTGCCAAGTCTAAATTTGGCATTGCCACGACATACTCTCAGATTCCCAGTAGTTTCTTTAGTATTGCTGAGCCTAAATTTAGTATTGCCGGATTTGACCCACCCCAAAACAGCTTGACATTAAAGACCCCCCACACAGTCATATTAACCAGGATCGCTGGCTCCCGTGGGCACCTCCCCCCTTTGTGTGAATGTTTGGGCTTGGTTGCCTTAACTGGATTTTTGTTGGCCGACTTGTTTAGCCTGTGTCTTTGTCCTTTTGTTTTGCCCGGCGTTTTTTTTCTTCCTTCTTTTTTTTTTTGTGTGTGTGTGTGTTTTCGGCAATACACTTGACATAAAATATGGTACCCAAAAAGTGTGGGGGATCGTAGTTGAGCCGAGGGTTCACGGAGGTGTGTTTCCCAAAGTGATCCAAAAGCTACTCTAGTTGGGACACCCCTAGTGAACCAAGGGCGAACGAGTTCTCATTGGTGGCTTGAATTAACCCCCCCGCCCCCCGCCAGAAACTAGGGTAACAAAAACACAGGATTGCCCTTAGTTCGCGTTTTCTTTGCCAGGATTCCATAACATAATTGCATCCAAAAGACACCTTCTGTTCCAGGACATCCTCCAAATCAGCCCTCTAAATCAGCTGGTCATGGTGATGTCTTAAGTGGCATAAACACATCCTCAAGGGACCCTGTTTAAACTCCGGGATGCAACATGTGGTTCACTCCTCTTAAAATAGAGCCAACTCTATCAACCAAAGGGGGCGTTGGACCCGGATGTCTGGGTGTCGGGCGCCCTCGCGGACGCGCAGGTCCCAATGCCAGCGCTCGGTAATCCAGGATGGGGTGAAGTTCTACTCGGGGACACTTGGCTGAAGGTGCTCCGTACAATCCGGTTTGGTTTTTGCCGGGTTTCCCAGGAAAAGTGGTCAACCCAATTTGATTTCAAACGGGTTCCTCTGTTTTGTTTCTGACTGCGGCAGGGCGGGTAGGCACATGTCAAGAAATGCCAGTTGATTTGGCTGGTTCTGTGTGATTCCAGATTTGCGCAATCCAGAATCCAGCTGCCAGCCAGGGCTTTCTGCGCAATTCCTCACTTGCTTTGTAGGTCGAGCGGCGCAGAGATCTTCCGAGTTGCCAGGTTTGCAATGGTTTGGCTTTCCAGCTTTTTCTTGATTGGCAGCTGGCGCGATTTTGGCATGACGTTGCCATGATTTTGGTTATTGCCTATTCAGATTTCGGCCACTTTTGCCATGATTTTGAAACGAGGCCCCATAAAAAAAGCACCCACCCGACGCGCTCGTCCGCTCGTCCGCTTGCCCAGTGTTGGCTCCCCGGTACGCTGGACGGTGCTGGCCGGTGTACTGCGCAGCAAGCTGGCAGGCGAGACTCGGGAGTTCGGGACATGGGTGTCCTTTTTGGTTGTTTTGGTAGAAAAATAGATGGCCCTGGTTTACCTGGTGGTTTAATCATCTACCAGGGCCATCTATTTCGCCTAGAAGGACACCTGAGTTAATCTCAGCGTCGCCCACAAAACAAACTTGGCTTTGCCTTGATTGCTATTGGCTTTGCCTAAACTTTTTGGCTGAAATCAAGGGGTTTTCCGTATAGACTAGACCCGCAAAGAACTGAAACACTTTTTGCAGAGGGGTCAACAGCAACCAAGGTTCGGGGTGTCGAGGCCGATGCTCGATGTTCTGGTTTTTCACCGTGAGTTTAGGAAGAACAAAGCAATCAAACCTCCTTAACCCCTCCCCAAACCACCCATCATTGTGAGCGACTTGTTTCTACCAGTTGCGATTTGAGTCCGACCTCTATGGTGGTACCGACAATCTAAAAGCGAGCTCACGTTGGCTTAAAATGAGCTCAACCATGATGAAGCTTTCTACTAGGGGCTCCATCAATTCCGGCTTGGGAGTTCGCGTAATTTGCCAACAATCATGGAGGCGGGCAGAAGGATTTTGAAGACTTGATTGGCAGCTGTCCACTCTTTCGGATTGCCTGAATCTAGTTCGAGGCAACCTCTTCCTTTCTTTGTTTGGTGGCTACCTAAGCCTACCCTCAAGACACTCCAAACAACCTTAAATTCACCCGAGACCCAATCAAGTCCCCTCTCCACTGCACACCAACTTTAAATCAACCTTAAACCAACCCTTAGTCCTTAGTCCACCCAAAATCCGTTGTAAACTGACCATAAACCCACTCTGCATCCAGACCATAATAACAGTCTAAACCAGGTCAAAACCAGCCCAACTTAAACCTGAACCCATCCTGGCCCCACTCTAAACCAACCCTACATTTAAACCCACCCACCCTAAACAACCACACACCCACCCGGTCCAGACATCCCAACCCCCCCCCCCCGCCCCTCCCCGAAGCCAAACCCCCAGGCGCGGGTGCCGCTTACATCACTCCGACAGTTCACCTTTAGAATCCACAAGGTGATGTGTCAAGCCGCCGGTTGGGGAAATGTGGGGGGAACCCATATTTGGAGGTTGGGATTTTGGAATTTGCACCCGCTTAGAGGGTAAATGGGCGATCAATCCAAACCACCAAGAGGGAAGACATGGCTAGTTTGTTTGGATGGTTTTGGGCTTTGAAGCCCTGGTTTTGTAGAGGTCAAATGGGAAGCCAATCCAAACCACCTGGGAGAATGGAAAAACTTGCAGAAGCCTGTGGAGCCTTTTAGCGCACAGTGGCGCACCGACTCCCCGCGAGGCTTGGGCTGGCGCCACGGCTGGCGTCGCTTGGGTGGCCTGGCGCTGCAGCACCACCTCTGCCGCAGGCGCTTTGACGACGTCGAAGCGGGAAGCAACGGCTAGGTGTGGCGTTCGGAGTCCTAGTTCAAAGCGAATCGACCTGACCTTTTGGCTTTTCCTTTTTGGCCTATTTTTAGTAGAGGTCCCGAAAGGTAAACAGTTGATTTCCAGGTCCTTTCGGGTGAGACTAGCTAAATTGCAGGTTCGGATTCCCAGGCCGCGGGGAACCAAGAGGAAAAGGGAGCGCCCCGTGGCTCAGCGGATTTTTGCCGCTTAGTCAGGTTTTCCCGCAGCCAGCCTGAACGCGGTACCAGGGTCAGTCAACTGGGAGCCTTTTTGTCTCCCTGGAGCCTCAAACTACCCTTAAACATGTGGAACTCACCGGATCTTTTTCTGGAGAAACACGCAATTGTCGAGGGTGGTGATCGGGTTTATGAACACGTGCTGTCGGAAAATGAAGCAGTCAGTAGTTGCAGTTGATTACCACATGTATCCTCTAGACACTGCCCCCGTTCCCCGAGTTCCCGGACCCTGTTTGTTTAGGACTCCATGTGGTTTGGGAACAAGGAAACACATAGAGGCCCTTGAGGCGGCAAGTGGTTTTTCCCAGATCCCACGCCTTGGAATTCAGGTCCAAGACGTCGCAGCAGGATTGCGTGGCCAACGCCGAGACTTGCCCTGTAGGCCGATTCCATCGGATCACGTGCGCTGCAAAACGGCCCAAGGTGTCATGCAGAGGTTATTTTGGCAATGGATTCCCTGTTCCCATCAGCCACAAAAAGGGTTCCAACTCTTTGTTCTTCGTCTCACAGGGACTTGGCCTCGCATTTGTGACGTGATTGGCATCTACTATTGTCCTACTAGCGCTCGCTTCTTACTTAGATCATGGAGCCCAAGCAACCATCGCATGTGAACGAGCCCAAACACCCATCATTCTTGAAAGGACCCTACCAACCATGCCAATCTGCCGGGGGGCAGGGCTTCTTGGCATGACATTTCGCGCTTCTTGTGCCGGCCATCGCCCACAAGCTGGGTTTTCGATGCCTCCCTTTCAAGGTGGATTTGAGCTGGGCAAATTACAGTTGCATCACTAGATGGTTGTTATGTCACCAGTTCCCTTCTTGAGGGTTCATTTTTGGTGCCTGAAAAACTACAACTTGGGTGGGGCGATGCTAGTTTGATCCGGCATTCGATCTCCACAGGTTGTGCTTGGTGGAAATTACTGCGCCGATGGCACCGGACAGAAATTTTCACTAAAATGGCCACGCTCCGAACTTGGCCAGTCAAGGTCAAAATATGCGTAGATCACTTTAGTAAAGCGGGGTCGGCAGCACAAATGTGCAGAAAGCCTCGCAACACGATAGCGCCCCCACCAAAAACGATAAGATGGGCAGAACGCTGCAAAACGATAGGGCCGAAAAGCGATACCTACATAAAAACCTCATTGACAAAGACAAGTGATTGTGACGGTAGCTCAAGTGACTAAACCTAGGAATTAAATCGGTGCTTCATAATTTTAGCCAAGGGTCAAGATGGAAGACGTTGCCACGCCCCAAGGACCTTTTGGACACACAGGTGCTTTTCCATGAAACCTAGTGCTGCGCCAGGGGTGGTCGCGGACCACGTGCTGATGCTGCTCAGCCACCCAGAAAGCTATGCCATGGACCTTCGCCTAATCGATGCCCACGAGACGGCGGCTTTGACAAAGGTTGGGAGATTGAGGTAACTGGGTTCTCAAGTCCAAACCACCAATTGGGGTACCTGACATCAACATGGACCCCCCGAAAACAACAAGACAAAAAACAACCCCCTTGTATCGGGAGTGCGCTTTTGGTTTCCCTGGTTCCCTCGCCTGAAACCCAGGGTTAGCCCACCTTTAAATTATCTGAAAACGAAACCCATGTGAATTTGCATAGTTCTGGCAATTTTGAGGTACCCATTCTTTGGTGGCTTGGGGACCCATAAGCCGCCCAAACCTCAAACCACCAAACCGAACCACCAATTAAGCAGGTTCATGCTAATTTGCAGAGTCGTGCCCTTCTGAACGTCACCCCCGAACTGTTTTATTGTGGCCCAAGCACTTGGTCGGAAAGAAATCCAGTTTTGGGATTAGTTGCCGCGGGATACACATGTCCGGCATCGACTTTCCGGCATTTAGACTTCTTCCTCAAAGGGTGACACGGAAAGCTGGACTCTTGAATCCATGGCACAAACAAGATGTGTAGCACTGATTGAGGGTTCGCTATAAGAAAGCCAGCTGCACTTGACTGCAGTCAGATCAAATTTGCAGGTAGTTAAAGTTACGGTACTCTTGAGTCATGTTCACTTTTTGCTGAGACCGTCTGCCCATTCATGCAACGGTTTTTGAAGCATTTCTTGACTCAACATTCAAGATCCTCAGCCCTCAAGTTTTGAATCTTGAGTTCAGTGCTGCTCCCTGCTCCTAGCCAAATGCTTTCAAGCGCTTATGATTCAAAACCATCACGGAATTTGGACTGCATATAGTTCTGGATCGGGTCTGTAGATCTGAATCTTGGAGCCAGTGCCAAGCACAAGCAGCCCCCCCACATGAACAAGGCGCTTGGAACCGGATAGCCACCAACCACCAACCACCAATCAAAAAAGAAACATCAAAGGGACGCTGACTATTTGACAACCAGCTGTCTTTGATCTAGCACGGGATTTGAACCCTGGCTCTTGAGGGTAGTGGGAAACCCCCCAACCTCCACATGGCTGGCCTTTGGTGTTGACAAGATGGATGGCCCGGTTTAACAACATTTTGGAAAAACCGATGGCAACAATTACCCCGTTGAAACAGGCAATCTTTGGCGGGACTTGGAACAGCTTTGGGCAAATGTCCTATGTTTTACAAGGTCTGTTTCTATTTGCCTTCCGGGGGCTTCACGATATGCCTGAGTCACAATCAAAGCCCGGGTGAAGGTTAGAAAGGGATATTGGAAGGACGCTGATGTGGCTGTGGGTCAAAAACAGGTACCCAAAATGGAACCGTGGTATATAAATGGAACCAAGACTACAACCTGCAGTCCCCTGGTGGTTTAATTTTGACCCATACCCATGTGAGGAACCATTCCCAGGTGCACCGCTGGGAGATCCTGGGGGCTTCGCTGGGCTATTACATCTGGAACCTGTGCCTCGGTGCTTGGGGATCGTCGAAAGTGAGAAGCAGCGTCGGAGTGCGACGGAGTACTGACCTACGCAAGAGAAATTGCTGGGCCTTTGGGTGTGCATACATGTGTACCAAACCGAAGCTACAAGACTGCACTGACTGCTTGCCAGTCTGCGCATGTGCCAACGTAACTTGAAAATTGGACGTGGCGGGATGCCAACACCTAGAGACAATCAAGCAGCAGTGGACTGGACTTTGAGTGTGCACTAATGTTGGACCCTCTTTACATGCCCCCCCCCCCTCAACAGTGGAACCTGTCAGCTGGACCCTCTTTTGTGGAAATCCTGGGGGTCTGGGAGGGACAGTACATACTTTAGTATTGCCAATTCTACTTTAGTATTACCAAGGTCCCCTCTCAGATTTCCAGTACTTACTTTAGCATTGCCAATTCTACTTTAGTATTGCCAAGGTCCCCTCTCAGATTCCCAGTACTCACTTTAGTATTGCCAATTCTACTTTAGTATTGCAAAGGCTGGCTCTCAGCTTCCCAGTGCTTACTTTAGTATTGCCAATGCTGGCTCTGAGCTTCCCAGTACTTACTGTTTGCCCGCACTTTTTTGTAAAGAAGTTATCTTAAATTTGATGGTTTGGGGAGCACTTCAAGAAAAGGATTTCCCAATGTTTGCGAGGATTTGTTTGTTTTTTTTGCCCGACTTGTTTGCCGAGCTTTGTTGCCCATATTTGTCCAGCGTTGTTTCCGGCATATTCCGGCCAACAACTTTCCATACTAGAGGACCCCTAAAAAAGCCACAGGATCCTGAATTAGGGAAAAAGCTTTCTACAATAGAGGGGGCCCACTAACAAAGGAGGTCGAACACTTTTGCTTACGGTAGCTGCTTTGATTCGATGACTGCAAGACATATTTCATGTTCTACTCTTAGTGTTTCTGTGTTCATAGATTTAAGGAACCCACGACTTGCAGATTGAAGAAAACCAGCTCACCCTGGCCACCCAGCAATATGGTTGATAGCGGGGGGGAACTCAACATAGACCAACTGGCGTGTCTGTCGTTCCCAGCCAAGGCCACCGCGATTTGGTTCGGGGTTCCAAATTGAGGAAATCATGTTGAACAGGTCGCAGGATTGTATTTCCCAATAATACAGATGAATCATTGTAAAGGAGTCACCGTCTTGTTGGGGGAGCCAACAGCGCTGCTCACGAGGGGGAAAAGTCCCACTTGAGTGGGGCAGCCACGTTTCTTCATCCCAACTAATTAGGGCATGATCTTTGGATTCGCGTCCCATTTGCAGTTTCATTTTCCCTTCTGTACGATAGGCTAGAAAAATGGAGTCAGGAGACCTCCCCTGCTCCTCAAGGTAGGGGACAGTCTTTCTGAGTCCCCACCTTCGTTCGTGCAGGCTCACAGCCCCCCCAAACACAAGCACTGGTTCAATGTTGCAACATGTTTCATCCCCGCCCTTGACTGAAATGATAAAGCAAAGCACATGTTAATCCTGGCTTCAGGGCAAAAACATTGATCAAGACCAGTCACCGAAGTAATAGCCTTTGTTGGGGTCCAAGCTTGTAGCCTTGTAGCCCTTCTAATCAAGCAGAGGCGAAGGATGGTGCGGGTTGTGACTTCTCTTGGCACCTCAGGCCTGGCTTTCGGCTGCTGGACGTGCTGTCACTCTGATCAATGGAGAACGTTGCGCCGAACCATGCCCTTGGACCCATGATGCACAGGATTTTGTGGGTCTGAGTTTTCTCCAGATAGCTCACTCCCTGAGTTTCTGGACTTGGGTCACTCTTTTTGGGTCTAAACAAGTCGCTTGGCTACGTTTTTGCCAGTCTCAGGAATTGAGGACCGAACAGGGGATTGACGCCTGGCCTTGCTAGGGATTGCCAGGGGTAGAACGAGCTCTTGTATTTCAGGTTTGGAATCATTGTTGAAATGCAAGCTTTAGGATTCTCAAACATCATGTGGAATATGCAGATTAAACCTCCCTGAAGAGCTATTCCAATGGGTCAACGTGAAACCACCCATAAAATTGATATTGGGCCCTTTTTGCTGAATTTGTCCGGGGCGCTTGCCACATTTGGAGCAATCCAGTGTTGAGAATCGTCGCCACGTACACCTAATACCCATACCAATACCCCGAACAACAGCCACAATGCACATATCAACGGGCGTATGGCTTTCCATGAAAGTGCAAATCGACCTCACACGACCCCCACCGAAGTCCAATGAGTGTGTGCACAGGACCCATTCAGTTTTTGTTCCCTTTTGGTTTCCTTGGAGAGCGACCACCAGAGAGTACCAGGGAAAGATGCCGCCCACTTCACGGGTCGAATTGGGGCTTTAGAAAAGGCAAGCATCGTCCAAGCCTGTGGCTTCTCCGAAGTGAACGTAGAAACATTGGGTTATGTACCGTAAATATCTCAGCAAGTTGCGCACAATAAGTAGGACACGTTCCAGTCATGACTCAATGACCTACCCCTCAAAAGCAATCCCTGAAAGACTGCACGGTTCCTGGTGAAAAGAAGGCTCCTTGTTTTCACAAATCCTCATCCCCTAAAAAGGGGGTCCGCATCCATTTTTGATACTCATTTCTCAATTGTACAATCCGTTCCCCGTGGCGAGCGCAATGGAGCAGCATGTTTAAGGGGGGCCGAGCCTCGTGATTTCTAGCTGTTGGTGAGCCCCGAATACCCACCCCCGGTGTGCGGGCTTGTGCTTGTGTGTGTGTGTGTGCGTGTGACTTTGGATGTGTGTGTGTGAGACCCCTTGGCTTCCCTTGTTCCCTTGCAGCATCTGGGGCATTCACCACATCCCGAGGTACAGCGGGTGGCCTCTCTTCGCGCTGCTGCGCGCGCTGCGCCCCCGGCTGGCACGGCTGGTAAACTTTCGCGGAGCGCCCCATGCGACTCCAGAGGCTTTGGACCTTGCAGCGCGTTTGAAGAAGGCGAAGGACTCGTGTGAACCAAGATTCGGAGTAGAGGGTAAAATATCCACTGAACAACTGGACGCCCTTCATACACGCCCTTGTCCTGTTTGGGGTACACGCTTGGGTAAGGACAGGGCTGCCCCATCTTCACGGCGAGCTCAGTAGGGGGTAAAACATCATACGAGGGGAATTTGTGGTTTGGTCATGCGTTGCACAAAGCGGGTCCAGCTTTGCCCTGGCCTGGTGGGAAAGGGACACCAGGTGAACTTTTTGTGGTTGTGAATCTACGACCCGCCGTTGAATAAAGTCCACCCTTGAACTTTAAGAGCAACTACTTGGATGTTTAGCCAAGTTAGTTGGTGGTTACCCACCTGCGTTCCCACCTCTAATGACAGGGGCTTCCAACAACTTCACCTCGCCAAACACCCAAGTAGCCGCTGTTCTCCAAGCTGTTGTTCAGGAGGCCCGAGACACTGGCCAGCGTCGCCTATCCAGGTTCGGCGCTTGGATGACCCCAGTTCAGGGGGCAAATCATAGCGACGTCACTAGGGGCTTGCGACGTCACCCAACGTGAAGGTTCCGTTCTTGGGGGTCCCTTCTCTTCGGTTGGTATATGATTATAGTGTAACTAAGTTGCCCAGACCAGTGTGTGAGCCACATCCCGCTTTAGTGCACCCAGGCCCTTAAAATATCTTGTTTTGGTTCGGGGCCCACAAGAAATGGACAACCCAAACAGGGGCTCCAGTTCCTTTTCTACTGGGCTGCAAAGTAACTCATGGAACCACTGGGCGTCCAGATTTTGTCTTTGCTGGCTGGCTTTGGCGCACGAGGAATTGAGCAGGGATTGGCCCGCCCCTGAATCTTCAGGATTGTGGCAATAGGCAATGGGATGTGCGGATTCGAATGCCTGGCTGCATGGGTTCTCATGCAAGGCTGTATGCAGCTTTACTACTGTCGTCGAATCCAACTCCCGCCCCAAACTGCGCCTGCCCAAATCATGTCAACATATGGCCAGTAGGGTTTGGACAATTTTGGTGGCAAACAACTTAAGTGAGGAAAGCTAGGGGCAGGGTGCGTTGGGCGTTAGGGGCCCCACTCTCAGGCTAGATGCGGACTATATCTCTGCGGTGTCCTTGTGCCAGATCCTGGAATCCCATGGCATGGACAAGTGGACCGGGTGCCCTTTAACCTCAGCCCACGAGGCGCCAATGGTTTCGAGGATTGGTCAGGGTAACCTACTTGCTCAAGCCAAAGCTTTTGCACCAAACTGTTTCAACAGCGCTGTTTTTTTTGGCCACGGGTTGGTTCAGGGTAGTTTGATGGGCCCTATCAGGCTTGAGGAGGATCAGTGTTGGGTAGTCTACTGGGGTTCTGGTCGTAGCATTGTGAGACATGTAGAATTTTGGGCACTTTGCAACCGAATGGCAGTCCCCAAATAGGTCAGTTCGAGAGTCGGCCGTGTCCCCTGATTTGTCGGCAATCAACGTGATCTTAAGTCACAAAGGTGGCAATACTAATTTGGCATTGATTGTTGCGGTGATCGCCAGGTTCTAGTTGTTTACTTGTGGGGCAGCTTTAAACATCACCTTTTGGACAGGCCAATGGGAAATCAGAAGTCCTTTGGCTGGGTTGGTGATGTAGAAAAACCTGGGGAGCCTCGTTGCGTTGAGCCAGGCTTAGCTACAGCGGATGCCCTAAAATACTTCAAGTAAGCCAACCACAAGCCATGTAGGGAATTTGCAGGGTTTCCCTTGTTCCCTGCTTGCTTTATTTTGGGCATCCACCATAGCCTGTTTGCCCTTTTTTCCTTCGGGGTCTGCTTCAAGAAAGTTCGCACCTTCGACTCGTTTGGCCAAAGTTTAAATTTAGTTGTTTGTGATAGGTCCGATGCAAAAATTGCTGATTTGTCTACGGCCCATTTGGGAGGGGCAGGGGGGAACTCATTCAATTTCCTCCACGAAACTCAGTGGGCCGCGCTTGTTCCATATCTTCTTGAAGGAACTTGCGTCATTCGCCAGGCGCTTGAGACAGCACTGGCAACAGCCTCGGACTTGAAGGAGAGAGGGACGGGTGTGATACCCTTTGATGCTGCGAAACGGTCCCTGAACCCTGTCTCCCTACATGGAACTCCACGGCAATGTGTGTTCCCTTTGGGGAACTCCAACGCCCGGATCGTTCCAAGGGTGTTCCCCTTTTACTTGCCGCACCGTACCTAATTTGCGATCATCTTGTGAAGCCTTTAGGGCAGGGTTCTGGGAGGTGGCTTGGCTTTCACGTTCAGCATGCAGGCTCCAAAAACGGCCAAGGAGAATCCGCAAAGCATGATGGCATTTTGGGCTAAAGCGAAGTAGTGGGAATGTCTTTCAGAAGTGGCTCTTATAGTCTCCAAGTGGTGCTGCCTACTCCTCAGTTGGCCAAGGCCGACCTTTGGACCTTTTGGTTTCCCCTTTTTGTTCCATCCATTTTTTTGGTCATGGTCCCAAAAGGTTAACCTTTTACTTCCAGGTCCTTTGGACAACTGAGACTCTGTAGCAAGTTGCTGATTTGGGGCTCTTTTGGCGCTTCTGGTGCAGGTTCGGGTCTGACCCTTTTGTTTTTGGCCTTGGGCACGGTAGGCGCTGTATCCCATGGGTCCTTGATCAGGCTGCCTGAAACGATGCACCTTTGATCTTCCAGCTGGCAAAGCAGGCTTCAAATTGGAGCATATGTGAGAACCATGCTCATGTGCTAAGGTCTAATTTGGTTGGCACCCAAGTCGCGTCAATTGACCTTCACCTTGTTTTCCATGTGATCTCTCTCCTTAAATTGTCCGTGCCATTCTTCTCCCCGCTCTTGAAGTTCTCCCTGCCTTTGGTCGCTTTTCGCTTTGTTTTCCCTCTCTGTTCCTCACTTGTTGGTCTTGGGCCAATGGGCATTCTGTTTGCCTTCCACAATGTGCACCATCTTTCAATCGTGCGCCTGAATTCCGTCAAGCTACAGCGAGTTTACCCATGAGTAAGGTCCCCTACTTGGGGATTCCTTATTTCCACAGTGCTTTGTATCTAGCCATGGACGTTTGGAGTGCCAAGGGGGAAGTGATATGCCAACCCGGTAAAACCCAAGGAGGTTACACCGAGAGGCGGCCAAGCAGCTTTGCAAGACGCGGCGGTTACCTGAGGAATTGGCCCACATAGTAGCTGCAAGATTAGGATTGGCCGACCCTTGATTTTGAGCAGCCAAGAAAGCGTTGTCCCGCGAGCCCGCGAGAAAACACGTGCAGGAGATGGAACGGCATGTGGAGCAGCTCAGACGCGAGAAGCAGGATGGTTTGGAAGAGTCCAAGGGCACAGACATAACAAGCATGCCTTCATGTTGGAAGGGGTCTCCTCAGATTTGTTGGTTTTGGATCCACAAAGGCTGACTAGATATGACACAGAATCTCAACATGTCTTGTCGGACCCTTGGGTTGGGCCAAGGGGTTGTCAACATGGCTGAGGTCTGCACTATTTTTGTTTTTCCTAGCTTGGGGCCAAGGTTGGTGCTTTTTCACATTTTGTCCATATTTTGTGGCGACCTCACCAGTCTGGGGGAAAGCAAGCGGATCGTGATGTAGGTACCGTGTCTGAGTTGTGGGTCGTTCTAAACTTGCGGACATGATGTCAATGATGTGGGCTTCCGCCCAAAATGATGGCATTTGGGTCCATGCTAACCTGCAGGGGAGTATTGGCAGCTTAGGCTGGGCTTCAGTTCGGACACAGCCCAGAGAGCTTAGTTTGTTTCATACGGTCAAGCAGGGAATGCACACACACGCACACAGCGACGTCCATTTTCCCAGGCAATTAGACAAAGTCAGGGCCAATTTAACGTGAAAGCTGTCAAACACAAAAGAACAGGATACCACTGAATGACCCGGTTTTGCCTAGAAGTGAGCATAATAATAATGGATTATCAACATTGCTTGAGGCAGTTTTCCCTTGAGGTAAGTTTGAGGATGCACCGTTCAATCCCTGGAATCTCTGTGGTTTTTCGTTTTCTGCCAGGCACCCCAAACTCATTTGTCCCTGTTCGAAAGGGCCATTTTCGAGAGGGCCATTTTGGTGGCAACTTCAGTTCGGACTTTGGTCAATCCTGGAAGCAAGACACCGCAGCTACACTGAAGTCTTCCGTCCGAGGAGAGCCGAGGAGCACCTGAGGAAGTTCTTGTGGTGGCTGCAAGCTCCCGGGGAGGCGTGGAAGGCGCCGGGGGCGCGCATCGCGACCCTCATGCTGCCGGGCATCTATAGAACCGTCGGACATTCTTATGGTTGCTTAAGAATCTATTTGACTTCCCCTGCTGGTTTTACAGGGAACCTATCACTACTGGTCATATTTTCCAGAGGACTTCAAAAAGTGGAAGTCTTGGGATAATTGAGTTCATGGGGAGTTGGCGCGTGGTTGGCTCCAGCCGAAACAAGAAGCCAACAACATATCCAGCTTGGAAACAGACAGGCTTTCGGAGTTGCCGGGCATGGTGATTGATTGTTTGTGTGTTTGGCCAAGGGTAAGATGCCAGTGCTATCTAGCTTCCTGCTACTGGCTTTCCAGTTCTACGAATCTTTCGGGGCAGGGGTGGCGGGAAACAAGTCCCAGTTCAGTGGATTCCACCCTCTAAATTCTTCGTTCGGTTTTCCCAACAAGGAAACCTAGCCTAGCCCGAAAACAAGGTTGCAGATCTTTGGGGTTCGCTTGGGGGAGCACGGGTCTACCGGAGTTTGTGATCCATCCCAAACGAAGGGAACCTTTTGGGTTGTTTCACAGGGAAGCGAAACGTAATCCGCTCAGCTGGGTCCATGTTGCGTGTTTTAACACACCCATATGTTTCGGTGGTTGTTCCCCATATTGCATTTTGCGACATGCCCATGTGTTTTTGTGTGTATGTCTTTCTTTTCCTGAGTGCGACAAGACTTTGAACAGCGAACGTGGATTTTCTTTGAGCACAGAACATATCGTAAAGCCTTTTCACCTTTCGCTTTTCTTTGGTTTCATGTCTCGCCTTCCCAAAAGGGTGAACCTTTGACCATCTTTTGTTTGGTGTGTGTGTGTGGTTTCAGGGTACCGGTGAAAGGGGAGACCAACAGGACACCCACAATTCAGGCTGTCCACCCAAAAATCCAGGCTGCTCCCCTATTTTGACACATGCCAGAGCTCAAAAAGTCCTTAAAGGAAACCCATGGCTTCGCATTTCGCCTTTTCTTCCAGAACCACCACATCCAACGGGCACGTCCATCAAGTGTCGAAGCCCGAGGTTCATCGCGGCGGACTGCATGCTGCCGCTCCTGGCGCGCTTGCAGAAGCGCCTGGAGCACCTCGTGGAGCTGAAGCGGCCGACGCCGGCGGGGGGTCGTCGCTCGTGTCGGTCGCTGGGGTGGTCGGGTCGTTTCACGTCAAGGTCGGGCGTGTTGCAATTGCAAAGTTAGGGTTGCGCCATGAAACAGAGTATGATTCAGTATTATCTTGGGGTAGATGTGGTGAAGTGCCGCAGGAGGGAAAAAACCTCAACCACAAAGTGATGAGCACTTTTTTTGGCCCGGTTCCGGAATAGCCGCAAATTTCGAGCGCTCAATAGGGTGAGTGTTCGATCAGAGAGTGAGTTACCATCTTTTCTCTTTTTGTTTGGGCCACCCCTTCCACAACAGACTGCATGTCTGAAGGGTCATTATAGCGGCTTGCGAAACGCGTTCGCTATTGGTGGCTGTCGGAACTATCCCCCAAATAACAAGAACAACAACACGAGATGCGGCCTTTAGTCAGGTCTAGGGTTGTGATCTGTGACTGGCACTGCGTGGGAGAGGCATTTGTGGGATCAGCGTAGCCCTTGGACGGGTGACCTGGTGTCACCGTAGTGCGACCTAGCGTTTCAAGGTTCAAAGCTGGCTCTTATGTTCAATCGGCGGGGCCGTAGCCCGGGTGCTGGGGCTGGCTTCAAATGACCAAACCGCCGATTTTGGGGATCCGGATCACTCCACAGCCAAATTGAGTACGGACTGCGGTCAGTTGTTTGACTCTCATCGGTTTTGTGCGGTAGTATGGTTTGGCGTTTGATTTTAGAGGGTGTTTCCCAATCTGTTCCGTTTTTGCGGGCTTGGTCACGGTTGCAGCCCAACCCGTATGCGGTCTTTTCCACGATTTGTCGCTTTTTAACAGGCCTCATTTGCAACTGTTCTGGTGGCTTGGGCAATGCTCACCCTGTTAGTACTGAATGGAAAGGGGGCGTAGCACCTTGCCCACCTTCGTGGGTGGCAAGTGGGGCACTCCCAGCTCACCGTTGGGTCCTGTTTTGGGGGATCGAATTAATACTTCAGCTTTTGGATTTGTTCAACTTGCGGAGGGGATCTTGGGTAGGAGATCCTGGCAGGCAGGGGCCATGTGCCCTGCCTTGGAGCTTCCGGAGCAGGCGGATGCCTCAAGGGCTTTGTGGGTCCCAGTTGGCCGCTGGCGCCCTCTGAGGCGGAAAGGTGTTTTTCATTTCACATCCCCAGTCGCATCCATGGTTCTATGAACATCCAACGGGAAGAGCGTGTCCACCCCCAAAGACAGAAAACCACAGAAAACAAGAAACAACAAGCACAAACAAGAATACACTTTTTGGTTGAAGACAAATTGGAAGGGGCGACCACCTTTTGACAGGAAGGGTCAATCTCCCCTGGTGCATGGATCCCCCTTCCATCCACTTGGGTCAAGGTATGGAAGGTGAATGCATTACGTTCCTCCGGGTGTATGGTTCATAGAACCAGCTGCATGATGTCTACGGGACATTTGCTAAATATCCACTAAATATGAAGGATGTCATTTTGTTTGTGGGTTATTTGCCGAAGTAGCCGATTTCATAGAGTGGTTCTAAGGCAGTTTGCGCCCCTCAGCACGTTGACCGCCGTCATGGCATCCGGAAAGCGGCCTACAAACAACACAAACAAAGTCCCATACCTCCAAATCCTCAGACATTGCCTGCAAGTAACTTGACCCACAGGGATATACAGAGACAAAAATATGTCTCATAGATAGTATGCTTCATAGTTGGCCCGCCCTATTTCAAAATAGTTTTGGAGGAGAACCCAAATAGAGTCAGGGACTGCGCTGCCTGCATCCACTCAGCCCAGCCCTGGCTGAGGCTTGGTTGCGGAATCCTTTGCCGCACTGACCCTAGGAACGGCACTCCTGAGCCTGCATTCAAAAAGGGTGCAGTAGCAAGAGGAAAAGTGGAATGAATCCGCAACCCATTATTAGAGAGCACGACTTGGATTGCGGTTGAAAGGAAGCCTCCAAAATCCATGCGACACTCCCCATCCCTCCCCGCCCTTCCGCTTTTGTTGGTAGTCTCATATCCTCAGTGTCCTACTCCCGGTGGCTTGACCAGGGCTCGGGATCGATCCTCTCCGCCGGATAGGGCGTGTTGATGGCAGAAGCCGCCTACGCCGCAGACTTCCACCAGGCGATGGAGGAGATGGTCCCAGAGTTCGGCTCTCGCGCCCTGGACACGCAAGGCTTTGCAGTGTCTCACCGCATGGGTCACCGCATGGGGTACTTGTGCTGTACATTTACTTGAGTGTGTTCTTCTTATTTTCCTTGTTGGTTTTAAAGGGGGTCGATATCACTACTGTTTTTTGGTGGCCTAAGCAAATGGTAGGGATGCAAGAGGACTGACCCCAATTACCCCAGCTACATCCATGCAACTAACTTACCGTACTTGAGTTAAACCTTGTTTTGTAGGGCCCTGTCCCCTCAAGTTTGGGCAGTTAGGGGCCTCCCCGAAACGTGGCCTTGAGAGGTTGGCAATTGGGGGGGGACGGTGGCAAGATTGTAGACACCTCAAGTCGTGGGCTACCCCACCGTCGTGGGCTACCCCACTGCAAAATGATCGTGGCCCCCAAAAGGGTTCCGTTGTTGTTTCGGACCAGCCAATTTTGCAAGGTTTACAGCATCCAGTTGCTGGCCCGTTGGGCACCCTGGCTCAAGCAAATCGACCGGACCTGACCTTTTGGCAGGTATACCTGTGAAAACTTGGGGCATTCTGGCATTCCCGGCGTTTCTTGTTGCGTAGCCGGCCGTTTCCCCTTGAACCCAGCCTTGCGGCTACCGAGCCAACCCGAGCAGCGCCAATCCGCTCCCAGTCTTTTTGGCCAAAGTGCCTGAAGAAAGCCGCCGCAGGCCCCGTGGACCTGGAGACATCTGCGAACCAGTCGTCCAAAGAGGCCCGGGGAAACCTTCCGATCGCTGCTCAGATCGCTGCATCTAAGCGCCTTGGGCGGGGGGGGGGAAGCAAAAAAAATGGCTCTGGGGCTTTTGGCTGAAGGGCTTTTGAAAAGAGAGACTCCAGATCTTCAATGCTGGATTTGGATGTAGTATTCTGATGTTTGGCACGAACCGGGGGAGCCGCCGAAGCGAGCCGCGATCAGCAGCTTGCGTGGGCAGTTTGCTTTGTTTCTCGCACGAGTTGAAAGAACCTTTGTGAAAGAACCTTGGGAGGGGCATGGGAGCCCAAATTATCTCTCGGAACCCTGCTTGGATTGCTCAAAAGAAGGGTTGGGGTCAACCGCTTAGCCGCTATCTTTTCATCATGCTATTGGGTCCCTCAAATCCCCCCCTTTACATTGATCCACTTTTGGCATGGGCAACTCCAGGCTCGACCCATGTTTAACAACCGGTGAGTGCATGGAGCATACTGAGCAACCAGGGGCTGGGGTGCCACGAGTTATAGCAAAAACTCGCAACCAAGCCCCTGGTGTTTGAATAAGTTCTTGAGACTTGGGCAACCCTGGCTTTGCTTGCTTCTGAGACTCCTGCAGAAGCAGGGAACTGACCAACAAAAAAAAAGAGGCCCCGGCCTTCAGGCCTGGGTCACCTTCCTGTGGGGCGGCACCAGCGCTGGTGCCAAACGAGCTGCGGAGTTGAACTCCGAGGCGCGGGCGATGGTCTCTGACTTTGGGCCCCATTGGTTGGCCCCAAGAGAATACCACCGGTGCCTTGAATCTGGTATCGACTGCAATCAGGTTGGCCGACTCACGGATGACCCACTTCATTTTCCGCCGTCGGCCAGTGGGAGCGTTGCGACTGGAGTTGCGCACAAAAGACGGGCAGATGCTAGAGCAAAATGACTACTGGCAGTCACGGTGGGGGTCTCAGTCTCCTACCGCCACTCAGTTGTTTTTAACTTTCGGGGGTTCCCGAGGCATCAGCCAAAAGGGTTGGAAAGGTAGGCTCTGCGCGGCGAATGGAGGTGGAGGCCAAACACCTTGGCCCCTTTAAGCAGAAGTCTTGGCTGGGACATAGGGGACTGTCGGGCTGATCGGAGCGGGGATTATTAGGATGCTCTGCAATACCCGAGATGCAAAGAATGAAACCCATTCCTGGGGTTTTGATTCGACCAACCGACCTGCTCGCTCACCCGAGGTGATACGGACGATGGTGCATTCTGTCCGGAAGTGGGAGGCTGGTCAGCCATAAGTGGAGCCACGGGAACACTGGTGCCCTTGGTCCTGTACTCAGACGTCCAGTGGGTTGCTTCCTGTGTTCCTTTTGTTTGGAGGGGGTTTTGGTTAAAGCCAGCTACGTTTTTTTCCCATGGCCACTGGGAGTCTGAGTTGATGGCACGGAAATATCGCCATAATACGTCACTAGTCACTGCTGGTCACTAGTTTGCACGCTATGGCCCTGAATCAGCATAGCTTCAATCCTTTGCGAGTGATGGATGCGCTTTCTCGTAGCGGACCATCTCTTCCAACAATTGGCAGGCTTAACTGATTGGGGAAGCAGCTTTTGTGGTGAGCAATTGGGCAATCAAAGGTTTCATTCCCATATCTACCCATATCCCTGTGACCGATCGGAAATTTAGAGAGGTCCAGACGAGCAACACACCACGCACCCCGGAACGTGGCCTGGACTTAGTGATGATTTCAACACACAGATAATTGTTGTTGCATGTAGCTTACTTTGCTGACTTTGCCAGTTGCTTCCTCACTAGTTTTACCCATCAGTATTTTCCACAACGGTTTCTGCACTCAAATGTTGGGCCGTTTGAAACGGCTAAGGTGAAAGTAACGGCCACCGGACCTGCAACAAAGCTATGGGGCCTCGAATTTCAACAAGTTTCATGCCCGCCGAAGAGCTCAAGTGCGCACCTTCTGCCCAGAGTCGTACCCTTAAGGCCGTACCCCTCCGATAGGGGTCACTAGGTCGTACTTCGTGGTACGGCCCGGGGGGAATCGACTCTGAGCACCGAGCCTCGACACCCTCCTGTGGGCTCCGCCAATTGTTGCACTCTTTTGGCACCTCCCAGGTGAGAATCAACTGTTGCAGCAAGAACAAATCCTGAAAGTATCGTCTAATTCGGAGTTGGCGAAAAAATGCCAGAGAATCAGAGCATTTGTTTTTTTTGCGTATCCTCAAACACGAGCTGAAAGTTGGTTTCCTTACACCAAGCACTCTCAAACCACACGCCTCAGACGCATCGCCGGGCCTTCCTGGTGCTGGCGGTGGGGTCTCTGCCCGCGCGCGTCGCCGCGGAGCTGCGGCGGGCCGACCTTAAAGTCCGCACCATTCGCGGCTCGACCCGAGCCATCCCCATCGATACGCCGGATGCGACGGATTTGTGTGTGTGTGTGCGCTCGCGCGTGCGTTTGTTTCGTTCCGTGTTTGTGTTTGTTCGTCTCGTTCCGTTCTTTTGGTTTCTTGTTTGTTTGTTTGTTTGTTTGTTTGTTTGTTTGTTTGTTTGTTTTCATGCGTTATCACTGTTGTGATTATTCATATCGTGATTATGATTATGATGTGTTTTCCAAGCTGTGGTTTTGTTTCTCTTTTTGTTTGTTAGCTTGTATGTTGGTTTGGTTTGTTTGGTTTGCTTTGGTTGGTTTTGTTGTTAGTTGCTTTGTTTTGCTGTTTAGTCTATTTGGTCTGTCTGGTCTGCTCTGCTCTGATCCGTCTGTTTGTCTGTCTGTCTGTCTGTCTGCCTGCCTGCCTGCGTGCCTGCCTGCCTGCCTGCCTGCCTGCCTGTCTGTCTGTCTGTCTGTTTGTCTGTCTGTCTGTCTGTCTGTCTCTGTGTATGTTTGTTTAAGGATATACTCCATTTAACTTGTAGGGGAGTTCATAGCTATCATCCTAAAGGGAAACCGCCCAGGCTTTGGGTGCTCCCTATTGTGACGCACGTTCACCCTGGTAACATGTCTTGCTTTGCCTATGGTTCATTTGGGAGGGACATGGGAGCTGAGGAGTCCAGTCTGTGGTTCTGGACTGGATGAACATGGGCCAACTTGAATTGTGATTTGGTGGGTTCCTTGCCTTTACCGACTCGTCCAAACCCAAGCGTTCATAACAAGCACATTTGTTCGTTGAATTCGGCGAGAGGCGGGAGCCAAAAAACAGTGTAACTGTTAAAGCCCTTGCATGAGGAGCAGTAGGTTTTATCGACGCCTGTTGTTGTGAGCCCCCCTGAGTTGGCACTGGCCAAGTTGTGATGCCATGGCCACACTTAGCTTACAAATGTCATTGTTTCAGTTGACAGCTATGAGCCAGGCCACGCGGTTGCTGAAGCAAAGCTCTGGTTTGTTCACTGTGTTGTCGTTTGCATATGTCCTCATTCGCCCTTTCAACTAGCAATTGCTTAGTGCTTCAGCTTTGGCCGCATGCCTTGTTTCTGCACCAATCATAGCTTTCCTCGGGGCAGTATACGTGCTTCATGACGAGGGCCGCTAATTTCCGAATCCCCATTTGGGAAGCGGCGCCGAACACTTTGTCATTTGCTTGTTGGCCTTGCGGGTTTGGGGGGGCGAGTTCGGGAGCGGAGTGCGAACCCGCCAATAGTCGCACCGGGTGTGCGAACTGGGCACTTGGGACTGGTCCAATTTCCAGCCTTTTAGTTGGTGTCCCCTGCAAATCTGACATGGACCCCGACATTGGTATTGCAGGACTCTCCCAGGACAATTCATGGCAGCCCCAGGTTTTATGGCTTCATGCGTTGCATTGTGCCTGGCTGCCTGGCCGGTGAGCTGTTCAATTTCCATTGGGCAGGGCAGTACGGGATAAGTGTTGGGCCCTTGTGCATGCATGAACAAATGCTCCACATGCCCATTCAATACCCATTCACAGAATGTGCAAAAGGCGACCGTCGGTTTTACACGGCTTCCACTCTCCGCTCCGCTCATACTGCGCAAATAGCACAGTTTGGATGAAGGCTCTCGTGAGCCCTGGATTTATTGTCCACGCATCTCCCGCCGCTGAGGTGAGAACGAGACCATTCCGGCAGCTTGGAAGTGAGGTCTTGCTTGCTTTTTGGTTCGGCCTACAGTTTTTTAGAGTACCTGCACATGCATATTCCAGGGCGGGCCGAGGCTGAATGCATTGGAGGTAGTGTAGTGTTCAGTATTTCCGCTCCCTGCTAATTTGCTTGTTTGGAGCGGTTTTGCGAAGACCGGGCCAGGCCGGCCGGCTGTGGATACACCATGCCAGTTGACCTATTAATAAATTTCGGAGCAACCGTACTACCTTGGTGTCGGGTTGACCTGGCAGGCTGCCTGTTAACCCCTTCTAGTACCCTCGGAGCCAGTTTCCCCGAACAAGTTGTTTGGAATTTTGCGGGTTCGCATGCCCATGTCAACCATATGCAGGAAACAAGTCAGTGTCTTCCAGGGGGTCCTCCGATCCAGCCGGATGGGTTCACTTTGTTCATGACAACTTTCCCCGCTAGCTGTGATGCTGATCCAACTTAACCTGCAAACTCACTGGGCCAAGAAAGCCTACTAAGCTGCGCGGACATTGCGAATTGTGTGCACTTTCCTTTCCAGCCCCCCCCCCAAAAAAAAAATCCCCCCTCCCCCACAACAAAAAAACAAACAGATATTCAGAACCCCGCGCGCATGGCATGGCATCGCCTAGCCTTCTTGGCTGAGATCTGGCGCGCGGAGTTCGTGAAGAAGCCCGAGGGCTTGGGGGACTGGTTCACGGACCGGAACCTCACCCGCACCTTTGCCCAGCTGGCCGCGTGGGCCCTGAAGGACACCACATCCCGGGTGCAGAACGAGGGGGGAGGCGGCGGTCCCAAGCCCGGGTCGGATTTGGGGGCCCCAAGAAATGGGGATCCCGAAATGGCTGGGACCTGTTGGGAGATATTTCAATGTGGAGGCCGTTTGAAGGGTTCGAAAGGCTCAGTTGTTACAGCCCGTTTCGGGTCATCCAATGGCAGTCTAAACCAGCGGCTCCCGGAGCCTCATTCCAACCTGGCCAGAGCTGTGTCCATCAATGGTCGCAAAGATTCGGAAAGGGCTTCTTCCCCAACAGCTGGAAGCTTGGGGGTCTTTGCCCAAATAAGCCCTGGGGGAGCAGGTTTCAAGGGGGGGCTTCCCACCATCCCAGCAATTTGTTTGGGCCAATCCTGGCGAGAAAACTGGTACTTTTGGGCAGGGGGTCCAAGTCAAGAAGGAAGAGGCTAGATAATTAGCATGAGGTTGCGTGGTACTGTGCGCCACCATAAGTTAGGATCATAGGAGAATGTGTCGAATATGTAGCCCTTGTTTCTGTGTGTTGCCCCTGATGGCATCTGCGGTGAGACTGGTCACTGGCGAGAGGTGCCTAACGTGTAGGGAGGTCCACATCCAGGACGGCGGCCCTCATCCCATTTGCCATCTTGGCTGGCAAATGAAACCGAATGTAAAAAGCCTCGCGATTTCCAGGCGATTGTCCCTCACCCCCACCGCCCCCCCGCACCCACAGGACTTTGAGCGGGTGGTGGTTTTGGATGCTGACACCCTGGTGGTGCAGAGGCGTGGAACAAGATGGTGTGGGGTTGCCGCGCCGCACTCCAACGTCTAATCAGCTGATTTTAAAGCTTTTCCCATGGCCCAAAATCCCAAGTCACTCCCTGAATTCCTGGACTTCATGCTTTTTTCATACTTTTGGTGAGAAAAAAATAATCGCCAACCACAGGGTTGGACCCAAGTTGGGCCAAGCTAGTTGGGGAATTGAGGCAAAATATCAGGCCCAAGCAAGTACATGATTTGCGGTTCCTGCCCTTGGTTTTCAGGACCCAAAGAAAACAAACAGGAGCTTGAACAGGGCTAGAATTCCAATCCAAGTGTTCAAGACTTCAAGACCCAAACATCGAGTTCTAATCCTGTTCAAAACCATCCCATAGCTCCAATTGACCCGAAAACCCAAGCCACTCCAATCCAACCCCCCCATTTTCGGGCGAGGTGTGAGGAGCTGTTCCGTCTCCCCATGCACTTCGCAGCCTCCCTGGAGACCCACCGCAGCGTGGCTGAAAAAAAACCAAATTCTAAGGGGGCAACCCTGAAATATTTGTCAACATTTGCAATGTTTGGAACATTTTATGTTTTGTTCATTGCCCTAGACGAAAATGAACCAAGAAAGATGGACAAAGTCTAGGCCTAAACCTGAACGTTGACCAAGAAATTCTATTGAACCTTGGTCAGCTCTAGGGGGTATACGCGGGAAATGAATGAATCAATCAAAGCTACAAGAATGTCTACAGCAAAACACCCACCAAAAAAGAGGATTGCCAGTAAATAACATTAAAACAAAAATAAACAAGGGTCCTGTAGACTTCCCTGTGGGTTTCTTGCATTGAATGTTCTGTGGGCTTTCTCTCGCCGATCCCTCCGCTGCTTGAGGCGATCAGGAGACTTTTTCTCGGCTGCAAAGTCTTGGCCGCACATACCTGGTGAATGCGGGGGCGGCCCGGCGAAACAGCAGAAACACAAGAGCCACATCACACATTAGACCTGGGCAAGCTAGATTACGGCCTCATGTGTGAGGCCCCTTGATGCATGGATATTTGGTTTGCCAGTTTCATCCATGATGAAGGTTTCTTACTTGGCGGTACCGGCTCCTCTTTTCAGGTCGGAGAAGAATGAGATGATTCAACCAGTTTAGCACTGCCCTGAGGTTTCCGCGTTCGAAGGAAAAAGGTGGCCGGGTCGGTTGGGAAATGTTTCCTCTTGAGCTGCACATGCCCCCACGGTGTGACACAAAGCTGTTGCGGTGGACCTTGACGCAGCATTGTGCCCAGCAATGACCAATCCACTCAAGAAGTGAGATCGGAGGACACTACTATTTATTCTAGCCATAGCCTCTAGAGTTCCCAAAGACTCAACCTTTGCCCACGAGGCTGAGAATGTTCAGGTCAACAGAGCGTGTTTGTTTGTTTGTTTGTTCGTTTGCGTTTTCCGCCATACGGACCCCTTCTTAGTTGTGTTTGGAACCACCCACTCAAGGGCCCCGGTGCCCTTGAAGTTATGATGTTGGGTCGACTTCAGTATCAGGCTTTCATTGCGACTCAGGTCTGTGTGTTTTGGTCCCGTGGACACGCCTTTTCTCCTAGGGTTTCAGCCTCGGTTTGTGCATGAGGTGATGGTGATCAGGCCTGCGCCTCGAATCATTCGATGTCCTGCTTTTCGCATGGCCAGGGTCAACGTGAAACTCATGTGCTGCAGATGGCGTAGCAGAATCCGTAAATTACGACTGAATTTGGGGACAGTTATGCACCCAAAACCAACACCACTTAGGGAAAATTCACAGAAGCTCAGAGCCTGCAGTGCTAGAATGACAAATGTACAATGACCAAAGGGGGCATCGTTCTTTAAGATGTTGAAGGTTTTGTGGCAAGGGGGGGAAGTGCACCTTTCATATGAAGCAAGCGCCAAGCCCTATGTTTCAAATGCCCCTCGGCGAGTTGTTTCTCCTAGGTTGGGGGGGGGGGGGGCCGGGTTGTGGCAGGGTTCCTGGTCATCGGTCGGTCGGTCGGTAGGTGTTTTTGGCTTTCCACATGCAACCTTCAGTAGCATTGTTTGTAACCCACCCGAAACCAACCCTAAGTCAACCCTAAACCAGTCTTACCCCAAACCCAAACGGAACCATAGTAAGCCATTCCGACTCTAAACCCTGACCAAAACTATTCCTAAACCAACTCAATAAACCCACCCTAACCGACCCTACGCTAATCCTAAGCCCACCCAGCCTAAATCAACCGTGAAGCCACCGTAAACCGGCACATACCGGCACTAAACAACCAACCCCTAAACCGCAAAAAGATCACTCCAACCACACCCTAAGCAAACCCTATACCAGCCCTCATCCAAGCTTAAACTACCCGAAACCAACCCTAACTTCACCATAAACCCGACCCTGAGCCCACCCTGAGCTTCCTGCAACGAAAAGAACCACAAACACCCATCCCCTTTTTCCACTTTGGGCATCTCCTTGTTTGGGGCCGTTGAATGACTCCGTGGCAATTCGTTTGATGACCGTATTTTTCAATGAAGCCAAAAGGTGGGTCCCCCCAGAAAACGAGAAGGAGCAACAAAGGCAAAGCTGCCGCGTTTCTTTGCTCAGACTGGGAGGCCAAATCTTCACTTGCTGCGGCGCATCCGGCGCGGAGCAGACTTCCCAGCCTTTCGGTACCATGCGGAGAAGATTGGGGTCATGGGTGAGGCTCGGCTCGGCTTTTCCCCTGCTCGGGTTGTGATGACTGCTTCCGGGGTCAAAGTCAGAAAACGGTTTCCCTTTAACCTACCGCTTACAGTAGGGGGTGACTCTGATGGTGGTAAAATTATGGGCAGGTTTTGATTTGAACATCACTGCTACAAATTCGGTCACTGGTTGCAACTGCTTCCAAGGTTGCGCATACCTTTAGGCAACCTGGAAAATGCAGAGCTCGCTATGTCTACCCGTTGCTCATTTCAGACACCAGCCTTTGGGTCAGTCCAATAAGAGTCTCTTTCAAGAGGGGTGACAATGAAGGAATATTAGAAGTATTTTTATGGATTGTAGGTCGCCAAAGCATGGGGGGCTGAATCTTATTTCCTGTTGGTTTTCTTCAGCAGCCAGCCAGAAACCGGATTTCAACCATGGGATGAGTTCCGTGGGCTGTCTACGTCATGGCAGATGAATAGCACAACCCAGCCAACCCGCTGAGTTCTCGGTTTTGGGCGTTCAAGCCGCATCTTGTCCGAGGACGAACCCCAGGATACAACCAACCGTCGGCCACCGAAAACCGCGTGAACCCCCCGCTGATCTGTTGGAAGGCGACCTTCCAGTCCCTCATCGACACCTACCTCACCACGGAGAACTACTGGCGCCTTGGAGTGGTGCTCTGGGACCAAGCGGGCCGCTTCGACGGGTGCAGGGCAGGCGCGGGCGGCACGCGCCGTCGGCCCCCCAAGGGATGGCGCAAGTGCCACTTTCACACCTTCTCGCGAATTCATGTTCTGGTCAAAGAGGGTCCTGAATTGGGACTGCCCTGTCCCTCCAGGTAGTTTGTTTCAACCAACGAGGGTTTGAAAGAGAAGTTCGAGGAATTATTGCTTTGCCTCAAAGTGGAGGCTTAGGCAACCAACGATGCCCCCACTTTCGAATTGCCTGGGCACTTTCTGATGTTTCCTGTCGCCGAATCACGATGTAGCGGCTCGTTTCAAAGGCCGAGTGCTTGCCTGCTTTTCCGCGGAATGAGGAGCGGTCAACCGTAGCAAGTGCAGCTTACATTTGGTAACTTGATAAGTCTAGGCTGGCAGAGTCAAGTGGCCCGAGCCTCAAACTAACAAAAAGAGAACCCACATGGATCCTTCGAATCAGCCCCTCGCAGATACTTGGAGGTGCGGAGGCTTGTGCAACAGCTTGCCACAAACAGAACATCAGTATAAGCAAAGTAAGTGATGCACATAAATATATTATATATTATATATATATATACACATATGTATATATACCGGTTACCTATATGTATACATATGTATACGTTTACGTGTGTGTAATACCTGCACCGCAGGCATCAAGTTTTCAGCCGCAGAACGCCCGAAGAATCGTCTCCCTGCCAGGCCTGGGGTCTTCGCAGGTGGTGTCTGCGTGGATGGCCCATGGCCGGGTGCACTGCCTCCTGCCGAGCCTCGCATGTTTGACGTGCGAAAGCTTGGCGGGCAACCAGGGGGGTAGTCAAAAAGCCCAAAGTACCAGACTTAGCTTGATTTGCAAAGATGCTGGCTTTTGGACTTTTGAATGTGCGTTTTGGTCCTCAACATACTTGGGAGGACAATGTTTTGTGGTAACAGTTCAGACGCTTGGCCAATCCAGCTAGGAAGCGCATCACAGGATGCATTGGGGCTAGTTCGAAGATCACCTATACACCGTGGGGCGCCAAGGGGATTTCACCCAAAGCTCCCAGTGCCCTTGTGTTACAATCCTTGAAAATCAATCCACAAAAGATTGGTGGGTCTAGAGGTTGTCAAAATGTTGCTGGTTTTGTTTGTCTCTATTTTCCCACCAGGACAAGTTAAGGATGTCACTCAAACCCCTACAACAAGTGACGTGAGCAAAGAGCATCAACGTTGACACCATTTTGCAGCTTTGCCCCTCACTAAACTGAGCTGCAGCGACCAAGGCCGCCATTGGCGGTTTTGGTAGTGGTCCTACCACCTGATTTCATAGCCTGCCTGGCCGCGTTGTGGTTTTGCAGATAGTTTTGGCTTCTAGTGTGTTGAAACATCTGCAACGCTGCCTCATGGGCGAGAACGTCAGCGATCAAGCGCATAGGTGCCCCAGCGCTTTGTGAGCGCTGCGCATGCCAAAAACATCTTCGAAGTTGAATCTGCTTAAAAGGGGTACCCAACGTGGGCCACCGAGCTGGTTGAAGGTGCTGGAGCGGCATTAGATGAAAGCGTGAGACCACCCGGAGTACTCGCAGGGACATGGAAGGGAGGTACCAGGAATCATACCCCTTGGCAAGTTCTTGATCGTGTCCATGTGATGGGGACTGAACGGACCATCCTTTCGTTCAGACGGCCACGGGCGCCGGGCCGCGAATGCTCCCATTGCTGTTTTGCGCTCCTGCTATTTCCCAGCCGTGTCCTGTGGCCCGGCGGTGACTTTTGGTGGGCCGTCCGGATCCGTGCTCTTCGGGTGTTTCGCTCATGTGCTGCGCCGGCAGGGCCCAAAACGGCAGCTGGAGACCCCGTTGTTCGGGGGCCCGTTGCTATTTTGCGCTGCCGTGTCAAGCTTGCGAGCTCTGCAAACACAGAGTCTGCTCGCCGGGCCAGCAATTGAAGCCTAGGCTGCGCAGCTGCCCGGGCCTTCGTCACGCAACGGCTCTTGAACAACATTAGCCCAAGCTGTGAAAGCGCGATCTGCTCCAATCCTGTCTTGCCGCCTCTCCGCGTTGCATTAACTCTCCTCTTGCACGATGCCTGCGTTCCTGTCTCGCTCAGGTGGGTTTTGGTCGCACCAAATGATGCCGGTGGAACAGGTTTAGTTGTTTTGTGTTTTGGGGTTGAACTTGATCAAGACCAAGCTGGCGCCATTCCTTGTTGCAGCAGGGGAACCCAGATTCAATTGTTCGTTTTGCTCAGGAGCCAAACAATCCAGGTTGGCTAATCCGTCGGCATTCGCGGGACTTGCGCCGCGCCCGCCAAGCCAAGCCGTGCTGAGGATTGACTACAACTTCTGTGCAGACTTTCCGCATGCTGCTCGGCCTCATTGGCGGGATGCCGGAAAGCCGTTCAACATGCGGTACATGCGGAGCATTACCAGGCTCTTGGTGGCTCCCATCTATACCCTTTGGCTTGTTTGGACTTTCTGACTTTAGCCGAAGCACCACACTACTCGTACGGAAGATGCTTCATTCAGAACTTTCAGGCTGTGATGTACATATGCAGTAGGGGCAAGTATGTCTGAATCCAGTCACGTTGAATTGCTTTGCCTTAGTTCCTTGACCAGGCGCATTTAGTTTCCTGGCTTGGGCTGAGGTTTTCTTTGCGTCCTATGACTACTTGGCACAAGCAAAGGCGGACGCTCCAAAGCAGCCGGTCGCTTGCCTTGAGTCCATTCGGTGAGATTTGAGGAGCTCGGGTTTGCCTGCACTTTGACTGCTTTTTGGTAGGGCCGTAAGCCCTTAGAATTGTAGAAAGCTGACCTTCCGGTGTTGCCACTTTCTTAAACCAGGCCCCGGTCACCTGCTGACTTTCAAGCCGGCCTTTTGGCCGCGTTTTGACGAACCCTTTTCTATCAGGTCTTTCTCAAGTGTGGCCAAGTATCCACGGAGTGTACAAGTCTCAGACAAAGCAATAAACCCAGACCTCCAGTTTGCCACTTTGTTTTATATGGTCACTGGAAATCTGGGATAAAGTTTAGCTTTTGGCGAAGTGAGTCATGAAGGCTTGTGGGGGGGGTCCTTCGAATTCAGCCAGAGAACGAAAGCTCTTTTTTAAGCAGCTGTGCCAGACACCGGCCCAGAAGGTCACCAGCCATTTTTCTGCTTGTCCAGGGAAGCGGACGCTTGACGCCTTGTAAGATCTTGTAAGGCCCGGCACCTGCGGGCAGAGCTGATCCGGAAGACCCTGCGCCTCTACTGGAGCTCAGGTCTGCTGCGGGCGCCTTGGCCTTCTTGGCGTCGAAGTGAGAAGAAAAGCCCTGTGGCTCTTGGTTCTGACATGCCCGCCTTAGAACATGCAGTGGCTGTATATCCCCCTTAAACCCTTTATCGGTTTGGGGCTGGAACATATTTGCATCCGTGTGTTCTTTGGGAGTTGGTGGGCTTTTTCGCGGGTTCCAGCTTGAGCAATGTGTATCGTCCGATCGCAGCCGTCTGTTGGAACCCATGTTGCGTCACCGTTCTAGGGGTTGCATCAAGTTGTATTTGTTTGCGAGTTGGAAAGAAATGTGGGAGGGGATTTCGACCCCTTGAGTTCCCTCATAGCGACCAATTGTCCCTTTTGTGATTGGCAGACATGGAAATTAGCAAGACCCTTCAGCCATCTACTTGCTTTTCACTGAGTGCTACATAGCCAATATGTTTTAAACAACGAATTGTCCTGCAAGGAAACCATGAAGGGTGTTCATTTGGAATCCCATCACTCCGTCGGGCCGTTTTCCAAGGGCCTTCCCAAGATCCTGCACTTTCCCGGGCACCTGCGGAAGCCTTGGCAGCGCCCCTCGGCTCCAGGGTTGGTTGCAATGCCAGGTGACCTTTTGGTTTTCCCATGTTGGTTAATTTTTGTAAAGGTCCCAATATCCTTATATTTCAAAGTCCTGTGGGCAAGTGAGCCTTCATGGGTGGTGTGGTTTGAATTGGTGAGATTTGACGCCGTTCTTGTGGCGGGTAAATGGATGATGGGGAATCACCCCCCGAGCTTCAAACAGTGAGGGAAGCTGAAAATGATAGCTTGCTATTGATAGTTGACTACTTACGCCTAGATTGTGTGTTAAAGTACCCCACCCTGCTCTAGTGCTTGGAGCCGAGACACGGAGGCTTATAATGCTGGTAATTCAGGGGGGCTCCTCCGAAGCTAAATTTGCGAAAGCTTAATGGTTCAAGAAGAGCCCGAGAAGGTGTCGCGGAAGTGCATCTTTGCAGCCTATAGTCCTTGTGGATGGCACAATGAAGCAAACCGCTAAAACTCCCCAAGCGAAGGCCATAAACACGGAATGTGAACTTTTCAACCCCGTTTATCTCCCTTGTTCAATGAATCCCCTTTGTGTTTGGTGCCTATTGGTCAGCCCCTCAACTTCGCGGTTCCCAGCCACTTGTGTCATACCCCACTAAAAAGCTGTTAGCCTTTAGCAACAAATCAGTGACCCACAAAAGACAAAGATCGGCTCCAATGTTTTTTCTCCCGAAGGGGTCCGTGGCTGCAGCCACATGCCCCAGCTCGCATATGCCAGGCTGGCTGCCGGCTGCCCGCAGCCCCTGGGACGAGGCGTGGTGGTCAGCCCACGCGGAGATGTGCCGCAGCAGCCCTACACCCTGCCGCCTGCGCTGCTGAGATGAGAGCCGATGGGAGTACCACCCAGAGAAAAACAATCCCCCTGCAAACCGCCGAAAGGTCGCGAAAGTCGGTTTGGAGTTGGGCATTTGAACTTTTAGCCTTGAAATTTACAGGTCCAAGTTCCTTGGTGGTCAAACCGGGAACATGGAAGTTCAGCGGATGGGTTTAGTTGTACACTCCGCTGGTGCTTGCCTGCCGGGTTTGTGACGGGCCTCGCCCAAAGATGGCGTGGACCTCCGTCGGATCGACAAATCGCCCAAAAGAGCGCAGCGAGCGGCGCGGCGGCCAGGCTTTGGGTTGCAGTCCCCGGCTCACGCCGAGGCAATATTTGGGAGTGTCGAACTCCATGTGTGACTTGGCCGCAGGTTCCGCTCCTTGTTTTGCTGGCGAGAGGACATGTCCTGGTCGATTACCAACACAAATGTGTTGGGACACCCTACATTGTCCTTTGGTGCAAGCGATCAGCACCCGTTCATTAGAACCCCCGTGTCCCCACCGTTCTTGGCCAAGCACAGGTTCCCTTCCCCCCCTTTTGGCTTCGATGCTTCGCGAGGCGGCTTGATCCTGGCGCTCCGCCGCCTGGCTCGGGACGTGAAACCAGCTTCCGATGGAGTGGGTGGGCAAAATGTAGGCAAACCGTCCATTTGCTGAAACGAACATGTTTGATTTTATTCCGCTGGTTTCAAAGGGAATTGATGTCGCTACTGGAAATATCTTCTGATTTTTTCCTGGGGACTTAAGGAAATGGAAGAAAACATCCGCAGATTGCTGGGCGGGCAATTCAAGGGGGTCCCCAAGACGTACATTCAGACGTACACGGTGTATATACATGATGGAAGCAGGTCAGTTGGGGAGCACGTCTTCTATGTAAACAAACTGTTTGTAGCTTGAGGAGAGCACTAAAGGCACTAAAGCGGTGGGGCCAAAAAGTTAAAGTCCAGAAAGTCAGGGAGTGAGACTAGGGGGACCCCACGAATAGCAGTTTGCCTGTTGGTTTTTCTGTCAGCCATGAGAAGGCCGCCAAGCAGCAAAAGACACACATCTCCCACGTTCATGCAAGTGGATGTGTCTATGTTTTGAGGGCACCAATTTGAAGGTTGCACTAAAGCGAGGAGAAGGAAAGCAGCAATTGCCCCCCACTTTAACATACCCAAGTGAGCCTTTGCAGGATTCTCATGCGATTTGCTCCATCCCAAACTGTGCCCAATGGACAAATGGATTTATGAGCTATGGGCTTCGATTTGATCTCACCGATGCGCTGGTACGAGCGAAAGTCCAGAATCTTGGTTTCAGGTTAGCATGAATTATTGTAGAATGCGTCAACAGCGGTGTCCCACTTTAGAGGCTCCCAAAATGCCGAACGGGCGGGCAAGCGTGGTTGGCGAACCCAGTTCCAACAGCTGAAAGCTCTGGGGTCGAGCGAGAATTCGGCTGTGGTAGGGAGGGTTGGGGGTTCCGGGGGGTTCCGGGCGGTGGTGGCCCACTGGGGCTGGGGCTGTGACCTGGGCTCAGGTTTTGGGGGTGCCCCTTTTGGAACTCACTCTATTTGTTGGGGTCTCCTTTTCAAGACATACCCATATGCTTATGCTGTGGCAGGGGGGTGGTGCTCCGAGGTACCGTCGGGGAAGGCTTGGGCAATGCCTTGGGCGGACATTTGGGTGACCTGGCGCACATCAAGCGCCCCAACAATGGCAGGCACGCCAGAAACGCGAGAGATGTCGTCTTCCAGATTCCTAAACGATATCACTCAAACAAACGGGGGGGAATTGCTCTTTGCAGGAGAGGGTTCCCTTTGGAATCAACTACCAAAAGAAGGGCCCCCCTCTTCGATTGTGTATTCGTCAGTGTCCCTTTACCAGCGACCCAAATTTCGGAACCCCTGCCAGAAATTTCGGAAATGGACAGGGAGCACCTCAGAATCAATCTGCGCACTTGTCCGAAAACGTCTGGGTTAATGCTTGGGACCATCTTACATGTCCCTTGACGAAAGCGAACGAAGGAAGAGAGTGGGGTGAACGTTCACCAAGACACCTCGAACTTCTCAGAATCGCAATGCTTGGTGCATCCGTGTTCTCCAGTGGGCCTACTGTACCATCAGGCCCGCGTGCTACGGAGGAGGTACTGAAGTGGGTAATGGAAATGCTGTTTTCCTTTCCTCTTAATGCTACCCGAACAAGGTTTCCCTAAAGAAACACAGACCCATAGAGTCCCGTGCGCCCTCCCCTTTGGCTGACCTTGACGGGGGCCCAAAGTCATACCGAGTCGCGGGCGCTTAGCTACAGATTGAAAGTAGATGGCGCAAGATATTCCATGCGTGGCTAAGTCGTCCCCTTTGCTTACCCACCTGGGTTTGTGCCGTTCAGTGGGAGCTGCTCTATGGGCTTTGGCTGTCAAGTCCATGGCAAGGAAATTTCAGCCACAAAAGCCGGGGCACAGGGGACTGCCAAAAACGCATGGAATTCTTTTCCTGTTGGCAGGCACCCAGGCCAGACCGCAACCAGGGGCGATAAGACGGTTCCTGCGGGGAACTTTTGTGGCATATTTTGCGTGGAACCCCCTTGATAGCAGTCGATAATTGGTTCCCTGACTTGACCAAACGATTCCAACATCAACTCTGCCCATCATGAGCACACCATGAAGGCCTTTTCCTTGGGCATCCAATTCTTACATCAGGTCCTATAATTTCAGGATTTGGTTCATTTTTCCGCGTCAGGATCTATGTGGCCATGTTCTCCGTGCTAAGCAATATCCCCTTCGTGTACGCCATCTTCATGGGCGTGCCTCGGACCTTGGGTCCATGAAAATGGAGTTCCTCTCCATCTCCCATGCGGCCCCTTAGGTAAACGGAAAGGCATGTGTCACCTGAAAACCGAGCCTCATCTTGCTGGTGCATGGGAAGCCTCAACCGTTTGCTCGGGGACACTCGAAAAGGTCGGGCAGTTTCGGCGAGCGGAGCAGCAGTGCTGTAAGGTACTCAGCCCCCTCGAATGCAATGCCCATGTAGTCCAAGTGGATGAACTACGCTTCGGCACTTGCTCTTTTCAACTCATTGCAGTCATGTTGAAGGAGCGCTTCTGAATTTCAGCAAAGGCTCTTGGACTTGAAGGAGCTTGGAGGCTTGCTGGTAGGAGCTTGTTGCCGCATTCACTTGGTGTTTCATTCGGCAAATGTTCCCTCCAACCGCTAACAATACTGGCATTCACCGACTTAGCTCTCGTGCCCATGTGTCGCTCGCCCGTGGCATGGCGGGTGATTGACGGCTTAGGTGGATAAGAATGCCGACCTCTCAGCCACTTGGCGGAAGATGCTCACCATTCCGTTGCTGTCCAAATCACCATTTAGGTAGGGGGATTCCCCAACAAAATTTCAAGCCATTCAAGAAGCCCCTTAAACCCTTGCCTCCTCATTCCTTCTCCCACACACTGGCAGGGCGCCAGGGTCCCCAACATAGCCACGCTTGTGGGAACCCAGGATGAATCGTGTGCCCAAGTCTTAAATTTCGGATTAGGGCCAACGCACCCTGAATCCGGCCCATGGATCAGCTTGAAACGTCATTTGCGCGGCTTGCTGGGCATCAACGGAGGACTGGTAAGTTGATGTTTGTTCCAGACGCTGTATGTCACCCGCAAACGCCAACTGGCAGGACCGAAAGCAGCAGTAGACTGGGATTGGCCAGAACCAACGATAGGAAGAACCTAACCCCAGCTGCCCCAGGCATGTGCATGGCTACAACCTATCTCATTTGGTTGAGCATCCCTGGTGCAGACAATGTGACCAGAGACCTTTGCACGATTGCCTTCTAGATTGCGATCGAAAAATCGACTACGCTGATTGGTACTGTTGAGAAAACTCATTTAAGTGGCACTTCACATGTGTTTCAATCCACTAAGAAGGGGACGGAGCTTAATTTTGGGGATCTCCGGACCCACCCAAAACAAAAACGGAAGGCCCCAGCTGGGGGTCTCCAACATTGATCAACTATTACGTATCTTCCGAAAATCAGAGTCTCTTTTTGGTGCACCCCAGAACTTCTTCCCAAGGAAATTGGCTGAATAATGAATATGAAGAATCTGAATCATATGGTGTTTGGTGTGCTAAGGAACTCGCTAAACCTAGCCTAAACTCTAAGGCCTAAACCCCAAACCCACACAAAACCCACTTTAAACCCAGTTTGGGGACCTACCGCCACCCGTCACCAACCCGACCCACCCTACATCAATTGCAGTTCATTTCCCCGTCTCAATTCTCTAAGTACAGTCCTCCCTGCACCAACCTCAACCCATCAACTCAAGCGCAACCTTGAGCCGATTGGAATTCCCAATTGGGGGACCGACGCCCCAAAAAGCAGCCTTCGCTAAAATCGCCGACGGAAATTGGGGAATCGCTTTCCCAGAGAGAAACCAGGCGAGAAACCGGGAAGCCCGCCTCGGATCGCTTCCGAGGTCTTCTTCGCCGGTTTGCTCTTCCTCTCCGGCACTTTGACCTCCTGGGAGGTAACAGGCTGCCTGAACCCGGTGGTGACGCTTGCCGCTTCAGCCCCTGGCGGACGGTTCCGCTGGTTGGTTCGGACGGGCGTGGGGATTCGACCCCCCTTGTTTGTTCCGCAGCAGATACTGTTGCTGGTGGTTTTGGGCTGGCTCGGGGACTTGAACGCCCGGTTCCTTTAGAGAGGTAGTTAGAAAGCTATCCGGAACACCTCCAAACCACCAATCCCCGAGGGTTTGAGTTCTGTCATCCACTCATCAGCCCCTGGTTGGCTTTTTTGGGAGGTGACCCATTGGTCGCAACCAGATCGCTTTCTGGAACACCTCACATTAGGGTTTTGGCGATGTTCATGGCAAAAAGCTCAGACCTTGTTTGGCAAATCCACTCAGTCGGAAGTGAGGTCCATTGCCATTTCCCAGGGTTGTGGAAAGGGTTGGCTTGCACGTCTGTGATAGAGAATGGTCATTCGGAAGGCCTGAAAATTAGTTGGACACGCATTTCCAGAGCCCCGTTGCTTGGTATCATTTTCTTCGGAAGAATCGAACAAGGCGAAACCAAAAGGGAGATACGGAATACGGGGTGTGGGGTTTAGATCTCGCTTCAGCTTGGGGTTGGGGGCTGAGGATCGACATTGTGCCCAGACGCCAGCTCTCTTCCGCCTTCGCCTGGAATGTGGTCTTGGCATGGTTTTTTCGGCATGGTACGGGGTATAGTTTGAGGGTTGCTTGGATTTGGATATCGGATTCCAAGTAGTTTGGCCCTTATGACAAATATTGGTTCAGACCCCTAGTCTCCCAAATGCTACATCAGAGTTACGGGTCGTATTTATGCTTAGTTGGGGGGAAGGACATGAAGCATGTGTTGTTCATGTGGCTGGGGGCAAAACATGACGTGGTCTGGGAAATGTAGGCGTCCTTCTGTGAATCCCCCGCTTGGGATTCCCTTTATCGTGAAGTGGGGAGGGGCCTGAAATTTGACTGAACAGGGTGATTTTGCCACAATCAGGTCAACTTCATTCAAATTCAGTTTTTGGTGCAAATGGAATGGCCCACAAGAAGTGGCTAAAGCCCAGCAACACAACGCAAGAGTGAGACTAATATGGCACCCAAACAAAAAAGGGGGGGGATTCCCTAAAAAGGCCAACGGAGTTTGTTTAGACCGAGCAAGGACTCAGGACTAGGTACCTGTTTTGAGGTGTCAAAAAAAGCAGACAAATGGAAATCGGCCATTTTGGGGTTCCACATTTGAAGGGAAACAGGGATTAGATCAAGGCAGGGGTTGGACACGCCTTGTTGGCGGTAGCTTCGGGCCGGTAAGTCGGGGAGTGTCTCGTGGCAGGTTGCGATGGTCTTTACCAGCGGCAACATGATCGGCCCCATGCTGGTGGGCAGGAGTCCCAGCGGAGGTACTTTCTGGGATGGGAACCATGCAGCCGGGGTCTTTGCAAGAAAATTGGCAAGGACACTTAGCTACTCGGGTGTTTGGCCCTTGGGCTTTCATATGCGCAGCACCTGAAACCCTCATTGGCAATTTGATTAGGTTATTTTCTGTCTGGGTTAACAAGGCCCATGTGAACCTTTATGGCCATTGTTGCGGTAAACAGGGGTCCAAATTTGAAAATAAAAGATCAATGAAGTTTGGACAATGCTCATATGGGTGGTCAAATTGCGAGTTTCCTTTCATTTGTGTGACACCTCTTTTCTTAGCGGGCCATGACTCCGTCTAAAAACATGATCATCCCGCGTTTTTGGCCCAGCCGGCATGACTTGCACTTGAACCTTTGAGGTTGGCGAAAGGGAAAAAGGACGACGAACCCGTTTGGGGGTGATCCATTTTGAGACCCCTCCTTTTGCTTTCTTACACATCACCTGTTGATCCTTGAAAAAACCTTCATGTCGATAGGCCGCAGAGCGTCAATTGAAAGCAAGCTTTCTTGGGGTAGAGCTCAAGAGGCGGGCACACGCCTTTGAAGCCTGCGACTTGCTCAGGCCTTACGGCACAGAATGTGTTTCACTACAAGCTCACCACGGAGAGCGTGGCCCCTTGCCTGCAGTGAGCGTTTTTTGTTTGCATCCGGGAGCCGTTGGAGGCGCTGGTCCCGATCCAGCGGATGTTGCTTGGCTTGGGACATCGCCTTTTCTATGGGATGCATGTTTTCTCCAAACTCGAGCCTGCCGGTTGTCCGGGGTTGCCAGGGCCCAAAGACCATATGACTCTAGGATCAAGTCCATTTTTTCACATGGCATCAACTCATCCCAGTGGGCCTCAAGAGAGCAGAAAGCTCGGCATAGAGCGATCTTGGAACTCAGTTTCTTCTCCGAAACCAAATTTTGATGTAGCTAAAGTGCCGTCTTTGCTTAGTTTTACAGTCTTTGTAACTGAACATCAACTTTTAACCCTATGGGATTTGAACCAGTTGCTTCCCCAAGGAAATCCCTTCCATGGTTCACTTAAACTGGACGGGTTCCCGTTTCCCATGCCAGAGTGACTTGACTGAGTTGGGTTTGTTTGTAATACCCCGTTTGGTTTTATTCGCTGGCAGGTTCCTCTTAGTCACTGCCCAACAAGCTTGAACTACTTCTGGCCAGTCAACTCAGGTCGGGGCAACTGGCACTCGCATGACGAGGTCAGGTGTTTCTAAGGGAGCCGACCGAACCTGTTGGATCCTTTTTTGGCATGTGTGTGTGGTTATTCGCAATATTCAGCCATGTTAAGTCAAGGTCCATGTGTGTTTGTGGGTGTGCGTGTTTTTGAGTTTGGAAACCATAAGGAACACCTCAATATGTATTTTGATGGGAACGGGTTATCCTATTTCAGCACCGTGTGCACACTCATGTGCGCAGATTCTTGCAGCAAGCAGGTCCAGTTATTATTTTTGTTGGGGTCTGCTCCCAAACTTCACTCTGCTTGGCATATGTTTTAGTTTCAACACATTGCTTCCAGTTTCAGAGGGGCGTTTTTCTCGCATGCCAAGGATCGCTAAACGGGAAGGAGAGTCTACAAACCGTTTCTTTCGGACTCGTGAACGCGGGAACTAAGGGCTCGAACCCCCCGGGCCCCGGGCGCGTTCGCCTTAGGATAAGATGAGCGCCAGCCTTCGTCAGCACAACGCGGAGGCTTCTGAGCGAGGAATCAAGATCCATTTGAAAACTGGTTCTCAGAACGTTATTTACAACAGTTTGAAGCAGGGGGTTTGCCCAACATCGTCGGGGGGTGGGGGTGGAAGATGGAAGATTTGGTGTTTGGGTTGCCAGCTTCTGTGGCACCAAGGGAACCCCCCATTTGATCCACAGCCGACCTTTTTATTTTTTTCCATGCTGGTCCACTTGTCGTAAAGGTCCCAAAAGCTTAACCTTTTGTTTCTGGCTCCAATCGGGCACCTGAGGGGGGGAATTGTCCACAACCACTGTGCGAATTCAAGATGTTTCAGGTCAACCCCTCGGAATGGGTCTGCCTGTTTTCTGGCGAGCGATCCTCCTCCTCTCCTGTAGCGAAAGGCAGTGATTGTCCGGAACACTTGGGATCTCTTATTTCAGCTTTTGGAGCCGAGGTAAGTTGTTGAGGGTGGCTGATGTTTGCGGGCGTCCAAAAGAACTCGCCTAAGAAGGATCAAGCAGGAATCCCTGATCTCAACAACATGAATGGTGGGATTGTCTTCCAGGAGGCCTGGAATGACAAATTGTCCGGCTCTTCTCGTTGTCTTGTGCCTCGGCTCCGTGCAAGTAAACCTCGGGGGTAGGATCGCGTAGGCATTCCATGTAGGTCATTCCAGCAAGATCCAGTGCAAAGGTTTGCGTAGATGTGCAGCGGGGAATACACTAGGTCGGATTTGCGTCCTCTATCGGTCTTGGCGGTATCTGTTTTCTGACATTTCATCACCCATGTGTTGTGTTTCTTTGTTGGTTGCAGTTCTCTGCCACTTCTCGGCATCTAAGCACTTCGCGGTGCTAACGAGCCCATGTCTTCGCATTTTTCTTGTGGGGTGATGAGGGGAAATATCCCCCAACCAAAGGGCTGGGAGTGTTCTTTGTTTTAAGGTACCCCTTGTTGGTTAAAAAACACCAAGAGGAACAACCCACTTGTTAGTCACTTGTTGGATCCGACAAAAAAAGATACCCAAAGAGGACCCCTTGGCCCGCGATCGCGAAGCAGGCCCTGGGCAAGTCCCTGTGCGTGACCTCCATTGTGCCCAGCGTCATCTCGGCGGTGATATTCTCCATGCGCCTCGCAAAATCAATAAATTGGTTTGTGTATTTCTTGGCTACCCTTCCAACATGGCACCTCTTCCATCCTCCCACCGGTGCCCTTCTGAGGTTGGTCTACAGGGAAACCAAAAGGACAACCATCATTAAGTCTACCTGGGAGTCAACAAAGTGGATTCCTTTGTTTTTTTGCGTCCCCGGTTTGAGGAATCAACCTCCTTTGGGTTAACGCCCCTTAGGGGAATCAACAAATCACATCCTGAATGAGCATGTTGGAAACATTGCGGAACTTATTTGGGATATGCATTTCGGAGTTGCATTCGGGCGTCGCAGGGAGCAAGCAAGCGATGACAATAACATGGCATGGCATGCAATGTCGCTGTGCTGTCCGGATCAAAGACCGTTGGGCCCCTGAGGGTTCCCAACAAAAGTACCGGGTCGGTAGCCGGATTCCTTGTTGGTGAGTCAAAGGGCACCCTCCAAAAATATGTTGTTTCAAAGAATGTGAGCTCCAAACTGGCAGATTTCGCCTTCTCACTTCCGTTCCTGGGCTTCCCGTCAGGGCCAGTCCTAAACTCACCAGCATCTTTTGTTTCTCCCCATGGGCCACGGCAAGAACTGTTTTTAGGGCGAGCTCCTTCCACGACTGTCTAGGCATCTAAGGCCTGCATATGTTTTGGGATTCTGGCGCGCTTCTGTGGAGCATTGGCCGGGTGCCTGTCAAGACAGGCGTTTTAGGATGTTCAGCATTGTGCACCCAAAAGGCGCGGATCAATGAACTGTTGCCATGTTTACTATGCTCGGGTTTGGGGTGCTCGCTTGCCCAAAGCCGACCTTTTGACCTTTTGGTTTTCCCTTGTTGGTCCATTTTGAGTCATGGCCCAAAAAGCTAACCTTGTATATATGGGTCCTTGGAACTGAGGGCGGCCTATGTTTGAGCTTCAGCCGTGTGCCGAGGCTCTTCTGCACCTACGCCAAGGACAAGCGCCATTTGCAGGACACTGTTGCAACGGTCCGGTTAGGTGCCAGATTGTTTTGGCAAGCTGCCCTACGCGTTTAGAGGACACGTTGAACGCGTTCTACTAAACGAGTTCCAGCATGCACCAAACAACATCATGCTTGTAGCCACCCTTTTTTGTTAGAACCCATTTGTTTGACCTCAGTGGCGCGGTTGGTTTCAGCACTCTTTCCGTTTGGAGCTTTGCTCGCCGGGAAATGGACATGAGGCAATGATGCCAGCACATGAGACGCCAGAGCATGAAAACAAGCAACACTATATAAATCTACAGATTTGTACATATGTATAGTGTGGTTATATGTACATTCATATGCATATATTATGGCGTATGCATATACATTTGCACATGCACTTTGAAATATGTACGCTCTCTCCAATGCCATGGCATATCATCAACGTGCTAGAAAGAGCTTTGGCCTGTCTAACCCCAAAAACTCAACACATCAAAGGGGACTGCCCTTTTCAGTCCGAGGCTGATCGGTAGAAACCAGGTTCCTTCCAGTGATTCGGTACCCTTAAAATCCATTTGTTGTTTGACTTCCCGCTAACTTGCTGGTGCTCCGGGTGTTGGGAACGAACCCAGGGATTCCCTTGAAGGAAACCACAGGGGAAGGTTTTTTTCGGGGTCATTCCCTCATTCCCTGCTGAGAACCAGCAACCAATTCTTCTTCGAGCTTTCGAGGCGCTAGACAACTGTTCCGCATGCGCCAGGAATCCGAGGGCAGCGAGAGTGATGTACCCGAGGAGGCGAAGGAGCCGCTATTCCATGGTGGGTTCCAGAGTTGCAAGAGCCATTGCAGCCTGAGGACCATGGCTCATGAGCTTTCCATGGCCCCCTTGCAAGCGGACAAGTGAACATAGTGGACAGGCGGGGTACTCCTAAAATTGATGGCGCGTTTTCAGGAGTTCGCCTTGAGGGCTGTATGGCGCGGGTACCTTGATTCTGGCGAGGGCAGGTTCAGGTTCGTGGCAGCAAGTCAAATCAGGAAAACGTGCACATGTTGGGCCTGTGAAAATGGAAGCCCAACGCACCAAAAAGCCCTAACATGACCTCCGCCCTTCTTAGGGACCTTTGGGTACCCTTAAGGTTTGGAAACAAGTGGGATCGGACCAAGCCCCAACACTCCCGAAACTTCCCCTGTGATAAGTGGGTTTTCTTGCTTGAGGAATTGCGACTTCTCAGGACCCTGAGCGGCAGCAACTCCTGGGCAAGCGCTTGTCGCAGGCCGGGAGGACAGCCTAAAGACATTGCCCCGTGTTCAAAGTTGAGGCTGGTGCAAAAGGGGGACACCAAAGGGAAAACCGAAGACCAAAATACGGGGCCCTCCTATTTTGACAGATCCCGCATGGGAATGATTTCGACCTCTAAAGAACTTCTTCTAGTTTCATTATCATGGTCCATTTTGCGGTTGGACTTGCAGAAAACTGGAATTGGGAGACTGCCGTATGCAACCAGGGGAAGACTGAAATAGAAGTGTCGACCTTGCTTTTCACGCCAACTCGCTGTTGACCCCGATGTTACCCTTCCAGTTATCTTTGGCTCGAGTAAGAAAAATAGGTTGGAGTCGGAAAAGCAGGATCGCCCATTTGCAGTGGCTTCGCAAAGGCTCCCTGGGGTGTGTGGGTCGGAGGCTCCTCGTTTTGACCATGGGCACTTTTGGGGCCAAGCCGGTTTTCGATCGACGATGAATGGCTAATGGATTCACAATCCGTGGTTCATCTGACTAATGAGCAGGGGCTATCGAGCAAACGAGAGATGTCCCTTTGTCACGTGGACACGCCAATATTAATGTAGCCACAAGCAAGGAAGAGGTTGCGTACATTGGCCTTTGCCCTGCCATGCTCTGCCGCAGGCCGCTGCCATAGCCAACGATTGCGCCTTGGATCATTGGACATGGGAAGAATGGCGTTAGTGCCATGGTTTTCAATGGACTGTTTGTGTCATGCATGGAACGCACTTCATTCTCTCATGGCACCCTTTGACCTGTATGTTTATTGAGCCACTAGAGGTAGCCCAGTCCTTGGGAAGGCATGGAGGGTGCGGAGCGGGCGTCCTAAGCAACTTCTGACCTTCCCCATATGCTTTGGGCAATGTATGGACGGGGGCGCCCATGGAATTTGCGTTGAAAAGGGAGTTTGAGGAATGACAAGCGAAAATTCAAGGGGCGAGTTCTTGGGGAACCAAGTAAAGAATCGGGACATGGGTGCTGCTCTCTTCCAAGATCTCGGCAACGCATCACGCAATTTGTATTTGCTTGCTTAGCAGAAAACGTACCAGAGTCGATGGCGCAACTCGGAGCATGTATGTGGTAAAGGGGATGACCAAAACTCGCAGAAGTATGCCATCTGCTTTAACCCAACTCTGGGATCATGTGTTTCTAGGGGTTGTGAAGTCAAAACATGGGGTTGTTTCCCTTTCTCCTACCGATTAGGAGGTGACCTTGACCATGGAAAATACAGGGGCCAGTGTTTGTGAGGTTTCTCGCTTTTGACTGATGCGTTTCAATCAGTCGGGAATCCTAATCAGTTGAAATCCATTGTTGGGTGGGTTCGAGCTATATTTCCCTAGTCAGCCACCTTACCCACTTGTCGATGAGTTGGGGGAAACTATCGGGACCCTTTCTCTAGGGTCACTGCGCAACCTGGAAGGGCTGCGCAGGAAAACAGTCATCGTCCTGAGGAACCGCCCGGTTCCACCTTCGACTGAAGTGAGAGGATCCGCGTCTTGGTTTCGATTCTTCGCTTGGCGAGGGATCCAGCTGTTTACCCCTTTTTCTCCCAAAGGGCACCAGCCCCAAAGCAGCACACCCACACAAAAGCATAGGACGGGGGTTGCCCTTCAAACATCAATTACCAAACACCTTTGGGGTGATGTGAGGGGAGATCTCGGAACCTCGTGGGTGATGGGCCATGCCTTTTACCTGCCGGCTATTGCCAGCCGCTCCCAGAGGCTTTTCGCAACGCGGCGAGGAAAAAACCGATGCGGCGCTGATGCGGAAGTTTGGTTGTTCCTCGTGGTTTTGCCTTGTGAGACTGAAACGTACCGTATCGCAAGGGGGCTCTCATGATTTCCAAATAGCACATCACTTTGAATTACGGTGCCCCTAAAAGAAGCCAACAGGGACGAATACGCTTGGACCGACAGTCGTGAACATGGACAAGGTGCCCTTTGAAAGGATGGTAGTTTTTCAAGACGCGACTGTCCACTTTCAGAATTGTTGGGAATGAGTATTCCCTGACCATCCCCGACCTATTTGGCACCCAGATGTTTGCTCCACTTTGTTCATAGACCGCTTGCAGCGGAAGGCTGCAGCGCATTGTTTTTTTTTTTTTTTTTGAGTTTGTTTGGACTTCTACCATTTCACCGCGGGGATTGTTTTGGGAAGATCGGCTGCCATAGCAAGCATGTTGTCAACCTTGCAAAATGCCAGCAACGCTTCAACAGACGAACACAACGCGTTTGGATGACACAATTGGCCGGCTGGACGTTTTCCGCTACAGCTGTAGCTTCCAAACCTTTGCTTCTACGGTTGTCTAAAAGGTGGATTCCATGGCAATAGGGCAGCTTCTACTGCCAACCTCCCAGAATGTACACGCAAGGGCAGGCATATTGAAGGAACTGTCCTTTGAATTCCTCTCGGATTCCCAGCTTAGCCTTCCTGTAGCACACAATTTTGGACAAGGTAGTTGGTTTTTACCGGTGTGGTTTCATCCATCAGCTGCTCCAAAAAATGGACCAAACATCCCAGCTGGTTCTGCTCAGGTTCACCGCACCCCGGGGACTCGGCGCGGGTGCGCAGCGCGGCGCCCCAGGGATCTTCATGGATGCGGTGCCTGGAATGGTTTGAATTGAAGGGAGGGACCATCCTGTGCTCCCCGTATTCTGAGAGAGACCCACAGATTGAAAGGCTTAGAAGTTTAGATGCCTACGTACCTACAACCCCGGACCTTGCTTTTTTGTTGTTGTGCGTTTGAGGTTTGAAGTTGTTGCAAGTAGAGCTTCCGGTCAGTCAATTGCTCATACCAGGGTTGCATATGAGCCACAACCAAAACCGGGATAGATGACAGTTAGTGAGGGACAGGTGCAACTACAAACAGGTTCGCCGTTTTACTTCTTTCCATTGTTTAGGGTAGACCGTTTTAACGCCAGATTGTGATTATGAGTCATCGGGCATGTGTCAAAATTGGGTTTTGGACAACCCAAATGGCGGGATTTCCTTTGGTGTTCGCTTTTTAAAGCACGGTGAAAAGGGCATCCACAAAAAATACACACGCATTCTGTGCTCTTTGGGTATGCGCGTTTGTCCTCAAGTGGGGCTCCCTCGATATCCTCGAAGCCAAGTCTGCGAAATCCGAGGCAGGGTGTCGTGGTCTGCGATGCCGATATGGGCGTGGTCAGCCTTCCGCCCGGGCGCGCGCCTCAGGATGCGGTGAAGCGGTCAACTTTTGGTACCATCTGGCGGGTTCATTTTTGCCCTGATTAAATTCATGGTAGACCACACTAAAAAAATGATTCCGGTTTTAGGTGCACCGTTGACCAAGCGAAGACATGCTTTTACCAGCCCACGCGGAGAATTAGTTGGCTACTGCGGATGGACGAAATCCTGCACCACCTGAGAAGCCATGGCAGAGTGATTCCCCTGTATTGAACTACAAACGAACAATGGTTTCTTATGGTTTGAATCTGGTGTAGGATTGCGCCATTCACAGTATCACAAATGTGTGTTTTGTTTATGCGGCATTTGTTTCCCCACTTCATCACTGGGCGGTTTGGTGCTTGCAAGGTTGACGTGCCCATCCCAATGCTTCCATTTAGACATGCCCAAGAACTGGCTAGTTGCTGTGGTTGGGATTCCAGGAAGCAACTGCAGTGCCAGGTGGGCTCTTTTTTGGATTCCATGCCATGCTGTGATCATGTCTCATGTCTCGCTGGCCCTGGAGGATCCTTTGGTTGCAGACTATATGCATCCATACAAATCCCCTCCCCTTGCTTAAGAATAGTTGTTTATTTTCCCAAATTGGTTCTGGAAAAGTTTTTTTTTTCAGCGGGCTTAAGCAAATGGAAAATCCATATGTACACATGTATAGAGATCGTGACAAACAAGTCATAGGAATGGGAATCCCACTTTGCTAATTGTCACACAATGGTCGGTTCCCAGAGTCTTGCCTGGTTTTGGGATCCATTTGCCGATGCCACTCCCAGGTCCACCACCTTCCTGCGGCCACAGCTGGCGACGCTCCAAATGGAGCGCCGATTTCGATGCGCCGACATATGTCGTCCCTGAAATCAAGTCGCAGCGTCCGAAAGGAGTCCTGGACACCGCCAATGTCCCTTCCATGGCGACACCTGGGGGTGAAAGCAGCTCGCCGTGTAGGTACTTCAGGTGCTTTGGGTTCCTTTTTGGTTTCCTTCGTGCCCTTTGTTTATGGGGCCTACGGGGGGGGGGGGCGGCGGGGCACAAAGCAGAAAAGATGTTAGGCAACTGGGTAGTCAGATCTGGGGCCTCATTTCAGACTACCCCGGAAATGAGCCATGGCCATCCAGAGGCAGCAGGGTTTGGATTCCCGTTTTTTTTGATCAATCGCCAGATGGAGCTGGTTTTTGAGAAAGTGTGTACATGATTTCAGTGGTTGAATTTCGGCATCTCTCCAACTCAGTTGCCTTGCCACCAATTGACATGGAACCTGACAGCGGCTCCCTTTAAAGGGAACCTGGTCTTCCAGGACCCCCTTGTCAGGTTCATGTTAGTTGGTGGGAGGGTATGACTTGCAACGGGGCCCAGTTTGAGACATACCTCCCGAGATGCAACGCTGAAGGCAAAGCCCGAGCAGACTGGGCAGATGAGCTAGGCAAACACTGTCCAAGCGATTTCAGGGTTGGGCAAGTTTTGTTTAATTCACTCCCTGGGTTTCTGGACTTCATACTTTTTGGGAAGACCATTGTAGTGGCAAACAAGCACTTTGGACTTTGTTTGGCTAGTCCACTCAGGAAGTGAGTCAAACAACCCCCTGATCCCATTAACCAAACCTGTGCCTCTTGCGCCCCCCTTATTTTCCAGGGATGGTCCGCATAGAGCCGCAGGATGCAAACCTCGATGCCAGCAAATTGCCGGGCTCCAAAGGGGTCCGAAGCCGAAGAAAAGCCCAAAAGGATAAAAGAAACACGGCGCAATGCAATGAGCCTTCTGGAAAAAGGGGGCAATTGCTTGTAAGTTGCCAATTTTAAGGGTTTTGAGCGATTCA